GCATGTATTGTAGTTCCGTTGGCTAGCATTATTGCTTTCTGCCTATAACGAGCTTATAAAGAGTAGGTTCATTGATTGTTTTGAGGATTACACCATTATTTACTTAATTTATTACCTCAAACTAGAATTATTGCAAAAGATATAGGGCGAGTTCATAAGAATACGTCAACGAATTTTTTTGAGCTAAGAAGACATACGGCAATGGTCGTATCCTTAGTAAGAAGAGTACACTCGGCCAATTGCTAGGGCGTGTCCTGATCTAGAAACACTTTTCAGAAATTTCTTGGCAGAGGTCCATCAGACGCTGTGGGATCCTCCACTTCCTAGTCTATTTACCTTTTTATAGTGTCTCAGGCAGGCGGCAAGCATAGTATTTAACATCAACTTTATTAGCTATTCTTAAGTTTTTTTTCAAACCGGCTCAAGTTGATAGTATCAAATATCAATGACGTATGAGTATTTGTCAGGTTGATCGCTTGGATATACAATTAACATGCCTCTTTACTAATTAATTGGACAGTACATAATACTGTGTTGCAATCACTTACGTCATTTACGTACTACTAAACGTTTAAGTAGTCGGAAGGCTTGAGGTAATATCGATTTTCGCTCGATTGCTTCTATTTAAACAGAGATCCGTCGAAAGCTCTGCCAAATTTTTTCATCAATATTTAATCTTGGCTCCTTTGATGTAATGAACTTATCAGCTTGAAAGGCAAGATTCCGTGCACTTGCAACTGGAAATGAATGCGATTCGTTTTTAAAGGATTTGGAACTTAACAAAAAGTACGTTCGCCTAGTAGCCCCCTTACGCCCTCCCTTAATGGGAGGTCATATGCCGTGCACTTAACTTGGTACCTAACTTGTTCGTTTTTAAAGACTTTTAAGATTCAAATCTATAACCTGACACTAAAAAAACTCACAAATGTAACGTGAAAAAATAAGTCTCTACAGGAATACATGTATACGTATACATATGTAAGCGTTTTTACTTTTTAATTAAATATATTTTGGTAGGTAACCATAACTATTATATAGGTCATTTATAACAGAGGAAATTTTTTATAGTAAATTAATATTTTGTAAATATGCAACTGTCATCTGGAATATGATAAGATAAAATTTAAGTTTTCCAGGTTTAAAACCAAAAAATTAATAACCTTTTGAAAGTTAAGTTTCTAGCTGTGTATATATTCAGTGGTAAACCTAAAATCCTATAAAAATATTAATAGGCGCAACAATATAATTAAAGGCAAAGGAGCGATCTAAATAATCAGCTAAGGCTTCACTGTAGGAAGGTTTACCATTTATCCACGTGGACCAGAGTAAAATTTAATAAAGATAAATTTATAAGGTTTATTAAGAACTCCTTCTTTGAAAGTAGTTCACCAAATAACTCAGACGGTGAGGGTAGTGTTTGTTCCTGTCCGGTACTCTGAAACCCACTGGGATATGCTCTTGCCTATTAGTCAACACAATTATGAAAGCAGACTCTTCACACCAAGCAATGTATTAACTTGTAGCAAGAACAAGACAAGTGAGTCCTACGAAAAGCATCCCCACATTTGTAGATTGCTGGAGTTTATAATGCTCTATATACCGTGAAATAAAATTTATTCCCCACCAAAATGATAGTTTCCTGCAAAGAGTTCTTGTCACAAACAGCAAAAGTACCCTCATGATGGGATGCAGAGCGCATAACTTTGTAGTGAATAAGAGCGGGGTAGATGAGGGCCAAGGGCACACAGAAAAGCGCACCGACAAACGATACTAAACTATCAATCTGATCATATTTGTAGATATTAATAAAACTAATATTAAATTTATAAGAATACAAAAATATAAATAACTGCGTTTCGGCTGCCAATAGCTACTCCAGCACACATAGATACTAAAAGAGCACGGACTGCATTTTTCCATATTTTAATTCCTGTAAAGTTTTTTTTTTCAAAAATTATACTTTCAACTATCTGAAAATCCAATTAAATTTTTAGATCTTTATATTGGAAGGAAAATTTACAAAATATACCTTATTGGCTGGAAACATCAAATCAATGGTATGGTAAAAAGTATGGCCAACGAGAGAGATAACTTTATTACGTGGACTATCTAAATAGGAAGGTGAGATGTGGAAGTTTTGTGGATAATATACTATTGTACCACGCGAATCTCATAACTCTCCTTTAAATTTAACGTAATAATGGGTTCCGTATGTGCCCCGTAAGCTACATAACAAACTGTCGCAAAACTCATTTGCAGTCCACTTACGATAATAGTCAGAAGCTGTAAAAGCTGAATACGTTCGTCACTAATTATGTAGTAGGTAAAAATGCGAACACTGAATTCCTTACACCTTTGGGAAGCCTTGCTTATCTCTCGCGGAGCTTTCCACAGGTATAATCATAGGAATACCTTTTCAAAGGTAATAATAAGAGGTGGCCCCATGCGCGCATCAGTGAATCTAACACCTTCCATTGCATACACAGCAGTGCCAAGAAATTGGAAGGTGTTCAAAACATCTAATTTTTTCAGCTAAGCATATGTATTTCTAAATTTTAGATTTTCAACTTTAAGACGAGAAAGTACATCAGGAGCTGCTCCTTTTAGGCCCACATGAATCCCTGCGCTCGACAGAATATAGAGTAAAGGAAGCATAATTAAAACGTCTGCTAAGAGATTCGTGGCGGCCAGATTATTAATTTTCCGAACACACACCAAGGGAATGGTGATGGCAACTGTGACAAAAACAAACAGCTGGTTACAAGTAGCTTTCGTATGGCTTAGCTTTAATAAACTAACGAACGGATAGCACTACAACAGGGTAAAGGTTTCCTCCAACCCACGGGCCCTTGAGCAAAGCAACAACAATGCTTTCTATGTTATTGCCTATAAAGTTATAGTAGGCGCAGGCTGCTCCGAGCTGAGCGAAGAGTATAGACAAGTCCACGGTCCACCTACAAGGTAGAATTAGAGAAGGAATGCAGATGGCCTTGCAAAAAATAACCAACACCTTCCCCACTTTCCAAAAGTGTGAAAGCCGATGTCTCCGAAGCTTCTCACCTGCAAAGATTTATTACTTGGAATGAAAATAATAATTTCAAGAAACCACATTTAGTCCTTGGGCAATTAGCGCCTCCTTCGCGTAGAGAAGTTTTGTCATTCCTACGAAACAGATATAGCCCACGAAAGCAACCGCGAGGTTGCCAGCAATATAACCACATTTTGCGTATCCTGAAGATGGCGGAAAAAAATAAGTTACAAAAAGACCCACAAAAGCGATAAGGCAAACCCGATGGAAGAAAAGTAATGCCGCTCGCTATGAAGGACTTTATAAGTGTAAAAAATACTTTGCCAGGGCTGCTCCCAGCGATCCCAGAGGTTCGTTCACATAGTAAAGGCTTTTAAAGTAAAGTTAACAGCTAAGAAAGTGGTATGTGCGTCAAATGTGGCCCAGCATAAACGACTTTCCTTTAAAGACGATTTTATTAAAACATCATTTTTGAGGCACAACTTATAATCTTCCTACATCTAATAGGAGTTAAAGTTCTCCAAGGAAAATTGTATTTAAGTGTAATTACCATCCTTTTGGGTAGTAGCGCCTTTTACAAGGCCTCCGCCAGAAGTATAGATTTTAAATTTTTTAAAAGGTGTAACCAAATTCCCACGAATAAAAAGAAAATTTTGAAGTTCTATATGTAACTTACAGTGGTGTCTAAATTATTAGAAGGCGTGTACCCTTCGCTTCGTTTCAAATGGTACTCAAGCTTAAAGTTTTAGATAATTTTAATACTTTGCTTAAAATTGTATATATATTTTAAGGAATAAACAGGCTATTATAATATTTTAATATATTAAGACTGTGTTTACAAATTAAATATTATGTAACCTCCAACGCCCCGAGTTCATATCCGCTCTCCTCGCTCTCCTCGTCGGAATGACGGTATATTCGGGCGTACACGCTAGTGCTAGAAACGAGTCTTATGTACTTAAAAATGCTGTTTAATAAGAATATAAAGTAAGAGACTTAAAGTTATGTAGTTAACGCGTACACTACTTGATTCGCGATCTCAAACTGCTATATGGAAGTGATTGAGAACGATTCGGGGCCCTTGATGCACTAAAGTTAGTACCAGGGCTAGTTGTAGTGTTGCTAATTGAATTGAGTCCTACTGAAGGCCCGTTTATGCAAGGACAACTAGTGCTCCTATTAATTTTTGAATCTAAAAAAAAAACGTAAAAAAAATTTACACTAATATTGGGTATATGAAGAAAGAATTATTCAACTTAAAACTAGTAGACTCTGTAAAGTACGCAGAAAACTATATTTTTGCTATCTATTTTTTAAGTTAAAAGATTCCGTTAGATTAACTTAAGAAATAATAAATTAAGTACGTCCTGACCCTCTTTAAATGCGACTTTTTTAGTCTTTGGGCCCGTAGACTTCACCATGGAATTGAAAATCCATTCACTTGGTGGTTGTCAAGATCAAACTTCAGTGAATGATAAATGATAAAGAAACCACCGATTATTAAACCTAATAAGAGACACTTTGTAATTTTTTTTTAATGTATAATTTACAGAAGTGAGATCTAACTTAAAGAGGCTGTCATGAAACCATAATTTTAGTGTATTGAAAAATAGTGTAGTTAATGGATTACTCTTTAAACCCTTTTAGCAAAAAGCTCCAGTTATCCAATTTTTTTTAAGGGTTTGCCTTTAAAGGCGTATATAGATGGGGACTACTTTAATGTATACATTTACCTTACTTGAATGAACTAAATGGATTCATTTATTGTTAGAACTACCAGTTCTAACAACCAAAATCTGTGAAAAGCGCTTTATTTTAATTAATGGCTAATTTGAAACAACAGAAAATCAACTATTTACAGCGTTCTTGGAGGAAATCTAGCAATGTGTCTATATTACTGTTACATATCGAAAGAAACATAATATTTCCGCAGTTTGTTATTATTTTAAATAAACTTTTTTCTTTTCTGTATGAAAAAGGTTGATAACTAATTGTTAGGAACAAGCATATATGAGTAACCAGTTAATTTTCTTAACGGAATTGGCTTTGCAACAATGACAACAACTGTCACCTAAACAGGCTATAATTTTGTTTTTGGTATCCATCTGTCAGATTTAGTCATTAAAAAGGTTCCGAGGTGTAGCAACAAGCAAAGATGTCCGTAAAATAAATGTCTAACAGTATTGCCAAGCCATTATTTTCGCCAGGATGCTGATTTTTTAAATATTCCAAGTTAATTGTTTCTTTTGAGAAAACGGATATGTTTAACGATCTCTCAGAAAATTGTGGCGACGAAATGTTTATATTACAAGACTTTACTGCACAGTAGAACGAAGAGTCAGAATTAAAACTATATCTCGTGAAATTGTTTGCAAAAAAATGGATACACAAATCTGGACTAAAATTTAATAGCGTATGGCATAAGAAGTAATTATTTAATACACAAAGGCTACCAGAAAATCCACTGCTCAACCAAAAGCAAAAGAAAATATCTATGAATGGGCGAAATCTAAATTATCATGGAGTGTAGACCACTTGGCACAATTATTTTCGGTGCCGAATCAAACTACGATGTTTGGTGAGGGGTTTATGGAAGCGAGTTATCAGTCTTAAAATAAAGCTTTTCATGGAGGCTGCACTAAACGTACCGTAAAACTTCCAAAAAAAAAAGGGTGATGATTTGAAGCTGTATGTCAGCAAAAGGCTTGAGCATTGAGTTTATTGAACGGTATTGTAAGCGCAGAGAAATGTTAAAAAATACTAAAAAATAGTTTTCTTCAGGGTATCAACAAGCTGTATGCTGAGGAAAGTTGTATTTCCCAACAAGACGGAGTCTTGTTATACAGCCAAGTGACTTTCTAAGATGGGGAATACAGGTTTGTCATGGCTATCTAGTAGCGCATAGGTTAATATTATTGAAACACTGGCTTAAGACGAAACCCTCAGATGACAAATCCAGAGTTAATGTCAAAACTGGCAGACATATGGGCTAAGTTTACACCTAGGCTCTGTAAATCCTAAACAACAACCTTGCCTGCCAGTATAACAAAGGCTGTTAGGACGAAAGGAGATGTAATATCCCGACTTTTGTTACATATAATGCATATTTTAGTAAAGAACTTTCATATTCTTGTTAAACATTTTTTATAATCATACTATTAAATAATAACACACGAAATATTAAATGGTTTGTCCCAACATTTAGTTGTTAGGGATCGTAAAGTTATGCAAGGATAGAAGCGGACTTTATATCAGATTTTAAATTAAAAGTTACTTAATCTGGTGCACAATGATTGGATGTTCAAACTACTTTTTACTACTGCAAATAATCTTTTATAAAAAAATATATATATAATTAACTACAGTAATAAATAATTTAAATCTTCCAATGTTGAAAACCTTGCTAACCTCTTAAGTATTATTGATAGAGTTAAAGCCATAGTTCATTGGCAGGTTATTTATTTTAAATCTTAGACTTTTACCTATTTGAGAGGTCAATCGTCAAATTAAAACCCTTTATAAAATATATATATTATACTATCTACACTCTACTTCCTTAAAAGTTTGATGTTTACCTATAAAGGTATGCTATATATATGCAAAAATAATTAATGTTAAACCAATAGAAAGTCGAGACTTAAAACCTGCCACAGCTTCCATTCATCGTAGAAAAAGCTTCGTAAGAATATTTTAGCTTTCCAATAGTTGTTCTTATTATATCTTTTGCATCTAACGACCCAAATGCTGTACAAAAAAGTTGTTTGGCTCATCTTTGTATAAACTAACAACCCATAATACTTTCCGTTGTTCAACTTTAAGAGTTTAGTGATAGGTATTTGCTTATATAATTTTAATTATAAACCCCCGCTTCACGTAGTTACGATTTAACAATGGCGCCTAAATTGTCACTATATAGGGAAAGGTAGAACTTGAACTCATTAAATTACCTCGCAAAACATCTGGGAGAGTTTAACCTGACGAACAAGTACCTCGTTTTCAAGTTTTAACGCTGCTCACGTGCGCACATATCTTTAAAATGTTTTCAAACGCAACCTTTAAGTCTGGCTTTTAATCGGGTGCACATTAATCCGTTACGCACATAGTTTTAAAATTTTCGTCCACTTTTTAATTTAGATCTTAAGGTATACGGATGAGAAGTACTTAAACGTTTCTGATATTTAGTTTGTAATGAGTTATAAATTCAAGGTTTTTATCTTTATAAATATCTTCCGCAAGACCGTTATCTGAAATGAGAAAATTTAAAATTCCCGTTTATGGTAAATTTTTTTTGTGCAAAAGGATTCAGTTGAATTAATTTAATTACTAGTTCTCTAAACTTTAAGGCTACAACATCAACATTATTATAGAAGTGATTAAGTCGCATAATTTGAACACGGTTGGGCTATATTGCTAGCACGAGAAAAGTGGAAACCGTAATTTATATCGAGCAAGCCATCCTCGATAACCCCTTGACACTCATGTGGTCAACAGCTTTTTAAGTACGATGCTTTTTGTACACTAGGCTTTAGTAGAAGCGTTTAGCTAATGCTGTCTTAAAGTTAGTTATTAGAGCTTCCTTTTGCTTTTTAGCACAGAAAAATGGATTCGGACTTTTTTAACATCACCAATACTACGACTGGAAATGTACAGCCCCGTTTAGATGTGTTTAAAACTCTGTTTTACTCTTGTGTTATTGGAATCACGCTTTACAGTTATACCAATCTTTATTACAAGTTAAGACAACGTTGCTCACTTTGTAAGTTTGTTAAAGGGTTTTCCTTATCTTTTTATCACGTAAAATATTTATATAACTATTTAAGCGACCAAAATAAATTATCTTTTATAGAAAAATCGTTATTTTTTATCTACGTTTAAGTTATTTATAAAACTTTGGTTTTAGTTGAAACTCCTTGGACCATTGAACCAGGGGTAAAACAAGATTTTATTTTCAAAGAAAGATTTGATTTTTACAATCTTCTGGAAAAACAATCCAACGACAAAAAAAATTTGCGCGAGCAATTACTTAATAGAGCCCTAGAAGTTTATAAAGCAGTGGATTTCTACAAAGAAAAAGTGATTTTTATAATAACTACAGTTTTTCTAACTATTTTACCTAGTTTCTTTCTCTTTATAATTCTTTTACTATAAACATACAATTATAGTTAGAACTATTTTTTTAAAAACCTTAAATTTAGGAGGAAGAAATTAGACGCATGATCACTGCCGGTCTTTTCGATCACGTTCATCTACTTAATCTTAAAGATGAAGTAAAATTTATAGATACAGAAGTTCAGGAGGTTAAAACTTAATGATTAAATACTATAAAAGCCTAGTTTTTTGGCTTTTTCAATTTTAAATTAGCGTAACACAGTTTAAGTCGACTTTTTAAAAATATTACATTCGAGAAAACTTACTATTCGCGCTGTAAAAAAAGTAGTGAAAGCTTTTTTTTAATATATTTATACTTTTTTTGAATGGTTTTTGTGTTACAACAGCGTTTATAGAGGAAAGCCTAAATTAATTTGTTTTGCCTAGATTAAGGAACACGCGAGATCCATTCAAGAAGGCTTTGAAGACCAAGTATTTCAACAAGCCCAGCGCATGCACTCACAAAAAAAGGAACTTAATAAGAAACTAAGATTTAAGTACAATACAGTATTTGCTAAAACTATAGTTGCCTTCTTTTATAGTTTTAATTATTTTTTATTTATATTTATATTTGTGTTCACTATATGAAATAATAAGTGTGTTTGATAGTTTAAATTTATAACTTTTCCGGAATTATTATCTTTAAATTCGTTTTATATAGAAAATTGAAAAACGAGGGTTTAACGAAGTCTCCACAACCCGAACTGGAATGGGCTGTACGTAATTTTTGTTTATTTGTTTACGTTTAAAAAGGTAGAAGTGCGCGCAGGAAGGTCGAATATGACTCGTTTATGTTAATAGTATAAATTTAAGATCCCATCACTTTCAAAAAGATTTGCCCTCGAGTTCATACTTTATTTTTTAAGAGTTTTAAAACACATTTGACATATTCCGGACCTCTTTTTTACATTTATATGATATACTTGAGAGGTATTGCCGCTATCTTTTATTAACAGTTGAAATGATTAAAACTATAAAACTTTTTTGATTTAATTTATTTAATACATGAGCTCAAATGACGGTTAAGCTTATGACTTCTACTTTATAACTATTTTTATTGACCTAAATTTGCTTTAAAAAATCGATTCGCTTTATTGGATACCATTTGAAGAGTGCACTAGTTCTTTCCTTAGCGTCTAGTTGTAGAATTACTGATAGTAATTTGAACATTGCCTATTTATATCACTAAACGTTTAAATATAATTATTTAAGTAAAGCACGTTAAGACGAATATATTGACGTTATTACTCCTAATATTCATATTTTAAGAAAATGGAAGCCGACAGGAATGCTCGTGAGCTTTTGGAGATGGAGGGCTTCTCCAACTTTGAGATCAACAGGATCGGAAAGAGGACCAGCAAAACTAGGAAGCTTGGCCACGGCCAAAAGTCTAAAAGAAAATAATTATTATAAATGATTTTTTTCCGCTTGCGTTCTGTGTTTATAATAGTCAGCTGTAAACGGAAGCAGAAGTGTAAGTTAGTTGAATTTATCATATTTTATTAAGTGCTAGCACAAAGTTTATTTCCTACTACTTGTTTCAAGATTAGTGATAAACAGTCAACATACACATTTTCTAATATTGCACTTTTCTCTTTTACAATTACTCTACTAAAATAAATAACTATGATTGTTAGTAGACCTTTTTAGACTACCTTAGAAGAAGGTGGTAGCTTAAAACCCTCTACAACAATAACTGTCCACGAACTTTTTTGTTTTAATAAATTATTCATAAACAATATCTAGAGGTACTCTTAATTCCATTTTGTTCAAGTCCCCATTAATAGCCTCTTCGTGGAGATTACTTATATACCGCTCTGCGTTGTTAATAACTTGTTGAGTATAAGACAGCTCCGCTGCCACTATTGCTTTATAAACTTTGCTGGCGATATATACCGAGACTAACTTATTAGGTTAGGGTAGCGTTTAGTTAGTAACCGACTTGGGGAAATTTCGCGGAGTATAAGGGCATACCATCATAGGAACAATTATCGCTGTAATGGCGTAGCAGGCCGCGAGAGATACCAAGTAAAACTTCAGCCAGCTGTTTAATAAAAGAACAGTGGTTACTCTACAAATAGTAGATTTGGGGACAATCTAGTTTTTACAAGGAAGCGCTTTTACAAAAAAATCTTACGCTAAGACTATTATCTCGGCCATAAAAAAGAAAGTTCCCAAAACCGTTGTGAAGAGCCAGGCAGTATTAATGTAACTACGGGTTAACTTTATGAAAGTTTCTTTCATTGAGTTGGTAGGAATTGAGAAATGCTCCGGTTGTATAAAGCTTCTGTTGTTGAATTGGTTCTTCTAAATAGCCAAAAAAAAAATAGAAATGGAGACTATAAAAGTTACTCAAGCCCCTCGGCCGTAGGTATTAGGCATGTTGATATTAGTAAAGCTATCAGGTGAAAAAATATTAACAATGAGGTAAGAGTAGCAAAAATAATGGTCAATAGTTGTGGCTCCCCTCCTTTAATATCCACTTCAACTAATGCGATCATTGCAAAACCTTGAACGTACCAATAGTTCTATATCGAATTAAAAGAAAAAGGTTTGATACCTGCAAACAGAGCCGACGTAGTGGCGGAGTTTTTTAACTTCGAGGTGAGAAATTGCAAGTGAGGGACACCTTGCGGAATTACCGACTCAGTCATTTTTAATTAAAGTAGAATGTGCCTTTGGAGTTCTTGTAAGCAACACGAAAGGAATCTATATAGTAGCTGAACGATTTAGTAGACTACCATCTAACTAGAAATATATAAAAGTGAGTAATACCATCTCGTTGACCGCAAACTAGCCTGAGACCTGGTGATCCCTATAATCCTGGTGTTGCTGTCTGTTAAACCCTTACACAGTACTGAGCATTAAAAATTTTCATCAAAAATCGAAAAGGCTGCTAACTTTCGACTTATATACAATTTAAAGGATTAATGTTTCGAATGTCTTCTACGAATTAAACGCAAGCACTTTGGCTCAAATTTTAATTTAATAATCCTCGATACTTATTAGTTTCTTGTGACCTTGTGTGCGGTGAATTTTGTTCTAAGTTATGGGAGTAGGAGTATAACGGGCCCAATTTGCTCTCGCAATCTTTTAAGTTAGGCTCAGTGCTTCTTAAAAGTCATGAAACATTTAAATTTAACATGGAAATGTGGAACCTATGCTGCAGCGTATTAGTGTTATAGAATACCAATAAAAAACTGGCTGCTTACATCTTATACAACAATTCTTTAAAATTTTATGAGCAAATTTAGTTTGTGAGCTTAAATACTTATAAAATATAATTTAAGGAACTTTTATTGTATTGGGAGAGACGATTTGTTTTATTTTTTTTTAAAAGTTTTAAGATAACCCAACTCGTGTAATATATACATTTTAAACCCGTTTATGCCTCTTATAAGTAAAACTGAGTAGCACTATCTTTTACATATGTGAAAGTCACGACCATGTTAACTAACAGTTGCATAGAGCTTTCTATTCACTTATTAATAGTTTTTTCGTTTTTTGTTAATCTTAAATACCTATGTATTCTTAGGACGTTCTTTAAATACAAGTAAAAAGCTTTATTTCTAATTTTAGGTATGAAGCACTTAAATAGAGCGGTTGTAGCGCTAGATTGGCTTAGTCAAAGTTGCAGCTTTTCTTGCAAAAGACAAGCCTATCTGAGATAGTACTCTAATTAATTTAGTAAGTGGTTGTATTTAACTGTGAAAGGAACAAAATTTTAGTTTCTTGACTTACGGGTTTTTAGCATCGAACAGTGCGATTAGCAGGTACAGTGTTCTTTGCAACGGGGAGTTAGGGTTAGTTAATGTATTTCATTATTCCTTTATTAGACTATTATTGCTATCGCACAACGCAAAACAGGAAAATAAACAAGCGCATAAGCAAATTAACCCACAAAAAGTTTAAAGCTACTTTATAGTTAAATTTTTTTTGACAACGAATCTCCTTAGTTTTATTGAATGATGTTATCTGTCAACAAGAAGGGACATAATTTGTGAGTAATGAACTAATAAACATTAGATTCTTGGATTACCATATATAGTATTGGTAGATGTATCAAGTACTATGTCTGCTTTTCGCGCTCCTAACACAGCTTAGTTTTCAGACTCGAATGTGAGGCAATTAAAAATATATGGCAATTTTTTTGTTAGATACTTTTTTAGAGCAATAGAGATAATTGTAAGACCTACGCAGAAAGGAGATTGCAAAGATCAGTGTTTAATTATTAAGTTAAAATATTCATATATAGTTAACAAAATTAATTCTGACGGGTTCGCGTAATTCTTCAAAACTAAAACATTTTTATGTTTAAGGAGAAGGCAAAAAACAAGACCTTTATTACATACTTTTGCACTATACCTTATACTTCGTAGTGGGTACTGTTAAGGGTCATCCAACCGAAATTTTGGCTTAGACATTGTTAGGAAACAGTGATAAGTTGTTCTACAAAAGTAACGTTAGTCCTAAAGTTACTTGGATTTTAAAATACAAAAAAAAAATTGTGCTTAAACAGGATACGCAGTGATTTACAATATAATAATAAAGTGATACTATTTATAAACAAGGTTTAAAATGTATGTGGCATGTTCGAATAATAGAGTTTTAAACGCCGCATAGTAAAATAATGTTAAATAACGTTATGGACAGGTAAAAAATTTATATCCTCTAAAATATTTAATGTCAAAAAGACGGTGAATTTAATGGATAATCTAGTCCTGAACAATCTGAAGCTTCATTTTTGTAAAGTTAATATTCTTTAAGCTGACTTAGTTATAGATACCTAGCAGCACGTCGTTAAGGTATAACTTCACTTTAATAAACAGAAAGTAATAAAATTGGGAGAAAAAATATTTTAACTTTTTTATATAATAAAGCTTCTTTTATAATAGTCCTTAAAAATTATTTTTAGTTTAAATCACTTACAGTCAAACAGACCAACACATCAAATTTCAATACTAGGTCACCTGACTTCCTGCACCCTTAAGACAGGAGTTCACCTTCTGGCGTTGTAGGGAATTCTAAATATCTAAGAGCTTCGTGCTTGGTGTTCTTGCTTCCCCTGCTCAGTGCCGGGTTAGTTATTAATACTTAGCATTCTATTACAATTTGATGACACCACATTCTTATTATACTTTAAATGGGGACGTTACGTTTACAAAGTTCATGTAAAACTAAGAATTTTTTAATATTTTTTTTAACGGTTATAAGCTTTATTTGAAAATGAGTGATACTAGCCAAAGTACATCTTTTGCTGAAACGAGAGATATCTTAAGCTCTACTGATTATCTTCTTGAACCTGAAATTTTTAAAACTTTGCCTAAATATGTAAGGCTTGGAGGTTTTCCAGAAGAAGCTATACGTCTACTCTCCCAAAATTATAGAGGCTATCCACAAATGTGTAACTTGGTTGTTAGCTGGTATAGAGATATTTAGCTTTTTTACCCTAATTCCTTAACTAAAATAAATCTTATTGCTAAATTAAATTAATATTTACTTAACCCTCCTACTTTATGAAAGTAATTTTAACTTTTCATATGATAAGGTTAAAGTTGTGCGGAAAAAGTGAAGATGATATCAAAAATATCCAGGAGGTTTACTTAAGAGATTTAGCTCTTAATCAGTTTGATCCCGAGATTGCCGATAACGCCTTTATTCACCGGGAAGCCACTCCTGATTGGCTTGAGCAAATGACCAAACTGTCTCGCTGGCGTTCTTTATTATGCGAATTATCGGAAAAATATCCTAACTGCATGCTTTTAAATTTCGCCATTAGAAAGATCTCGGATGCAGGTTGACTCTTATGACCTTATTAATAAAAGTGCTGAACCTTACTTGTGCAGGCTATCAGTCGGAAATAGCTACGATTACCTCGGCATCAGCTTATATTGATGTGTTTAACCGTGTACTCCTTGATAAACTTCGATATATTTTAACAGAACAGAATGATGAAAAATTTGAATCTGCCATAAAAGACTTTGCAAAACTTGTTTGTTCCACTAACTACACTTATTTATATACCCAAGCGTTATTTTACAGTCTGCGTTTAGAAAAAAAGGGGTATCTATTGGAATATATCAGCCACACAGTAAAAGGTGCGGCTAAGCAGCTTTCGCGGAACGTGGACAGGTAAGTCAAAGTTGTTAAATTCCGTGAACTCTCTCCTTCTGAGTGTTTTAGGCTCCATCTTATTCTTACTGGGACCGCCCGGTATCCCGCCGTTGCTTTGGCCCTCGTGAGCATCTTGAGCTCCGGCCGTCTCGCGCCTTCCGACGTGGATCATCTCTACTCTCAATACTCATCCGATGACCCACCTCCCATAAGTCTAGTTCGCCTTCCTGAGCTGTTTGAACTATTTATCAAGCTACTATTTAACCATAACAAGCCGCTGTCTAACTCCTCTCACAAAAGCAAATATATATATGTTCTCGCTTTAATGGGGAGTGTGTGCCAGAACAACGATCGCGTAGACTTGGAGCGAACCACCAAAGCCCTTGAGACAGTAATAGCGGTATGCATGAAAAATGACGTTAGGTTAGTTGTGGAATTTGCTCGGCGGGCGGAGGTTCGGGTATTGATTTTTAGTGACTATACCTTGTGGCAGATACCAGTCGAACTACGAAATTTCTGTACTGGTGGGTGAAATGTGGTGCCCGGTAGTCTGTGCTGGACTCATCCACTGGATCGGTTCGTCTCATACCTCTAGCCGAAACTATATAGAAAGTTTACTTCCTCAATCTTCGTTGCCAGGGCTGAACCTGGAGGAGCCCGGCTATTTCCAGATGGAATATGCCATGTCTGGAACGGTCCCAATCCACTTGGCGTTACTGGACCAAATCGCTTCTAGGCACTCTCCTCTTCATGGAAAGATCTTCCGACTTCTCGTTGCCGCTATGGCTATAGAGACCCGACTAGAAGTTCTTTTAGCTATGAATCTGAAGAGGATCGTCATCGACCGCATGCTCCACCTGGTCGTGCTGGGCTACGTAAGTAGAGTCTTAGGCCACTGGCAAGCTCTGGCTCGCGCCCAATCGGTGGAACCTTCTCTCTTGCGCTACTTTGTGTGCGAGTTTATACGGATGATTGCACCGCCATTTCATGCACGCGTCGTAGCAGCTATTGTCGATATTTCGAAGCATTACGAGATGGCGCTCGAAAACGAGGAGAGTGTTGTGCTTCTGAGGGAGTTCTTCTCGAAGTGCTCGGAGAAGGATCTTTCTCCCAGCGAGTACCAACAGCTCACCGATCAGAGAAGGAGGGTACAGACTAATGTAAAAATGGTTTGCTAGCGAGGTCTACATGAATATGAATGTGCTTTTATAAATTAAAGGAGTTCAAAGGATAACAACATATAAACGCCGTCTGCAATTATTATTAACATTAACAGCAGATATTGATATCCTACGACTCGTAAGTTTGCCCAAAGTCAGCCCGTATATTTCCGGCGATCGATAGAAAAATCAGTGCAGTGATGAGTATGGCAAAGAGCATGCCTATAAGTTTGAAAGTTATGACTTATCCTGCAAGGTCGAGATCTTTAAATTCTCTAGGAAAAGCTTTAAGCGAATAGTGTTGCTGAGTAAGTACAAGTTACCCGTTGCGACATCCACATAGTGATGCCTGTAGTCGTTTAGCCTCGAGATCGCCACCAGCCAACTTAAATATATTGGTATAAGCGCAAGGCAGACCAGTAGACTACGTGTCACGGGGCTCCTTTTATACTTATGCAAAGCGAACTTACAAGTAACTTTATAAACGTATTATAAAAGTCAGAAAGTAGACTCATTAATATTTCTAAAAATTAGTGTGCAAGCAGTTTCAGGTTAATAATCCCAAGTAATAATAGGAAGACCGGATAAAAAAGCTTACAGTAGTAAAACTATGCCATAATAGCTGAAGAGTTAGAAAAAATCCAAAACTCATAGCTCTAAATTGGAAACAATTAGAAATAAAAGTAGCTGTAAAAAGTATAACGAATACTATACGTGCTGGTGTGTCCACTGAAAAAGCTCTTCCTGCTTTCACTCACATCGGGGTTGAGACAGCCAAGATTACTTGAAAGATCCTCTTGAATAGCAGCGGAATGATCTCCGTTATTACAGCGGTAAAGGAAATCAGGTCTAAGGCCACCGACTAATACCCTAGAGTATAAATGAAATTATAACGCTTAAAAAAGTAAGAAGTCTTCTATTATAGTCGATGTGCACTTCAAAAAGCAATCTCGAGGTTAACAGCACTAACAACCGAAGCAACGTCTTAACACACTATCTCAGGCGTAGGGGAAGAGTCAGAATTACTACCTGTCCTCGCGGACGCACTGTACAAATATTCTAAAAAAAAGTTAAAATTAGAAGACAATTCTTGAGCTTGAAAATTTTTTATGGTGGCGGCCGTGGTGTAAAGTTGTTAAAGATATTTAAAAAAAATTAGATTACTGTTTAATTTACTATTTTAATAAAATAACTGCTTTCTATATTTTATAATTATTTTTATATAGGAGGGAGTGGGACAACTTTGTGAGATCCGTAACAAAAACAACGTTAGCAACGCTGCATAATAAGCCCGCAATCATCCGTAAAGACCGATATACGGCCTCAGTCCGTCTTGTGCTTTTCCAACCTTGACAAGCCAAATATTCTAATAATAAGGAGAAAGGTGTATAGACGAATAACCTTAAGTATGTAAAAGTTTAGTGAGTAAAGGGGTCTTTACGACTTAATAAAAAAATGTAAATAAGAGTATACAAAATTGGCTTAGTTAAAAAGACTGTAATAAACTATTTTTGAAAATTTTAATTCTCTTACTGTTAAAAAAAAAAAACTATTAAATATTGTATGGTACAAACCCAAAAAGGACGACAGCATAGTATGGAAGAGTACTTTTATGAGGAGCTGACCAATATCTTAACAAAAGAAGTATTTAAATTAAATTAACCTCAAAAAAGTAAAAGTGAAATAAAAACCTTGCATCTGATAAAAGAACAACTCTGTTATGTGGATCTTTAGTGTTAATTAATATTAATGAACATATCCATAGAGCAAAACTAAACACCCATAGCGGCCATTCTAAGCAAACGGCTTCTCGACTTGTTAGTACACGCGAACATCGGCACTTGCTCGGTTCGCACATACCAAAAAAACTTTTGCTTTCGTCTTTAGTAAGCGGAGACTGCTCAGTCTTTACTCAAGCGCGAGGAGCCGCCAGTATAATTTCTAAAGGAGAATCATGGGTACCTCGAGTGGGCAGTGGACCATTGAGCTTGGCTAGGGGTGGTGAACATTTATCCAATAAATAATTAATACAAACCAAAATGTGTTCATGGATCACTCTAGCTCCCCCTGGGAGTAGTCAAAATTTTACTGCAATGCCTGTAACTAGGGTATTTATTAGAGAGGAAAATAGGTTATTTGTACCGCTCTACATCCGCACCTGTGGACAGCTTGGGGTGAGTGAATCTTGGTACGGGCATGTAGTTAACTAACTTCTAACGACGCCACTCATTCAAAAAATATTACTACGCGCTTGTAAACTTTATAAACATTTTTACTGGCTAAGCGGAGCCCGTTCAATCTTTTTTTTAAAGTGAGGCATCAAATAAACATTATTAGAGCATGTAACTAAGTATGTAAATAATTTCAGATTATTTTGATCCCGACAACATAAACAAAAAGGACATCGGTTGTTCGGCCGTTCTGATTGAGTTTTTTTTTTTTGTTAATTTTTTTGTGTTCTTTATACTCTTTTATTACCTCTGTCCTTAATTTTATAAATTTGTATAATTTAGTCTATATTCTCCTAGTTTTATTAACACTGCTAAACTCCACCACCGGATAAGGTGACCCGATTCCTAGAGAGGACGCTTACGAGACTCTATCCTCGTTGCTGCTAGCCAGGCTTTGTTATAACCAAGACATTTATAGACTTATGGAGATAAAGCGCATAATGTTTGATCTGTAACAAATTATAGAGTCACTAATACTGGATAGAAGAACTACCGTTAAGCTAGGAAGCAAAGAAAGTAGAACTAGACGGTAGGATAAAGGAAGCTAAGCGAGGACACAAAGATACTAAGATCGTAGAAATAGCCTAAGAAGATTGCAGAACAATAATGGAGAACAATAGAGCTCAGATATGAAAACTCGTTCCATCCGAGAGGAAGACGTTTTATTTATATATAAGCAAGAACAGAGAGATATAATTAATTTGCGTGCTTATTACACCTAACAAGGTTAATATAATATTGTAGGCACTTGATGGCGTCAACTATATAATTTATAAGATAATCGGATTAATATAACAACGCATTAGAGAGATATGATACTTGCCATAATGGGCCTTTCCAGCTCTCCACCGTAGTCGATTTTATGTAAAACTTTTAAAATTTATATTAGGCATCTTTACTATATAGGTTACTAAAGAAATGCAAGTACCTTGTATATTTAACTTCAGTTTTCAAATATAATGTTAAATGAAAGAATTTTTTTAAAACTAAGCTATAAAGATATTTTCATTAATAATTAGTGCGGAATTTGCAAGAATATTACTTACGAATCGAACAACAATACAAAAATGGCACTTTTCTCCTTGGTATCGGCGGTTTGTAACTTGACACTAACGCCCCCGACTGCACGTATATAATATATGAATACTTCTTCTCCCTTCTTGGCGAAGTAGCATATAGTCTAAAAGAGGGGGGCCTGGCTGGCATCGATGCTGGTCGATGTCTCCAGGTGGCTCCACCTCTCTCAGTGGTGGTTTTCAGCGGTTTTTTACCGTGCCAGACCGAATGGTGGGGGTCTGGGCCGGATATTTTCCGCTTTTTCAGTCCTTCAGGACAGTCATTATAGCTTTATAAAGAGCGTACACCGGTGAGCAGTCGTGCCCTAACCCCTACAAGAGGAGGGAAATCAGATTATACAGTTTAAGACCTCTTACGAAGACCCAGTGCCAAAAAAAAAAGCAGTACTGGGTCGTTAGATTATCAGTCATATATCTTATTTCCAAAGAAATTTTTTTCTTGATATTGCTTTAGTTTTAAATTGGTTTATCTTGAGTATAGATTAATAGTCCTATCTCATTGAAATTCTTCTCTCTATCATTAGCGATAAGTTAAAGTATATACGGTAATGGTTAAAACCGTAATAGTCGGAGGTCACATTTATGAACAAAATTTTATTTTGTATTTTTTATTAATATTACACATTTAAGGTGGGATAATGGGTATGTCTAGTGCTTATCAGCTTTGCCAAAGAGGTCATGAAGTTACAGTTATCGAACGTTCTACCGTGGCTTCCTCTGCTTCGGGAAAAGCTGGTCGTATAGGCATATTTTTACTTAAACAAGACTAGTCTGCTAAGCTGTTACTTTATACGAAAAGGCGGTTTTTTGGCGCGGGACTGGGGGAACGCTGTTACAAGGGAACTTCACGAGCAATCCTTTAAGCTCCATGAACAACTGAGTAAAGAATTTGGTTTAAAGACTTACCGTAAGGGCTTACCAACTTTACAAGTTAACTTCTCTAGTAAAAGGTATTTATAGGTTTACGTAATTTTACTTTTCGTTTAATAAGAAAGATTTTGTCTAAAGGCAGCTATGCTTGTTTAATTTTTTTTTAAAACTAGCTTTTCTGATCTTAAGGTCAATTGGATCAATGAAGAAATTGGGTTAACTCTTTTCGGAAATTCTGAATTCGCTCAGGTTACTCCTTACGAAATCACTACGGCTTTTTTGAAGCACTCGAAAGTTCTTGGTTAGTTTTATTAACGATAATGTTTTAATAAGTTTTGTAGACACAATTACTTATTTTTGGAAAAAGGAGCTAATTTAATTATTGCTGCTGTGGTTGGAGTGGAATTCCAAAATTCTACTAGTTTCCAAAAAAATTTAAAAGGCGTTTATATTAACCGCAGCTTGGAAAACAGTACTGACGTAAGTTTTTATGCCGACGTATGCGTTCGTAATATCTTCCTGTTTCAAGTAAAATATTTATTTTTTTTTTGTAAATTTCCATCGTTATATATATGTGACTGTTTTATTCTACTCAAATAATTTATTTTCAGCCGTTGTATTACTACTGAAAATTTTTATAAACACACTAATTAAGAAATATGAAGTAGAGAGGTTAAATAAACCCGTTAACAGAGAAAAGATTAATTAAGTATATTTTTAAAACGTTGACCGTTCCTCAAGTTTAGAATAAATATAAACTTAGCCGATCGCTGTCGTGCCTCAAACCTGTACAGTACTGCACCATAAGTCCGGTCACCAAACTTGCGAGTTTAGGGTGACACCGGGTATTAGTAAAGAATTTTGCTGCTGATTAGCGCTGGTAAGCAGACGTTTTTTTAAAAAAATAATCACTGTAAGGGTTTGCAGCTCTCGTATGACCTCAGTTGTGCGTTGATTTATAGTAAAAGTGAGAAGCAATAGTAATATATATGACCTCTAAGAAGGTACTTACACATACTTTCACATTAGCTCTTCAAATATATACAAACAAGTTATATGCAAATATTCATAATATTGAGTAATTCATACTCTTAACAAGTTTACTCAATTAATTAAAGTTTATTTGTCATATTAAGTGCTTTATTAAAAAGTTAGCTAACTTTGTAATAGGCTTTTGGGACAAATAAAGTTGTTACTACATAAATTAATTCTAAGACTTTTCTAGTAAATGCAAATATGTTTAGTTCTTTTAATATTAACCGTTAATAAATTCGTTTGTACTACCTACTACAGGATAAATTTTGTTAGAACTTTTTTATGTACACGCCTATAATTCAGCTTACAAGTAATAAAAATCATTCGTTATTTGAAGATATTATTATTTAGAAAATGCACTATTTAAAAAAATAAGAATTCTGTAAAGATCAATCTCTTTATAAATAAAATTGGGGAGAGGATTGTTAATATACAATAAAATTTAAATTCGCACGATTAAAACTTTTTTAAAACCCTGATTATTAACCACTTTTATGTTAAATTAAAAAAGTTGATAGAACTTCAATGTTTATTATATCGGGAGTGTTTTACCTGCTCTTTTGAGAGGTTATAAATAAACATTCTAATAGGACTTGGAGCTAATCGAAGGGGACAACTTTCTATTTTGTTTGGGACCTTGGTCTGCTTTGCTGGAGAGTTGGTTTCCTGGATTTCGAGTATCCACTTTATACGTCGGCATGGCTTGTAGTATATTAAATTATTAAAGTGGTGGGCACATTTGTTAGCATCCAAGAGTCAACTAGAGTAGTTAAGCCCTCAAAAACTTTTAGAGCGTATTTATTTTTAGTTGAACCTAATTGGAAATTTAAAACATACACAGATACCGATGGCGGGGATCTAGTCTTCAAGGTCTGAATTTTTATGTTTATCACTTTTTTTTTTCATTAAACAAAAATACCAAACTTCATTGTTTATAATTATTCGGATGTAAACTATATCTAATATACAGAAACAACAGAGGATGAGTACCGTATAGCTTTTTGAAGCTTTTAACGTCTACCTTTAATATCTACCAGCTTTGAAATAGAACCACTAGAGTCACTTCGAAAGGAGCCCTTCGCTCTATTTTGCGAAGAAGATGATAACAACTGCCACTTGGAAGTGTATCCTCGTCCAGACGGAAGTTCCTACATCTGGTACGCTTAAGCGGGAACAAGCCTTTGTAGAGAGCGTGTGTGTTATTACAGTCGAGATATCCCGCAGTCTTGGAATTATTCCTTCAAGTAATTGTTAAAGTCAATCAATAAATAGTGGGCTTGGCGGGTCAGTTCACGCTAAAAAGGCCGACCTTCTGCCCGGAGGCTGCCTTAGTAGCCCAGAACTACTCGAGGCCGATCCTCGACGAGTCGAGGCCGCTTTGGATTCTCTAAGAAACATTTCAAAGGACCTTTTTGGTGACAAAAATAAGGTTTGCTGGTCGGTGAGCTCTGATGCGCTATACTCGCTATGATCTAGATCGAATTCTTCACAGTATTCCGTGAGGAAAGCAACAAGCTGCATGCGGCCCTTCCTACCTGACGGATATCCGTCCATGGGCGTAATCCCAGGCACAAATAATACCTACGTGTGCGCGGGACATAACTGTTGGGGTGGATTTTAATAATTATATTTACATCCGTGTTATACCTACAACGGATTTAAGGGATTCTGTGGGGGCCCGTCTCCGGCCTCGTAATGGCTGAACTAATCCACTCGGGAAAAACATCTATCAACTTGCGGAACTTCCAGCCGGGGAGATTTATGTGACGGTACAAATCAGTTGGAGGTACTCAAAAGTATAATTGTATTTATTTTACTGTTGACGTTGAGCATTAAATTTTTGTTTCGAGGGTTTAAATTATTTTTTCAGGTTAAAGTTAAGAAACTTAAAAATTCGAAATATAAATTATAATATAGTTTAAAAATCTTTAAAATCTTTACTTAAAATTCTACAAAAAATTCGTCTTTGCACAAATAATCAATCAATCGCTTAGAAATAATAGGATTTCCTACAACAAAAGTATTAATATATTATTATCGTTATTAAATACTATGTACCAGTAGAGCATAGTATATAGCGAAATGGCAGCGTAGTTACCTCTCTTTCTCCAGTAGCAATTTCAGGGCCATCTACAAACTGCATCTATTTTTTAGCAACCAAAATTATAAATTAACTAAAGGAATATTTGTTAATATTTATATACGCATCTGAATCTTTAGATGAAGTAAAACTAACTTCACTAACTATATAAGGGTGTAGCATTCGTACAAAAGATACAAACGCAGTAACGAAGAAGATTAATTTTTCCATAACAAAAATCAAAACTACGTCTTCTAATCTTCTTCCTTCTTCTAAGATCAGTTTAGCACACAATATCGCAGTGTCGGTGGTCATTTGCTTATCTCCCAAATGTCTTCTCTCAAAGTTAAAGCTGAAAAAAATAAGCAATAATAATAAAAAATTTGCAAATTTATGACTAACTTTCGAAGGCTACTCGTTCTATCACGAGGAGGATCGTCGCCCAAAATTCCGCAGCACACGATGTAGTCGTATAACTCGGCATCTTTAGGTTCTAACCCTTTGTCAGCTTTAGAATCTAACAAGCTTTCAAGATCACAATAAATAATAGTTATAATGACTTGTTTGCTTGAAATATATATGAAGCCTACATAAAACTAAAAAAAAAAATACTAATCAATGGAAGAATATATATCAATATTTTATATGCTTCGAGCATATAACCAAGCTCTTTTAGGATCAGTAATCAACAGATTAGCGCTTTTAGATTCCAAGTTTAAAGTTTCCGGTAAAAGTTTTCTCTAATAATACAAAAACTTAAGTTAATGAATATATAAGCATATTTTTCGTAGTTTACTTTATTATCTACTTATACTAAATTTTAAGTTAGGTGACAAACCGTTGTTAAAAGTTCTATATACACTAGGAAAAAGGGTTATATAAAGTACAATCTTAGAGGATATGTTCGTAAATATTGCTCGATGTTTTCCTACTACTTCGCATATGTGCTCATATTCACATATAGTCCTCAGATATATGTAAATTAATTAATAACAGCAATCATAATATACAGTTAAAAAAAGATTATTTTTAGTTAAAATGCAAAAGTACAAGGAATGAATCTAATATTATTTTCATGTACACGACAAAGAAGTATAAGACTTTTTATAAGCTAATGAAAAAACCATTCTCCAACCTCTTCAGAGTCTAAATGTTCAACAAGGTACTTCATACTAGGTAGCGTTTATAAAATTGAATTAAAACCCAAATTTGTTGAGCAGTAAACGCGGTGTCGCCATGTCCCAAGTTTTGTCTTGTCAAGGTTAAAAGGCCATGCAGCTTTTTTGGTGTGACGGAATTATCCTGCGTTTATAGTTTAAAATTTTTGGTTTCGAGCGTACCATTGATGTTACCGGCAGAAATGAAATTAAATTGAACTTAGATTGAAATACTATCATTATTGATTGGAGAGCCTGGCGCTATTATAAAAAACCGGGTATACTTCTTTAAAGATGAAATTCAATTAAACTAACAGAAAACTTTGCAAGGAGAGCCCCACCAGGACGACGAAGTAAAGCGGAAAAGATCGGTCCTATTTAAAACATACGGCGGGGCTTCCCGTAGGCTAAGATCTAAGGTTGCTAACAGAATGTGATCGGTAGGCGGGTTGCATGTTCCGTAGAGTCCTACACGATCCTGGTGTCAAGAACTCTGTGACTTGAGATTATTTTGTAAAAAACATTTTAATGAGCAAAGACTCTACCACAGTATTGTGAACTATTGCATATTACACCCTCGTTATAAATTTTGCTCTTTATGAAATTGTAGCTATATGACATAATTTAAATTCACTTTAAAGGAAAGAATTTGTGTTGCTTTAAATGAGGGTTGATTCAACACATATATATTATTATTATTTTCAAGTTATGTAACTTGAAGTAGTGACAAATATCATATAGTTAGATCCCCTCACAACTTTAACTGTAACAAATTGGATACATAATTTGGTCATACCATGATCTCTTTAGCTCAACGGTCAAGAGCATTAACGCGAACATGCAAGGTCGTGTGTTCAATTTCCACCGACGTCACTCACTCACTTTTTTGCTCATGGATGGTTGCTTGTTTAATCTCGTCCCTCATAAATTATAATAAACTATACAAGCTCTGCTCGTGCTGCCTAAACCAATTTTAAGACCGTCCGCTTTATGTCTTTTCCACACTGCACCGTATCATGCGTGTAGAGCATTTGGTATCCTCCTCCAACTTCTTTGCCAACACCCTCTATTTTTTTTTATACATGCGGAATTCCTTCTTCTGGCATATTTTTTTGCCTTATACGCTGATGGCGTGGCCTTTAATACGGTATCTTATTTAAAAATATTGGTTTACTAGGTGAAAATTAAGATTAAGTCAATTTTATGTCCTTCTAAGCCTTAGGCTACTTCGTTACTCATTGTTATGACCAAATAAATTATTACTTGCTTTTAATAAGACAAACTTAACACGGATTGATAAACAATTGATAAAATTATTGCCAACAAGTTCATATTACGGTGACGACTTAAGCTCTTTAGAACCAGGAAATCTCGTTGGGAATTTTCTTATTAACTCTAGAATTGGGATTTTAGATCTAGGATTAGCAGTACCTTGAGTTGCAGAAGGGGCATGTTAAAAATAAAACACAGGTTCAGTTTTAACTATTTTTTATCTTTATTACCAAAGTTTGGTAAGCTCATATAACCCTGAGGCTAACTTTAAATCCCCTTAATTTTTTCCATTGGATGAAATATAAAAAACAAACTTCCCTAACCTGCATAGAGGTTATTTAAATCTTCAATTTGAAAATTAAAGTTGTGAACATTACAAACCGACTCAACCTATGGGGGTCAATGTGATTCCTACATTGGAGTTGAAGGGCTGTAAGAAGACTAGCAATGTTTATAAACTCTGTGATGAAAAGAGACGAACCTTAAACTCAGGTTAATATACCACTGGAGTCACTTAACCATATAGCTGAAATACTGGCTTTTACCATCTCAACTTGATCCTGGCAATAATTTTGCGTGGGAAATATTAAAGGTTCCTAGTAACTTTTACAAAATTCTACAATAATAGAGTAACTAGTTAAGGTGGACAAAAAACCTGAGTACAAGATGCATGCTTCTTCTATTTCCTCGGTGCTTATGTCACCTATACTGTTCGGGCGCTCATCATGTTACTGCAATCATCGCAAGGTACATTAGCACCCTTTAATGTAACAACCCACTTTGGGAACAGAATAGACTAAATCACTGCGTGGGAGGCTTATATGTTAGCGAACCACTCAACTGCTCCTGCTTACTTCGCTTGTTCATCACACAATATCATGACCTCTGCTGTTAGTTGTTCATAGGCGGAATAGACTTATTCCTGGTATCGTATAATTTTTGGTTGCATCATTTGTGGTAAACATTTTTTTGGAGAAAAAAACGACCCTATAATAAAATTAAGTAGCTAGATTGGGACTAATTCTTAATGAAATGAGGTGCCTCTAACTTGGTTTCCTTGTAGAGGCCTCTTGAGCTTTGGCGTTAACTTTACATCTGAATGTCTCTCTCCATTCATGAAGAACTTTAGGAAAAAGGCATGTAAATAATTTAAGGGCACTGCTCAGTAACACACTTTTTAAATTGTCTTTTGAGCCTTATTATGTCTCATAAATTTATATACTATATCATGGTAATAACACTAATTGTTTGCCTTCTGAATGCATTGCACAGTGACAATTTAGTTTGCTCTTGTTTATTAAAGAAGGCACTATATGCACTTTATGCTTCTTAAAGTAATTCTTCTTTTACGATTTTTAAGTGCTTAGCTATATTTTAGTTGTTAAGTTGGCGTTTTCTCTAATCCTAAACCGAAGTCATCGTTAGCAAGCTAAGTAAGTAGTTGCGTTTTTTATTTACTTTTTTTTTAAAAAATACAAGGATATTTCTTCTCTTTCAGTCTTTTTCATCATAATATTTGTTTAGCTTAAAATAGTGTCCGCCACATATTTTATGCAATATTCTTATAGTATATAATTTTCTACAACTCTATGGGCTATCTTAGAAATATGTTATATTCTGGTACTAAAGAGAAGTAAGTGTGAGGATCGCAAAGCCAAGGCTGACATATATAAAATAATAACTTTTTACATTATTATATTCTAGTAAGTATAACTTAAAAGGTAGAGAGAATTAATATTAGAAAAGCTTCTAGTAAAAAATCTAGTGAACATAATATAGAAAGAACTTTGACCTAGTGGCGAGCATTTAAGGTTTTATAAGGTTCTGAAGTTATTAATGTTGATAAATATAAAGAGTTGGTTTAAAGAAGGAAACCGCGTAAGCCATAAAATATGTGGACCCGAAAATGAAAAGTTAAAGTATGCATTCCGCCAATTAGACGTTTATATTAAATTGTAAAGAATTTTTAAGGGAAGTAATCTTCTACCCTTTCAGGTTAGAAATGCTAAGGTCGACTACGTTGCGTGAGCCTGCACATCCTTGTAAGTTATGAATATTCCAGGGGTGCTTATCTTTTGGTGGTTCGGTTTGTTCCGACTGCGGCAAGTACTTTCAATACTTTATAAAATCCTCTTCAATTTTTTTTTATTAGTTATTGTTATTTTTTTAAAAGTTGGCCTTGACCGACCTCGTTTCTACTGAATTGGCACAGTTAAACACTAATTTTGATAAAGAAATCGACAGTTTTCAATATTTTCTAGTGTCATTTGGTAAGTTGTCATCTTTTTACTAAAAAAAATTATAATTGTGTTAGGGCGTATTACTTTAGAAATAACTATTTTTTATAAAAGGGGCGAGCTGGTGCCCCTTTTCAAACCTTTTGTTGCCTGTCTTAGCTCATACTGCGCTACATAATCCGCATAAGAACGTTGGAATTGGTTTGAATAATTAATTTGTTAAATTTTGAAATTTCCTGTTAATGCCTATATTACACCTTGAATTTATTATCATTTTTTTAATTAGAATATTATCAAACCGATTTTATTGCATATAATATTTTTAAGTTGGTGAAATAAAACTTTTAGTATTAACTTAATATATTATTATAGGTTAAAAACTGTTATTGAAATAAGTTAATATATGTATAACATCCTCACTTTTATTTCTTTCCTCATTACTTTTTGTAGAATGTTATTTTTATTAAAAATGAATGTAAATTGGTTTATTTTGAACAATTACAGGTTACGTTGATTGCACTGTCGCCCAGGCTGTTTGCTCCCGCTACAACATTGTGAAGTATCCTACCATTAAATTTTTTGCCAACGGGTTTCCTCGCAAGAGTGAGTATAGAAATCCAAGAGATGCGCGACAATTTTTACAATTCATAAGTATATTGTATATCATTTTTTATACTCGTAATTCTATAGATAACTCCTTTTAGACCGAGAAATTCAGCCAGCAGTTTTTAAACACACGGATCCCTCAGAACTGGCGTCTCTGGCTGCAAGTGGGCCCAAAAAAGCCCTTATTGGAACTTTTTCTGCTGGAAACAAAGATATAAAATCCAAGTTTTACGACTTAGCTGAGTCTTTCAGGTTTTCTTATTAAACACCTCTTTTTTCATACTATTTCTTACAAACTTTAAAGAGATCTCTGCGAATTTCACTGGTTTGAGGCGCCTGAAGTTTCTTTTACATTTAAGATACGTGGCACTACAATCTCTTTTGAAGGAGAGCTGGAAAACATTGAGGGCTTTATTAAAAAGAACTGCCAGCCCGCCATTGACGAACTTACTTACGAGAACAGGTTTGTGCAGACGGTTGGCTGCTCTGACTTCGGTATGAACTTGCTCACCCGCTCACTGTGCAGCGCTCAGTACGTGGAAGAAGGCAAGCCGCTACTGGTCTTGTTCGCTCTTATTAACGACACCACAACCATCGAGTTCTACAAGCGGGCGGTCGATCACATGATTCCACACGAGAAAAAAAGAGTCAAGTTTCTCTACGCCGACGCGACTCAGTTTTTGGAGCAGCTAAGTGTACTCCGCATAGGACTTGAAGATCTCCCCGTTCTTGTGATAGACTCGTACCGCCACTTGTAAGCTGTTTGTTTTTTATCGCTCCGCAAGAAACACTCACACCCCCGTTGCAAACGGTGCCTGCAGGTATAAATTTGATCGTCCCCTCGAAGACTTGGAAATACCCGGCGTTTTTCAAAAGTTTGTCAGCGACATTTTTAATTCTCAGCACCATGAGCGATTTCATCGCGGCAATCCCATCGCGCAGTACGTGTTACTTAATATAATATTTTATTTCGATAACTTTTCTACTTTGAGGTTTTTATGAATAGTCGTTGCGCGTGGCGGCAGACCAGCAATTGTAACCATGCAGGCGTGAGAATCCCTTTCCACGATAAAACTTGTCGCGAAACTGTTCAGCCTTCAGACTCCGGTGCTCCTTTGCTGGTTTTCGTGAGTACTGCCCATCAACTGCGGCACTTTTTGCAGGTTTTTGCGAGTGTGGTCACGGCATAGTTCTCGGGTTCGACTGCGAGGAAAGTCGAGCACCTTTTATTTGCGAAGTTAAGTGCAGCGAAGCTCAAGAAACGAAACCTGATCTATCCAGTTGCTCCTGGCGACAGACCGGCAACTGCGACCCGAACGGGCCAAGAGAGCCAGAACTGGACTCGGATTGCTTAACATTGATTGTTAGAGGGAGATCGGGTATGCCTATAGCGTGCTGCAGTTGATGAACACCACTACTGTTTGGTCAGGCGTTTGCGACTGCGGCGTAGATGGCATCAAGATCAACTTCACTTGCGAGCATGAGGTATACTTTTAACTAGCACTTTGCTAGTTTTTTTTAGAGCGTTAGCAGGTTTAGATCCTCTGGCATTAGATCGAGTATACATGAGCCCCTGAGTAAGTCTACGGTGCATTGCCAAGCATTGTGACCTCAGCTTACGACACTTATTCTTGCAAGACTTTTTAAAATTTTGCTTAAATTTATATAGACAGTCACTTGTGAAGAAGAGTGCGTTAAAGCTATCAAGTCGGTAATGGCCACATTTTTAGAAGTAGAGAAAAGCGAAAAGGGGGCTTTCAAGAAGACCTGGTCCATCTTCTCCGCGTTTCGGCCCGCCGAGAGCAGCTACTCTTTAAAAAGAGACGAGCTGTAGCGGCTTCACTAACAAATAAACTAATCCCTATCCTTTTTACGTAGCGCGCTCTAACCGAAAGCCCTTCTGGTGTACACTTTTAGCCACTCTTAGTCCACCGCAGTACTGTGCTAGAAGATTAGCTGCTTATTGACAACCTCAATCAACGCTGTACACGTAATGCCCTTGCGCCAAAGCAGCTTTTTACTGATTTTAAAACCGAGTTTGTAGCGTAGAAGAGAGGAGGTTAGCTACAAAATTCCAGAGTTATTTTTAATCTTAAAATTTTTACGGAAGTCAGTCAATCGCCAAATTTAAAAAAACATTTTTAATCAGTTATATGAGTGTAGTTGATGGTCCAAGTGGCCAATCTCACCCAGAAAGCGCAAGGTAACTCGACCTGACTTAGCGATGTCAATTCGTGTGACAGCGCAGTTGGAGATCGCAAGTCTTAGCCACATTTCAGGAGGCAACTGCAACGCCCGACAAACCATAAATCTAAGAAAGTTAGCAATACCAGAGCTAATGGCGGTTATTAATATCTCAAACAAAAATAGTATAGAGAAATTTTACGGGATGAAGTAAATAGCTTGAAAAATAATTTGGAATTAGTAATAAGATGACAACGAAACCTGATTACGTTCCCATGAGCAACCAAGAGTTCGTTAACGGTTTCTTGTTGGTCGGGAGAAGGTCTTAAAGAAGTATTTTTTTAATAAATAAATTCCGCTATAAAAACAAGACCTCCTAAATAGACGTCTGAAAGCAGCCTCTAGCCGGGCACCCTCCACGAAATATTCTGATTGGTCGCAAAGCATAGCAGAAGGAGACGGTTCGGGCTCAACAGGAAATCCTTAAATAAGCACAGTCTCGAAAAAGTGCAAAAACTTGTTATTCAACTGCTATACGAAATAGTAATTCCCCCAAAAAATCAAAACTCTTCGAAACACTGCGCGTAAAGCCCAACTAATATAAATTACGAGATTTAAATACGACGTTCATACTGGCGAAAAAGGGCAAAAAGTATGGTGAAGCACAAGCAAACACCAAAAAGTAGGGAACGACGCAGAAAACTTTTTAGAAAAACCTTCACAAAATAAGTCGCTATAGTTCACATCGCGCTCATCAAAGTAACAAAGTTCTTTAAGAATGATATTGCACGTTTCTTTAGCGCGCGTTAGTGAACTTCGAATTTATAAAGTAAACACTCTTACAGCAAAATACCTCTTAATTTAGTATAGTTTACCTGCAATAGACACGATCAAAATGAAAAGGAAGTCTTCTCAAGGCTTGTCCCGTGAGCTTTGCTTGCTGGATTCCCTTTTCAGATAACTTAAGATCTTTTCTATCTTGATAATACTAACACATGAACATGAGAGAAACTTGAAATTAAATAGTAGTATTAAGCAATTACCTGCCCATGACGCACAAGATAAATGCTGCGAGTGACATTTTTGTTTATTCTATGACCTTTAAGCTTGCTTTTTTCGTAATGCTCATTTTTTTTATCCCAGTTGTAATCCCATTTTGAAAAGTACGAATCTAAAAGTAGGCACAAAAATTAAGTATCTAGTACTTAACTCGCTTAAAAAAAGATTATAACAAAAAAACAAACCGGGTTTCTCGGACAAGAACTTAACGGAAGAATTTACAACTTGCTGAGGGTATAACTCATTATAAATTTCTAGATTTTCTGCGAAGACTACAATTCGAAAGAATAGAAGTAAGCGAAGGTGCACAGACTAAAGGAACAAATAAATCAATTATGTGACAATACCAACAATACAAAAGGACTCGTCAAAATTTATTCCGCGATCTTACTTTTCTTACGGCCTAAAAATAAGACTAAAGCTCCAGCAACAGACGCCCCAATAGATAAGGCAAGCCCCAAAGAAAGTTTATTTCTAGCAGGCACCATCTCATTAGCAAGAAGTTAGTGATCCTTGAAGATTTACAACCACCAATTTTGTAGGGAAGTATTACTAAGCACGTGAGAATAGGATAGGTGAAATCCCTTCAAACTATACTCAAGTTATAGCAACTCAAGCTCAATGCATTTTATCATCCAATATTTTTAAGCACTATAAGGGATATAATCTAAATAATTCCTCTAATGAACCCAACACTAATTAAGAGTAATCGATATAAAAACATGCTTATTATAAATTTAATTTTTATCAATAATAAGCTGTCACCAGATCCTTTACTAGATTTTATCTTAGTTGTATAATATATGTATTAAATATTTTAAGTAATAGAATCTTTTTTTTTAAAATTTTATGTATTTTACATATATAACTAAATTATTTTTGTTGGTATTCTTTTATCTTTTTTTACAATTAATAGCTCAATATAATTATTATAACTTAATGAAACGGTCTGACCGCTACTATTAGGTTAACTGCCTACCTTTTTATTATTAAAGCTCATAGAGAACTTAAAATTAAAACTTTAGTTTGTAGCTAAATTTTACTTTTTTTATCTGTTATAAGGCCTAGATTATTTTTTAAAGTTTTTTTAGAGCTTAGAGAGCAAGTTTCCCTCAACTACATACCGCGTTGAGAACGAGCTGTTGGCGCGAAATAACCTTCAACGGGAGACAAAATTGAGCCACACACCGGGAGGTTGGGGGTAGGTACGAGACGACAACTTTACGGCGGAAGACGAGATGGACAAAGCAACATCCTTTGCCGCTAACCTCACTGATGATAAGGGGTGCTTTCTGGGTTGAACTTCCTAGCTAAAGCCGAAGAGCAGTCTAAGACAACTGTTCTGTTTGTGCCCTGACACTATTCTATTTAGTGACCGAAGTATAATGATAAGTATTGAGCCCAAAAACTAACCCAGCGACGCTATTAAACGCAAGGGGCAGGCCTCCGCCAACCAGGCTAAAGAAGGGGAAAAAATCGCGAAGCTTTGCGCCACTGACTAGTTCACATAACGAAGGTAAATTAGCCCTCACTGATTTTATGCACCAAACTATACTCAAGATAAAACCTGTCGCACGGATATTATCGATTATTTTTGACCACCAAGCTAAAAGATCCAAAACACCACTTTTGCTCTTTGATACTAGTGGTCTAATCCTGTTTACTTTTGTATGCATATAAAGCTTAGATTTTTCTAACAAACATAAACACTTTTTCCTTCTTAAAACTCAGGTGCGCGCTTGCTTAATTTTTTTAATAAAGAAGTTGCTTATTTACTAACTACTAAACTTGACTTAATTGAACTAAGAATAAGCACATTCTTAACAAAACTGATTAATATTAATGCATAACGTCGTAAAAATTTCTTAAGAAATAAATAACAAGATAATTTATTTTACGAATCAGTACTATTTTAGCAACTTTAGTATATATTTTATTTAAAATTACAGCTAGTTGAAAGTATGATGTTGTATACTAGCAATAATTTATCTTAAAGGACCGTTACTAGACTCTATCTTAATAAATAAACATATCTTTACTGAATAAAAGTTAACAATGGGGCTCCCCCCTTCCAGGCGAGGAGCGCATAGTCGGGGCCCCAACCCCTCAATAATGGGGGGGGTGGGGTTTATATTAAGCGGCTTAAGGGCTGAAGAAGACCCGGCGTAGTATTCCAGTACTAAAAAAAAAGTTAGCAAGGGATTCTAAGTCTCTTTTTCTTTCGTTTTTTAGTATGTATGGTTTTGCATTTTTTTTTTCATCTTCTCTTTTGTTACTTCAAGCTTGTATCACCTTGCTTATTAAGTTGTATAATTCATTCTATTTCATTTATTCATTTATTAATTTCTTGCTAGTCAAATCCTGATAATAGGTACTTAGTAACTACACAACCACGACAGTGAAGAAAGGGAATGACTAAAGCTCCACCAGGTATTCCGGCCCTAAGAGCATCACCAACATGATGCTGAAGCAAATGTCGATGGCGCCGGTAAATCATAACCTATATTGCTTTGTCAATTTTGGCAGTGACCTTTAACGCCTTTCCAGACGCGATGAGGACGGCAACTATTGTGAACTATTGTGCTGAGTTAAAGACACCACGATCAACCCTAGGCCAAACCCAATGACCGGTTTATCAGCCTCTTACAATTAGTTGCCAAAGTAGCTTAATCGCCGTAATGCACCGCGTGAAAGCGTTTCTTGATGCTAATCATTCCCTACTATCGTTTCTACATTTCGGTTTATAAATTAACTAAATTTTTAAAGTGTACAGATAGAGTTGTAAGTGTTTTATAGCCATGTGAAATTCTATATATAGCTTTATCGCTTATATATTGGGATCAAACCCTAACTTTAGGTGTTAAACCTCATTTTTTTAAATGCTAAAACGCAAATATATTTATGGGCAGTTGGTCACAATTATATTAAATTCGATCAGAGAACTAAAGCTATGAGCGCATACTAGGTCATTATAGTTCAGGACTGCATCAGCTAGTGTGTACCGTCACAAAAACATTGAGATAAACATTTCGTCCCTTCTTTGCGTAAAGTAAAACAGAATATGTAAGATTAAATAAGCTGTGGGTTCGCCTACAAATTGTATTTGCTTACTAAAGAGTAGGTTTACTTTTAATGAATATAATTATGATTTTAATACCATCACAATATGGCTTATTGTGTTATGGTCAATAGAACTGCTCTTAATAATGGAAAAATCACGATTTTTTGGTGAGGAGTGGTGAAAATAACACGATCACACCGTTCATTCGACTTATTTTCAATTAGTATTATAATTTAAATTTATAATTTGTTATTTAGATTATATTAAGTGACTTTCTTACTAGGCAGCAAATGGGCATAAGATCTATTACTAGTAATTTTCAGAACAATATTCATTTTGGAGCGACGGCGCAAGCTAGCTGAAAGTTTCAAGTAAAACTTTAGATAAAAGTTATACTTTCTAACTTTAACAATGAAATTTAAACTTTTTTATTTTTTATTTCATAATAATCATTTGTTTTACAAAAAAAGTAGCGAAAATGGTGGCATACAAATAGTAGACGTAAATATATCGGGCAGATAAGTATGACGCTTTAATCTACTATAGTATTAATTTTTGTTAAGGGAAACTCATAAGATGGGAAATCAATGTGGACATCAGTGACTCGGATACACCGCTCCCAGTGGAGCGATAAATCACACAACTTATTTAAAAAGTCACCCAACTCAATTGTGTTCCTACAATTAGCGAGGCAGTAAAAAAGATTTCGGCAGTTATACTTTAATTTGAAACCAAGACGCGTAAATAATACCTATTGTTGCATCGCACAAGAATTTTAAAAATTAAATTATGCTAACGGACGATAAACTTATAATGAAAATAGTCACTATCCACACAAAAACAATAATTGATAGGAAATGAATTAATGCTAGATACCATTTTTAAAAAAAAATGGTCCTAAGCGAAGTAATTGTGGTTAATGGTTATTGGAGCCCTCCGGGAAGTTGATAATGAGGATAACGGTCCCAGTGGATCTCAATCCCTTAAATTCTTGTAGTTACTACTGATGGAGTTAGACGAGAAACTATCAGGGTTAATGGGTTGCCCTAAAGTTTCTGGAATTCTAACATTTGATGAACAAGGTTTTTGTGAACAAATATGTTACGTGCTCTATAAAACAAATTATTTTTAATTGCAAGGTAATTGTCTACAAGTTAAGGGATTAAATCCATCTCAAGCGAAATACATTGTAGCAAATTTTAAAACAATAGTGCGAAAGCTGCTTAAATGTTTTAATAACCTATTGTCGTCTGTACTGATTCTTTAAATAAATTTCAAGTCTTTACATTTATTACTCTTTTTTTTGAACTCTAGGAAGAATTAATTTATACTAAGATCAGGTTACAGGGTTCTGAAATATTTATTGTTCAAAGTTGTTTTTTTTTTAATGTGTAACTTAATTTGTTTAAATCATATTCTCTTTTACTAGAAAATGGTTATACGCTATTTGTGATACAAGACCTGAAGAATAACAAAGGGCAAGCAATCAAAATGTAAATAAACAGGTAATAAAATATCAAATGTGTAGAAGCTCTGCTCCTTTTAAGCTTTTTTAAAGTAAACGATTTTAAATTCTTTATTTTAACTACGCCCGAACCTTACTATCCTAGTGTACTTAAAGGCTCAAAGCAAATAACTAAGTTTCTTTTTTTATTTTCAACGATATCACTTGGGAGAATGCTTAACAAATCAGATATAGTATAATAACTTTAAAAAAAAATTAATCGTCTGCAAAGATACTTTAAGATACCGTTTTTTAATTGAATTTTGCTTATAACGCCTTGTTCTCGTCTTATTCGTTAATAAACTAAGTAATAAGCTTTATGAAGAAGACAAATACGGTTTTTTAGATAATACTGAATCCGGTTTAGACTAAAAAAGGACTTTAATCAGAACATTTATTAGTTGGTAGAATCAGTATTTAGACAATAGCCGTGATCGCATCCACAAACGCCTTCATGTTTTCTGGTTCGCAGTCGGGATATACGCCTTATGCTTAATGTGAGAGCCATACAGTCTGAGTATTAGCGCTCGACTTACCGTGACCGAGATTAGCGATATACTTGCTCTTACCACCCCCAAACTTGGCTACCATCTCTTTAACCAAAACTTCAATGTCTTCCTTGGAACTATAAAGAGCGCCAGGATCGAGATTTCCTGCGCACACATTACGAACCAAAAAATATATTACAAAGCCGAGCATTTACCCTGTAGTGTCTTTGTGGGTAGTTTCTGAAGGGCGTACGCAGGCTCGACGGTCCAGTCCAAGCCAACAACGTCATAAGAAGTATCTTCAAACATCTCCAAGCAGTGGTGAGTGCCCTCAAGGAAGAAGTCTGTATCGCCTGCTTTTGTTATGTATAACTACTTCTAAACGGACCTTTGAAAAGACGCACATGGGCACGTCGAGATCCTGTTGCTTCAACTCATCTTTTACTTTGGCCGCGATTTTCTTTAAACAAGGAAAGGCGAACTTCACAAACAGGTCCCTGCCCAAGTGAAGGGCTAATGTGTCGAACACTTGCAGGTACTATAGTTAACGCGAGTGCAGAAGAAATACATTCAAACATCCAAACAAAACTTACTCTGGCGCCTGCTCTCGCCTGGCCAACTAAAAATTTAATGCATATGTTTGTTAAGATGTCCAATAGAATATGGCTTTCTTTGGGGTAGGCATAAAGCCACTTCTATACCGCAATATTTATTAAATAAGGTTTTTGACAGAAGTACAATAGAAAGTGCGAGGGATGTACGCATTGCCAGTAACTTAAACTATCTACCCTGGAAAAGTTATTATTAAACTGAAGGCAACACGCACTCTGAAATATGGTTCAAAAAAGAAAAGCTCGTGTTTCAGTGACGGGGTAAGAGGGGATCCGACACATACAAAATTGTATATTTATAAAAAAAATAACGCACTTTTGCTCCAGAGACGGTTTGACTCCCACGTCCTTCGATCATGTAGCACATGAGAGTCCACTACAAAGATAAATTATATAAAGTAAAAAAATGTATACAGACTTTTTACAGGAGCTCCGCAAAAGCCAATGCACGGAACCCTCCCCTCGAGCTTTTGGCAGGTCAGGCTTATGGCTTCATAGACGTATCCAAGGGCGACGTCGACGTCGACATCACACTAAATTAAGTTTATTAGCAGTTGGAGGAAACAGGTCACTTATACTTGTTTACTTCAAGCAGCGCAAGATCGCCAGGTATTTTTAAGGGTCTTGGAAAGGAAGGCCCTACTTCAGGTAGCATTTCCACAGACATTCCTAGCGCCTAAAACAGAAATTCACTATAAGAGAGTTTCTATAATGTGAAAGACTTTTGGACCATTTCAATCACTAGTTATTATAATAAACCTAAATTAACACTAGGATTTCAACTATAATTTTTTCCTGTAAATAAACTAAAAAATATAACCACGAATAAAATTGAAAATTCTACAAATAAAAGAGAAACATATATATATATGAAAGAATAGTAAGTGAAAATCCTAAGGGGACCTGAGGAATGACTAGAATGTCGCTGAATATAATAACGGCATCAAGTTTGAATCTCTTTAAGGGCTGGAGAGTGACCTGAGAATCAGTATGGGCCACAATAATTTTTTAATTATTAATTTGAAATTATTAAGTTAACATTGCGCAATTTAAAAGAAAGCCTTGAAAGTGCTGCAGTGTGATATTTAAAACCTTACTAGCAAGCTCCGGTGTTTGGCATATGTGAAAAAAATTATACTTTTTTCTTACATTTTTAAACTCTACGTTATAAAAATGAGCTAGTTAACCGCGAAAAAAAAAAGGACAACGCACCCTGGTAAATTATAACTATACCTTGCAGATAACGCCCAGCCTGACGCATAACCCAGACGGGAGGCCGGTCTACTCGATCTCCTTTCGCAGCTCTAAGTAACCGATCATTGTGGGGAGGGTCCATTTTTTATAATTGCTTAAAAAGTTACACTTTTAGTTAGTTCCAGCAGAGTACTTCTGCGGCGCAAAATGTGGGTAGCGAACATGGCGCCTCAATACTTTAAAACCATAAATGCTTGGAATGAGGTTTGCCATTGTAATATTATAATATAATATTAAGATGTTTCAAAGATAGCAGTTATAATTTGTAAATAAATACTAAGAACTTTATTACAGGTTTATCTGTTTTTTCTTTTTGACAGCCAATATACAATTAAAAACTAAATGAAAAATCACCTATAGCCAGGCACCTTAGGGTTTCGGTTCAAGACCCAACACGTGCCTCAACCCCCCACCCATGATTTTTGGTTTTAAAGTTTTGCTCCAGCTACGACCTTTACTTGTCTTTTGTGCATTCCTCCTATGTATTTGCACGTATATTGTGTACATTGGTCAGTTCGTCTCACACTACTACCCCCTTATTTTTAAGTTTTATATTAAACGGCAGTGTTAACATTTAACGCTGTAACTTTACTGTTTTAGAGAAAGGTTAGTCTGTGTTCGTTTGCAGTCTTATCGGATTATGGTATTGTTGTAAATTATCAATTTTAACAAATAGTAGCAACAATAAGATTTATTTGTAGTTGTTTTCGGCCTAGCGATTCTCATCCAGCTATTAAACTGCCGATTAATATTGTGCGGATAATCGACCTGCGCGAGTTTCTTCTTAAATAGCTGAAAATTATTGTAATAAGTTACGTTAAGGAAGTATAGGAGACCCTGGTGGAGCTTGAGTACAATCAAGATATACTTTTGCAATTGTAGGTAAGTTAATTACGCATTTTACTTTATATTATAGAGATTTTGAAAGTGGTTTTCAGAGAAACCAGTGTAAAAGTTTAAAGCGTGCCTTACCTGCCTAGCATATAGCGGTAAAGAAGACTATTTGAAGGAGTACTTATACCTCTTATAAATATGTACATTGTGAAATTTATTTAATAAAGGTATATACATATATCTCTACTCTGAGTTTCACAAGCAGTTGTTTTTACTTAGTGTATATAGACCTGTATTTATTTCACGACTTGCCATTTTCTGAATATGGTTTTTCACTTGAGCTTCATTGGAATTTTGTAGTACCTATAGAGACAGCTATTTTAAAAAAATGGACTCTGATAACTTATAGGTAAATTGTAAAAAGCAGTACTTTACTGTAGTTTTACAGAATTATTTAGTAATTAAGTGGATGGTTGCTAAGAAAGGAATGCTTTTAGACTTTATACATTATCCATGCACTAGTTGATATAAATATGAAATAATTATTTTACCTTAAGGTCAAAGAGTAATCAGTACTTTATTAGTAACTGCGAGGTTGTGCTTACAAGCGTGCTCTTATATATTAGTCTGACATAAGTGCTTCACCTGCCTTTCTTTTTATAGTGTCCAACCTTTCTAATAGTTTCGAGGTCTCACTTTTTCTCTGGTTTCTTCCAAGCTGAGCAGAAAAATCGGTACTATTCATAACTTTTAATGCTGCAGGGTCCTTCTTATTTAGTAAGTTTCTCCATTTGTCCTTAAGATCTGTAGACGTCCTGTTAAACTCCGGTTTAGCAAGCGTGATAAAGCTTAAAATCGAGGACCACTTCCCCACTCCGTTGGCTTTAATGCCCTCCAATAATAACTTAATCTCCTCACTGGTCCAATGTCTTCTTGAGCGTTGGTTGAAATGAAGACTCAACGCAGTGTAGTCGTTTAAGGTAAACTTCGCTAAAGATACCGCAGCAGGAGAAAGAGATTCTTTTTCGTTCAAGCGGGCTTTCTTATAAGATAAAGGAGTACTTGAACGATATGAAAAGTTATTAGCTATAAAATTCTCCTTCATAGGAACCCCGCCGGAATTAGGTGTACTTGTGACTTTATTACAATCAGTAGGAAAAACGCGGCCAGAAGTTATTTCCTTAAAAACACAATTACGTTTTCTATAGTATTTTCCTTCTCCTTCGACAAATTTAAAGTCATCATCACTTGTGAGTTGTTTAAAAATACTTTTATCTTTTTCTAGGTTATCCCCAAGTATTGCTTCCTCACAAAAAGACAAGCCCTTTTGAACCAAAGAAATCTCTAACGTATAAAATATACAAGACGCAAGCTAACATCTTGAGAAATCAGAAAAAAACCAGTAAAAACCTGTGTCAGGCGGAGGGCCTACTAAGTCAAAAAGCTCGCAAAAATTGTGTAGAAGTTGACTTAAAAAATGATTATTTGCGCGATGTTTTTGTGTGCTTTTATAAAGTTTGAGTTTTCTAAGCAACTTTTTGTTAATCCAAGATAAATCTTTTTATAAACAAAAATAGTTACGCGCTACATAAAATAGGAAAAAGCTAATTAATAAAACCTTTCATATCTTCAGCAAGAGTCATAAGTTTCTTCTTAACTTCTTCACTGTCCTTTAGTGTTATATAAGAAATAAATACCTGAACGATAATATTATTTTAAACCTGACTTTCATAATACAAATAAGTTAATAAAAGATTTTTTAGATTCTTAGGAGCGTTTCCCATAACTTTAGGAAACTCATCTAAGTATAGTGTAATATTAAAGATATTAAAGATGTCCTCCAAAAAAAGATTTTCCATATCTTCCATGCAAAAACGTAAAATAACTATTGCCTTAGCTATTATCTAAAGAGAGAAAACAAGCTTGAAATCAAAGTTACTTAAATAGCTCATAGTTTAAAAAATTTACCAGACGAACGATAGATTGCTGAGGAATAGCAACGTTATCGAGTAAACAGGAAAGGTGACGCAAAGCGACAAATAAATTTTCTATTAAGATTGTATCTTCGAAACGAGTAATCTGCCTACAAAGAAAATCGATGCTCTTCAATATATTTTTCATTTTATGACATGCTTATTAATGTTATAAATTGCGCAATAATGAGAAATTATCGCAGTTACACTCAATTATTTTATTGCTAGATGCCCCCTCGCTGCTCTCGGTCGAGTCAACAAACTCAAAACCTCTTAACAAGGTTAGTTCCTTATAAGGACATGGGGGTTTTTCAGCGCTGGCATACTACGACCGGTCTTCTTACCAAGAACTTAAGCAGTTTAATTTGAATCTCCCTCTTCTGAGGGGTTGGAGCACGAGAGCCGACCAGTGTACGCTCTTTATAGGGATATATTGACCGTCCCGAAGGATCTGAAAAAGCGAAAAATATCGGGTTCCGGGCTTCCGTCATTCGGTCTAGTGTGGTGGATAACCGCTAAATCTACCACCGGGAGAGGCAGACCTAGGCACAAGACCCGAGGCCATTGAGACACTGGACAGACCACTGCCAGCCAGACCTCCCCGAGATGAGCTCCTCACCTAGAGGGAGGAGCCCCAATTAATTACATTGGGTTTGTTATTTTCTTTTCCACTTTATAAACTTTTAGTAAACTTATGGAGAGTTGAACCTATAAGGACTCAGTATAAAGAGAAAATGTGACAAATTTGATACTTATAGAAGGATATATGAAGACAAAAGGGAGTGATAATAAAAAATGACAAAGTAAAAAAAATAAGTTAAACAGTAAAATGCTGTATGCTTTCATGTTAAAAGCAATAATATATATTTTTTTTATAGGTCAACATAAAGATGTATTTTAAATGTTTTTTTAATTATGCTTAGTCTATCATAAACACATTTAATATAGAATGATGGGGTTATAGTGGAAATGATCGTATTGTCGTGGTGCAAGTTGTATTAATAATTTTCTCTTAACCAGCACACCATTATAATTAGCGGCTAGTGCACTAACTTTTGACTCTCAAGGTGGTAGTTTGTTATTTTAGAACGGAGCAGCGCTACCAACGGGTTATAAATTATCAAATATATTATTGGAGGTCTTTAAATGCTTTATTACTGTATAACATACTTTATATTTATTATAAATTAGTCCTTAAAACTTTGAGCCGACTTGATCATCTCTTTAAGTCTACTTTGTAGCCAATTAGCAGCAACCATTGCTTGTAGCAGCGGTACCGTGACACTACCCATGAACCGTGGCGTAGACAGTACGTTTCCCTATTATAGTGCCCTGCTCCCTATACGATAGAGGCCACGGTAATTTTTCTAAGATTAATCAATAAAAATTAACGGATATACATGTGAGCTTCACACAAATCTATTAACACAAACAGCATATAAATACTTGGTAACATTAAAATGACAAATAAAATCCAAAAAATTTACCACTAACCAACTGAGCAAGCTAATTGATTTGGTGCTAGGCCCTAGTTTACTGACGGGATTTGAAATAATAGTTTATACGGGGAAGGACAAACTTTTGTAGGTCACCTTTCATTTGACTAGTTTCCCACTATGAGAGACCTCTTAACTGCTAGTTTTTACGGAACAAAAATATTTGAGAAATAAACTTTTATAAGGATGGTCTTATGATCTAGATTTGACACCCAGGGTAGGTTTTAAAAATTGAAACCACTATAACTAAGACTATAACTTACATTACTGAACAGAATATAAACCTTTAAACGGTATAAAAGGTCAACTTATGGCCAACACAAACGCACTGTGCACCACCAATAAAATGAGTGCGAGAAAAGTTAATAGTACACCAATATACTAAAATACCTTTAGGGCAACGGCGCAAGTGCAGTGTAGGTATGAGATTCGACCATTTACCTTAGTTTACTAAATTCACTGACTTAAATTTACCCTTGGCATATAGAACATGTAAGGTACACTAATATGGTTTAATATTTTATAAAAAGTTATACCAAAAAAATTAGACTGTAGTATAACCTGAAATCTCAGACTATTACATTGCAACTGTGATTATCCTTTAGAGTTTTCTTTAAAAGACTTTCAATCTCTCAGAAGGGCAACTAATGTAGGTTTAAAGATTAAAGCACATGGCGTCTGTACAAATTATGGCTTTAAGTTTGCCGTGCCTACACATACGTGTACAAGCCATTATTAGCAGTATTCAACCTTTTTAAAACATACACAAAAGAACATTCCAGGTTTCTTATTAACAATAATAACTTTTAAGTATGTAGCATAAAAGGACCACAATATAGCAGTTTAAATTATATATAGGGCTTTGCGAATTTTAGCTATTTATTTTTTTCTCGTTATTAAATTGATTAACTTCTGGACGCATGATAGTCATCTTTTTAGAAGCAAAACAATCTTCAATAGTGTATAGATAGATATGTCAGTTTTTAAAACAAGAGCCGTTGCTTTAGGCTCACATAGTTTAGCTATATTGTCTATATATTGTATGAACGATTTTTAAAGAGTAAATTTCTTTCCTACGGGCTGTAAGTAGGCGGGGAGATAAAAGTGTTACTTAAAAAATCGTACATTATTTTTAAATTAATTTTTTTTTCCGAATTATTATTTTTGTTCAACAAAAAAGGTTTATCATATGGACATAAGAGATAGGAAATTGAAACTCGGTCATTGGGTTTGAAAGTCCATGACCACAAACTTTTACAAGAGGCTTGAGGCCTATTTATAGACCTAGTAAGCCGTAAAGCTTGTTGTGTTGTGGAGTTCCTCCACGGAAATCGCATAAACCAGTCACAATTTCCGCAACTTTAATAAAGCAGAATAGGCAACTTTTGGGCGTGGGTCTCGTCTTCCGCTAACTCTTGCATAAAAGCTCATTCTTTTAGGCACCATCAATTGTTTAAAATTGTCTAAGCGGTCCAGGGCTTTTTCGGTTGAGTTTTTCAAGGGTTTTAACTTAATTCTTGCGTGCGCACAGTTTATAACTTTTTCGAATTGACTCCCATGTTAGGAGGTTTTTATATCTCTCAACTTAGGTGCATTCAGCTAACAGAATTCAGAAACTGTTAGTTTTTATCAGTTAAGATTCTAATGACGCGCTCGAAAAAGGTAAATTTCCCTTACGAAAACCTAACGTTTATTTAGAGTTCAGCGCTTCACAAAGTATGTAACCTTTTCAGGATAAGGCACTCTCAAATTGTAGTTGTCTTTCAAAAAATATGTTCTTAATAAACCATATTATAATTATTTTAAATATGAGTACTGACGCATTGTAGTTTAAGTAACAATTTTAGTTTAAAAGGCTAGCTTTAATATAGAACCTAAAAAGTCTAAAAGGTGTTTTAGTTAAAGTTTTTGTTAACAAAGTAGTAGTCTAAAGGATACTTAGAAAGTACCACTTTTGACTGTTCACAAATATTTTTTCGAACATAAAATAGTCCTTTTCTAGAAAATCATAATGAACATCCATTATTTCAAAAACTTCACAACCTAAATTGAAGTAAACTTTACGTTAACGGTTTCATTAAATACCCGGTATAACTTGTGACAATTAGTGGTTAAAGTGAAGAAAGAGATAAAACCTCTTTCATTGTTGTACACGCTAATTATAAATATATTTTTATCATCGTTAATAACAAAGAAGTGCTGTTGTAAAAGGTAAGAAATACTAGAATCCAGGAAGTTTTAGCAACATAAAAAAATTAGTAAATTAGTTCATAGTTACAACACAGCAATTAAGATTATCTAGATTACAACCCCTCATAATATATTTCTGTCATTATTTGTCTTCAGAAGCAATGACATTCTTTAAATTAGTATAGTTGGAATTTTTAAAGCTTTGCATTTTATATAGCGGCGTTAACAGAAAAAAAGTACGAACGAGGCATTATACTGAACAAAGCAAGAAGATAGATTCCGGTTTAATAGGATTATTTTAATTTCAAAAGCGAACCTTAGTCAATTACTGTTTTCTTAGGGCCCTTAAACTATATGCAAAGGCCATCTTTAGTTTAATAGTAATCTTTATAATATAAGTGGGATCTCTGCATTAATTCGCTTATAGCTTATATATAAAAATGAAAAGAACCCTTTAAAAAGAGAAATGTAGTATCCGACTATTCATAAAACTGAATTTTTATTGGATTTATAATAATACTCGCTATATTTAACTTTGATAAAGACTTTAAAAATAGGTTAAAACGAGTCTTAAAGTCTTAAAATATAGTACTGTTACCTAAAATCTGTAATAAATAAGCAAATAATTTTTGGTATTTCATTGAAATACAAACCACTACTCGTTGTCCAAACGATGCAGCAGGTACATGTATCCATGCGCAAGAGGAGGGTTCTCGCTAACGGCCACCTTCTCATCGTTGAACAGCACAAACTTGTCGCCTTTCTCCTCTTTTCTCAAATGGCAAACGTAATGCCCGGTAAAAGCAGAAGTGCCCATGTGCGATATGAGGCCTGACCATAACAAGGCATGAATGAGAGGGCGAATGGGTTATCATTGTTAACGGCTTTTTGTCTTCCCGAGTAACGAATCACATTCTATAAGTGCAGTACACCAGACAAATATCTGCACGTAATGCTCATTTTTGATAATTATTAGCGTAATAATTAAGAAATATTTCAGTAGTTTGACGCTATCTTAAAAAATTAATTATAAGAGGTGACTTTACCAGTGAGCCTATACTTTCCGGTAGCTCCGTGCTGGGCTAAAGCGTTAACTGAAAATGTCCCACTGCTAGTTTCTACACTGGACGCACCGAACGCATCTGCTTCAGAGCGGGAGAATATCCTTAACAAACAAATTACAGAAACGAACAAAAGAAAAGGGAGTCAAGTTCACCAATCAATAGCTCTGTTCACGTCTCCGCCGGTGTTACCCAGAGCTTGGGCGGCCAGCTCCCGGGAAAATCCCATATTCATGATGCTTGTCAGGTCCGAGTCTGCGACTGACGCAGAACAAAAGAAAGACGGGCTCTTGGTTTCTACTGCGGAGCTTGTCTTCAGTGATAACTGCTCCAGCAAAGAAGAGTCCAAGGAAGCATTAGCGTCACTATTCCCACTGTTAGCTAAGCACCAGTGCACAGCGCTTTCAACCCCTCATTTCCAGAAACGACAAAAAAATTAGAGAAATAAATAATAACCCATATATAATAGTATTTTTTTAAATAGTGGCTCTTCAAAGTATTTAGTAGTAACTTTATTTAGTGCTTGGGTGTCATGGTGATACGGAGCAAGTAAGTTTAAAGATAATTTCAACAATAGTTTATGCTAACGACAACTTTTATACAAATAATAACTTTTGTAGGTAACTATCAGAATAGAGTAAATAAAAATTATTCAAACAACGAAACGATTAGAAACCTTCATCCTTCATCAAAGCTGCTGCCCTCAAACATACATTTCGAGGGAAGCCATAAGAATTTACTACTTTCAGAATTTCATTGACTTTTATATCGTGACTAACTACTACTATGAAGAAAAAGAGAAAGTAATACAACAATGAAAGGAAATAGCAATAACGAACAAGCCAACAAATTACTGTACGGATATTAGACTTTTGAGAATGTAAAAAAACGCATAAAAGTGTGAAAAAATATGCTTTCTATAAACCCCCACACGGATGTTCTACGGAGCCCTCGTCTTCCGGCAGAAGAGGTTCGTCACCTCTCACTGCAAAGAATGAAGATGGCATTGATACAGTTTTTGGTGTACAGAGGGCTACCGTGCGGTCGGAAACAACTCAAGTCCAGAATGTCGGGAAACTCGATGCACACCGGCAACTTTCTCGGCGTCCAGTTCTATAAATGAAATTTTACAATTCTCGAATTTACGTAAGAAACTACGAATAAATTTCCATAAGGTATTAGTAGACAGTTTGTAGAAGAGTTACACTTGCCTCATCTGCGTAGAACTTTTGAATGTGGATAAGCAGGTATTTTGGAAAAGTGGCAAATCGGACGGTCTAGCAAAAAAAATAGATGTAGAACGTTACAAATAACACCCAATAGAATACCTTCTTTGCTATTGTCTTGCTTTTGGTTACGGAAGAAACCCATTCTAATAAAACCTGCTCGGCAAAGAATTTTTCTAGACATTTTTCCAAAGGTATCTTTTAGAGAATAATCATATACAGTTAATTGTATATCAAGAATTCGGTGAGGCGCTCCTGAAGTGAGCATTCAGTATAACACAAAAGCATGGTATGTCCAATATGAAAAAGAATGGAAAGAAAAACTTCAAACTCCAAAATAAACCAGAATAATGAAATACACAAGTGATAAGATCTGCTAACAAATCACTGGAAAAAGACTTACGTTCAAGTAAACCGGCGAAGCATCCTTTTCTCCGTTCTCCACTCTTTTTTTATAATCCAAGTACTATTAAAAATGATATCAATCAGTCGCAGTTTTGTAATCAACAGAGTATTCCGCAAGAAGAAGACAAAACAGGCTACTATGATTCTTACAGAGTAGGAATATATTCTCTAAATAGACATCATCCCTAATAACACGTGCCATGCAGAAGCGCACCTCCATCTCATTGGCTGCCATCTCGCTGGAAATGGTCAGGGACAACATGTTTTCGGAAAACTGGGTATAGCGCACGTGGCCGCTCGCGCCACACACCAGCTTTTCTTCCAATTGGAATCTGAAAACTTGTGAGGGGTCCAGTTGTCCGCGGCTCGTCTCTTTGCGGTGAATGTACTCCATAAGATATTGATAAAATTCTAGAAGACAGCACGTTATGATGGCGCACGCACTCGCGTTGGTTCATGGCAACCCGAAGCGTCCTGCTGCCGACCAGTGGCAAATTCAGGATGGCCTTTACCTACCAGCGCTTTGAACATGGACGGTCTAATCCCTTTTGTATAAGAAAAGTACACTTTTAGTCAGTAAACATTGATTATACGCAAATGTCGTAAAGAGATCTTTCAAAGGTACCTCGAAGAATTTTGTTTTGGGTCTCAGTCGAATATTCTCCGGAGCAAAGTCCAAAGGCAAGTTTGGACATTTGTAGAGAAAAATTATTTACAGGATCGGCCAGTATATTCTCCTTGACACACTCGTAGTAGCCATCATAATACTTTGCAATAAATTCTACACATAAAATTTAAGAATAAGACGGCTTCGAAAGTTTCAAACCAGGATAGAGCCAATGTAAAGCACAGTTATAAAACGCAACGACTCTGTAGGTAAAATTATATAACGAGAGCCATATGCCTTTTAAAGAAAAAATGAGTTGCAGGACGGAGGCCATGTAACATGTGTTTCCGAGGTTGATGATTCCTGTGAAACCAGGCCCATAACACTTTTCTAGTTCGTAATCCTTTTCGGTTATGAGGTCCCTGAACAGAATAAAAATAAAAAGTTTAAAGGTCGATCCCTAACAAGCTGAGAGCCTCAAAAGGGCAAACTTTATTAGTGTTCAATAGGTTAAGCATCTGCCTATTAGGATGCAGCATTACTCACGCTGTAGTCCTTCGAGTCACGGTAGAGATGTAAGTTTTTTAATTAGCTAAACTTGCAATAATAGTTTAATACACAGCAGCAGTTTGCCACCAGCCCCCGTGTTGATAGTTAAAGATTACAGTTAACGCAGCGTGTGTGAGTAAAGCCGAACCACCCCACAGAGAGTGCGGCACTTCCTAATATGTGAGGAGTACAAAATTTCAACAAAAACTACATAATACGTGGCATGGCCTTATGTGTGGAGGGTAAGACAAATTGGTAACACTTAATACAGTTTATTGTAACAAGTAAACTTTTTCATAAAAAAGAAGAGTAATAGTAGATATCATGAACCACTCATGTTTCCAATTCACATCGATGTCGTACTCCGCCATTGTCTTCTCGGTTTTTTGTAGAATCTGGCCGTAATTTCTATATAGTAACTTCTAATAAAACAACATTAACTACTACATGCATGTCTATCCCAAAGTGGGATAGATGCTTCTCGAGGAAGGGATCCTTCACCATCTCGTCCTTTAGCAAATTATATCAATAGTAATAACGAGAGCTAATATAAAAAGAACTTCGGGGTAGGAATAGACGTCGGCTCCTTGAGAAGAAATAGTGCCCAGTTTCACGCAAAGAGGATACTTCTGCGCTAAGAGAGCATAAGCATGATTACTGGACAAGCGAGAAACATATGACTGTTAGCTGGTAGTGCAGAAGAGCGTGCGAGTTCCCCACGATGCCCGGTTGCTTCCGGCCGCAGAGAATCGAGCCATCCTAAAAGAAGTCAACTGGTTAAAAGTCGAACGACAGGAAGTCCACAGGACCACGTGAGAAAAAAGCAGTCTTAAATTTTAAACCGCTGTACCTATATTTTCTGCTGTAGTTTAACTAAAACTTATCGTGAAACAAAGCCAAACTTAGACTTCGCAATAAAGTATTAAGTCAGGTTAAGCATATATAACATAATATGAGCTTACTGTCAAGTTCAGCCAAAGATTTCGCTTTAATGTACATTTCTGACACTGATGGCCAGTCGGAGGAATCTAATATGAGTATCTCCGTAAATTAACGTAAAGTATCGTTGGAAGCTTTAATAAGAAAAGTTGTGCTAAAGGCCCAAATCATATGCAACTAAAAAAGAGCAAAAATACTTTTAGCAAGGAGAATTTTCTTTAGAGCCAAGCTTTATTGTAAGAAAATATATACTCTTCGAAGAGGAGTGAATACCTTTACGCCATTATCAAGCTGAACTAAGCTTTTGGCGTAAGTAGATTCTTTAAGTGTTTCCTGCCACTCTGCAACTTTTTCTCTGCTAAAGCCAGACTCACTCCGTATGATCGAGTTTACTATAAGTAAAAAAATTAGAATAGAATCCCTCCTTCTTACACAATGACATTCTTTTCACTGTAAAAGATAAAAAGATCGTAATAGTTAACACATTTACACCTTCAAGTTCAGCCCTTCGAAGATCAAAAAGAAATCAAAACAAAAATTAAAAAAAGTATTTCCCATAAAAACAGTACACCCATTGTATAGTCTGAGATCCATTCTATAATGAGTTTATTCTAATTAACTTAATTAAATTCAGATGTTCAGTTACTACTTTTATAAAGTTACTCAGGCTTTAATTAAATTGTTATAAGATAGTATTAAAAAGTGCATTAATTCGTCTTAACATAAGAAAAATATTTTAACGCAAAGGTGGTAAATCAATGGACTAACTAACTCAGTGATTCAAAATGTTAAAAAATATTAAAGTGACCTGAGCGCTCAACAAAGGAAGGAAGATTAGAGTTGTTCTCAATAAGGATTTCCTCTGCAGAATTATAAAGGTAGAGAGAGTAAACATCTTTGTATAAGCTGCGTTCTTCGACGTTGAATCCTCCTTTTATAATTCTTAACGTCTTATTAAAGTTGGTAGCACTAATAATGATACCAGGAACACCAATTCCAAGCACAGAAGGCTTCGCTTCTAGATTTGTTTGAGTATCATTTAACCGCGGATCAAGTCTTTATTTTAAATAACTTTAGAATATAACAAAAGGCCTTTTATATTCGATTTGCAACAACTTTTTCGTAATATGCAGATAAACATTCTGGCCAGTCAAGAGGTGGTGAAGGTCTAGGAAACGACGGCTCACGCAGACAAAGGAATTCGTGCAAATATACAGACCATCTGGGTTGTAGGCATTATCAAAGCTTGCAACGCACTAATTAGATAACGAGAAGTATTAAAAATAAAAAAAAATTACATATTGTATGACCTCCTCTTTATGGATGATAGCTCCTTCACAAACGATGTTAAAGTCATTAAGAAAGGTAGAAAAGAGAGCAAGGTAGCGTTGGTGAGGACTTAAAACGGAATGTTCTTCATTAACGTAGGTTTCCCCACTTAAATTTGAATGCTGACGGTTATTTAAGTGATCAATATCATCTTGACTGTTAAGGATCCACTCTTAGTTGTATGTAATAAACACGCTAACTTCGCAAATTAAGAAATAATACATAAATAAAAATAGTTCACTAAAGTCAGAGTGTAAAACTTATAAATAAGTACCAGCAGCTTGGACTACATTATTAAACTTGGTAAGGGCATTCTTGACAGTTTCCTCTGGAAAGCCCATGTTTAACAGCTGCGTTACGGACTCTGGGTCTACCTCGTCCATATTAGCAATTATGAAAAAAGAAGGAGGTCGAGGTAAAAACTTAAAATCTAACTAGGGCTTTATACATATGTAACGAGGGCCTGGAACCGTGACCATACTCTGAGCCCCAATAAGAAATGTACGTATACTTCGGTGGAAGCGCAACTTCAATCTCATCCAACTGAAAAGTCATTATTAATGGTAGTTGGCCACGACTACCATATATTAAGCACCTTCCCCTAAACATCCCAATAGAAATTATACGCGACTATCCCTGATGAAAAGCTAGAAGTTTTCCATGATAGAGCACTAAAAAAGCCCCTTACAAATAAATATATACAATATTATACGTAATTATATTTGTAGGCAAGGTTCAAGAGCTAGAAAAATTACCTGTAATACCACTAAATCTCTGTTTTAATATAGTTTCAGTACCTATAATATTAGTATATACACAGATATGCTTTTTAGATAGCACGAAGATAGCCTTTACTTAGAGAAGGGGAGCACTCCCCCCGCCCCCACCCCCCAGCGCCCGAAATACCTCCTTCCGCGGCTGCAGCTCCACTTAAAATGATAACCTCCCGCGGCTGGTTCTCTGCCAAAAATTGAAGTGGAATCTTTCTGTGAAACTCCTGCAAACCGACGACCCAATATTCCAAAGTTTAGGGACGCATGTCAAGAAATATTTTCAGCAACAGCAGACGAGTTTCGAACCAACACTTTGCCATGCCTGAGGAAGCGCTACCTTATTTTTTCTACCAACTACTAGAAGACAAGTCTTTGAACTTTGTTCTTCGCGGAATGTCATGCGATCTCAACGTCCAAACCATCGAAGGGAGACTTAGGCATGTAAGGCATCTCAACTCCTCGCCGGGCAGGGATGCACACTGAAAACACTGTCAATGGGAAAGCACGAAGCAACTTTTACTAATGCTGTTAATTAATATACCGAGGTGTGATCAGCAAAAGTTGTTGGAATTAAAGACGGGTTTTCCACCTTTAGGTTGGAGTGGAAAAGCTTTGAAAAAGCAATATTTTTCTCCTATAAACCTACAGTGGTTCCCCTAAATTACAAAATTCCATTCAAACATAGAGCAAAGACACAAGTTCTAAAACTTAACATTTATGTACTAAAATGAAACCTTTAATGCAAAATTTAATCATATCACTGCAATATTTCCTAGAGTTAAAGATGACATAGAGGAAAACTTCTTAGTTGTCTTAAAAAACAATAATAAGAATGTTAAAAACAAGCAACTTAACGGGAACGCGAACAGCAGTTGTTGAGGAACTAAGACGATAAAGGCGGCATATATGTAAGGGACGCCTTGATAGCTGCTTTAAAACCCCACTTTCCTGGAGATTTCCTCCTAAATGCTTAGTGATCGTAGCTTATAAACATTTTGTAATAGGACCAGACGCATAACGCACCAATCAAAGTTATTTTACAATATTTATGTAAAACTACACGTGTTATAGTCCTTTAAGGAGATTTACTTTGGACCTAATTTGGCACCTGCAAGAACTTACATCGCTAGGGGGAGGTTTTTAGATTTTTTACGAAGTCAGCCTTACATTCGTTCTTGACTATTCTGCTTTAACTCCCAGTGGTTCTCTATTTGCCCTTAAAATATAATTTTACTAATATTTTTTCTTTTTCTATTTTTTTTTGAGTTTCTTTATTCATTATAATTATTCGTGAGTTTCTAAGTTTTTATTAAACTAATTTCGGTTAGTTCTGCGTGTTGAGGGAAAGATCCTAGGTCATAAGTTTTAAAGCATATTACCATTTTAGGCAATTTTTATAATGAGTATTTAGACTATTTTCGTTGCTTGGTTGTTAGATATAACGAAGGTTCACGAAAAATAAACCGGCAGTCGTATTAATTTTTTTTTTCAGTGCTTTTTTGGTTTTAGTCACATCTGTACGTCTCTCTCTCTCTCTCTCTATATATATATATATATTTGTTTACAATTAATCTTAAAGCGTTTAAAGGTTTAGATACCGGTTAGTAAAGGTTCAGCAATTAAAGATTTAAATACCAGCCTGTAAAGGTTTAAATACCCTTACACTGCGCTTTTTGGATAAATAGAGCGTTACGATCTTTACTTGGGTTATAACAATACGTGATGCCGTTTTCCTTACTAACCAAATTTCTGTGAGTGACAAGTACTTACACCTATTCAGAGTTATGGACTAAGATCTGAGATATAAGAATATATTTGCTTTTTTGTTGCTTATCTTACTTTTGACTTAGGTTACAAAGGAAAATTTTAAGGTGGAGTAAATGGCGTTCCTCTCTACGTCAAAATTTTACTAGTGAGGGATACACTCTCCCGAATTATAGATATTTCAACAAAAATATCTGTTTTAGAGCTGCAGATTGCCAGGAGTTGACATTTTAGGTCAAAATGAAAAGAGTAATTATCGAAAGCAACCTAACAAACTTATCTACATCAAACTTATTAACGGTAAAAGAGAGCCTTAACATTATCACCCCTCTTTCAACTAAAATTACGCCATTTAAAAATTTCAGTTTTAGCTTAAAAGACCGAAAAAACTCCGCCCCCATTTGATTGTTACTAAATCAACTTCAACCGTTTAATCTCTAACTTAAATAAAATATTAATTAATAAAAAAGTGCATTCCAACTAAGAGAAAGAAAGAAGCTTTTTAAATTGTCAAAACCAAAATAGAGCTTTTCTAGCTTAATGTTTAAAACTTTCAGCCATAAAACGAAATTGACTACAGGAATGGTCAACATTACAGTCTTGTGAGTATTCCATAGAAAAACATCGCTGATAGCGCGACGAATGATACATTATATGTGATTCTCTTCCTGAATTTTACAGAACAATAACAGTGATCATATATTAATTGCAGAGAAGGCCTTGAACTGTTTTGTTCATACTCTTTTTCAAGTTAAGATAAGTAATAAACAATATATATAATGGTATTGTTGTCGGTTGTTACTGTGATATATCTTGGGGCCGACGATTATAACTATCGTACCGCAAAAGTGTATAACACAGTTTAGAATGGAAATCTTGCTTTTTAGAAGATAAAATTGATAGGCGAAGTACACAAACCTCTAATTATGCTGAAGTCATAACTTTTAGCACTGTTACACAAGTACTATATTCATAAAAAACTTACAAAGGAAATTAATTCCCCACTCATCGATTAAATGAGTACAGGTAAAAAAAATTAAAGTTGTAGCTAAAAAATATTGCAAAGGACTTATGTCACAAAAGAGGATACGTCAAACTGATTGCACATCGCTTGGTAAAACATACTTAACTGAAAAAGCTGATTTTGCTTGTATTGATTCGGAGAGAAAGATTGCTGATATTTTACCTGAACCACTTTCTAGGTATAACACGAAAAATGGACATTCAAATTTTTTTATTAAACTGAGAAATTTGTAAAATACAGGATGTAATAAGAAAAGTACAACAAATTAATCTATTACAAATCAATATTATTCTAAGTGAACTAATATATAAAACTAAAATAAGAATATTTGGCAATTAGTTTAACTTTAGCTTTCAAATAGTTATAGTTATTATTGATTTATTCTATTTGTAGAATATGGAAAATAACAAATACTATTGTTAGACAGTTTAAATACATATTAGCTAAACGGCTTCAAAATAAAATTAAGAAAGACCACGCGAGCAAGAGGAAGAGGTAAAAACGACAATGAGTAAAGTTTCTTGAGCCTCATGAGAAAGATATGTAGTAGTAGTGCGACTGATTAATCATCAAAGTGAATATAATATGGTAGAAGTTATTGTTCTAGGGTAGTTATTATCTAACGATAAATTAAACCGTTCTCCTTTATATCTTGCTCTTTTTTGATTCTTGTTTTTTTTTATCTTAGTAAAATCTGAGCTCGATATTTCCCACAGGTCTTGAGGCATATAGTTAAGCCTACATGCATAAACTCTCCTGGAGGAATAATATAAAAAGAGGTAATAACCCTTTTCCGGCTTTGTTTGTATTAATACTTTATTTGCCTCGAATATGCCAACTGTGTAAGGAAGACAATAGTAAAGCCCTTGAAAAACAGCTGGCTACTTTTTCAAAGATATAAATAAAGTTTGCTAAAAAGTCAATGTAGATTTTGCATATAAATGATCTCTTCCTATTTTACAGCTATTGTTATAGACTTCTAGGGTCTTCTTATAGCTGTCTTTTTGTTAATCCGTTAGCCCTTTTTGTTATTAAAAAATATTAATGCATTTAGACCAATCAGAAAAAAGAGATTTCTGACTGACTTACGGTTAATCTGTGAGGAAGGCTAGGTTTATTAAAAAATGATCTAGTTTTCTAATGTAGCAGAGTTATTAAAATATACAGGAAGAATAAAAAAAAGTTGTATACATAAGAATATGGTATATTTAGCAATTTCACCGTATACAACAACTAGGTCAGCGCAAATAACATATTTATAGAGTATATAAATATGCATGGCACGCAAGTTATATGTAGATGAACTTCTCAACCTCTTTTATTAAAGCTACAAAAAAAGTAAATGAGTCAAAAAAGATGAAAATTTAAAATAAAGTTAGCAAGTCCCAAAAATAGGGTATATAGCCTACTACTGCTTACAGAGGTCCTCTTATGGAATAATATACCGTGACATTATAGCGGCAAGCTAAAAAAACGTGTCAATTGACAAAGGAAGAGAACCTTTTTACAGTACAATCTGTTTGTTGTTGTTATATTTAATCACCAGGCTTGGCACCTAGCTAAGTCTCGTTAAACTAACCCTTCTGCGTAAGTAAAAGCCTACTGGCATCATTAACGGAAAAGCTCTAAAAATATATTTTCTCGTATTATATATATATATATATATAAACTGTAGCCTTCTACTAACAAAGCTTAAGCTTTTAGAATTTGTTTTCATTGTTGGCACCATTTATTGTTTATTCTCGCCTTATATTAGCATACATAACGGTTCCTGAACAGAAAAAGCTGTAAAACCGTAATCTCCAATAAGCGTTGGTAGCTTAGTATTAAAGTTTTACAGTTTACAAGCTAAAAGATTTTAAGCTGTTTAAAGAAAGGAGAAGCATTAATAAGGATAAGTGGCAAATGAGGTAGTTATAACAATAATTGTGACATTTATTTCCTAAATCGATGTTAGCGCTTTTGTTAAATACTAATATATGGTTCAGTTAGGCAAACTTTCTGTCTGCAAGTGGAAGCACAACAAATAAGCGCCGACGTTAATGAATCTATTTTCAGGGCTCTATGTGGTGTTAAACGAATATTTAAAATCGCATGAACTTAAATGTGAATAATGTGGACGAAATCTCATAATTATAGTACATTGAATAAGAGGAACCAATTTATTAGAAGCTGTATAAAACTATAAGAATTATAAAAAGCTTTTTATGAACAATTTAATACAGTTAAGAAGGGAGTATTGATTCTTGAGGAGGAATTGATGAAGTTTAAATACAATACCATCAAATCCCGAAGAAGAGATCACGTAGGTGGAGCTCTACGAATTCACAACCTTGAGTTTATACTTGCTCTTAACCGCTGAGCTACGACGTCAACTCTCCGCCCCGGGGTGGCTTACCTTGTATAACCTGTTACATTGTTCTGGAACAGAGCATTAAAAATAGACCGCAGAGGACAAGAGGGTGAGCAAACACGTTAACGAAGCACTGAAAATTTTTTTCATTAAAAAAAAATTAATTCGGAGGATGCGAAGAAAACAATTGATTTAAAGTCCAAGCTCTATTGCCTATTATAAGTTAAAACGCAGAAAAAGTTGAATTTTTTTTTTATGAAAGTAACAAAAGAGCAGAAGTCCTGCATGAGTTTACAGATAAACGGCAAACAGCACACATGTTTTTCGGGAACTCAAAACTATATTCAAAAAAGGAAAAAGTTACTATGATATCACAGTTGATGGACCGAAAGAGTCAGTAATGTTATATCATGAAGAAAGACAAGGTCATATAAAAGAATATGTTTTTAACTAGTGTAAACCCTACTCTGTGTGTTTTATTTTTACGACAAATTGACGGTAATTGGTTTTATATTGGCAGCATAACTGTACCTCTAATTGCGCTAAAAAATGCATTATAGAGCGTGGAAATCTGAATCTATTAAATCTAAGCAGAGCGCGACAAGTGCCGGGTATGGAATAGTACTTAAAAAATACAAATTTATTTTACTTAAAGTAATTAGTAAATAAAGTACAAACCACCAATAAAAATCTCAAAGTTTACCTTTTGATGAGCACACAGCGGACATCTGCTAAATATTCCTTTTTGATAGGTATGTAGCTACGACTCCTTGCTTTGCAAAAGGTTATCATAGTGCGCACGCAGTAACACAATGCTGATTTTAGATTGTCCCATCAAGAGGAGATTTGAGACTACCTTACGATACAATACCACATCACTTTTGAGCAGATATCTACGACGAGGGCTATAAGTGATTGGTGACTTTTATTATTAAAAAAATCTTTAAAAAAAGCAAAATAGAAAGAAGTCAATAATATAAGTTATCTTGGTTACCAACTTACCTATTAGTCAGCTAAACGATTGCAGAGGTAAAAGTTTAACACATAAGAGCTGTACTTAGAATTTAAAAAATTTCAAATCTCCATATTTACATATAATTTACCAATTATTAAGGTTAGCGTTCGAAGGTTCAGGTAGACATTGGGTTCCATCTTGTTAACAACAACCAAGCCTATTTTCGCATTAAATTTTTTTTTCACAAGGCGTCATAGTTGACGCAGTTACTTGAAACTTAAATAATTATAAAATCTGGAAATCATATAATATAGTACAACATTTTATTTATTAGAAAATTGGTTTTTATAGCTTTAATACACAAAAATGATAAGGACTTATGGAACTTGTACCACTTTTTAGCATTTTTCTAACTCTAGTATTAGTTTATAACGGTTAGAGCTGTTACAAGTAACTAAAAGGTAAATTAGAACACCTTTTGAGCATCTTATTACTTTCTCAACTATATCTTTGACAGTTTATCATACGTTTTTCGCTTAATTTTAAAAAAAAAGGTATTAAAAAATAATTAAATTAAGTTGTTATCAACTAACGCTGAAATATTATGTTGCACGAAATGTTATTATTCACCAGGTCAACAAAACATCAGTATTAATTGATTTACACACTTATATAAAAATTAATATATGGCATTGGTTTGTCACAAAGTTTAGTTAGCTATAAAGGAGTTACTAAAAATACCTTGACGGGGTTGTAAGGTAACCATTACAAAAATAAAATTACAGTGGACAGGTAAAATTTAGTTACCACGAACAAATCCAGACCGGTCGACAGTAGAGTACTAGCTACCCTGTTGACGTAGTATTTTATAAATATCTTTTTGTTAAATTTGTTAGGTCATAAAATTACGAATATATTTACTATTTTTAAGTTTACTAACAAGAAACTATAATTTTTTTATATCTAGTACTTAGTAAAATTAATTTTTACTAAAAAGACTGGAAAGTTAGAATGGTTGATACTCTTACATAACGAGTCCCTCTCCCCCGCCCCTTCTTCTCTATGCATTCAGTCCCGTCCTGCCCTCTCCCCTAACCATTGTTTTTATGGTGATTTTTATATGTTCAATTTTAGTTTTTTAAGTTTTTTTTTGTAGCCATTATTTTTTTTATTCAAATTTAATTGTAAAGTAAACTAATATAAATCAGAAGTTGGACGACATGCTTCTTTAATGTATTCCACTTCTTCATATAATTATAGACTTTACCAGGATACTCCAATTAAAGAAAAGTTTTTTTTATTTATTTCATATTCTATTTATAAATTATAAAACTTATACTTAATTATTAAGATTTCACTTAACTTTACCAAATTCTCTTCTCATGTAATTTAAAGGAATAGTAATTTTTTACCGAATGCTTACGAACCGAGTTTTGAATCAAGAACAGAAAATAACGCAGCTAATATTTTGACGGATGGAGTATTCTCTCATGTTACTACTACCCTGAAAGTGGCGTTATTCTTATATTTCTTTATAACTACGGGGATTTTATTTATCTTGTACGACTCGACATTTGCTTTACAGATTTTGCATTCTTATAGCCATTTCGGTGTTATTTTGACACAAACAGAAAGAAGGTTATGAACTTGGACAGTTTAGAGGAAAAGGGACTTCTGGAAAGGTTTTTGAAGCATGGTCTAACAAAGTGAATTCCTTGGTGGCCGTCAAGATGGTCTACAATATATTTTTTATAGTTTTATTTTCTTTACTTAAAAAATTCTTATTACAATAATATAAGCTTGACAAAAAAAAACTGAGTCGTCAAACGGAGAGGCGAATAAGAGACGAAGCTTTAATACATACTCGTTTAGAGCATCCCACCATCTTAAAAGTTTTTGAATCGTTTGAGGTAACGTAAATTATAAGCTTAGCACTTACTATAAATAAAGATACTAATACACATTTTTTTTCTGTATAATATTATATAAGAAATTAATTATATTCCTTATACTGTAAAATTTAGTCTTGATTTATGCTTAATCTTTACCTTTTTAAAAAAAATAGAGTTATTTATCTCTTGTCTTTTATTTTTTGTTGATTTATATTTATGCATTATTAGTTTAGTGTGTTTCTATAATACTATTATGGTAAGTTTGTTAATCTTCCATTTAGTAATTTTTTTTTTTGTTTTATTGATTATAATTTTTGATTTCGTTTGTTGATGGAAAAAATTGTGGAGCTGTATAGACTACTTTCTTTTAATTATAATTATTAAATTTGGGTATTCTTTCTTTATTCGATGCGGTGACTTCTGTCGTGCTTTATTTTTTAATAAAATTGATTTATGATTTAAATTAATTACTTCTAGATTTGTATTCTAATTTTAATATCTGGAACAGGATCGATATTACGTTTATCTAATACTTGAACTTTGTGAAATGGAACTTGAAAAACTAGTCAGAGAGAGGAATGGTTCTTAGCTTTTACCTTTATAATAGAATCTGTTAAATTTTTAACAAATTATTTTAAGTCTGGAGATCTTTTTTAATTGTTTTTGAAAACCTTTTAAATAATTTTTTCACTGTTCTTTAAAATTTAAATTTCTACTCACTTTATTTTTTATTTCATTTACTTTTTTCTATATATATAATTTTATATGGATTTTACGTTTTTGAATGTTCTTCTAAACTTTGATTACCCTTTAACTCTCTAAATACATTTTGAATTAAATGATTTACACAAGTTAGTTTTGATTTTTATTATTAATTTCGGTATATTTAATAGCTGAAGTAACAAGGAAAACTTTAATATTGCCAATTTTTTCCCCTTATGCCTTAATATTTGTTATAAGTCTAACTTTTTGGTGAACTTTATTGGTTAATATATCCTTAAATTTCTTTAAGGTTCAGTAATTTTATTCTAATTTTCATTTAGGTTTGTCTATATTAGAGAGTCAAAGAATCTTTTCTGAGATTGTTAGCGGACTGCATTATTTGCACCACCACAAGATTGCCCATCGCGACTTAAAAATGGCAAATATACTTTTGACTAAAAAGATGCACGTGGTATTGTTTTTAAAGAAAAATTTTAACTTTTTGAACGTAATTTTTAATTTTATTAATTTTTAAAATTTTTATTTTTACCTTTTTTTTAAAACTGCGTCTTAAAATTTTTATTATCACTATTAAAAAACTTTTAAAAATTTGTAGCATTTAAAAATTTAAATTGCTAATTATTTTAAAAAAATATGAACAATATTTTTGAATACTTAGCGAGGTGTTCACAGTTTATTTGGGATTCGTTAAAGAAATTTATATATAAGGAAATGAATGTGACGTTTACTTTCCTCTTTTTTTTACCTTGAAATTTTTTTGCTTAATCTTTTTTAAGTTTTACTACTTATAGTTTATAGTTTACTGCTATCTTTATTAGTAATCTTTGTGAATATACCTTTTCATTAAGTTAGTAATAAACTTTTTTTCTCTTTTTCCGTTAAAAGAATGAAATCTGATTTTATATTTATTTTTTATTTTTCAATTTACTAGTTTGGTAAGTTTTACTTTCTTGTGCTATAAAAAAAGTTTTCTATTAACACTTCTGTGAAGCTTTGTTTCTTTTTAATTCGTGTTTTTTACTTAGAAGATTGCAGATTTTGGGCTGGCCACGTGGGAGAGACCTTCCGTTCACGGCCGGAGCACGTGTGGGACTGTATGCGGGACTCCCCGCTACATCGCACCGTTCGTTTGTCTTTTCAGTATTTTTTAAAACTTTTCTATTTGAATTACTTCGACCCTTGCAAGTTTGGCAATCTATTTGGCCCCAATAGTTAATAAATTGTAGCTTCTACAGAAATGCGTCCAAATTTAATTGTGGTTATGGATTTAGTAAACTGTTGCCAATACTTCGTCTAAATGGCACCGTTAAACTATTTTGTCTCGTAGTAATACAAGAAAAAAGTTTATAAATTGAATGTTCAGCCGAGCCACAAGCAAATTCTAAATACTATATTATAAATCTCCATAACTCCAGCGCCTGTTTTATCTCAAACTACTACACCGAGTGATGTGTTGAGTTTTCTTTTGCTTATCTTCAGGGAAGTCGTACGAGGAGGGCCGTACCAGCCGCTCCCGGTCGATATCTGGTCTTTGGGATGCATCCTCTCTGCTATGCTCACCGGCACCTCCTTGTTTCACGTTCATTTTTTACTGACTTTTATTTAGAAAAAGAGATGCAGCCAAAAAAGTTTTCGTTTATACCTTTTTGACTTTTTACTTTTTAGACGCAGCCATTGGATAATAACGTGGCTTTGCCACGCGACCTTCCTTCGAGCGCCCGAGACCTTCTCCGGCTGCTCCTGCAAACTGTTAACCCCTCGTCACACTTTTCGCCCTTCTTTTTTATTTTTTTAATATGAGGATCCCGCCAAGCGCCCTTCGACTTCTCAAATTCTAAATCACGCATTTTTAAGAAACCAAGCACTATTAAAATATATAAAGCCGCTTTGTGTGGCCCGCCTGCGACCTATTACGAAGAGAGTATCCAATCGCATACTAAGTATCGGCCCTTTGGGGCCTAATGAGAGCGGTATGCGAATTTTTTTGGGTACAACTACGCGTGTGCTCCACATCTAACATTAGTGGTCAGAATTGAGTTTCTAAGTAGTGATTCGCTTGTTTGCGGTTCCTTTCAAGTTTCTGAGGACGGAATGGAAGTTTGCATGATTATTATCAGCTTATTACCGTTTCTAACGTTTACTTCGTAAGGTTACTGTTCAGAAAAAAGCGTGCGACGTGTATCGGCTTGAAAGTCTTCCTGAAAAGTATCACAAGCTTTACGAATATGCCCGCAGCTTTGTTGAGCTTGTACGCTCTAAGACTCCAAAGGTATCCTCTTTTTAACGTTGCTCCTCCACTTTTTCTTTTTTTAAAATAAATAAATACAGGTCACTTTTTACACCGACAAGGCGCGATGCATGTTGATGGAAACGTTGGCCCACTTTGAGTGCAAGTTCTACGAGAGTGACTTCAAATTCTCGTTGGACTGGCGGGAAGAGCCGGGCGCTTTCTTCGTGAAAGTCGTTAATCGAACAGGAATCACGTGCTTTCAGGGAGAGGTGTCTTCTGTCAGCGGCGTCCGGCTTCCGGTGGAGCTCGAGCGCCAGAAGGACATGTACCCCCACGCTCGCGAAAACTTTTTTGCAAGCCTCGAGATGGAAAAAAAACTTGTTGAACTTGAGAAAGAGAAAAACTTTCCACCGCTCTTCCCAGCAGTGTTTTCTCGCCGGAGAGAACTGTCCGTTTGGAATCATGGGGTCCAACCTCTATCCGGCAAGCAGGGCAGCCGCTTCTCTCAATTCCCTTTGGCCAACGACTTTTCGCGAAGTTATTCTACACTGCCTCCTGTTTCTTGCGTGTCTCAAAGGTTCGCACTTCCATAATAGTCTAATGACGATAAAAAAAAAACATATATTAATATATATTTGTTAACGCGACTATTCATAATAATGTTACTTATTGATAAGTTGGCTTGCGGATCACATCTTTGTGGTAACAATTTTATTGGTCAATGAAGCAGACTGCAGCAATTTAACTACTTTTTTACTGCAATAGTAGTTAATATTGTCTTAAAGAGAGCCTCTTTTAGTATCGGCTTGTTCTGTTATACTACCAAAATAAAACACGTGTCCAGTTAAAATGAAAACTAATCGACACCTATTACGTCTTGTCATTAGATTATATTCTAAGTGAACTATAAACAATTATCCACTACAAATGTGAAACAAACTAAGCAAAGCATATTTTAACATTTCTTATCTCCCATACAGTCGCGACCGTCAGCGGCGGACTTTCATTGCTGGAGTTGGTTGGGGTGAAATGTTCGGGGCCATTCTGCACTTGTTATTTTTGGACGGCCACCAGCTTACCTTTGGGTCGACTGGGAAGGAAGTGACCCACGTGGCCCCCTCCGGCGACTCTCAAACGTTTGAGTTGTTTTTAAGAAATTAAAAAGTTTAATAAGAGTTTTGATTATAGCTATCAAATCGGATTGAACTCTATAGTCCCACCGAAAGTTAAAGAAAAACTTGAATACGTATATTCAATATATCACTTAAGTTTTATTTTTTGTTTAAAGTTTATAATAAAATATTACATATATTTGTTATTATATAAAAGGTCCAACACTTTATAGAACTGCTGAAACTTGAAGAATAATATTTAACCGTTAAAAGCTTTAAGAATCGATTGATAAACGGAATGATTTGTAATCATAAACGTTTAGGTAAACTTAACTTTATTACGACTCCTGCTGCTCCTCCCCGCAACAGTACGCAATTAAATTTATTTCTGCTCTTTTATTATATTTTATACTATACCGCTTTCAATAGCAGTCCGTTGTTTCTCCTAAGTTTGGGAGCGGCGCGGTTATATATATAGTACTAGTACCTTTTGCTAGTACCTACTAGATTGAGTCTAGCTTAGTCTATGGTATCGGTACTTTCTCTACCGAGCTATGGTTCTATTAGTGTCTATGCTATGGTAGGTACTAGGTACTAGTACTATATATATAACCGCGCCGCTCCCACTAACTGCATACCACTTTAATAAGTGGATTATTGTTAAACGTACGCTAAAGAAATTAGTTAGAAACTTTTAAGAAGTTTTAAGCCATTTTCTTAGGAAAGTAAATAGTTGGCTGATTGTCGTACACTTTCCTTCTTTAAATATAATGCACTTCTACTATGCGTAACTCAGTAATAGACATTTTTGAAATGTCCTTATCTTTGGTTAAACCATTTGAGAACCAACGAGATATGTATATCTTGTTCAGCTACTTCCCTCTGTTTTGTCTTTTCGGCATTTGCGAGTTACTACCTCGCTAGGAGTGCAAGTCAAGTAGATTTTAGGCAGTCTTGATTGGAGCAGGCAGGCTAATTTATAAGCAGTTTAGTGAAGTCTTTTTATCCTCACACATAGAAACTGTAGAACGCCAATCTATCAAGTAACTCCTTTTAGTGATAGGCCCATAATCTATTAATTTTTGCTTTTAGCTACTTATAGCAACCCTTAAGAAATCTAGTTTTATTTATTCGAGTTTATATATACCTTTAAAACGAAGTAAGCAGTTGAGAGACAAAGGTTTTTAAGAACAGAATTAGAACTGACTATTAAATAAACTTTAAAACAGATTTTTTAAAGTTATTAAAATTTAAATGAGCGTCAGTAAACTGTTCCCTCTTTTACTTGCTAAATTTAATATATAAGAAATTCAAAGAAGTTCGACTTACAAATAGTTAAAAATTTTATTTTTGTTAAAAGTTTGTAATAAAACTTTTAAATACAGCTTTAAATTTGTGGGGCAAGGTTTACAAAATTTGCTATTTATTTCCAAATTCCTTTGTAGTAAATAAATTGCTTATGAATTGTGCTAACTTATTTATAGTTAACTTTAAAAATGTTAAGTTTCTCTCCAAAATGTTAACACTGAGATCGGCCCCGTAAAAGGTTGATGCTACTATCCAACCTTGCGAGTTATTGAACTACACTGTCGACCTACGACGACAACTTTTAACTTCCCCAAAACCGAGACCCAATGTATATATATATCTCTTACCCGCAAAGTCAACTTGTGTTAAGGGGCTGGAGTCGACAAATATGAAAAACTAATTAACTAGAGAGCGTTGTGTTAAAAACGTAATAAATCCTTTAAACCATAAAATAGAGTCGCGTTGACAGAGGTGGAACCTACCGAGCTAGGGTTTACGATTCAATTCTCTTAACTGCTGAGCTACGAAACAACTTTTAATCCCCAGTATAAGAATTTATGTATCTTACCCATTAACTTTTAAAACTCAGCACTACGGTAATCTTTCGAAGACACCGCTACCTACTTTTGACATGAACGAATATATGCCCCATCAACCGTTCTCAGCAATTGGGAAATTTTTCGAAGCTGCGCCGGACTTAAAAAAGAGCGATAGGGAGAAAAATGCCAATTTGGAATTAGGTGTGATCACTCAACACAATACTACATTTTCATGAATGACCATTTCGCGGCCTTAATTTTGAAAAGTCACCTCCACTGCGTTTAACTCGGAGACCTTCTGCTCAAACTGCCTATGCTGAGTGTCTTACGAGGTCCTTTTTAACATTTCATGGTCATTCCTTTATAATCGTACTTTTCGCATTCGTAGTGACAGTGCGCTGCCACAAGAAAGTCCACTTGCTGTAGAGGGTCCCACAGAGATCTCTGCTGCCCCCCTCTTTTGTTCGCGTAATATATACACGACATCCCAGTCCCTGCGAGTTAATACGGGCGCATCCCACTTGGTACAGCAGTCTACGCGTCGTCGAAAAGCCCAAGTTGATACCGTAAACAATAGTAATGCCCATATGGGACGTAAAAATAAACGCGGTGAAGAGAAAAGCACTTAATCTAAAGAAGCAATTGGCTCTGCCTTTGCTGCCCTCTCTCGAAGGCGCTGAGATCCCATTGAAAACCTCAGGAAAGAATTTGAAGATCGTTTTCAGTAATAGCGACGACACGGCGCACGCGATGCGGTAAAAGTTGAAGTCTTAGCACTGGCGCTTTACCGCTAATGTGCGCGAAGAGTATGATCATTCTGTTTAAGGATTTACGCTTATAAGTGATGTTGTAAGGCCAGTCACGGATACGCTTGAACTGCTTGGGCTTCGTTGCGGCCTCAACTCTGGCAGCAACTACTGAAGCCAATGACAAATCCGCCGTACTATTAACGTAATGAGACTCTTCTTGAAAACCTGGATATTCGTAACTCGAAGAGTTTTTTCGGAACTTAGTTATCGCCTTACGAGTCCGAGTAGTGATGCTTTCGAACCGTCACTCACAGGAACTTTCCTGCATGCCCCTGAATAAGCGCACGTTATCGCCGTCTCCGCGAATTGCTTAAGCGCTTTGTTTCTTTTTATAATTCTCTTTCTTATTCTTATCCCTTTTTTTCCTGAGAAATAAACTCCAAACTAAGTAACGTTGCGCCCTTGAATTTAAAAGTTAATCTGCCTTATTAATATAATTTTTATTATTGCCCAGCGGTAGCGTTCATATTTTTTCTTTCTGCAATTTACCTGTAGTTTATATATATAAATTTATAACCAGTTGATTATTAAGGTTTAAAGGTTCAAATGCCCTAACATCACTTTTCTGTATAAGATGCTATAAGTATCAATTGAATTGTAATAAATCTATTACTTACACATACCTAATACCAAACGATTATGCCTATGTGGTGGTGCGAAAATAATTAAAATTTTATAAAATCAACAACTTGGTAAATTAAGAAAAAATAGCTCATAAGCAATTTTAAACTCAAGTCATTAACGATTGTTCCACTACAACTAGGTGGCAACTGGCATCGACAGCTCCCTGCGGTCAAAAGAGTCTTCGCCTCCCACCACATCGTCGCCGGCTTAACGTGTGTATTAATTTAAATTCCTCAGAAGTTGGGAACATAATATTAAGATGTCCATTGGCAGCAAGTCAAAAACTGAGAATATTTTTTATACGGTTAGCCATCAATAATTGCAAAAGAAGACGACAAGCAGGCCCTGTGAGATAGTACTAGAATGAAAGCTTATTTTTTTGTAGACAACTTCTGCCCTAACTAATCTGGATGCTAATATAGTCCGAAAGATTAGCTAACCCTCTAAAAATTTCTTCTTACAAAAAAAATTGATAGTATGTAGGAAAAATATATTAGCGCAGGGCGGTGGATATTTGTAAATTATTTCAGATTTTGGGTTTAGCGATAAGACATTATCATTTGAAATAGTAAATGAAAGAGTGAATTAAGCAGGTTATTTTGTTATATAATAAGTGCTAAACTACTCAATTTTTATGACTTTTAAAAACCTCGCTAGATAATATTTTTTCAAGGTATACCATGGTGTTGTGCCCACATCAGTTTACACCTGTTTTAGTAGTAGCGCGAGCTTAACAACTAATTTTACTTCGCTACTTGCATAGTTAAGTACTTTGTATCAAAGCTAGTCTAAAAATTCGATTTTAGAGGGCCATTACGCCGTTCAAATCCTAATTTGATCGAAATGTTGGAAACAACGAATTGGTCAGCATCTGTAATCAATGCAAATATAGTTTTAAGGCTCACCTGAGCTACGTTGCAGCAGATATGGTAACATGCGACGAGTAAAGGTTTTTCCTTAAACTTCTAAACTCTGTTATTCCGATCATTAGATTTTTACTGTTATTGTAAAAAAAACATTGAATTAATTGGTAATATATGAACATACTTGAAAAAGTTTTCAGTTGAGCTGTTAAAATGGCAAATTTTATTGAATGCTAATATAAATAACTTCCTAATGATAAATAAGCAAAAATTATTAGTTATTATTTTCCTAGCTTCCAACTACAGGAAGCAGCCCTCTACTATACCACAATTATTTTCTAAATTCTCAGTCGCATTTATGCTTACTTTGAATTGAAACTTGTAGCATATATGATGGAGTTTGTCTACCCCTTATTGTCAAATACCGGAAGTAATATGGGCCTTCTTCTCATTGGACACCCAGTACTTATCTCCGCCTTAGTTTAGTTCGTTTAAGACGCCGAGAGACCCAGTAGCCATTAGGGCACAGAAAACTTTTAAGTAGAAAAAGCGCTCTACTTAGAGCAGCAAGTACTGAATTTTGGTATATAAACATTTTCTGTGTATAAATTGGCTTGCAGTGCGGTGTTCTTAGGAAGTTCTTTTATGAATTTAAAACGCTTTCTTGACAATGTCCCTTTATGGCATTATTTTTTGCAAATCATCCACACTATGGTTTTTTTCGTTCATTGTTTTATTGATTTAACGACTTAGTTATAAAAAGGACTAAAAGAATATTTTTACTCGAAAATGATAAAATAACACAATTTACTGCGAATCCTTCCGTAAAAAAAGAATTGGAAAGGGATAATGAAAGTAATTTTACAGAGTTCATTTACTCTCGTCCGCAAGTATTAAGGTATTTATAAACCTTGTAACTTTCATAAATAGGTTTTTTTAGTACAAAATCAAATTTTATTATTTAAACCCTGATGCCTTAGCCTAAATTTAATAGTTTTCTAGGTTTCCTATTATGTATTACCTCACTACCTTACACTTTATTTGTTTTATTATATATTGAAAGTGAACAGAAACCCAAGAAGCTTTTTCAAATAACTTCTGAAACTAAAGTTTTTGCTGTAGAAGAACAAGAGGTTCGATTTACTTATTCATTTACCTTCAAATTAATAGGAAAAGAGAATAGTTTTGTATACTACCAAAGTTATTTATATAAATGCTTTAGATTGAAATATTTTGTTGCTTGCTTTATTTCACTTTCGTATGTTGTTGGAAAAATTCAATTTTACACAGAAATTTTGTTATGAAACCACGAACAGTGGTGTTGCGCTTCCTATACAGCTTTATTCGAATATTTTACTATTCAGCCACTATAATAAAATCAATTTGGCAAGAACCAAGCTTAGTAGGAGCGTTTGTTATGTTACTAAGCCTAAATCGTTCATATTTGCTTGCGCAAGCAATCTCAAGAGTTGGGTGTGTGCTAATAATTTATTTTATTAATGACGCTAAAGAAGTACAACGCAAAAAATAATATCAAAAAACTTAAATTAAGAAAAGTTGATCAAAAATATTAAGTAAAAAAAGCCTGTTTACGTCGTTCTCCTTGTTTATTATTTATAATTAAAACATTATAATTCTTTTTTATATTTGTTCGAATCCAGGTCTAACGTGTAAATACTTAATAGGTTTACTTGAAGTTGCGAAAGTTTAAAACTGCTACTCTCTTTGTTTTAACGATCCATATTCAAAGAGCAAACCGCCCCAAAAAATTAAAGCATTTACATTTGGGTCGCTCTTTTATAATCTTTATGTACTTTCTTATAGAAAAAGTATAAGAAAATAGTGATAGAAACGGTGAGTTAGCTGAGTCTATTAAGTATAGCCTGCTATAGGTTTTGAAAATCTTCAAAATGCCGAAATCTGGAAGGAGGCAATAGTTCAGCAAACCAAGAAAATAAAAGAAATCGATGTTGCTGCTGCAATACAGACGGAAATGTAAAACAAATCAACGTTTTGTAAAAAAAAGAGAGAAATTAAAATTAACTGAGTGCAGCTCCACAGCGTTAAGCCCGGAATCGGCCTCTTCTGATTCGGGTCGCTTAAATATTACACGTAAAGTCGGCTAAGTGCGTTTGAAACTCCTGTTTACAACCAGCAGAAGAGAGCCTTTCTTCCATAAAACTGAGGCTTTATAACGATACACACACTCTCTCCGATTCCAGCCTTTGTAAATTTTGAAAACTTTTTCCTTAGATAAAATTCTCCTTTTTCAGAAAATTTAAACCTTTTTTGTTTAAAAATGCATCTCTTAAAACCTTTTCCGTGCTTTATAATATACCCAATCCCGTTATAATCGACTTCTTTCATTTTATCTTTTTTGTTAAAAAGTTGTTATCTTTATAATTTTTTAACCTAATGTTTTATAACTTTTTTTAAAAAAAAATTTACTTTTATAAAATAATTTACACCGACTGGCCAGTACTTATTTACATAAAATATCGATTGCCATAAAGTTAGGACAAACGAATCAAAATATCGAGTTCTCGAGAGTACCAAAGGTTTTCAACTACTGGAGGAAGTGGAAAACTCCGGAACTTTTATCATTATTGCAGAAGTACGAGAACACGCTCACCACGTATTCGAAGAGTTCCAGCTTTTTTCTCCCGGTGTGGCAATTTTATAAAAACACGAGAAAGTCGCTTTAAATTATTTGTGCAGGAATACCTTCTTCCCCTCTATCAGTAGTCAATGATTCTTTGATCGAAAGCGTCAAGTTTTTAGACACTTCCGAGGCCAATCAAGACCTTGTTTGCGTTTCCTTCATGAAACCAAGTTGCATTTTTTCCTCACTTTTGAATACACTGAGACGATAGCTACAGCTACTTCGTATTTTCCAGCTTTCTGGCTCGGCCGTCGTAGAGTAGTGCTGGAGCGAATGTGGCGACTGGAAAACGGCATATACACGCTTTACTTCCACAGCGCTCCCCACCAGGATGGAGGGATCGGCTTGATCTCGCAGCTTTCCCGCCTTCTCCTCCCTCTGTCTAACCTATGGAGACCTCTACCCCTGCAAGTGGAGGGCGGCATTACCATCCATCCGGCTAGCGGTGTAGCCGCTGGAAACAGCTGTCTGGTGCACTATGCAGTTCGCTTTATAAAACAAGGCATGGCTGAGTGGCTGCCGGGTTGCCGTATTCTGGACCGCTACTGGCTACTTCCCTTTGTCAGCCAAGGTTTAATTTACTACTATAACTTCGTTACCGAGCGTGCCTTATGCACGTGATTGACGCTCAAGTTAAGCGGGTTCAACAAACCTTTGAGTTTTCGCAGTATGAAAACGGCATCAGTGCACTGGAAAGAATTCACGCCCTTGTACGAGCGCACAAAGCGAAAGAAGCAGCTCCAAAGCAACTTTCCTTCCGGTGAAAACTTTAAACGATTCTACTTATGCTTTCTAATATTATATAAAACATATTTCAGAGGCTCCATTTTAGTGATGGAAGCGGTCAACAAATTTAAAAGTTTGCTTCATAAAAGAGCTAGCAGAGTGGGTGCGCTCCTATTTTTTTGCTCGGCATTAGCGCTCCTTACAAACATCAAGCAGGCGTTCCCATTCCAAGCAATGTTTCGTGTGTCATGTGGTACGACCCAGGGCCCGTTAATTTCCATGTGCGCGGCGACAATTACTTTGAGGACCACATTAAAGTAATTGGCTGTATGATGAACCCGTTACCGTTGCACTGTACTGATTTCTGGCAGATACCAGCGAAGAGACCTCTCATGGCCTTCTGCGCTCTCGAAATAGTCGAGTGCGAGCCTCCTCGAAACGTGCATATGATAGACAGACGGGCAGATCATCCGCTTCACTTTCCGAAAGCAAAAGAGGGACCTTTTACGCTCATCATCAACATGATGACCGGAGGTACTCGCCCCCCCCCTCCCCCATGTCCAGTCTTTTCTCTTCCTTGGCCTTACTATCCCCCAAGAAGGGCCTCCCCATTTAAACTTCCTATTTTATTTCCGCCCTCGAAATTTTGAAGACTTTGAGAAGCACACAAAGTTTGGGCAATTGTGGCAAAAGTTTATGGAAGGTTACTTTTTCTATTGCGTGTACACTACGCAGCTTTGGTAACAACCGTAAGGCCTGACGCACGTGTATTTTGTAGGCAGTAAAGAAGAGCGGGACACCCGGATGAAGTTGATCCCTTCCGTGCAGGACGGCGGATGGCTGGTCAAACAGCTCGTCGGTATAACTGCGCTATCTGCTCTATTTTTCGACGCAGAAGGCCAATGGCACGTTAATTAGGGACAACTCCCGTCATTATTGGCAAAAAGCTGGAAACGCACTACTTTGAAGGAGAAAATTATCTCGAAATTGACATCGACACGAACTACTCAAGCACTGCTCGCAAAGTCATAGGGAAGCGCGCCGTTGCCCCGCCGTTTATTATGTCTTTTAAGATACCGTCTGCAGGTATGTGCCTTAAGGCCACCAAGTCACTCATGGTCGATCTGGCGTTCACTATCGAGCCCCACGGAAAAAGCGAATTACCAGAGCGGTTGCTGGCGGTCGCTCGCTTGAATAAACTCGACGTGACGAGCGCCAAAAAGTTAAAATTGTAAGTCAGAATGGCGCAAGGAACGCTCTTTACTGAAATGAGCGCAAAGCAAAGTAAAGATTGTCAAGCGCTGTTGTGGCTCTCCTCTGCACGACATGCCCTACTTACCGTGCCCCGTTAGCCTTTTTTAAAAATCAAAGAAACTTATAAACCTTTTATCGTTCTTGTCTTTACGGATCTTCCGCTTTTTAACTTCTTCGTCGGAAGTTAGCTTTTTGCCTGCCCGTGCACGGGGGCCCCAATTCTTTCGGGGGTTCATCTGATACCTGCGAGATTAATTTCCTTATAAACCAAATAACTAATAGTTATGATAAGAGACCTTGTGAGCCCCTCCTCGCGTGACTTCGGATTAGCATCTTTATGGGTGTCGAAGTTAACGGTGTGGCTGTTTGATAAAAGGGCCTCAACAAAAACAAAAGGCGTACAGGCAGAGGACTACGTGGGCTCCTTCTGAAGAATAGTCCGTCCAGGAGTATCAACTTTTTTGTTTCCGTGAGCTTTGTTGCTTATTGCCTGGCGGTACGTTTATATGAGTGATGGGAACTATCCGCTACCGAAGGATTCACCCAAAGGCGCATGATATCCCATATATAGTCAAAGGGAGCGTTCGTTTTCACAGCGGCGGGTTCGCAATGGGAACTGGACACGTTGTAGCCCGCATTTAAAAGAGCCGACCTCGTCGGAAATAATTGCAGAAACATAAAAGTTATAAGAAAAAGATAATTACCTAAAATCAAGAATTGATATGACTGGAGTCTTTAACGTTTTGGCGAGATCGCTAGTGATGACATACAGCGGATCGCTCAGCTCCTCTTGAATTACCGTCAATTGTCCAATCATCCGCTTGTATGTGCCAAATGATGACGGCTTCGCCCGCTGGATAGTTGATATTAGGGCTCCTACGAATTCAGTGTCGTGCAAGCAGGCGCTCCACACGGGGCCGCCCATCTAGGAAATACGCGACCGCTTAGCAAGGAAATACTTGTTAAAACATAAAAACACGCACCCGAAATCGCCCATTGCAGTGCTCACACTTCTCAGGGGCGGTCGGACCGAAGGCTGGCTGATACTTTTTCCCTTTGATTGGATGGGTGAGTGCGGTAACTACGCAGAGCGATTGGTTCAAATAACCTTTCTGGGTCGGTGTAATAACGCCCACAGGTTGGAGGATACACGAATGACAACCAACGCACGTGTACACATACGACTGCTTACTGTGCCAATGCAGTAAACACATGAAGCCACGAGGTGCCTAAGTAAACAAACCTCGCAGACTCCTTAACTTTTGAGGGCGAATAGTAAACCCGCACGAATAAACGAATATAAAATTCTGCGCAGACGCTCAACAGCGGCACGATATGTCGTTTATATCGATTAGCGTGGCTTTCTATTGCATGCAAAACGAGGCGAAGCGCCTAAAGCAAATGGATAAGAAAATGCAATGACACTTACTGAGAAGCACGTGCGCACCAATTCTTTATGCTGAGGGCATTTCAGCGGCATAACACCATACTTGGAGTAGCCCACCTCTAGTAAATCTCCGCAGAGAACCCGCAAATCCGTCGCTGTGACCATTAAAAGCCCTATAAAATGAGGTCACCATGGTATTGTTACCAATAGACAAAAGGACTACTGCGCTACAACAAGAGCGGCACACCTCCATTAGCGACGGCTTGTACAGCTGCGTCCAGAAACGGAGCGGGTGTGCCATACGGGTCCAGATCCACCACGTGGAATCTCTTGTCTCTATTCCGCAGGCAACAAACTGAGCAGTCCTCTAAAAAAAAGATGTTAGAAAAGCCCTGTCCCAGCAGCGACGCAGCTAATACTTGCACAAAGTACATTTAGATGCACACTCAAAGCGCGAATAGAACAGTCTTTAATTAAACTTATCGTTTTTAAAAAGATTGTTAACATATCAGATAAAATATAAACTTTCGACGCGCCGCCACCACTGCGCAATTTAATCTCGATCTTAATTTTAGTTACATTCATAAGGGAGTAAGAATACAAAAGCTCGAGTACGAGAGGAAAATGCAATAAGAAGTCAACGCCAAGAGACAACTTGGCTCTCTCATTTATTATATAGTTTAAAATAATTTATCTGTTCAAGCTCTGCACAAAATAAAAGGAACCGCCAAATACCTCCTTGCGTTTCTCTAAAACTATAAAGAAAAATAGAATAGGGATACCTTGCAAAGGAAGTATAAGTTCCGGATCAACTTCATTAAAAGAGATGTTTTTATATATTAAGTCAACAGCATCTTTGCTACAATCGTTTGCATAAATTTTTATAACATAAGGTAACTATTAAAAGAGAAGCATTTCCAGTATGAATCCATGGACACATAGATTTAAAGTATTAAGAGATGATCATAGGTAGAATACTTTAATGTAAATAAAGAAACCTCTTTAGCGTAACGGATAGACCTCAATCCCGTCGCAGCAAGTCCTTCCAAGATTATAACTCCCCTTCTTGACTTACCAAAGCATCTTTACAACGTAAAACCAGTCAAAAAAAGTCTAAAGCACCTTGTCCAAGCAAAGAGAACCAGATTCGCCTTAAAGTTGATTAATACAATAAATTATTATATATATCAGTGTAGTCATAAAGAATTTTCTTGAAAACACTTGTAAAGATATTGAACAAAAAGCACCTTTAACAGAATTTAACTTTTCCTTAAACCAAATTTCTTCATAAGTTGTAATTACCGCAATGCTTAGGTCCCTATTAAACTCCTGGACAGGATTATAAAAAACCTGGTAAACCAAAAGTTTGAACAATAATAAAGAAAGATAGATATGTTAATTTAACTTGGTTTTCTATAGGGTACAAGCAACAAGCCTTTCCCTCTTTTATAACAGAATAACCTTCAGGAACTTGCATTGCCGATTTCCTTATTGAAGTAATTCTTTCTGTAGTAGTAGGAAGAAAGAAAGTAAACTTGGCTAGTGTAAAGTACATACAACGTTAACAAAAAAATATTTAATATAAAATACAAAGCGTAGGTATCAATGCTTAAGTATGTTTCAAGCCTTAGATCTATATAATAACTTTTCGCCTAGTTAAAATTAGTGTTTTAACGTTCAGTCTAAAACCTCGAGGCAACTTTTACTTTCAGCAACAGACTTTCCTAGCGCTTCGAACGCAAGGTTTGGACTTTATTAGAACAAATTTATGACTCGAGTTATTCATGGAAAGACTAGACGAAATTTTGATAAGTTATATGCTTATTTTTTTCCTAGTATTATGGAAAAGTAAAAAAATTATAGAAAAAATTGAGTAGCTTGGGGTACGAGATGATGCTCATCTTGGGAGACAGCTGAATAAATTCAGCTATACCTTTCTTTTACTTTAGACGTTGGAATTAACATTTTTATATTTAAAGTAATTTTTATATAATAAGGGACAATTCGAAACCTTAATAACTCTAACTTTGGTTCGCCAAAAAATTTATAAGATATGAAAAGATGTGGCGGAGCAAAACGCGATGATGTAAATCAGGATCGACCAAATACTTTATATTATATAATTCATAAAATAGGTTATATACTTAACGGTTTCTCTATTCCTCTTATAAAGTTATTTACAATTACAAAATAACAACTCTACTATTAAACACACTTGAAGCCCTTTTCGTGCTTCGTAGAAAATACTTAACCCAACGTTATTGTTATTTTATTTACTTAACGTTTTAGGTGGCGTTTTAAAAGTTGATAAGATATTATATTCTTTAGATACAAATCTATTTATGGAGTCACTTAACGTTCTTGGTACTTTAACAATAATTCTCTTTTGGGCATTACAGATAACTGTTTATTAAGAAAACGTTCAAAAGGTTCTCGGCAATCTTTGCCAATTTAACCCCTTTTCACTTATTCCATTTATTAACGTTTTTATCATATAAACTTTCACCTTCATCAATTCTTTGTCCCTTATGTTTTTTACTTTCTTATCATGGGCTAATAAGAAGGTTAAAATTTTGAAACAGTTCTGCATAAATTTGTAGCAGGACCTAGCATGATTTCTGAGATTCCAGTCCTTCGGGACAATTATAGTTCTCCAAGGAAAGTACACTAGTGACCACTCGTGCGCAACCTCCTGCTGGAGAGGGGAATGTAGATTAAGCGACTTAAGGTCTTTTACAAAGACTAGCCGAAGCATTTCAGCAAATAAAAAAAATTTTTCTGAAAGTCGTTATCAAAGGTTCTTTCCATTTTTTGGGCTCGTGGAAGTATATTTGCCGTTAACCTTCTAAGTTTTGTTAAGTATGGGTTGACATAAATTCTGCCGGGGTTTTTACTTAAAATTAACGCAGCGTAACTCATGCCTTCGGCTTTAATGTTTTTTAAAGTTTAGACCCGAGTAGCGTTGCTGTAGTTATGTTCCTTAAGAGACCGAATATACTTTTCTGTAATAGGATTATGTGAGGGCGTATCGGGTGCAGTGCGCGAGGGACAGATTCCTTTTGTACTGCACAGACCCTTCCATTCTTTTAAATAAACTTCGTACCATTATGCATGTGAATAATTTTGATTTTGTAAGAGATACCTACAATACTATCCAAAGATAAAGAGACCTCGCTTTATATTTCGCAAAAGGACCGAAAAAAGCGTGTTCGTTGCATACAAACAATAGTGCACGTACTACATCAGTAAAAGATCATGAATAGGGGTGATTGAGGTTCATGTCTAGTTTTTTACAAAACTTCTTGATGAATAATTTTAATTCACTTCTCTTGTTACTCTTTCTTAACTTATATTACTTAAGAGCGCGCAATACACTGGATGCTTAAAAAATGGTATATAAATTATTTCAAAAGCTTTTTAAATATCTAACAAACTTAAAACAAAGAGTTTTAGTAGATGAGTGCATTAGCTGTTTTTTATACCAAGCTTAAGATTTGTTAATGGTAGTAATTCTTTTTCAAAAATCCAACTGGTTAGCTGTTATAAGATTTATATAGTTATCAGCTTATTGCAAACACAATAGAGGCACTGCCTCTACAAATTTTCCTCAGCATAAAAGTAAGCTTTTGCCACGAAAAAACGTTATCCCGTTTTTAAATTAAATGAAGATAATAATTAAGTTAGTGAGCTCTGAAAAATAATTAATTGCAATAAGAGGGAACTTACAAAGCTTTTCCTTCGATATTCCTTCGGGACACACGCTTTTCCTGGTGTTAAATTTATCAGAAGTATAGATTATATCTCATCTTTCTCGGTGAAGGTTGCAAGGCAGGTGTTGGGTCTGCAAAGTATAATTCGTCTAAAATGTGTATTACGCAATCTTCATTCACCGATACTGGTTTCGTATAATTTCCATATAAAATTTTAGCAAATATAGAAGCTTTTTGAGCTTTAATAGGTGAACTCACCGTTTTTAACTATAGGAACCTCGGATATTAAGTTTTTAGGGTTAAATGCATTTTTCACGGTAAAGGGAGTAGGTTAAAAAAAATGCTGTTTTATTTTCCGAATTGTGCTTCGACAGGATTGCAATTCTTATTTAATAGGCCAATTTATTACTAAGGGGGTGTCTTCCCATGTATCGTCTTTTATAAGGTTTTTTTGACGCGAAGAGCAAAGTTATAAATCAAAAGTGTAAGGGGTTTAAAGGTAGTCGCGTACTTTAGTGACTCGACGGAGCCTTGGAAGTCAAAATCTGCCCTGTCGCTGTAGATGCCGGAATACCAAAATGGATAGGAAAAGAGAGTAAAATGCTTCCTACGAATATATTTAAAAGTGCCCTATCAGTAGCTTATACAAACTTGTTCAACCAAAGACAAGTCAGCGGTCAGATAATTCATAGAGAACTGTGTTACGTACAAGTACAAATAACTTTTTAACTTACACCAGTGCATCCCACGGGGTCTCGAGTTGATAAGAGCGTAAGTTCAAAACACTAACACATTCTTCGGTTCACGGTTCTAATAATTTATTATTAACTCTCCACAAACAATGATAGGATGGGCACCATTAAAATCCCTTACATTCAGGACCTTTCGGAAGCTAATAAGAAAAGATATTTTACAGAACCAGCCAGTTGCTTCTATACTATGTAGTTTAAAAAATTTTAAAAAGGAGTGCCTTATGCCCTTTTATAAATATGACTACACATCCGGCACCTATATCAAAATGGTCCTTTCGATAAGTCAAGTAGTTTTTGATGCAAAATCTATTACCACCCGGAGACCAAGGCAAGGGCCCATTCTTAAAATTAATTCTCATAAAACGTATTTTTGTGCTAAATCACGCTAGCATTTCATAATAGTATTTTATGAAGCTTCTTTTAACTTTTTCAATCATTTTTAATTGTTTTAGACCGCTGCTCAACCTTTAAAGTTGTCCTTTCGCATTCATATTTATAATAAATCTTCAATTCCTACCGCGTGCAAGGGTGGGCACGAAACATATCTTTAGGTAACTCCTATAAATTTCCACAAGCCTTCTAACTCTTCTTTTTTAAATATATACAGAAATGCTGTCCGCTTAAAGCTCGTCGAAGGGCCGTCGAAATCGGGGCCTGTCAAAAGTTCATATGAATTTTCTTAGACCCACTAATAGTTCTATTTGCCAGTTAGCATCTCTAAAAGAAGCAGAAGTTTTAGGTTGTCGTACAACCTGTCGTTGCGCACAAAAATATTGCTGTAGTGGTTAATAGTTGCAGGGATGTGTTTTTTGCCTTTGCAGGAGTACAACCGTTGATAATTTGCCCTACTTCCAACAGATGGAAAGGTAAGATCAGGGCTTTTTTTGCACATAACAGCGGGGCAGAGTGTGTAGGTTCAGTGGTTAAGAGCGTTGACCCACAAGCTCAAGCTGGTGGGCTCATTTCCACCGACTCGCCTCTCTATATCTGGTCTTTGTTGAATTGTTCGCATTGCCCTCACAAAGTCTTGTGGATTAACAAAAGCACCGATATATTTATCCAGATTGTCTATAAAATCTGAACAACTTGGTGGGTTAAAAGGTAAGCATAGCCCGCCTCTTTAGCTGATACCTGCATCCTTTCGAGAAGAGCTTATACAGTGAATATATTTATGTGAGGAAACAAATTATCTTTAGGTGTTGCGCCGTAAAAGTAGATTATTGCAGAATGGAAGTCAGGTAGGCGCACATAATAAACAGTTAGGAGACGCGTCATGTTTGCAATAAAGAGCGGAGGCGCCATAGAAAGTTAAGTGCACGTGGTTATTATTTGGGATTGCGGTATTCTATTTGATACAATTAACATTTTTTCAACTGTAAAATCGACTTTAGAGAGCCCGTGGAGGGGTCGCCCGATTTCCGGGGAATGGTGCTTTCTCTTGGTAAGTTTGGTTTGTGCTATTTGGTTTATCCTCCGCGTTTTATATGGAAACAGAAAGAGATCATGACTTTTCGTGTGAAAATTTATTTGGGCAACATCCTGGAAACGATCCGGTAATTGACCCTTCTTCTATGCCCTCCCAAAGGGAAGATCAGATTGCGGACTCTCCACAACTTATTACAGACTGCGTTAAAAGTCCTACGGACAACTTGGAAGATATAAACAGCGATGATTTGGGCTTGGATGGTATTATTGATTTTGTTCAAAGCGCTATCATTTTTTATTAATACGTATACCTTATTGTGTAGTCAGTGGAAATGAGTCTGAAGAAGTTAATGATGAAATTGAAAGTAATGAAACGTTGAATAGAGTTAAGAGTTGTAAATAAGTTATTTTAATCTTTCTTTTTTAAAAGGAAAAGAAAAGGAAACCTATACTTTGTTTCTTAATCACTTTTACTTATTTAGTTAAGAGCTGCTATAGGAGAAGATGACAATGAAACTTTAGATAATTACGGTAAGTTTTAATAAATGCTACAGATTTAATTTAAGATTCGCTACACAAGATAATGACTTGGAACAGATTAAGTCGGGCGTAAAGAAAAGACGTGTTATTCACAAGGAAGTCTCGTTAAGTCTACCAACCTTTTCGAAATGTATTAGGTTAATACTTATAAGATGGAGGGGTTCCGTGAGTCTACTGAGCGCTTCCTTTTAAGCGAATTTGAGACACCGCCTTTGCTTATTAAAGTTCCCAAGTTTATAAGTTTTGAACCGAAGCCGTTTGACGAAAGTTCCTATGAGGCTCTGCCCCCGAGTGCGTTGGAGGAAATTAACTTCGAAGGCATTGTAAGCTTGCACGTTAAATCCTCGTTGATCTCGAGTAACTAAAGACCGTGATTTGACGAGGTTCGCTGGAGAAGAAGTGGCGACTCTGTCGAATCTAACTCGAGGCTGGTGAAATGGTCTGATGGCAGTTACTCCATAGCCGTAGGCTCCGAATATTATGACCTCCTTGAGAGGGTTTGCTTAGGGATTTTGTTCTTCCTTCGTTGTAAACCTCAAAGTTTGCCTTTGATTAGAAAGTGGAAGAAGACTTGGAGCACGTGTTCGTGTGTGGTTCTGACAATATGCAGTGCGTCTGCATACTCGAGAAAAAGTTTGCTCTCCGTCCTGTTAGAATGGAGTCTCTTACCAGAAAGAAGGTTCTCCTGTTGCTAGAAGATTCGTAAGCTGGACAGAGTTACTGTCTTGCCTGCAGCTTCTCCAGACGCTTTCCAAGCAAAGTAGCAAGAGGAAGTGTGTAGGTGACATCCCCGTGTATGTTGACTTGGAAGCGGAGCAAAGGAAGCAGAGACTACGGGAGGAGGAGAGAGTTCGGAATAGAAGAAAACTCGCTGAAAGACAGCGAAGAGTGCGTATGAAGGATCGAGAATTGGACTCTTCTTTTCTTGAGAGAGGTGAGTGCCGCCGCTACCCCTCCCCTGCGCCCTCCTCTTAGCCGTGGTGACCGTTTTTTTGAAGGCTACGGGGACAGCAGCGACGACGGAGACTTCAGATTCGGCTCGGGCAGTCGAGCGTCTGCCAACGACAGCGAAGACGAAGATCGGCTTAACAACGTCAAGCGGGGTAAACGTGGTGGGAGCACGCGGTCAGAAGGGAAAGAGGCGTCGAGCTCGGACTCGGAGCTGGAGCTCGACCTCTTTGATGGAAAAGCAGATTTACACAGTGAAAATACTTGAGTTGAACTACACATTTATCATTTATTGATATTGCTAAATGCGCCTTGCAAGGATTATTGCCGGAACAAAACTACTTCCCGGGCATCTGCACATCCATTACAGGGTAGCAGTAAATAAACTTAGCTTTATTGCCCGCCTTCTATTGTCATATATTTGGTGAGTTGCTTTTCATTGCTGAAGTAGAGTTGAGCCTTTCTTCTACTCGGCCAGGATACTTATATAGTCGAAGGCCCGTTGCCTGCGGAGAGCGCTGCTAATTCCGAAAGCGTTTCAAGTGTGTTTTGGCCTTTTTCGCTGGCAACTTGTGCCAGTATGGATTCTAGAGAGCATCGATCTATTAGTTATTTAAGAGCCACAGTCACTAAAAAGGGGGTGGCGGTTACAATTCTTACGATTGGCCAACCAGTTTAGCAAGACCGACAACACGAATTTTTTGTGATCAGGCGGCAGTCCCAACAAGTATTTGACCTCTCGCACGGTCGGCTCCTGTGAAGCAAAGAGTAGAAGCGCCCCAGAAAAAAAGCTTTTGTTGTCTTTTAAGGGCGTATTAGCAGGGCGAAGCTACTTATTCAGTACAGAAAAAACTTGTACCTTCAGGGCTAAACTCAACCAAACGCGCGGATACGGCACTAACGACGCAGCTGTTTCTGTAGGCCTCGGCAATGAGCAGCGGCCACCTACGAAAGACTAAGTAGAAAAAGGAAAGATACATATACATTCTCCCACAGATTATGGACTTCCATCATTTCCCAATCCAGGGAGCATGCTGTAGCGGAGACAGTCTAGCAACATTCGCAAACTTAAGAAACAGTGTAGCAAACCGAGTAGAACGGGCAGAGTTTGCTCATTGAAAAGAGAAAGCGTCCCGAAAGTTATGCGAGTTTGGACGTCGTACAGCTGGTGATGGGGGAGCAAAAAAGTATGTTTAACAGGAATAAAAGCGCCCAGAAATAAAACTTTAGAGCTATCCATGCAGCAGAGCAGAAGTTGAAGCAGCCTGACCGAGCCTTGCACCGACTCGACTCGCTCAAAGACGTAAAGGAGCAAGTCAAACTGCCGTTGGTATTCTCCGCACGCTTCCACGGCCCCCCATAGTGAATCCTCTAGACTGAGACCTTGAGCCTCAGCAAAGAGTTTGTAGACTTCGACGGACAGCTCACTTTTTAAAAGAATCGGGGTGAAAACCATTTTTAAAACTGACACGGAGACTTACTTTTTATAAAGAAAGTGCAGAAGACAAGTGTCTGCCAGTAGAAAAGCGCGGTTAATTAAAAAATATAAGCGAAAAAGTTATTAAGGACCTATATGGGAATGGCGCAGGGACAATGAGTGCAGCACGCCAGCGCCAACGCGCAGTCCTTCAGCGTAGTGACTCTTCTCCTGCGCGTCCTTCATATCTCGAGGGTTCATACGCATCACTTTCAATAAGAGAATATGAAAGAGCGGATCGTATGTGGCAAGAGCGCTGGTATTCAGTTCGAGAGAAGCTTCTTCATGAGCTCTTTGCTCAGCGGAGGGTGTGCTCCACAAGCTTTGAGGCTCCTCCTCATTGACATGGGCCAAAAATCCGGCCACAGAGAGCGTGTCCTCCCGCTTTAGATCTTCCTTTACAGCGGTGAATTAAGAGTTGGTTAACTGAAAAAGAAGGTGGCAATACAATATTTAAAACAGCCGTCAGGAGCCTCTCAACGCACGGCAGCGCACTTTCGTGACTGGCAATAAGCAGCCTACTCTCTTCTATGAGCATACTCACGCCGTTAGAAGGCACTGTGGCGGATGATGAGCTTTTCTCCTTTTTGGCATCAGTTCGACTCTTATCAAAAAGTTGACTCTCGCAAGTTTCCTGCACGGTCGTCCCTACTTGTATATGTTTCTCAGGTTGCTGGCTGGAAAAGCGCTTCACATCCTTCTCGTGTTCGGAACTTGAAGGTCTTTTTCCTGATACATTTATGATAGAGTTGTAACAAGACAGCGCGAAGTGCTAAGAAGCAAAGGACCCGGTGTCGATGCTGTCTTGACGGGCTCCGCATTCTATTCGAAATTCTTTTAGTTACAAAGTACAAGGCAGGAAAGCTGTACCACCGTCGAGTATAAATCAGGGAAGATTTCTTGGAAACGCTCAAAAAGCTTTTGGCCCAGAAAGTGGCGATCCTCCAGAAGTTTTTTGTTGCTGCCAAGCGGAAGATGTGAACTCAAAATTCCTACTTGAGACGAGCAGGAACCTGAGAATTCCCTTTGCGTAGCAGAGTTGAAAAGCTGCGGAAATGGCCTTTGAAAACGCGCCGTGCAGTGGAGGATAAAACTCAGTAGCGATAGTCGGCAAGAATTCTAATAAGTTGACACTACGGCCGACCATCGGCGCAGGAAAAAAGAAAAAGTACAGGAGCGGACCTTATTTTAGGGCTCACTTGAAGAATATTCTGAATGAGGAGGGCGCCGGGCTCTTTTGAAAAGAATGAAAAGAAATTGTGGGAGGCCCCTGAATTATATATATACCAATCAGCATAATCTCTTCAGGTTTACTGTAAAAGAGCCAGTCGTAGTACAAGGAGAGCTTAGCATTGCGCATTCCAGTTTTCGTCTTCAGAGCCCCATAAGAGGGGTGATTACGATCCGCAACGAATAAAGATAAACCTTCACGAAAAATAAAAACTTGCTGATGATTTTCCAGCGGGGGACATTGGAAGAGTTCAACTGCTCATTGGAGGGATGAAGACAACTACGGAAACTACGCAGAGCGGCAGCTGCGGAAAAGCAGAAGAGATCAGTACCACACTATATAGCGGATGAGATCGCAGACAAGAGCCTCGCTGGCTTCGAAGCTCGAGCGCAGATACTTGTCCGCTATCCACTCGTAGTAACGATCGTCCTTTCCGAGCTTCACCTGGCAGACTCGTGAGCGGGCTACTGGCGATAGTCGGTGAACATAACCTTTTCGAGGAGAAACCGCACATAATGCTCCATGCGCGGAGTTACTCTGCTGAGAAAGTAAGAGGAGCTCGTTCTAGCGTGGAACAGCTGCTCGACGCCAGTGAAGGACGGATGCAGAGAGCTCGGATTCGTTATCATGAGATTCCAAAGAGCGGTCAGTTGCGGCGCCCTCAGTACGTCTTAGAGCGACCAGGAATAAGTTTTAGCGGTTGCAGCAAGGGAACAAGAACTTACCGAGAAAAACTCGCACAAAATCTCTTCCAATACTTAAGCAGTGCTCAAACTTTTAATATAAGTTTTAAGAACAATTAAAAGTTTACAACCAAAAGAACGAAAATTCACGTTTTCTCGAATTAACTGAGATAAGAAATCTGCTTCAATAGCCTGAAGTTCAGTATATTCAGAAGACAGACATTCACTTAAAGACCGAAGGAAGTTGTAAATAATGTGGCTGAGCAAAGAAGGCGCTTTTGGTAGCTTAGATCTGCGGGTCAGTCAGTAACTTGTCGAAAGTTGCAAGAGTGCTGCTCACTTGTTTTCTTGAAGAATAGTTACTAGAGTGGCACAGAGCCAAACTTTTTCCTGAGAGGTGTTCCCTCCTTAACATAGAACTTATTATTTATATAAACTTAATAAGATAGAATTTGAATACCACTAGTCCAACGTAAAAGGGATCGAAAAAGGGGCATCGCCTCCAAGATGCCGTCTTTAAGAAAGTTTCCTAGAAGCCATAATAACTATAAAGTAAAGGAAAAAAGTAGAAATAGGCACTAAAAGAAAATAACAGAAAGAAGTGTACGCACCTGCTGTCGAGCCGTCTGCGACAATTCTGGGTAACGATGCAAAACGACGTGGTGCAATTCGGTACAAGCAGTCTTGTACGCATATACGCTGACCGAGACCATGGAAAGTAGCGAGTAGCACTTACATACAATAAAACATTAACATAAAAATAAATAAATAGAATTAGTGCCTTCTGGCTAAACTCAGGCTTTACTAAAATGCCATAAAGCAGCGCTAAAATAACATCAACTATAGAGTTTTTGTCTTTGGTCACCTGATAATAAAACTAAAGGTTAACCTTTGAAAAGAAAACAAGGAAAAAATAAAACACAATTTAAGCATGTGTTTAGACTTAAGTAAGATTAGGGTACCCTGGAAACCAAACTTTTTTTGGCATCGTCATCATTACTTTGCTCAATAATTTTTTTAAGCTCATCATAACGGGGTTCCCATACCTGAAAAAAATTGTAAGCTTGATTTTACAAATAATGAGATTGTTGTACACCTTCTCAACTTCGTCCACTAAACTTAAAATATTGTAAGTAAACAAGCCAGAAGGAGGTGGCTTCTGTTTATGCTGTAATGACTTCAGAGGGCTAACTGAAGATGCTTTGTGATGTTCCGCTGTTGATGTTTGATATCGACTCTTACTTTGTTCCCGCAAATCCGTTTGCTGCGGCAACATAACAGTGAACTATTTATCTCGACTTCGCTCTTTGCCTTCAACGATGAAATAGGTCATTTTATTTAACATAGTATTGTATATAGGGGAGTACATAAGTCATACCCTCACCCTTTTGCTCGTGTATAATTTCTTTTTGAGGCCCCTTTATTTTTAAAATTAAGGTTACTATTTTGGTCAATACTTTGTTACGACAACACTTAAGTTAACCATGAGGAAAGTGGTTAAATAACTATATAAAAACTAAAACAATAAACGAGTTACACTGAAATTTTATTATTGTTCGACGATCGTTTCAATCTATCTACTTTTAAAGTTATTTTTCCCACATCACTTAATTTAACCCCCATGGACGGAGCAGGAAATGTGTTTTAAGAACATTTAAGCTAAACATCCTTCGTTATATATTATATATATTTAGTTTTCTTTAATTCGTAACTTATAGCTTTGTGTTCTACTCTCTTTTTTTGTAAAAGACCTTTTGCTTAATCTTTGTTTCCAATTTAAAATGGGTCTTTGCTAAATACATCGAACCTGAGGATTCCGTCTTTCGGCTTGATGGAACACGTTAAAACCCACTTTCCAGTGCCTACCAATCAATTTTGACATTTTCAACTTTTCCTTTCAATAACGCCAATAAACGAGTAAATTATTAAAACTCGCTTCTAGTAATTTTTAGCAAGTTCTTAATTTTACTTATTGTCTAACAAAGAAAAAGCTAAGCAATTTATAAATGTTTCAGTCCTGTAGTAATTTGCTTGTAAAATGCGCTTATTACACCGGTTTGTCTTCAGGTCTTGATAGTATACAACAAAAAACTAGACTAAAAAGAAATTGCACATCGATTGCAACACGAAAATTGTATTTTTTACAAAAAATTGCTAGAGAAAAATAAGTCTTAATCATAAAGTTCACCAATTTTTATACAATGGTTTATATGACTAATTGCAGTTAAGTTAGATGACTACTACTTGTTATATATTTATGTTAAACAATTTAAGCTTAAATTTTTAGAATGTGTTTTACAATCCTCTAGGCTACTTAGTTATTCAACTAACTTTAATGAAAATCTAGTTTGAAGCTCAAGTTAATTTTTCCTTTCCAGTCCTCCAAATCAAAGATTATTTTTAATTCGTATAAAGTAAATTAAAATAGTTCAAAACTTGCGCTCAAGCGACTGCCGGCCAACAATACAAAATTTTCCACTAACTTAATTGAAATTACTATTACAAAAATTATAATAACTCTTTAACAGAAGTACTTAGCAAAAATTTTCAGATCGATAGGCGCCCTTTTCTTTTAATTACACAAACGATTATGATTAAAAAATATGGAAAAAAACCTTTTTTAAAATACTTTCCTGAACTGCTAGTGGAATTCGGTAAAAAAAAGAAAAAGAAAAAATAGAAATACAAGAAGCATTAACCTTGTTCTTATTGACTGGAGAATTATAATAAATCAGAATTTAAATAGATTGAAGTGCTTGTACTGAAATTTTATTTTAAAGTCATTTTTTAAAATTCACTACTTCCAATGTACACTTATCACCTGGCACACATACCGATCGTTTTAGCACTGCATTTATAAAAACAAGAGGGATTTTGAAAGGAAATATTTTTTTCGTTCTACTTTGGTAGAACAAGCTAATTAGCATATCTAGAGCGTTTGATAATTTTATTCTACCAAATCGGAACCTTAACTATTTAAAACTCTAGTAATAGAGTTCAATGAAAAATTATAACGTCCATTAACTTACTGTCTAAAGCAGTTTTGTAACTAGTGTCTGTTGAATGAAAATCTTTTTATTACGGTGCAAGCTTTAAGTCAGTTGATAAACTTGTTTTGTATGCTCCCTCTAATTTCCTGGTAGTATCTCAGTTTAAACGCAAGAACTAGAAATCTGGCGCATAATAGCGAAAATCTAAAGATGGTAAGATTGTACGCGGTAAAATTCTGCATATAAGATAAACAGCAGACATACCTTGCACAGATAAACTATTTACTTAGAGCATACCTTGAAGCAAACTTTTTTTAGGGTCTCTAAAGGGACTAAATAATTTATTTTGGTAAACGGTGTAACCTGGATGTCTATGTTAGCTTTACTAAAATTGCCGAGGGCAAAAACTGAAAAACACTTCATTTACGCACAACACTGTATTGATTATACTCCCATTAAAGTTCAATCAGTTATAGTCTCTACAAATTAAAGTTATATAGCAGGTAGCCGTCCCATAGGATTAAAACAGCAATATTAAAGTAAGCGCACGGTTTAAAATATATTCTTTAATATAATAATGATCAAAAAAAAAGTTAGCAATGACGCAGAAGTAAAGTTACTAAGCAACTTCCAGATTTTCCAAGATCGTAAAGGCTTTGACGGTAAGTAAGAAAAATTAAAATAACCTACTGGAAACACTTTAGGAAAAAACCTCTTTCCAGCGTTAAAATCGTCCTGCTTAGAGCCTTATTAACGGAATCCAACTTTGCCTGAGAGCTGACGACAACTATTAAGCTTACAAAAATAATTTTCTTAAAAAAAAGGGGCAGAAAAAATAAAAAATTTATAAGAAACATGTAGTTTTTTATTTGTTTCATAACAAGTCTTTGTCCATTGTTAGTTAGAAAGGTGGCTGAAACTAAGTGATCAGCTACGCAGGCAACTAGTATTTTTTAAGTTATTATTTTAGTAAAGGAATTTAAAGAGAGTACATAAATCTTGGGAGTAGTCTAAAAAGAACTGTAAGTTCGCGCTCAACGACAGAGCGGAGACAGGGCGAGTTGAGCACACTATCTTTCCATTTTGAATCAAAGCACAGGAAAAAATATTGCTCTGCTTATTTACTATGCAAGTACTCATAAACTTTGTACTTTGTAAGAGGGTAGCTTAAAGCGTTACACAAACGTAGAAGAGGTAAAAAAGTATTTCTAACGCCATGAGATATTTTGCTGTCAAATGAAGAAAATTCGTCGGCCAGAATTTTATTAGTCGAAAGGACAGATAACTGACTACTATAAAGATCACAAAACACCCGGAGAAGTTCTCTAGAAAGCATTTTCCTGCACCATATAAAATTGTTATTAAACACAAAGATTTGTTTATAAGGTGGGGACCCAAAAGTACTTGAATATTTAGGATCATGAAATACGGCGCAAATAAGTCTAAAATGATCCTTATCAACACACAAGGAAAGTGCAACTAAGAATATAAGAAAAGAAGAAATAGATAAATAAAACAGTTAATAAATTGTTTTATTTTCCCTTCTTACCGTTTGTAAACTCAACATAAGATAAGGGAACATCATTACACTCTTCAGTCATAAGCAATAAACTTCTTATTGTCGCACCAACTATCAAACTTTTCTCCTGAAAAATTAAAAAGAATGTTAAAACGGTTTTGCTAACCGTTTAACTAATATTTTTTTAAATGTAGCAACCTGTCGAAAAGTGGATATAAAATCTTTATAATAAATTACAAGACCATTATCCGAGAGTATCATCAAGCTCTTAATCATGGCTACAAAATCATTCTTAGTGACTAACTATAAAAAGTAACTAGCGCAACGTCTAAAAGCACAACCGTTTGTAGTAACTGGCCATACACTACTTTAAGAACTGACAATTCAATGCAAGTGTATTGCTTAGCGTTATTATCCAACAGGGGAAGAAAGTAGGCCTTTGTAAAATTTTAGAGTCATATTTAAACTAGTTAGTCAGAAGTGAGAATTAATGTTCTTAAAAATTATGCCGTCTAATAATTTTCCCTATAATGCTGTCTACGTAGTGCTAACCTAACTGTACAGTTAATTAAAAGGATTCCTGTAAAAAACTTTATTTTTTTAAAAAACAGAGCAATGTTTTTCCAAAAAAAAAAAATTATAGATTTTTAAACAATTTCACTAATTTTTAATTTTATATAAATATTTTTAATTTTTTTTTTTTTAAATTAAATAACATCGACGAAAGTTGATTAAACTTTAATCATCGCAGCCTAAAAGTGGACAACCATCTTATTGGGGGGGAAAATCAATTTATTAAAGCCTAGAACCTTGATGCACATATTTATAAAAGATATAGGTATATAAATACACATATAAGTAGTTTGGAAAAATGGATATACAACGTGACAGAATCCATGTTTAACAAAAGATGTTATATATATAATAAATAGGCGTTAATAAAAATATGAGCATATATGTATTGCAAGAAGACGATTGTATACTTTTTTCCAAGGCCTAAATCATTACTTATTTTACCAAATTACAAAAAATTTTAATTTTTAGGTTATAATTTGTATTCATATAAGGGTGTAAAACTATTTCCTTATCTACTTTAATAATTTTTCTTTCATTTATTTAAGATTCTTAACTTTAATTAGTTTATTTTCGGGTCATTTTAATATAGTTAGAGCATGTTTTTTGTTTTTATGTAACTATAAATTGTGGTCCTTATTTTTTTTGTATATTGTGTTTTTTGTTATAAACCATGTTATTTTCTGTAACTTTCATGTTTTTGTCTGGAACTTGATTTAGTAAAAAAAATTTTTAACTTATTTTGGGGGTGGCTTGTTTAGTTTTATAATTAACCCTTTGTAATCCCTGTTAAAATTAAGGGTGTAATATCGACATGCCGAAGTCTTCTATTGAAAACATCACCCCTCTTGATGGTTTCACTCTTTTGCATCTGTGTAAATTACCTTTTTTCTTCTTACATTCAGTATTTCTTTAATAAATATTCAAAGGTTTGAGTGTCTATTAATGCTTGGTCAATATTATGTATTCCGCTTGGTAGGGTAATTTTTGTATTTTGATTTAGTCTATGTTGGACTTCCATTGTTTAGGATTTCCGTTAATCAGTATTTTGTGTCCCATAGTACTGTCATCCCTCCCTTATTTTCCGTAACACTTACCGCTTAGTTTAAAATATTTGTTTGGTATAGGCTTTCCTAGCACTTATTTTACCTTCGTTAATGTGTTTCGTTATTGTTGTGCATGATTATTTTTAAGTAATGTGGTAGCGCATGCAATAACGTCTCTTACAATCTAATATGAAAATTTGAACAAATCACTTCTTACCAACTAATTGTATCTTAACCCTACAGTAGTCGCAGGAGGTATCTAAGGCCCCTTGCGTTTTAAATATTTTTACTTTTATATTAAATAAAAAATGCCGTATTTTTTAAACACATATAATTCATTGAGATATTAGGATACAGGCCACCTTAAACTTCTAATTTAAAAATTAGAAAACAAAATAATTTCCAGATTTGTGAGGCCCTCTGTGACTACTGCAGGTTAAGGTTCAAAATTTTCCTAAATAATATTTTAAACATAAACAAAAGGAAGTCTTAGTGATTGGTTAAACTTATAAAAAAAATAATTTTGCTTTGTTATTTTGTTTTGTTTTTGTGAAATATTGAAAGGGAGATAGATAGTAATAAGGGAATAACTGGGACGCCTCCTTCTGGGTGAGTAGCTCATAGTCGGGGCGGACTGGCTGGCAGTGGTGATGGCAAGTGCCTCTAGGTGCTATTAGTCCTTGTGCTTGTAGACCCTCTCCCGGTGGCAGTTTTTAGCGGTTTTCCACTGCACTAGGCTGAATGGCTGGAGTCCGGGCCGATATTTCCCCTTTTTTCAGTCCTGTCGGGTGGGCATTCGTGTCCTCTTATATCTGATTAAGCAGTATATTAGGCCCTCTTATAGGGCCTGGTTGTAGTTGTCAGGTAATAAAAAAAAAAGTTAAAAGTAAAGGAATAGCTGGTTTTTTCCTCATTAATTTCCTTTCCTTTTTTTGTTCTTTTGCTTTTTTTTCGCTTACCTTCTTATTACAAGTTGCTACCTTTTTTTAAAAAATGAACTAATGTATGTATTCCGCATTTATTTCATTGTTCCCTATAACGATCTGCATTTTTGCTAGTGGAGCAAAAAGGGATTTGTATTTCTTGTTAATGTTAATAATGTTAATATCGCACATTTGAACCAGTTCAATTTTTTTTTGGTTCAAAATTGTTATTTTTTGTAGGTTGTTGATTAATACCGTTTTGAAGTTGCAAATGCTTTAGAGATTGTATTCCTTCCGTAGGTTTCTTAATGGTACTCCCCTATTATTATGTAGTCATCGACGTATATTTTAATGCTCTTTTCAAGTTTTTTAATTAATAATGCATTTGTCAATTTCCTTTGTACGTAACCGTATTTTTATGTCTTTAAGTGAAATGTTTATATAAAGTTAAGAGGAATTTAAATGCAAAGGCAACGTAAAGTGAAAGTATAGATTTCTTGCGCTTTGAGTAAGTTCCCAGAAAATATTTCTGTTATTGATATACAGAGTTTTTAATTTAGTATAGCCTTTAGATATTTGAACGTATATGTTAAAAACAGTAGTAGTGCCCGCTGTACTGACTGGTAGTGGTTTGAGGTTGCTATGAACCTCAATTAGCGTAAAAAGTTTTTTAATAGCCCAGTTATGTAACTATCAGGAAAGCTGCCTGTTTGCACCAAGTGTTAACATGCTGGTTAAGGCTTACATCACTTTGTTAAAAGCAGGATACCATCTCCGCTTCAAAGTTGTGCCATTGGTCTCATTGTTGGTAGCCTCTTGTATTAAGGAGAGCTTTATATAGAATGGTAAATACTGTATTATAGTTATTGCAATTGGTTTTCTCATGTTTCTAGCTTTTTAATTTTAGAATAATGATTGAATATGTAAGTTTTTTTAATTTTTTTTTTTTGCTTTTTTTCATTTTTTTATACTGATCCTCCTGATCCTCCTTCACCTCAAAGTATCCTTTAGAACTAAGAGGGTCGTTTCCTCTGGTAATATGTTCTTCATACCTCTGTTTCTGTACTTTGATTAAAGGTGTAAGGTGTGGTTAACGGCGTATCGTATACATATTGTTGGAGGGGGGGTGGTATGCTATACTGGGGTAGAGTGCGGTGTAGTTACTAGGTGTACATGTTTACAAGTTTTTTTATTTTTAAAGTACAATATTTGCGATTGTATACGTAGGATATACGTGGTGTTCATTTCTTGTTCTGAGTCTAGGGTTGTACTTTTCTAACAGCGTATACAGCGAATGTTAAATTATCATTTATAATAATCGCTTCGTTATTTTCATGAGTTTGCTTGTCACCTACGTGTTTTTTTTATATTTCTTATTTAATTACTTGGAAACAATGTGTAAACTATTTCTACTGTTAATTCTTTTATGTAAAATGCTCTTGTAATTTGGCATATTTCTTTTCTGATTTTCTTAGTAAACTTAGTATCTATTATAAATCTGAATTATGTTTAATTTGTTCAGATTTCGTATTATTTATTGTGTTATATTGTGAGGTTTTGTAGCTTGTTAAGGTCTCATATCGTTATTGGCTTGGTCGAATGGTTTTCTTTTCCCCTGTTTGTTTAGTTAAGAAGACTTGGGTTTGGAAATCTATAAGGTGTAATATTTATTTTTTTTCTTCATGTTCGGATTTTAGAGGATATACTAAAAATTGGTTAAATTCTTTAAACCTATTTCCTGGTATATAAACTTTTTAGTACTATTTATTTGTAAAAATTGGAGTCTATGAATTTTAGAAAGTAACATACCTTCAAGTGCTCTGTCATTTAATTTTTCTTGTATATTTATTTATGCGGACATATTTTAAGCCATAATATCATTTCTCGAGCTTTGCTTATCCTTCTGAAGGTTATTATTTATAAATATGGCGCCATGCATAACTCCCCTTTAAGATTTAGGTAGTAGTTTAAATTGTTTTGAATTGTATTCAGAATAGTTTAGAAGCTCCTTTACCCAGCATGGAATGAGGTGTAGCTTTTAGAACTGTGCTAGACAATACGCTTTCAAAACTTATTTCCTTTTAAATAATTCTCCTTTCTATCTGTTCTAATTTCTTTAATTATTGCAACTAACCCTTTGTTGGTGAACTGGAAGATGAAGGCACCATTAGTATTAATTGGTATTTTGAAATTAATTTTCTCAATTTTTTTAAATTTTCTACTATAGTAGTAGAATAAGGGCTTTATTAACTTAAAAGTTATAAACACTTCAAATAATTTATACACCCCACGAAGCACTGCTTCAAGTAGTGGTGAACTAAGGAACCAGTATGGAATCTTAACACTAACGGTGGGTTGAAATTACAAAAGTACAAACAATTATGTTTATCCATTTAGCAAAGGTGTTACATTATTTGATAATATTGTTTTCTGTAAACTTTTGGTTATGTATAGACAAGGGCTACCCTCGAGGGTAAATTGTTACATATATATGTTTAAAAATGTCTGGCATAAGAGATTTTTTTTTCCTTTAATTTGAAATTTCGGGTGTTGGGGCGCTTCCCAGGAGTCTTAAAGTTTATCAAATAATTACCTTGTTAAATTTTTAATAACTCTACTTTATATCATATAGTCTATAATATACAGTCTACTATATTATATAACTAATAGTATATAAGTATATTAGTTTTAAAGACATAATACCGGTAATATAACATTAAAAAAAAAAGTGTGTTTTACTTAAAGGAGATTATCGGCTATGAATGGTCTACTTACATTTATTTGTTTTTAGTGAGAAAATTTGGCCTTCTGTGTTGTGTTACAGTTGACCACGTATCATGGAAAGGATATTAATGTGCATGGTGTGACCGCTTAACATTTTAACTATTTCTTACATCGCTACCGTTTTTAGCACAGAAATTTTAGAAGCAACAATTATACAACAAAGTACATTAGACATGGGAAAAAATGTAATTATTTCTATAAAGAAGTCTTGAGCCCTTTATTAGTTTTACGTGAGTAATAGAAAACAATGAAACTTGCTAGAAATTTTTTTTAGTAGTAAATTAATGGTGGTAAGAACTGTGATAAATGTAAAGGTAAAGAATAAGTTTTAGTTAGGTGCAGGCTTGCTACAAATACTAAAATGAGTCAAAACCTAGGGAAAAAATAATATACTTAAAAGTGGTAGGCTAGCGATATACCTTATACGCAAAGTATACATTGATTAATAGATTTATTTAATGCATATCTAGTGCTAAGATTTAAAAGTATAAGCCATACCCATTTGTATTAATGAACTAAAAAACTGGACTGGTCCAATTATTTTCCTAAATTAGACCTAGCCCGTGAAGAAAGGTTGAAAGTAACCTATCTTACTTTCTTTTTGTAGGTCATTTAGGTATCTAACAGAAAAATAGCCATTACTTAATGAAAACCCCTTATCTCGTCTTTTACATTCTGAAGACCTCAATCCTATAACGAAGTTTTAAACGAACCTCTAGTTAAAGCGAACTAAATCTTTTGGTCTCAAACTTGAAAAAATTTTAGTCAAAAATGCTTTAAGACAGGTTGATAACCGAGTATTTTCAAAAGCTTAATATTAATGAATTTTGAACGGCTAATTAATAAAAACATGCTTATAAAAAAAAAGAGTATTTTCAGTTGTCCCTATTTTCTGCAAAATTTTCCCGTCTTCGCAATTCGGTTATAGTCGGTCACCTGGAGTTCGTCATAAGTGAGAGCACCTGAATATATTATATATACGTGATAGTTCTATAAATGTCGGTTAATATATAATTATTTACTTTTTATTAAAGTATATTATTTACTTAATTCGGTATATAAAAAGGAGATGCATATAGTATCGTTAACTATATATAACATTGTTTAAACTGTTACTAAACCAATTTTTTTGTTGCTACAACATGTGCCACAAGCATGTTTACGCTTAGGTGGTTGAAAAAATGTTGCTTTTATATTTGTTTCTTGTTATATTATATGTCTGTATATACATAATTTTAAGCGGTTATAAACTCCCTACTTTAAACAGTGCACTGTCCTTCAAAGAGTGGCATAGTTTGTTACCTTATCAAACGCCCCCTACTTCTTTAGGTGGTCTCCACCTTTTGGCGCCTATTAAAGAATTTGTCTGGGCATAGAACATTGACGATAAGCTAGACTTCTCAGTAACTCCGTTTCGTAACTTTAATATGGGAATAAGCTTTATTTTATCACATTATTAACAATTTTTTTGAAAACACTGTATTGATAGCGTCCCAGTTATGAGTTTTAATCAAGAAAGTCCGAAGACTAAAGTATGTATGGTACGTCTGATTAAAAGGATAAGCTTTATAGGCTCGCTTATAATGATCGTACGGAAATACGGGGTTGTTTACTGAAAGCTGCTCTTTAGGTAATATTTATGGCCCACAGCATTTTCAGTGTTCCTCTTTAATATTTTACCAGGCTTTTAAGGTTCCGTACAACCTATTAGGTCGGAGCATTATAATTTAAAAAGGATGGTTTAGCGATTATACATCAGCTTAGTAATGAGACTCTTATCCACTTTTCAGGTTTAATAATCCTGAAGGCGCTGGAATTTCCATAGGATTTTTTTTTTTAGTAAGGCAAATTTAAGTAGAACTCAATATAAACTTCGTAGAACTATTACTTGCTACGTAAAAGTACTATGAAATGCTATAACTTTCACTGTTATCCGTGGGCTGAGTTACTATAACTTTCATTATATAAAGCTTAACTTAACGTCTCTTAAAGAGGAAAAGATTTATGATAGTTTAAAATTTAGAATGTGAATCAACTAATATATCGTAAAGGAAGGTGCTTGTTAAGAGCCACTAAAGGTAAATTTATTTTGGGTTTTTAGTTAAAATGTCGAGAAACAGTAATATATACGGTTAATAAAAAAAAACACTTTAGTTTTCTCTCAAGCAAGGAGAAATATAAAGGAATATAGTTCACAGCTTTGGTAATAAAAATTAAAAAGCACTTCTTATGAAACTTAAAGTATTTGAAACCCTGTTTAGCTTTTTTTGCCAGTATAAGATTATTAATGAAGACCCTTGTTTTCTCTACGTTTACAGTTGCAATACTCGCTTAACCTCACTATGTTTTACATAAATAATTTTAATGGGGAAGTGGTAACAATTTTATAAGTAACTCACCAATAATTTAGCTGAAAGCAGTCTAGTAACTCATAAGAGGCACCCTTCTATGGATTTTTTTTAAATAATATTTAATGAAAACCGGTAGAGATCTACACAAGCAATTTATGAACTATTTCTTAGTAACCAACGCTGTTTTGTGAATAGCAGCCACTGAGCACGTGGCCTGGCAGGTTTCGCAGGACAAGTTATATATGCGGTCCTCTTTTGTTAAGATGGTATTGGGCGACCGACAGGAGTGACACGTGACGTATTCTTTAATGTAGCGCCGCATGACATTTTCGATTTGTTTTTGGTTGAAGCGACCCTTAATGATCAATGTTTGCTCTAAAAAAAAACTATAATAATTTATACCAAACTTAATTATAAGTTTGCAACCCATAGAGGCTGGAGAGCCGAGTTCGCTAGTGAGAAACGCGTGTAGATGCTCTGGTTGCCGATGCAGCGCCTTGCACACGCGATAAAAATTGACAAAACTCGTCCGTTTAGTGGAAATGCGGGTTACTTCAGGGGCCGGGCACACCACTAATCCGTAATTATAATTATAATCATATTAAGTTGAATAAGAAAAGTACACCTCAATTTTTTTTCGATTATAAAATAGAAAATGTTTTTTCCTAAAATCTTTACAACTAACAAATTTTTAAAACATTATAATCTTCAATAAGCGCAGCAACTGATTTAGCGATTTATGCTGTCTGCTAGTAGTTAAACTTTTAATAAACAAGTTGATCAAGAGTAATACAGCAGTAAAGTAAAAATAAAGTAAACGAAATAGTAATTATACAGAAATAAAAATAATTAACCGGGTTTAGATTTTCCTGGATCCATATCAGGGTTACGTAAACGGAGCAACTCTTTTGCGCGATTCAACAACTTTATAACATTTATATATTAATATGGCACACACAAAATTTATGAAAATAATAATAAAAAAGATGGCTAAAAAATTATAAAAAAGGTATTGAATAATTGAATTAAAAAAAGTGAAATAGCTTAACATAAAAAACATACATAAAAGTTTTTAGATTTTTTTTCCCTCTATAAATTCTAAAAATATTATAAAACATCGCAAAAATGCTTAACACCTCAACGTAAGTGTAGTCCCGATCAGAATCCAGCCAGGGATCCGAGGAGTCTTCAGAAGTACGCTTGCCTTCTTTATTATCAAAAACAGCACCATATGTAGGTATGTCTTTACTTTGCTCATCATCAAAGGTTAGCTTGCTAACCGCTAAAATAGATTGAGTTAAGTTAAAACGTTCATAAACTAGTAGTTATTTTTTGAAGAAATAAGTAATAAAAAGCTTTAAAGAAATATTAAAAATATTTTTTAGTAAGGTTCCTATTAATAAACACAATAACATTAAAAAAATAAACCTTTTTTTTTTTTTTTTTTGCCTATCAGAAGTAAACTGTCAAAGTCTGTCGAGGAAATCTCCTTGTTTTTACAAGAAGCTAAGTCAGAGCCTTGTGTTTCCTTACTTTCCCCGGACTCGACGGGCAACTGGTGCTCATTTTCTAAAGATATATTTCCTTCTTCCCCAGATTCAAAAGTTCCCTTCTTCTTCTTCTTCTTCTTTTTCTTCATTGACATATCAAAAAACTGCAAAAAAAAAATTAATTTTTATTTATTTTATCTATCAATAAAGAAAGTTAACGTCTTCTGGCTGCTCCTCAGCTAAATTGCTTTGCTCAAGTTGCATTATCATATGAAAATAAAAACGTCCCGAAAGGTAATTATGATGAAAACAAAGACAGCAAATATATGAAGAGCTCTCTATTTTTTTTTATGTGTAGGAAAGCAAAGAGGGGATAACATCAGCTGCACGTATGTTGAGAACAAAAATTTTCCATTTTTGCTGGAGGATTGTTAAATTCCGCGTGGGGTCCGCATATTTGTTTTTATCTTATTCTATTGATTAAAAACAACAAAAATAGCAATGTTTTTTTTAAACATGAAGTACCAGTGGCAGCTCAATATATCTAACATACCTCCTCTCCCTTTTTGTTTACTTAAAAATAAAAATATTATTAATAATTCTGGATTAAATATGCACCGGATAGTATCGTAGTACAGAGTTTTTAAGCTACTATTATCTGTAAACAAAGTCCAGTTAAATATTATATAGTAACTGCAACATTGAGTTGGGTTGCTATGTGTTTTGTGACAATAATCATTTATCAGAGCTTTATGATAAACAGTTAAAAGGCATAATTAAGAAACAAACGTCCTTTCTTTAAAATTTTTTTTGTAATGATAGGGTCATTATTTGAAAGAAACCACCATTAAAAACTTTAAAAAATATAGGACATTATCAAGAAAAAGGTCAAAATAACTAAAATTACTTGTTATAGCCCTTTTGGCCTCAAAAATTGATCTATGTCATTGTTTATTAAAAAAAATTATGCTTAAGGGAGTCTAATTAGTTCGTCGCCTATACAAACACGACTAGCTATGCTTATTTTTAATGATCTTTTGTCCACTTAAGTCACTCAAAAATAATTTTAAACTATTAGTACTATCATGCTTCTATCAAAATAATAGTTTTTTATTATTATATCATAAATATTATTTATAAAATAACAACCTACTTTGGTTAAGAACGCTGGTATGCTGTACATACGCTTCTATAAACCAGTTATTGGGACTACCAATTTATTTTTCTGGAAAAACATTTTTCCTATACTCTTTCCAACGAAAATTTTTTGCTTTGGGGAGAGAAAAATCGGATGTTCTACTTAGCAATGAAACTTGCTGTATTAAAATTCCTGGGCTTACAAGTTGGTTATCATAGCACTTTACAGCTGTTATTAAACAAGGGTGGCGGCTAAAACAACGTTAACAGTTTGGTTTTTAAACAAAATTAACAGCCATTATTATTCTCAGTGACTGTGGGAGACCACGAAAATGTGTTTGCCTACTTTAATTACAATTATTTAGCGTTTGATAGTTTGTCTGTTTTTATGTTTTTCTTCTTAGTAAAAGAGGTAGGTGAGGCCCATTATATAAATTTTAACGAGTTACATTATTAAAAAAGCCTTTAAAGGATACATAGCTGTATATTTAATAGCACGAAAATTAATAATCTCTATATAAATACAATTAAAAGTATATAGAAAATTAACAATTTTTTCAAAAATAAAAAAAGTGTGCGGGCAAAATTTAACATCTGACAAGCCTCATGTTATGCAATCGTGGACCAAACTTTAAAATACAATAATGTTCATCAATATGAAACTTCATTACGGCAAATACTTTTTTATGTATATGCTGTATATATAGTTTATATAAAAATACTAGAAACTTCTGGGATTCGTTTAATAATAATGAATATACTATCGAACAAGTTGCTATAAATAATAAAAAATATATTAGAGTTACTTATTATTATAACTTAAATCATAAAATAAAATTAATTCTTTTTTTTTGATACTCTTAAAAAGCATCAAAAGCTCTTCTTCAGTAACAAAAACTCTTATTCAAGGGAGGATAATATAAGAACAATACTCCTAAATAGGCTCATTAGGCAACCTTACTTCAATGCTTACCAACTTCTTCTTTTTAATAAAGGTGGTTATTCCAGGAATATTAGTAGAAATAATAATTTCTGTAATTAACTCTTACTGTAAAACATCATAATTTTATACAAGAGAAGTTAGAGATCACTAAAGAGTTCGAATTAAAGGGTCTCAGTTTAAAGTAGGGAATTACGACACTAATTTGTTTTTGAGGTTTGTTCAAAAAAGTGGAGCGGATGTTTAAGCTTACCGACCCTGTATTATCTGAAGAATCCGTCAACTCACCTTCATAACATAGAATATTTATAGTTCGACTTTTAAAAAAATTAATGAGTGGCAGTCTCAAAGTTCTTAGGGCATGAAGTTTATTAGTTAATATATAATAAGAACTGGGCGTAAAAAAGTCCATTTGTTAAGTCACCTTATGAGGAAGCTACCTATGGGTTAAACTTTTAATAATAAAGCACTTAGCTATATAGTTATACGATCGCAAGTTGACAATATCTAAGAGTTACCTAAAAATATATTTTAAAAGTGAGATTTCTTTAAGAATCACTTATAAAAATAAAATTTGTAGCATTGATAACAAATATCTTTTACAAATGCCATTGACTGACAAAAAACAAATATTTATAACTATAGAAAGCTACTGTGTTAGTATTCCACGAAATTAATTTACTTTAAGTTATAATAGATATCCAGTAACCCTCTTGTATGCACATGCTCCTACATTATATTTGTTAATTTACTTTAAAAATGAAAGCTGGATACTACGCTTGCAGCAAATAAACTGACAATATTCTAGGCCTTTAACGTGCTTAACTAATTTAAAATAAAGTTGGGCAACTGTGGAAGAACTCAGAAGCTTTATAAGGAAAAGAACGAGGAGCCCAAATAAGTATATGATGGAAAGAATTTGCAATGACTTCATATTAAAAAGTAATAAGAACATCATTACTTTAACATCCGAAGGGAGGTATATTACGTCCTAATAACATCTTGATTAAAAGCAACTAAATTGACTTCAGAACTTTTAGAACAAAGTCAAATAATTAAAATTTTATCATTTTAGCCTTGGTAAACTTTCTGATAGTTTATTAAACATAATTTTGGTATCACTTTGCTATAGATATTTTTAAAACTGGTTATCTTACTTTATAATTATCCTGAAAAAAAACTTGCAAATATTTTCTTTAAAAATTTTTTGAGTGCAAATCAATATGAACCCTATTCGTTTAATTGTAAGTAGCTTGTCTTTTTTCCCTAGTTAGCCAGCCAAGTAAGACACGAAAGGTTAACGTATATTTATTATTACTAATAATAAAGTTTCACTACTTTATAGTCTAACTTTCCTTTACACAAGATGCTTTATTTTCATCATCACCTAAGTTATTAAAAATTTATTTACTTTTTAATAGTTTCAATATCCATGTAAAGTTCACAATGTGAATTTTGAAATATTCTTAAAACCCTTTTTCATTACCATAATAGTTTAATGTTAAGCTTATAGAAACACTAAAAAACAGATAATAAAAAGTTGTTCTCACTTCAAAATTAAAACAATACCTCTCTATGAGACGCAACGTAGTCGATTTATAAAAATACATCCTCTTTCTCCGCATCTTGTTAGGGCTTGATACCTTAGATGTATATGATTCTTCCCCTTCAAGATGGGCTCCCTCTTTTTAGTTTTGTGGGGGTCTGTTTCACTGTGATAGGCTAAAAGCTACCCAAAAAAAATAAAAAAAGAAGAGTACAAATTTTTTTTAATAAAATACCAAAGTTTCATGTATCTAAGCGATACAAACCCAAAATTAGGACCACCACTTTGGTTTCTTTGTTGTTCTGTAGCATTGCACTTCACCTCTAGTATCAAGAAAAATAAACAATTTACTAAATTTGGAGTATGTGAAAATTACTGTATGAACCCAATTAAATGAACGGTTAATATAATTAGATATCATTTACAAGATAAGGGGGTGCCTTAAACTTGACACCTTAAAAAATCCTTAAAAAATTTCCCACCCTCCCTAAGGGTGAACGTCCAGTTTGCGGTATGTTAAAAAATCTAACAGATAAAGAATAATGCTTCAGTTCGAGTCTGGTACCCCCAAGAAAAGTTTATCATTACTAAATTAACTAAATGTAGGAATAATGAAATTTTATTTAAATATAAGGAGATATGCTGTTTAAAACAAAATCATTTCAATAAGGTAATGCCTTATTAAGTAATATTATACCCCCCCAACCCTAAAGGTGGGCGTTCCTCTCTGACTTAACAAATGGTAACCCAAGCCTTTTAGGCTAAAAATATATAAATGAAAACTCATTCTTTAAAACGCTTTAACTACAGAGCCCCAAATAATAGACGAAGAAGATATATAGGCTATTTTATATTGAAACTAAAACCGAGTTATGCGGAAAACCGAACTTTCCAAACTTACTGGCATTGTGAAAAATTTAATCTCTCAAGAACACTATTTAGAAAGAAATCAAACGATTCACTAAAGTATGACTAAATTGTAAGAAATGTTGTTGCTGTGATAAGAAACGTCAAAAGTCTTGAGTTATTTAGTTTTTACCTCTATAAACCTAGAGCTTAAACTTACTATAACAGGTTAAAATATATACTTGTAAAGCATTGAAATACTAATAATTATAAGGTTTAGAAAAGATATATGTATAAAGATCAAAAAAAGAAAATAGTTCACAACCAATCGACTAGCTGACAGACGCAAACACACTTATGGGAACTCCAAGTATATCAAAAACTAGTTATGGTTCTAAAATTTAAACTGGCCTTCTATATTCAACTTTGAATTGGTCATATCAAAAAATAATTTATCTTTAATTAGCATTCGATCCATATGACAGTATACATTCAGTTCCACATAGGGTACCATTTTGCGAGGTTATGTAAATTAGCTATAATAGGATGTTGCTTTCACATAACACACCTAAACGCGCTTTAAAAGCTAGGTGTGAAGTGACCCTGGCCATCACAAGAAAACAAGAATAAAACGATAACTGCTATGTTGTTTATTAAATAGGTATATAGATATATATACATAGATATCAAGCTTTTGCCTTTTATGTCTGCTTATGGATCGCGACATCTCCGAAAAATCATTCAAAAATAAAATTCAATAAAGATTACACTTCTAAAATAATTTTAAGTTAGTACAAAATAAGAATAATTGATCTATATTTGCACACTGCGAGCTAACAGTGGTATAAAAAAGCACAGCAAACATATCATAGTATTAAAATTTGAAGCAGAAAAGTTAATCCACGATGGAGTAAAAAGGACTGGTAACTATGGAATGGTATTTTTAGCCAAATTTATAATTTATTTAATAAAAAATTGTTACTGCACGATTTTAATGGTTTAGAATTAAATTAAAATTGGTTTACATATGTTTTTTATCTATGTGTATCTTGTTTGTTAATATTGGATTTTAAACAATAGAGCTAGGACAGTTTAATAATCAATTTCGAACCTACTAGTTTGCACTTCGAAACTCTCATTCTGCTTAACCATTTGGAAGGAACACTAGTTTTTCAAAAAAATAATATTTTAATTAACTAAATTAATAAAATATGATATACCTACAAATCAATAAATATTGGTAGTACAATACGGTCATTTATTATAAGAGACTCTGAACTGATAGCTCGTCAGTTAAAAAAAGCAAAGTAATATACAAAATTTTAACAAGAAATGAAATTGGAAAAATAGATATCGGTATGTTTATGATAAAATAAAGTAAAGTAGAAAATTAATAAAAAGAAGACCTGAAAATGCTTTGTTATGGTTAGTGGCATTTATTGGATCCTCTAAAAAAATTCAAAATAATATACATTTCAATTGTAAATAAATATCATGTAGCTGTTTTAATCAAGTTTAAAAAAGTACATAATTAAAGGAGGGTAGAGAAGAGATTTCGATCAAAAGACGCCAAGATACATTATAATTTGTAGCTAATTATATGTTTTTTTAAATATGATAAAATAATGCTCACTTCAATTATTTATAAAAAGTGTGTAACTTTTTTTTATACCAAGTTCAATAAAAGGAAATTTTTAAGTTGGTTAATGGAATGCAACAAATTTATTTTTTCTATCAATAACCATGGCTTACGATATTAGTCGCGTCCTCCTATTATTACTGATCATAAACTGGCCTAGTGTTTTAAAGTTATATATGAATAACATCAAGGGTCACCCCTTACTAACCTTTAGTTTAAGATTCATTTTTATGTAGGTTAAAATGATTTTTTGCTTTATAATACTTAATAAACATGGAAAACCCAGATTTTCGAAGTTTTATGAGAGAATGGTTAATATTGTATATTATTATATTAATTTAAAAATCCTTATGGTTATTCTGAGAACGTGGAAGAGCAACAAAAGTTCGTAAAACAAACTTTTTGTGTCATATCTAAGAAAACCTTACAAGATTGCAACTTTTTTTTTTACAAAACGTAATATTTCGCGCTATATACTTGCACTTCCTCTTAATATAAATCTTGCAGAGGCATATATATTTATTTCATATTATAGGCTTATAAACGGTCAAGAAGCAAAAATTATTTTTAGAAGATACGCAACTTTGTACATCATTGTGTGTGTTAACTGCTGTGAAAGCGAACTGGGGATACTCGATCTAATTCAGGTTTGCAGAGATGTTTTAAGTATTATTAGCCAAATAATACTTAAGTTTTTGAAATTTATATAAATTTTACGGTATAAGTTCTTTAACACAAACTATTTTGGTTTTTTAGGTCTTTGTTGAGATTTTAGATGTTTATTTTCCTAATGTTTGTGAACTTCATCTAATTTATCATACAGAGAAGGTTCTTGTTATGATAAAATTTTATATCTAAGTATAATTAAAATAATTAGCCTACTTGAGCCGAATATTTTGTTTGAAGTACTATATCTTCCTCGTAACTTATCAGGTTCATCAAATACTCGATGAAATAATTGTAGGAGGAATCGTTGCTGAAACGAATTCTTCTCTTGTGTTCGAAGCTTTGAATGTATTTTAAGTCCAGTATACTTTATTTTTTTTTTACGCCTACATACATCCTGAAGGCCCAAGCAACTGTAGCAAAAAAAGAATTGGAAAACTTGAACAAAGTTTTATTGGAATATGATGGTCTTACCACGATTATTAAAAAATAATAAGGAGTTTTTATCATTTAACCAGTATAAGCTTATAAGGTAGAAGTTGGAAGCAAGCCTTTACTTGTTTATAATTTTGGTTAACGTGCTAGTTTTACAGAGTTTAGTTATTAGACGGTTGCCACCCTTTATGGTTGAAGTTTTCTTTGTAGCCTAATTAAAAAATAGGATCAGTTATAAAACCAGTCTTAATACAAAAAAGGTGAAGGTTGGTTGAATTTAAGTAAAAAAAATGAGGTAGGTAAAGGATGGAGATGCCTGCTAATTTTTCTTCGTAAATTTTAAAAAAATTAACCAAAAAATTATGAAAAAATTTCTTTTACATTGAAACAAGTTGCTCAGCATATTTCTTTTGAGGACAATCTTTAAACTGACTGAACGAATAGTTCAGAATAACACCACGAATAACATTATGGAGCTTAAAAGTTTTAATTATCATTCCGACTATATTTCAATACTTACTTGCTCTATAATTATTGAAAAAATAAGTTCGTTATTTTTGACCTAGAAGACAAGTAACAGTTAATCTTTAAATGATATCCTTAATCTTGTACACTATCGTTCAAAATTGTTTCTGTTTTAAATTTTTTCGTAAAAATTCTATAACGCTTTAATTAATATTTGGTTATGTTAATCCCTTATATATATATAAGTTTAGGTTGATATTTATCCAACGTAGCTTGTATTAGAGGAATTGCTTTCTTACTTAAGTCTATTGCTCTTTACAGTTTAAGTATCGATTGAAACGATTTTGCAGGTGACCATTTTATGCAAAATTGTTTCAACCTTTATACGAAATTTTCACGATCGCTCCGTCATACGGAGTTTATTTTAAAGCATTTGAGTGGACTGTAAAGGATAGCTTATTTAGAGACCTTAATTTAATGCGTAAACTTTCAATCGATAAAGAAAATGATGTAAAAATGTCTTTTAGATCAAGAAAAGCCTTATACTTACATCGCACATGAATCTGGTGTTAGTAAGGTCACATTGCTTGGATCAAAGATCAGTATGATCCAAATCATCCTTGCAATGAACCTGGGCGCCCGAAGATCTTGAAAAACCTGGATGTAGCTCGACTTGTACGACAAGTGACATTGGGTTAAATTGAATCCGCACAGAAAGCTTTCAAACAGAAACAACGTTAAATAATCCAGTGTGTAGGTCGGTCGTCTCGGGAGCATTGCATTCTCCTGGTCTCCATGAGAAAAAAAAGGTTAATTAAAAAACCTCACTTTGACAGACCGTCACAAGCGACTAAGATTTGAGTTTGCGAAGAAGTGAAAACTGGTCAATTTCTAACTGGAAAAAGTAATTTTTTCGAATAATACCAAGATCAATCGATATGGTTCAAATGGTATTAGGTGGTGTTGGAAGCGATCCAGCGACAGTCAAGTACTTGATCACCAGGTAGTACAAAAGTAATAAACATGGGGGAGGATCAATTATGATTTGGTCCTGTATAACACATCTAAGGGAGTCGAATACTTGGAAAAAGTGACAGATAGCGCCAGTGCAAGCGTGTATTTAAACATAATGATTTACCCAGAACATTGGTATGGCCTTGCTCTTGGTGAAATGGTTCTTCCGCAGGAGAATGACCCCTGTCAAATTGCACTATCGGTATGATCATGGCTCCAATTACAGTCTTTCCAAGTGCTAGACTGACTTCCGCAATCTCTTGATCATAACCCCATTGGGTATGCATGGGAGATCTTGAGAAAATTGGGATCATACGAATCAGCTCCTGCTAACTTGGACGAGCTTTGGACATGTGTGCAACCAGAATGGAAAATATAACACCCGGTCAATGCTACAATTTGATCGCCAGCATGCCAAAGAGGATACAGGCAGTGATTCTGGCAAAAAGGAGCTATACTAGTTACTAAAACCTTGTTTATTAAACTAAATTTTTTCTATGTGCAGAATTGTTTCTACAATCTTTCAACTTTACAAGCTCATAACCTTTCGAATCATTTTAAGATCAAGTATTAGCATATTGTAGCTAGAACATAGGTGTTTACTGTGTATAATTTTAAGTATTCATTACGTTATTTAAAAGTTATTCTATACTAAATAAAAAAAGCAAAAACATTGAAACAATTTTCTACGGTAGTGTACTTTACGAAAACGAGTACGAAAAAAAGAAGCACAAGGGAAAGGAAAATGACACGCAGTGCCAGCAAGTTCAAATATAATCAAAAATATTAGAATAAAGTTTTTTTTTAAATAATTTGTATAAGTTTATGTTTATCTCAACATTGTTGTTTGTTGGCAGGGTTATTTAAGTTAATGACTTTCATTTATTAAGGTGGCAGTTTAGTAATTTATATAGTTAAGGGAGAGTTTAATTGCTTAAATAAAAAATTCTGCTGAAAATAGTTGCTTAGTCCGTTTGCTGATCTGTTAAATAGTTAATGGATTTTAGTATTGTCATTTTTTTAACGGCAAAGAAGTATGGCTTGGGCTCTCCCCATTTCGCTAGTGTCGTAAAGAAAGTTCTCTGACTTTCAGCTAAAAAACTCCACATTTAAAGGGTGGCTTTCTATGTTCCAATTTTATAAATTATAATTTATATTATAGGCAGCAGCTCCTCTTGTCGTGGGCCCTGTGACTAATTTAAATAATGAAGTGGCCAAAAGAATGCTTATACTGTTTTCTAAGAGTCGCCCCATTCTTGCAGAAGGTTATTAGTTTTTGTCGGCTAGGCAATTTTCCGTTGCGCATATTGGTTATTTCATGCCGAGTGTATACTGTTATCCTAACATTTAATGATTTAATAATTATTTACAATAGAGCGTAAAGTTGAAATTTAAAAGCGGTTTTCTCTATGCTTGAAATATCCTTCAGCATTGACAACTTTGTTACTTTCGTGTGGCTCCCAGGCACTGACTTGAAGGCGTAAGACTGTCTTTTCTTGCGTGCCCGTTCAATAGGCGAAGCCCTCATATGTCTTCGTAACGAACGGAGAGAAGGTGCATAGTGCCAAGAGCTCTTAATTAGATTACAAATATGAACGAAACGAGCTACTTGAATCTATTAACATTATTAAAAGCTGCTCTTGGTGTAAGCTTTACAATGACGTCCTGAATATTTTTAAAGGCCTGGTAAGTTGGTGTTCAATAGAAGGCATCTCAACGATAATTTCATGTTACGAACACGCTCTGATTACCTATAAAAGGACTAAAATGCACAAATAGCCATTTATTATTTTTGCTCTGCTCTAATTGATTTGAATTATGTAGATCAATATTTGGTCATTTAGTGCTTAAGTTCTGTGGTTTCTTATCCACTGGTCAATTCGAAATATAAGGCCTTTATGGTGGATTGAGGAACCCCATCTTTTCTAGTATATGTAACAACTCTATTATCTTTTAACGTAATAATAAATCACAATTAAGAACCGGTTTGAATATTTTTATACTTGAAGAGAAGGGAAAGTATATATGCCCTATTTTTAGCATTTTTAAAAACAAACCACCTTACCACAGTAGGGTAGCAATTCCGTTTTAATGAGATGAAACCCTCTCTACTAGGATATCTTATAAAAATAAGTAACTCATAAACAATATATAATTGGTTTCTAATTTTATATATACACGGACATAAGGGTTGATAATCTATTTGACCAAAAAAATTAATTTATTTGGGGCTAGGGGTTGGTCAGCAAGGCTACCTTTATAAGTACATACGGAGAAAATTTGTTGAATGATAAAGGACTAGTATTCTAAGTGCTTAAGAAACCGAATTTCCTATAAAAATAATTAATTTAGTGTCACTATTCGATAAATCGTGTCAAATCATGTTTCTTCTTACATTAGCCACTTATATAAATTTGCAAAAACTTATAAGCCCCCTTCTATTTTCTAGTAAACTTAAGTAAGTTGCTTTCAAAGTTGTGCGCAATAGTTTTGATTAGGAATTTACATTCCAAATAAAATTTATGGTACTCTTTGTTAATTTAGACGGTATTCATCAAATTATTCAGTAGCACACACCAAAATCTACGAGTTAATTGAAGAAAAAATTGGTTCTAGGGAGTATTATTAGAGTCAATAAGCTGTTAGATAAAATGCATATATAAGCTGAATATAGAAGGAATACATCAAGCTATTTATAGTATACACACTTAACTTGATGTTATTGACTGAATTCTAGTATGACTAAACTTTAACATACTGACGCGTGGAACTTAATCGAGAAAACTTTATTAAAAAGACGATTATAATAAGTATTTAAAAACTCTTAATTTTTCAACTCGAGGAGGAAATGCGACTAGTAGCGTTACAAAGATGCCCCACAGGTAATAGCTCTTGCCTTTTACTTTGTCAAAAATTACCAGTACAAACGCTTTTTGGAGAGATGGGTCGATTCTTAGAAGACCTCGTTATACGAAGAACTCGCCACCTGCTAAACTGTAGCGGAGCGTAGTTATTAAGTCATATTTTTCATAGCCTCTTGCACTTATAAAGGAATCCGATAACACAAAAATCCTCAAAGATATGGTAGATTACATTTTTAAATATTTACATAACAACTTATTTTTTTACTCCTTTTTATTTGGTTTTTTTATAAGACAGTCGGCAATATTTAACTTTCAAAGTTTGCTGATTGTTATTGTTCTCGCTATTTGTACCTGCACTTACTTAAAAGCAATATTTCCTTCCCTGATCAAGCAACAAACTGGAATGCGTGGAACTTTCTGGAAGTTAGCCAGGATCGGTACTAAAAATTTTTACAAATTTAAAGTTTTTGAGTCCAAAAACTAAATTTAATTTGAAAGCTTTAATTAGTTTAGTCCTTTATTATACCATATTTATTTTATATACAAGTACTTTTAGAATAATACTATTTTGGTATTGTTAATGTATAATATAAAAGTTATTAGTCTACTTTATATCTAAAGGGAGATTAAATTTTGTTTTTTACTGGACTTTATATTTTACCTTTAATTTGTAAAACTTTTTAAAATTTATGTATTTTTTCTAGAGAAATTTTATTTTTTTCAAAATTTTTAATTAACTTAGGCTTTTTGTCTTCCGACTCGTTAAGCATTTCCTTATTTTTCCTCGAAGATTATAAAAATTAAAATAGCAGTTATCCCTCTTAAACAACTTTTTATTATAATTGTGCCTTAACTTTTTACTCTGAAATGTTTTTTTTTAAAAAAAAAATAAGTTAACGTATTTTTAATTTTTTTAGGAGAACGACTGAGTCTCTTTGTTTCCTTTTCATGTGTTGCTTTGGGGTTCTGGTGCCTTATTAGTTGAAAGTTAATAATAAAAAAAAGTAATCTCGGTATTAAAACTTATTTCGATCTCCTTGAAACATGAAATTTGTTTGTATAATTTCTTATTTTACACTCGAATCATCTAAAATTAATTGAATTCATTATTACAATAAAAAAATCTTACAATTGCTTAACCAACCAGTGAGAAGGTAGGAAATGCATTATTTAAGTTAGTTAAATTTAGTTTAACTGCTCAAATCAAAACTAATTTTAAGCATTCTATTTTGAATAAATATAAAGAGAAAGGTAGCATCCAATATAAATTCTATAGCATCTTGCGCTACGCTGAGAGGCCCCTTGCCCTGCGAGTGTGTTGTTGTAGGCTCATACAGAATATGCTTTTCACACTTTGATCTTTATTTTAATAAAGCATTCTTTTATCTTGCAAGTAAAATAACTTGTTCACTTAAGTAAATTGTAATTAGGTATAAACCTGCGAAAGATAGATATACACCTGTTTAATAAGTTTCGTATGTAAAAAGGCAGTGGTAATGCCAGTTGTTCAGGTAGGCACTTGTTTAAGGTTTGCAAATTTTAACATTGGTCTAAACCTTTTTTTAGATAATACCGGTAAATAAGTTTTCTTGTAGTCTTCTACGTCTTTGGTTTGATGGAAATCTCTCGCAGTGAGTCCACATTTGTATAAATTGTCTTTTTAGATATATTAAACCTCTAAGTGGTAATAACAATATTTCATGTCGGGAGGGGGCTCCCGTAAACTTTCGGATAATACAACAAAATAAGAAAAACGCAAAACATAGAGCATATAATGCTTAATTTCCAATTTATTATATGTAGTTGAGGTCAACCTTCCGAGAGACAAGCATAATTAAATATTTACTGAAGGTATGTCGTGAGCGTCGCGCGCTTTCTTTTTCTTTGTTGTTTTACTGTTATCAGTATTTATCAGGTGGTGAGCCTTGTGCTACTCAGGCGGCTCAAGAGCAATTTGATAATTATTACAATTTTTGATTAACTCTACATTATATTTCTTTGGTATAAACATAATATAACTCTTTCATATGTATATAAATTATTGGTCCTTGAATTTATCGAGCTTGAAAGGTTAACAAATTAAAAAAAGATGACCAAAATGTGTTTAATAAACCGTAAAAAAAAATTTAACCAATAAAAAAACGGCGATTACGGTTAACTAAAAAAATTAAAAAAACCAAATAAGGAAAACAAATTTCATTAACCAAATAAATAAACAATTTTTTTAAATTGATAGGAATAAGCTACTTACATATATATGGAAATAAATTTATTTTTGTAAAAGTATAAATACAGATCAAACTGCTCAGTGGGCTTCTCCTCTTAACTTGAAACGCACTCCTTCTACTTATTGTGCATTTTTTTATATCTTGCATAACCCAGCATGTGGTATTTATTCATATTTTAATACATTCATTTTAGTTTTATTTATCTTTCTTACTATAAATTATGATAGAGTACGCCCACAGGTTCCGAAAGTAACTAGACTCAGCTGCCGCAGGCCTTGTAGTACTTAAACCTAAGACAATTAGTGTCATACAATACCATCCACCTCTTTTCAAGTTTCCGACGATTAACAAAAGAGAAGCTCATCAATAAAGGATACCTAAAACCTTTAATATTTGTGACTTTCTAATAAAATACTGTATCATTTTCTTCTATTCTAAGGTTAAGTTTATCTAAAACACTATATCTACCTACTATATTTATATCATTAAAGTTATCTTCAAAGTTGTTAAACAAGTAATGTCCTCAAAAATATTTAAAACTTTGCAAAGTTTACTTTTTTTTATATACTTAACCTTAAACCAAAATTAATCCTCTCAGAAGAAGTTTAATTGGAAATGAGTCTTGTAAATCGCCTGCTGAAATAAAACAAATCCTATCGTGTATACTCAAGTTACTATCCCATAATTCTTGTAGGTCGAAGGAGCATTGTTAGTTCAGCTTAACCTGCTTAAAAAGGTGTTTTTAAGAATTTTTTATTATCTCCTCTAATTTTTAAATTCTAATGACCACAAGCTTATTTTTTTCTCATACTTTTAACCAATTCATTGATAATATGAGGATTTTGGTGACCTAGCGTTCAAAGAATAGGGCAATTAGGTTATTTGCCTCAACAAAAGTAACAACTAAATATCATGATTGGCTATAGCTTTAACACTAAATAAAAGTAACTAAATTTATTCGACATTTTTTATTTTTACATTAAAGTTGTACCTCAAAATTAGTATATTACAGTAATCAAACTTATATAGCTTAATTCCTATTGTTACTTGCTAAACCTTTAAAAATCTTTTAGTGGACAATTTACTTTATTTTGCAAATACATTGCGAAATTAAGGTTTTTTATTATTATTAATGAAATAAAAAAATTTTAAAGCACTCTACTTAAGCAGTCAGCATTAAGGTATTATAGTCGGCCACCAGAAGCAACAAAAGTTATTTTAATACTTTAAAACTCATTTGAGAAACAAAGTTAAGGGAACTTCCAGCACATATGGGTCTATAATCGCATATAAAGGTATCATATCACAAATTTGTAAAGATTATAGTTACATTATAGTGAAGTCTATATAACAGCCTTCTACAACATTGCTTGTACTTATTTTCACCTCTGGCATAAAACTTTTTGAATTTAAATTAGCATTTACTTTTTGAAAACTTCCTAGTTATAGAAGTAACAAATTTAAAATAAACGAAGGCTAGGAAATAATGGAAGTGGGCGTGTGTTTAAAAAGAGTGTAACAGGCATGTAAGCAATGACAATGGTAAAAATTAAACAGTCTTAACACCATTTTAGTATATTTGAAGTGTACCTTTTTTTACCTCCATTATGTAGTATGAAAAAAGGTTAAAATAAAATAACTTTTTTTAAGAAAGTATATTGGACTGAGATTTTTTTTCGCACTACGAGAGGTAGTCATCTGACCTTCGGGGTTAGCTCCTCTAAGTCGTCAACACCGCTTACGCCCATAAAGGTAGTGCTAGAGTCACTCCAACTAACCCCCAACCCCAGTCCTCCAAGGTTACCATACCATAAGGGTTTCGATTAGATTTAATCCCTCTTGCAACTGCTTAAGCAATATTTGACTTTCTGTACCCAATTTTACACTTCATCGTACGGTCTTTAAATACCTCAAAAACTTCTTTTTCTTCCTAACTTTCTCTCCTTCTTTCTTGCTTAAATCCCTGCCTAACAGCGCAAAGGTTTAAGGGCGTACTTTATGTGGCACTTTTATTATCACAGCGTTATCTTCTAAAAAATGTACTGCCCGGAGTCAGTTTCTAGACACTTATATTTTAAATGTTTTATCGTAGAAAAACCAAGCCTATTAACAATTATAAAAGGTTTAAAAGATATTTAACTTATCTATGTAGCCAAATTAATTATAACCCTCCACTGTAAGTTCAGGGAAGATAATACTAATACCTTAAATAATTGGCTAACCTTAATATAAAGTCTGTACTTACTAACACCTAAAAAATAAACTTAAAAACGTAACCACTATAGACCGAAAAGATGGTCGCTTTAGTTGAATCGAACCCGCGTTCTTTATTCTTAATCGCAGAGCTACGAAGACCAGACCCTCTCAATCCCGTTATTACGTTTTTTTTAACCTGTTATTATCTACTAATATACATAAAGAATTCTAAAAATATAAATTCGCTCTGCAAAACTAATTTTTATCTTAAAAAAATCTTCATCAGGTGTAGTCACAAAAAGCAAAGTCAATGTAGAGTACTGGAACCCTAGCACTCAAAAATAAAGTAGAGGTTCATAAAAGAGCTTAGTTTGCAGGACCGAAAGAAGAAAAACCGCACTAAATAGAATCAGGTGTTTAAAAGTAATTTTAGAAATAAAAACTTAAAACTCTCGAACAAACCTATCTATATAATAAGTTTAAAATTTTTACAGAGCAAATATTCTTTAGACACGGTAGAAAAGTTACCAAACTTTAATAAATTAAATAATATGCAAAAAGGATGAAAAAGCTTATGTTTCACTTTTTATAGATTATACTTAAAGTAGCGTTGTTTCTGTACGAATAGATCAACTGATAAACCAATAAAACAGAGTTAGACAGAAGTTTCTTTTCGGGTGTCTGAGTTTTTTGCATCATCACCCAATTTATGTTATGTGGCCGTATTAGGGCCGGAGCGGTGCGATGCTTGCCGGTTAAGTTAAGTTATTATCTTTATGAAGGCTCTTCTTCCAGTGTTAGCAATCTTCACTCGACTTTAGCTTATTTTTATAGTTCGTATGAGCAGGACATAACGAAATCTGCTTTGTCTTTACAGAGAGTTTTGATTGTCTATAAATTTTCACGGTTTGAGCGAGAGCGCGCTCGCCATCCATATTTTACGGAAAAAGAGCTTATTTGTAATTTAAAGGCAAAAGGTCTTCAAATTTTTTTTTACTCTTTTCTGTGAACGCTTATATTATTTTATACCCCTTATAAGGCTCTATCTTTACCGGTTTAAAAGAACGTTACGAAATTCATCAACGTCACTTAGATGAATTAGTTTGTATACTAAAAAGGAGGGGCTCTGAACTTAAGGCAATTTCTGTTGTTGAATATAATAGCTCCCATCTTGATGACGCGGACACTATCATTTCTGCAGGTTCTTGTACTATTAATTTATTTAAGCAAATATGACTGGTTTAACGTAGATAACTTATATTGTCGGAATTATATTTATTTTCTTTAAAAAAAGTTCCTAAGTTTTCACAAACTACCAAAGAGATGTAATTATTCTATAAGTAATCATACATTCCTTACTATATACTAAATTACGTTTGAGCGGCGGAGAGCACCTTTTAATGATCTTGATTTGCTTGTACTTATTAATTTCATAAATGATTTTCTATTATGCCTACAGGAGGTGATGGCACCTTCTTAGAAGTCTCTTCAAAGGTAAAGGGAGGCTCACGTATTCCAATTATTGGAATCAATACTGATCCTGAAAGATCCGCTGGTCACCTCTGTTTACGCTTCGCAAGCTGCGATGGAAAGCCACGTGGATTGGAAGAGGTTGTGCAGCGCCTTTTAATTGGCCAGTTCAAGTGGCTTAAGCGAAATCGCATCCAAATCACTGTCGTCTATTCGGACATCGACAAGCGCATTCTGCCCGACTTGGCTTTGAATGATGTTCTTTTTGTGGAAAATAATCCCTCGAAGACCTGTTATTATGAAATTGAGGTCTGCGGTTTGCGAGATCGGTCGGGCAGGCAGATTATAAATATTAAAGAAAAACAGAAATCCTCAGGTTTTTTGGTATCCACTGGGACAGGCTCTAGTGCGTGGCTTTTTAATACCAAGAAACTCTGGAAAGACGACGTTTCAGAACTTATAAAAATAGTCGAGAGGAGAGCCAACGTTGATCTCTCGCATTTAAGCGTAGGAGACATTACTGATGAGTACAATGAGTCGATCGTGTACCCCCCTGACGATCCCCGCATGAAATTCGGAGTCCGAGAGCTAATTAATTCTGGGATCTTCAGAGGGCACGTCCACAAGGGTTACGCCCATAAAATTATAATAAAGTCGCGTTCTGAAGCCCGATTGGTGATTGATGGCGCGAGAAGCCACCAGTTACATCCGGGTACCTCTGCGATTTTTGAGATTGTGCCAAGCCAAGCCGTGCACACTGTGAGCTTCTAACTTTCGAGTAACACAGGCGAGTATATACGGGAAGTTGAGTACATTTGCTGATTTATAATAAAAGGCAGTTTTTTCTTTATATTTTACAGCTATGTGTCTTCCTTAGAGAGCGGCGTCATGTAAAGCCAACCTCCATGCGAGCTTTTTTGAAAGTGTTTGTTAACCCAAATAACATTTTTTTTCTCCCTGTCCTCGGCCTCCTCGCGCTTTTAAAAATCCGCTTAGTTTATAAAGCTAATGAGCAGGTGATAATAGGGGACCTGAATTTTTTCGAGCTTGCTTTTTTCTTCAGTAGCCTTGGCGATGTCCCCCCTTTTTAGGGCATCACTCACATTTTTCCACCTCCTTGCGGAGCAATAAAACTCGGTGAAATTGAGAACATGTTCATCTATCGCTATTTCACCTTCTTGACTCGTCTGCGCCTTGTTTGTAAATCGGTTTGACTCGTTTTTTAATGACCTTCAAATTCTGTGTGTCCGCAAAAAGGTTTGTTTTCTAAACAAAGGAGATGCTTTACGCAACTGTATAACTTAAGTGTTTAACTTATGCCTTTGTAAAGGCATCTGTTATGTAAAGCTTGTCATTCCATTTTCCTTCGATGCTGCAAATTTCCTGGTTATTTGCATCTCGCACGGAGCAAGTAATACAGTGGGGCGCCCCTCCAAAAACGGGCTAAAAAAGCGAATAAATTAACACAAAAACAATCGCTGGTGGCATTAAGGAGTGTTCATGCTACGGACTAAACGAAACGTTTATATAAACCTTTGAAAGAAATTCTATATTAGCTTGAAATGACGACTGTTCGCAGTGTATTACCGTCTTCCCTAGTAATGAAATAAATTTTATAACAATACCGAGCTAGACTCCACCTATAACCTGTGAGTTCCACCCATGGAACGCTTAGTATGGATCTCGCATAAGCACTAGGCCATGTTATAGTATAGTCTTAATAGTTATTTTCTAAAGACTACACTCGAGGGGCAGAAGTTGCAGGAGTTACCTTCTTCAAAGTCCAAAAGAGAAAGCTTAGCTTGCCCAATGCTGCAATAAGCAGTAGATATATAATGGGAGCGCAGGGATGCTCTAAATAATGTTACTTCTGGACCCCCACAGACGTCCCCAAGAACTTAGACTTGGTGTGAATATAGGAGTTGATGTATACTCTTTTCTTTTTGCTTTCGGCATAGAAGGCAGAAACTTCCTCCAATACAATACTGAGCGTCAGTAACGAGGGCGCAGCATAAACACGCTCTTAAGTACCAGGTGGGTGGTGCGAGACCTGCTCGGCCACATACCTGCACTCGCCGAGTTTTTCGCCTAGAGGCCAACGGCAAAAGAACACTTCGCCGAGAAGAGGGTTGTACGGTTTTTTGGCAACACCACTCTAGCAGGCCAATGATAACGAAAAGATGAAAGGGATGACGGGATGGCCACCTTTCGACCCTCATGAAAGCAGGTCAGGTACCAGTAGACAACATTCATCATGCGTTCCTTCGCGCAAGAGCCATCGGGGGTACTAGCAGTAACATGAACACATCAGCGGGCCATATTAACAGCACTGGAAATAAAATTTCTTGCACCGTGAAAAAATGTCAGGGTGGCACATGAAATCGGCGTACATTTCTAACAATGAGCGCCTTTCCAAGACGAACGTAGGCAAAGTGACCTGACGATTCCCTTCGCTTTAGTGCGAAAAGAATAGGTGCCCAATGCTACGTGCCTTTGTCAAGTCCATCCCCATACGCAATTGGGATAGAATGGAAAGGATAACAGACTTCTGTCCGTCCGAGTTGTTCTTCTCGGGGCTGCTACTGCTCTCGTTGGAGCTTTGAGAACAGCCAGAGAGCGAGGAGAAATCATGCTGGCTTGAGTGTTCTAAGGATTGATCGGTATGAGCGTCGTAGAAACCTTGTGAAGAAGTGCTGCTTTCGTAACTTGGCTGTAAGTTACAAGAATATGCTGGTTAAATAGGAGACGGCAAGTCCCATAAAGCGCACCTCGTTTAGCACCGCCTCCATGCTTTTTAAATCTTCACAAGTGGACCTAAAAAGAATAAACTTTCATATGATCGCTAAGAAAATGTAATACCGCTCGCTACGGACGACATCTGTGATTATCTTTGCACAACCCTCAATATTGAATGTAAGTATATTGGCCGTATCTTTAATTAATAAAGCAGAAGAAAGGCTGAACTGATCTTGCTGAGTTTCCTGTAAGTACAAGACACCTTAAGTTTAGAGAAACTAGCGAGCAGTTTTAAAAAAAAAAAGCATTTAAGAAATCACTTTAAGGTGTGAGGACAAATCCTTAATGTGCTGGAAGAGAGCCTTCTTACATGCGCGAATTTCGTATATTTGCTTTTCAATGAAATCCAGCTGACTTTCTTTTATTGCTAACTAAATATTAGCAGATAACCAGGTACTTTAGGGTAACTTATAAAAATTAAAACTGGCTTAGTTTTCTTGGTAAGTGTAAAAAAATAGTTGCAAACGGCAAATTATTAAATTGGATAGAAAGCTCATCTTACCTGGGATGAACCCTCCTTCCTTAGAAACAGAATTTAAAACTTTAACCCATTCATCCCGTTCTTCCGGTTTAAGAGCTTTCAAAAAATACATTTTCGAGTCTCCTATTACTGTTATCAAGCAATCATCCTTTGAATCAACCATAATATGCGCTCTGGTCAAAGAAATTTTTCCTCTTGCCTTAGAATTTTTATCCTTTTTACTATTTAAATTTATTAATATGTGAGTAAACAAAATACAAATTAGAACCTCGAATAATAATACAAGGTTGACCGCCGCAGGCAAAAGTATCGTTCTTTCCAACCTGTGACGTAATTTGTCCATTTGATAAGATGCCCCTCCCTAACAGGAAAAAAAAACCTTAATGTAAGTAAAAGATCTATTATTTTCAAAAATTTAATAAATATTTGGAAAAATTTATGAATTTCAAAGCAATTTTTTTAAGAAAAGATAACTACGCCTATAAAAAGTTAATCCTTTCCTGATTACACTAAAGAACCCACATACTTTTTACATAACGCTTTCCCCATCGTTTTTATTATTCATCCGATTTTTGAATTTCGATAAGGCAGCAAATGACAAGCGCACAGAAGGAGCGATTTAGCGGTCCACCACAGCTAACATGAAAAGAGAGTAGAGCCAGTGAAAGCATCCGACGCATTTGCTATGCTTAAAAGCAATTTTGGTTTGCGAATGCAAGTTTCTGCTTTCCAGATGACATAAAATTTTATTGGTGTAATAGAGGAGATTATCTTTTTGTAAATTACTATTCTGTAAAACTATTTTTGCTTTAAACTGTTTTCGAGAGCCTAGAATACCACGTAGTTTTAAACTTTTTAACTCCGCCATTTACTGTCAAATGTAATATTTAAATTGTTACCTTTATGGGTGGTTCTCAGATTCAGTAGTTACAAAACAGAATTGGTATTAATGGAAAGAAATAACATAGTCGACAAGTATATCGAAAAGCTTTCGGCGTGCAATATTATCTCCTTCCATTAAGGTTTCATGTTTAATTTACCCTTTACGACCACCAGGAACTTATTTATACGTTTCGTAAACCTTAATCTTGGACAGACTTTTTTCGATGGGCATTTCATATAATTAATTTTTTTTGGTATAATAGAAATCACAAGAAAAAAAAAGATCTATAAAGAGACCTTTATTGAAGCCCCTGCCCACGAACCACGTACATTCATATCCTTCCAAGCCCCTAGTTTACAAAGTATACTAATACCTTTTCGTACCAGGGAAAGGGTTAATAAGCCTCCCTATATTTTCTGTTTTTCTCACACTTATCTTGGCATAGTACTTTGCAAAGGTGAGTGTCTGAATTGATTGATCAGATATGTCACTAGCCAGGCATATTTTATTGTCATCGACATTAAGTCTCCTAAAAAAAATAAAATATTTCCTAAATAAGCGTGGTGTACAATTATATTAAAAATTTAATTATTGTAGAACAGTTATTCTAATAACCGAGGTTTGCTATATCAAACATCAAACTCGTTTACAAATTATTTTTAAAATGACATTACAATTGTCTGTAAAATTTCTTAATAAGGACGTAACTCATAATTATTGGTATACTGGGAAAAATCTAGTGATATTAAATTTATATTAACGTCAAGGGGGGAAAGGACTCTCTGGACAATCGATATATAAACTTAGATTACTGCCATTTTAATCTCCGTTCATCATATAAAGCTTCTACCTTTAATTAAAGTAGCTCATAAGTAAAAAAACATGTTCTTTAATATTACAGAGATTAGCTTTATTTTAAACATTCCAGCTAATTAATCTATTAGTAGAAACCTTGCGGGTAAATTGTTCTAAACTAGCGTTCTCAGAGCGGTTTACTGAATTTTTATTGTAAATTTTTTATTAAAACTTTAATTTATAGAAGTTAATTCTTTTTTTTTTTTATAGTTTGAAAGTAAGTAATTTTTGGTTTAGGCAAGTTATTAGTATTTAACTATTTATTATATAACTAAATATATATTTTTGTTTTTCCTTGGGTTTTCATTTGTTTAAAAGGTGTAAAATTATTTAATCTTTACCTTGTATATTTTGATTGAAAATTATTTGGGTTTATGTAATTTTCTTTAACAATTTTTAAGTAATGGTTAACACTAATAACAGCTAGCGGTATGTATTCCCAAAAAAGCAAATAACTTTTGGGTATCGCACAATTTTAACCTCTAAGGTTATAACGCATTAATCGCTTAAAGGATAAAAAGCAAATTACACAAGTTGAAGCAATCATCCAACTAATTTACTTCCTAAATTAGACTGTGAATACTGTAAAAAAAAGAAAATATGAGACTCAAGTGTTATTTTTACGTGCACTCAAGCGAGGAAGGAAAAATATTAAATTTCTGACAAAGCCCATAGTTCTTATGTAATGAATTAAAACGTCCTGCAAAAATATATAATCCCTTCGCAACAGAGCCGTTTTAAGAAAAAATAGATCGAGTGCAGACACCGAAAAAAATTTACGAAAGCTTATTTAGTTTATAATAAATTAGTTACGAATAATAAAATTTTATAAAGAACGGCGAGTTGTGTCTTAAAAAACGGTCTAAGGTGTATATTCTTTAAAAATTTACTTAATAAGGCTTCATTAAAGATTATTTAACTGTATACTGTTGTGCACTAATATATAATTAGACGTAATAAACTTGACATCGAACAAATATTGAATAAAGATTATTATTTACATTGAACAATGCTAAGTTTACTATGTAAATCCCTACTTTTAAGTTTGCTTACTTTGTCAACTAGCCCGGTAAACCATAATAACCAAGCAGCCTCACTTTGTACTGATAAAATATATTTTTCAGTGGATGTCTTTAGTGAGAGGCCACAACTTTTTTTGGAAATGACTAAAAGGTTAAGTTCTAACATGCTTCAATAGCTAAACTTGCTGATTCCTCTTCATGAGATGTTTAGACGAAAAAAATGTCTTTCAGAATTTATAAAGCTATATATGAAACCATTGCAGACCAAATATTAGTGTTGCTTTGATAAAAATCAAACCTGAGTTCACGAGTTAATGTCCTTAAATGTTGAACTTCGACAAAAACCATCAATTTCGATATGATAGATTTACGTACTGAATTTGTTACTGTTTAAGAGAAGAAGAAATGGGTTGTGTATTTCCCACGGACCACCGCCCTTAGGCCTACGCTCGGGCCGCCATCCAGGCTCCCCCAGCTGCGGAGCTTTCGTCATTTGTCAAGCGTGAAATCACATCAGAGATTTTGTAAACAATTATCTAAAAATATTGTTTGACTGTGAGTACACGTCTCTATTCAATAGTATTTTTATAGTTATATGCTTCTTTACGTTTTATAATGGACTCTTTACTTCCATTCCCCTCGTTTTTTAATATAAGGAAAAGTTCCAGCTTAGGTTTGTTATTTTTTTTTTAAAGTCAAAGGCAAGAATTTAATAATTAATATAAAGTTAGCGAAGAGCCGGGTGCTGTAGAAGACGAATTTGACACATCATTGGAATTAAGCATGGATTACGGTTTTTGTCGTTTAGAATTGAAATTAAAATTTTTTTGGCCCCATAATTTAGTTAATTTAATAAATAAAGGAGTTCGTCATTCCGCTCTCCTCTTCCAAAACCACACACAAAGTGATTCAATTAACGCAAGGTTTTTAAATTTTTCTTTTGATAATAATAAAAAAGGGAGCTATCAAGCTTTTAGAGGTATGAAATGTTTTAGCAATTAAGTTTATATAACTTTTTATTACAAGTCACTTATAAATTTGGATAATAATTTTGGTACAACGCATAAAGTTAATCACTGTTTTTAATTTATTAAGCTTCAATGTTTTCAAGTTGTGAGCCCTAACTTGTACATAACAGTTTGCTATATTTTTCTTAGTAAGTAATTTTTTATAGTTTTTTATAAGTACGTTGGTGTTTAGTCTTATTAAAGGTGTGTACACTTTAAAAAAAAAACAAAGTAAAAAAATTTTTTCTCACATTTTGAGAATTGGAAAATACTTAATAGTACGATCCCTTTCCAAATCCTCTCCGCCTTATTTATGCGTCAAATTAAGTGTGGCTTTATATTATAAAGATCTTTATAATGAGTTTGTATATTTATTTAATGCTTGGAGGATTAAATTTTCAACCAACTTCTGCTATTTTCCCTCTTTATGCTGTGGAGCCATCCTTCAGTCAACATTTAAACAGTAGTCCATGCATTTCTAAGCAGGTCAATTTTTATAATAATAATATATTTTGATTGTTTATGATTTCTCTTTTAACAGGTTGAGGCTTTTTATTGGGATTCAGCTCGGGTTTCTCGGGATAAGGCGTATATTCCCAGAGCAGTTTTAGAAAGTTTTCTAGAAGAGCAGCGAGTATTGGATTCTTCCTTAGAAAAATTTGATCCCGCCAACGGTAAGAAAGTGCTTCTTGCGCCTGTGTCCATTCTTTACTTGTGCAATTTCTTTGATCGTTACCACTAAACAGTGTAATGTAGGGAATGTCCTGGCCATGCGCAAGGTTAAAAGCGGGGGCCATACGCTATTCTACCCCACCGGGGAAGAACTCACCAAGCTGACTCACATTTTTGTAGGTCTCTTAAGAAAACCTAACAAATTCAAAGAAAAAGTAAAGAGCTTATAAAAAGATCAGGAAATGACGGAGAACCACTGTTTTTCCCCGGAAGTTGTGGTCTATGACGTTGGTCACCGAATAAAACAACTCGTTTGGGGGGGGCCTTCTGGCAGGGGAATACTTGTGGCACGATCCTTGTACGATCTGCACCTGTTCCGGGTCAGCGACGCCAACTACCCACCTGAAATCTCTTATATGGACTGCTTTCGCTTCTCCTCTTGCCTATATGATTCCTGTGTGAATCCCTTTAGTGGGTTTGAGGAAGTTTGCTCTATCACCGAACGAGGTACTCTCAGCGCCTGGACTCTTGCACGACTGGCCTTAGTGCAGCAGTCCTGTCTGTCTTCAGTTGGTATGACGGCGGAACTCTACAGAACCTTTGCTGCCTGTAAGTACACCCTGCATCCCCGCAAACTGCTAGCTGCCCACGGTCGCGCCGTTTTCTCTTGCGACCTCAGAGATCGGCCGGCCCTTCTTTGTACTTCCCCCGATGACTTGTATTGTCTCGCCCTCCATCCCGTCCACGAGTACGAGTATGCTGTCTCCTCAACGGAGCACGTGTCCCTAATGGACCAGCGGATGAGATCAACGCCGGTACTTCGTTGGGCTCATCACCAGCGCCGCCCTCCTTCCCTCCTCGAGTTTATGCCGTTTACCCGCCATAAGCATAGTACTCTCCTCATTATTTGTATACGCGATGGTGGAAGGGTCATATTTACTGGCCCACTCCAACATTACAGCCTGTCTGCTCGCCTGCACCACTTTCGAAAGGCGGATATTATGCTACCATTACAACTCACGGCCCGTAGACGACCTTGGTCTGTTCCCAAGTTTCTGTACAGAGTGAGTATTCACATAAGTTGGATGGAGATTTTAGCCAGTACTATTGTTCATTAACAGCCTAAAGAGCGGTCTGAGACTCCAAACAGTGCAGGCGACCTCCCCCATATCTGTGCTGAATACTTTTTCGGACGATCCGAAATTGGACGACAGCAAAGTAGTTGACCTATCTCTCCGTCCCGTCACCTTAAGATCGCTCTCGGGAATTGCCTTTATTCACTGCGATTCTCCCACAAGCGACCTCCAGGATTCTAAAGTTAAAGCTTTGTACCTACGTAGATAAGATAAATATTGCTTGCTTTTAGGATGAAGGAAATAACATTTCTCAAGTGAAAATTATGCACTCGACAGGTTCTTGGTAGCAGCATCGGGATTGAGATGCCTCCCTACTCATTTGGTGTCACATAGATTATGGTGAAGTTTTTTGTCAAAGCTATCAAGTAGGTTTTTCTCAACGGCCACCTGATAAAACGATCAATTTTGAAAATGACGATGGCCCGTCCAGCGCACTTTTAAAGATGATGTGTTCGGCAGATAACAAGTTGCATGCCAGCTATGCCGGACGGTTCCATGGTCCGCACCACAAAAACGTTTCCAAGTTTTACCAAAGTACTTGGGCTTTAATTTATAATGATTGTGACTTCTGATGTGCGCTCCTTTGCCCATCTTTAGAGCTTATAAATGAAGATTTAAAAAAATTTCGGTCGGAAAAAGATTTTGAGACTACAATGAGACCGAGGTCAAGTGAAGCCAAGTACTTTTCTCTTACATTTGATTAATTAATTAATTTTTATATCTCTTTACCGCCATAATTCCGGCTAATTTCTTATAGAGGCAAAGAGGCTTTCGCCGAAGGCGTTGGACCAGCCGACCAGTTTATTCTGGATTATGCTGGCTCTGCGGTTGTTTGTGGATCTTTTTTTCAACTTATCAAGAAAAAGGAAGGCGAAGTACGCCACAATTTAGCTAATTACTATAACACTTAATGTAAAACTTATTAGATTAAAGCGGGGCCTTTGGCGGAAGTCTTATTGGACTGGAAAAAGGAAGATCATTCGATTGTAGAAGAAGACACAAGCGATTGTGCTAGTCAGAGTTATTTAGTAGAAAGGCGAGCGTCTCCAACTACAACTGTACAATCGAAGGAAATCGCCCGCCTTCAAAAGATCAAAAGGACAACTATTCGAAAAGACAGGCGCCCCGCTGGTTTTTAAAAGTTTAGAGCTTCAGCAAAGTAAAAACTGTTGAAGAAGTTCTAAAAAAATATTAATAATTCCAAGTCTGATGCCAACAGGATTCTTTATTTCGTCCAACTCACTTTTGGTACGTCGTAGTGCTCACTTAAAGAGGCCAGATACTCGTTCAATTTCTTCAGTTAGAAGATTACCCCACAAAAAATATAAAGGTATCAAAAACAATCTACAGGTTTAATCATATAGAAGTAACCTCAACTTTCTGTTTGTGTGTAAGAGCAGCGCGTTTTTTAAGGCGTTCTTCTTCCTAATTTGAATATAAAGGAAAAGTAATTAAAATTTCTACGAGAGAAAGGAGGCATGGAGCTGTTATAGTGAAAACAATAAAGTTGATTTTACAATGTACTTTTACTTTCAATAAAGTCTGAGGCACAAAGCAGAACATAAAGCAGACGCGTATAAGTTAGCAATGACTTAAAAAAGTTATGGCTAAAGAACAGAAGTACACATCTTTTTTCATTCCTTTAATAAACCTACAAAATACTTAAAGAGCTGTGTATTTCGGTATTATTTTACTTCACAATTATTATTTTTTAATATTCGTTATATATATCGCTGTGGTAATTATAAAAAATACTTCAATTTTCTTACTGCCTTGACTGTTACACCCTTTGCTTAAAAGAGAAAAGAAATTACGCGTTGTTGCCGAATTTCTTCATACTTTTTTTCAGCAGCTGTTCTGTTGTCGCCAAGATTATCTAGGATGAACCTTTCTTCGATATAGTCAAGCTGCTTATCATCCAAACTTTTAGACTCTTTAACGGATAATTCTTGAGTCTTACTTTTATGTTTTTTTTTCTTCCTACACGAATTAAATAAAAATTGAATAAAATAATTAAGAATACGCACTAAATTTAAATAAAAAGTATACTTTTTTTTAATGGCCTTTAAGTCACTTACACCTCTTATTTTTAAAGTAGTTGGTATAGCAGAAGAATACTTTCCTTTTTCTTCGGACATAAAACTTGGACTGGTGAGTAGGTTATTGCATATATAATACTAAAACACAATGAGGCAAGCCCCACGACGAAGCTAAGCAGAATATAAACACATTTAAGGATGGCTTCTATGCTTTAGTTAATGTCTATTTCCTGGAGAGGTTGGTATCGGGAGGGCACCTGCGCTACCAAAAAATTTTAGTAAACCTTACCAAGAGGACTTGCAATATGATGTCTCATCGTTTCCAAAAGCGATGTAATAAGGTTTAAAAATAACCTCGTACAATTTAGTTGCTTTAAAGTTTTATTTTGGTTATCCCCACGGGCTTGAGCACAAAAATATACAGGACGAAGATATTTTGTTCCCAATAGCTCTTATTTTTTTAATATTAAATTGCTTTGAAATTATTTGTAACTCTTGTAACCAGCAGGATAGTCACACTGGCAGTTCGTACAAGTTTATTTTCCTTCTCTTATGCTGTATTTAGGTAGAGATATCTCGATTTTTTTTTATAGGGCAGCGTGCTTTAAAATAAATAGGATTTGTCAATTTTGCCGAAAACATACTATTCAAAACAGTATTTATAAAATAAACGAGTTAATTTCTTATGATATTCTTTAAATATATCATGTAACCGGTGGCCAACCCGTTTTAATAAATGGGTTTTGCCTTTTCTCTATCACAGTACTCATGTACACGCTACACTTCTTGGTCGCTGACAGGGGCATACGCACCTGAGCTTCGAGGCTACGCCTTCCCCATGGGCCCATTTAATGGCAACTAGAGCGCAAAACACACATCTTTCATCCCAGCCGTAATAATGAGGTTAAGTTGTGGCCTACAGACTGTTTAACTAAATAAAAGATGAAGTATTCTATTCCGCCTTAACTTTATGCAAGTATCCTATTTTCCAAAACAATTTTGGTAAAATCATCTTTATTCATTTTCAAAAAGTTCATAAATCACGACATTGAGTGTCGTATCACTATATATTCTCTTTTTGTAACACTCGAACAAAAATTTGTCAAATTTACGCCTTGCAGGACGGTAGGAGTTGACTTTGAGTTGACTTCACAACACTTAGTTTACTAGATTTTTGCAGGGCGGTTAATTTTTTTTTTAAATTATCTTCTAAAGTTAGTAAAACTTAGGTTTTGTGCACTACAATTTTCCCTATTTATATAAAATACAAATTCTGATACTGTTCCAAATCACCCCTCTTTTTAGGTAACTAAAGAAAGACGATATTTATAACTCCATTTTTTTTCCATTAAGTTATTATTATTATTTATAAATTCTATCATTACCGTTGTGGGCGTGGTTACCAGCGTTCTTATTAAGGCTATAGTAGTATGTTTTTACTACCTTATAATCATTACTGTTAAACTAGTATCTTCTGATCGAACTATTGAGGTGGTTTATATACGTAGTGTTACTATTATTGTTAGTGTTAACATTATATTGTAGTGAGTGGTCGACTATATTTAAACTAATAGTAGGTAAATGTTTATTTTTCATTTTTTTTTTTACCTTTTTTAATTAAATCTGAAACTTATTAGAGATATAGAGATTCGTGGCTAGTAGCCCACTTGGGAGAGGCATAAAATAATAAATGAATTTGCACGAACATTAATAACTAATTAATTGGATAGTTGAGTTTGTAAACGCTTCGTTATAACAGAAATAATAATACTTTATATTAATAGTCTTTTAATAAAATATGCTTCCCAAAATTTTTAAAAGGATATTTCAACCATTTTTGTATTTTAAAAATTAAACAATTTCTTTCAGACACTTTAGATTAACTTTACTGTGCACGCAATTACCATCGTTTTTAATATTTTCGAAATAAGTTTTTAGTTAATTAATTTTATTGTTTTTCTATATCCGTGTAAGCTTACTGACTATGTATAATTATTTATGTAAGTACATTGTGATATTGATTTTGTTATAATAATTGTGTTTTTATTATAAATCCATCATATTCTTTAGGGGTTGTGCTGAATGTTCAGTGGATTGGTTAAGGTTGCGAATGGTGTTGAGTATATCCTTGTGTTTCTGTATAGATGTTTTTATAATATCTGCTAATTTATGCGTAGAGGGAATGTGTTTTTATCATCTCCCCCTGTATGTGTTTTGCAGCTTCGTTATCAGTATCTTGTTAATTTTTGTTGTTTGGCCAGAAATTAGTTTTATTCATAAAAATATCAGTTGACTGTATTGCAGGGCAAAAGGCTGTATAATCTGACTTAAAGATTTATGTAAATTTCCAATTTATTAATAACTGCCATTGTCTATAGTAGTATGAAAATCATAGTTATCTGCCCTTGAAGCATCCGCGTAGCATTTAATTAAAAATGTTTTGGTCATCTCTGTCATGTATAATATCTAGTAATACATGTTTTGCTTTGTTTTGGTATCCCTAAAATTTTCATACTATCTTCATGTGTATTTCGTCAGTGTTATGCGAAAACGTAGAAAATGTTTGTACAGAGGGCAATGCCTAGTCTACAGCTTTAAGCAGTATTCCTTAGTGACCCAAGTAGTCTACAATATTACGTACGTTTTCTTAAAGAGGGCGTTATGTCTTGATAAGAGTAGGTAATGTCATATTATATTGTTTTGGTGGGTCTAAATTGTTAGCAGTAACGTGTAGAAGTTGTTTTTTATGTTAATGAGTTTTGGGTCTTAAGTTCACCTCGCTTTTTTGTTATATTAATTCCGTAAAGTTGACTCAAGAAGAATCCTAGAAAGTTTACAATTTCATGTGTTGCTGTGTTGGAATAGTTAGGTTTTCATATTTCAGTATAATTGCATCGATTGGGATGGTAGTTAAATATGTTTATTTTTATCTTCGTTTTGCTTGGTCTGCAACTATTTGGAGTTCTCGTCCGGCGAGGATTCCGGCTCTCTTTTAAAAATTTATATACGAATTTACTATCCTCATAGATTCTTTTTACTTCGAGGGCAGCATATATTGTTATTGAGTTTTCTTTCGCTTAATACGTTCTTAGGTCCACAATTATTTGGTTTTCAGCTTCGCTTGTTTGGTAAACTTGGTTTTTGCATATGTTCTAACGATGAGTATCATTCCTACAGCCTGGTCTAAAAGACCTGATAAAGTATTAATTTTTTTTTTTGAAAATATAAATATAATCAAAAAAAATTTTTAAAGGTACAAAAATAGGCTAATAAAATAGTTATTAATTACCCTTTATTGCTGACTCTATGCTTCCCTTTGCCGAATGTAAGATAACTTTTTTAGCATAAATATCCATATCAATTTATTTCTAAGGTCAATCATAGCACATTTACATGTAGTTGCATATAGTTGTTCGGAAGGTTTATAGTGTCTTCTGACAGGCAATGTTTCGCGGCCGTTTATCAAGTTAACACGATCAAATAATAATTTGTCTTTAGATAATAAAGGCTAATAGTAGTTCATTTCCAAACAACTGACCTGATAAAAATACCATGATGTTAGTTTTGTGCACCCCCAATTGGTTTTATAAGTTAACCTCTACACTTTTCTTATTACCGCTATCGATAATTTTTTCCTATTTGCAAAGTTTTTCCAATCATCCCCTTTTTTCTCTCTAATTAGGCTATGGGGATTCATTGATCCTTTAACGTTTTAAATGCATAGTCTACATAAGTTTTAGAAATTTAAGGCCCTTCCGCCTAATTAAAGGCCAGAACACTAGCAACCTATGCATATTAGATTGTATAATCTACAAGTCCTTAGTTGCCCACACTTTTCAATCTAATCAGATTAATCGAATGCCGAAGTAGTTTAAATCGTTACTAAAGTAAAGACACAATTGAAAGTTTAATATACCCTGCGTTATATTATTTCGTAGGTCAAAAGTAAATTTAATGGTTTTATGTTAATATGTAATTGGCAAGGACAACCCTCACACCTTTCAAAAAGTCACACTATAGCTAACCCTTTAAGGAGCGGAATTCTAAGGCTTTAAATAGATTTGTTTTACGTTCCCTGGTAACTAAACTTGTGCTAAGCACCCCACTTTAAATTTGTTAAATATTTTATAAAAAACTACACACTATAAACTATAAGGTAGGTTGCCAAAATATTAACATAATAAAACTTTTATCTCTGTGAAGCTTATAATTAACCTTCAGGGCGTGGGCCGAGGTAAACTAAAAATTGGAGCTAAAAGCTGGGAGGAACACTAATCCACGGCTTAAAAGCGTATATTTCTAGTAATAAACGAATAATTTGTTTATAGGCAACGTTATTACTAAATAGAAAATATGAAACTTAGCAGGACCGCAATTTGTTTTTAAACATTTTTAAAGAGAAACTACTTTACATATTACTTTACTATTATATTTTAAGTTAAGGTCTTTAACGTCTACTACGTAAAAATTAATTTGTAACGTTATGGATGTTCGCTTTCAAGCTGTTGCAAAAGAGCGTGAAAAGGCTTACACACGTCAAATTGAGTGTCGCGAACAAACTCTTCTAAACCTTCGCCAACTTATTGAAAGAGTTGAAATTTGCCTGGAAGGTGTTTTATCGTAATTAAAAAAAATTCAATTGTGCTAGCAAAAAAGTTTTTTATTTCGACTATTCTATTATCATAAGAAAATTTTTTTTTTTAAATATCTTTAGAACTAAAAGATAAAAACACCGTGGGCCTAGACTTAAATGAATTAAATGATTACGTTAAACAAGTTAGCAAACCGCTTATATGTGGGTATTATTCCACCATGTCAAAATGATTACTCATAGTAACCGTAAACTTACACCAGCTCACCACCGTCAACTGTACGGAGCAGTGTCTAAACTCTCTAAAAGCATTGATAAGGTCTCTTTAAGTGCGTAGTAAGGTATATATAAATTAATTATTTTATTAAAGCATTTTCAAACGGACTTGAAGATATTAGCTAATCCTTATGTTTTTGAAAATAAAAAGGTATTTTTATTTAAAAGGTTTTAATTGAAATTCCTATTTAGTGAAAATTATTATTCATTTATTAATTTACTAAATATAAATTATTCGTTTAAGCAACACATGTTTTTACTTTTTTTCCTCCCCTGCAGGAAAATTTAAATAAAACTTTAGCCGAACATCTTTTCCGGCAAGGTCGATTTGAAATCGCGGAAACTTTTATTACGGTGCGCCGTGTATTGTGCTAACGTCGTTTAAGTCGATCTCCTTCACCGTCATATCTTAAAGGAGTCCGGAACAAAATTTGATTCAAAAGGTAAAGCACCTTTTTTAAAAATGTATTGGATAGTAGAGGCCTTTAAGAAGAAAAATCTAGACCCAGTTTTAAGGTTTTGCTTATTTTTTTGTTTATTCTTGTTTATTCCGGAAGTAAAAAAGCTGATTATCTCACTTCTACCGGCCAGCTGGATCTCGGAGAACAAAGATGCTTTAAAAAAAATAAACAGCGACTTTGAATTTAAAGTTCATCAACTAAAATACATATGGTTGATGACTACGGGTCCTTGCCTACCTAATATAAATTAAAATTTAAAGTCATTTATGTAAACGCTTATAGAAAAGGATGTACAAAAAAGCCTGGCGTACGCCAAGATTCATTTCTACCGATTCCTACCATCCCACTCTCGAGGTTGATTCTAGCGGGTGTGCAGAAAAAAAATCGGTGGTTGATTTCCTTATCACAGAAATCCAGAAGCTTATGGGCGCTTTGATTTACTTTGGGAGATTAGAGCAATCCCCTTATCAGTACATGACCCAAGTATGTTCCCGAATCTTCATAGGAACTGAGCTTTTTCTATAAACGCTTTTCTGCTCAGGATTCCAGTTGGACAGATATGTCAGTCCGGTTTACTCGCGACTATTGTCGTCTTCTGGGCCTCTCCGTTGAATCTCCGTTAGCAACAACGTAACGCAGTAAGGCGAGAGGTCCACGAGCCTCAATCCGATTGGTTTTTTTGCTTCAGGGTTACTCTGGGGACGAGGGCTATTCCGAAGCTACTAAAGACTTTAAGCGTTATGAAAAACAATACTCGTTTTTGGACGCAGACGGATAAGCTTCCTGTGCGACTGGAAATGTTTTATCTTAATAAATTATTTATAATTTTTTTTTTTTACTTTTTTAGTTGGAATTGGAACTTGAAGAACAAAATCAACACCACTCCTTGTTTGTGTGTCCCGTCTCTCGCGAATTGGCCACGGGCGAGAACCCCCCCGTGATGCTGCCTTGCGGTATAAGTACTTCGGGAGGCCCCCTCTTTTTACTCTTTTTAACCAAACTGTTTATGCAGGTCATGTTATTGCCAGAAATTCTCTAACTCTTTTAATCAAAACTAATAAGTAAGAGACCTCTTTTGCTTGCATCCTTTATTAATATTTCTAATGGTAGATTCAAGTGTCCTTACTGTCCTTCCATAGAGAGTGAAGCCGTTAAAGTTATATTTTAGTGCAGTGAAGTTAATAAAATCACGATCATATCACCTTTTTTTATGGTTTTAACTATCTCTTTTCATCCCTCTTTAGGAATCTAAGAAGGTGTAGCTTTAAAATTTTGAAAAGTAGGTTGTTGCACGCGAAACATACTTCCAAAAATAATTGACAAATATATATAGCTTTTAGATAAATTTTGAAAGGTAAAGAGGAAAGGTAGCTAGATAAACACTTTAATTCTATTATTTATTTTAGTCTAAATTGTCAGTGGTTTCTAAACGTTCAGGATTATTACGCCTTCTTTCAGTGGCAGCGGAAAGAGTTTACCACAAGTATATATAAAAAGTAGAATAAAAGAAGAACCATTCAAAAAAAATAATAAAAGTTCGACTGTTTATATAGTTGCTGTACACCATCAAATTTTAAAAAAATTCTTAAATGCTATACTACGTAGTTAACTGCATTGGTGGGGGTGCTTCGAGAAGTAGTAACCGCCTCGCCATCCACGGGAAAAAGTTTAAAAAAAAAAAATTAAAAAAAATTATTACTTTGTTAATATGATTATTATTAATAAGAAAATATATTAGCTGAAAGTTGTTTGAAGAATATTTATTATATAAATTTATACTAGCACAACATTGCTTACACTATTTTATTAACCATTAAAGTAATATTTATAGTAGCTAAAAGTTGGAAACCCTCTTACATCCATGGCGTACTTTAAAACCACAGACTGCCAGACTTTTCAAGGATTTCTGAAGATAATATTTAATTTTCAAAAAGAGCGCAAGGCTTTCAGAGATCGTCGACAGCATCTGCATAGGAAACGCCTTGGTCACAAATCCTCAAATACTAAACCAATAGACGTTTTTAGTCTCCTTCTTCCCCGTAACACAAATAGACATAAAAAAGGCAACGTTTACCAAAAATATTAAGCGAGTGACTAACCCGGTTATTAAAGAGCTGTAAAAAAAATTAGTAAGAAACCTAAAAAGAAATTAGATATACTTTCAACACCCATCCCCACAACAAAGAATTGCTTACCCGCCGCTGAAAAGGTCTATATATTTACTGAACTCCTATTCATTCAATCAATATTTTCCTCTCAAGAAATTATCATACCTGGAACACATTATTAAATGTGTAAACATTGCAATCAATAAAGTGGAAAGTTCTGAATTGCAGAATCTTTGCAAAGAAAAAAAAAAAGAAATTGGCACTATTATCAGTCAATTAGGCGAATTACTAGAAGCTGTAAAACTAAAAAAACCACAAGCCTTTGTTGAAGGAAAACATAGCCCTAATGACCAATTTAAACTGTAATCAATTAACCATAGTAAATTTTAAGATGCAAGAGCACGACTTAAATTGTTTCAATGATGAAAATAGACGGTTGAAGTAATCCTAATTGTTAAGATTTTATTAAGCGTGGCACGTTGGCTTTATTTTAGTCAACATTTGATGTGGCTTTCCTGAGTACATCACACTATTTAAAAATTCTTCGGGAAAAGCCTTTTTTATAATAAGAATAAACTTAAAGAAATCTGCCGAAAGAAAAAAAAATAACTCCACTTCTTTTTCTGTAATCCCCATAAATCAAACCTTTTTACGGCTCAATACGAGGACGTTGCCGCACGTTTATGCGGTTTTAAGTTAGCTTTTCAGCGATAAAGTACCTTCAACTGATTCTTGAAATTCTTAAAAAGTTGTTTAATATATGAAAATAACTATTACTGCTGCGAAGAGTTAAGAGTTAAGTCCGTTTATTATATAGAAGACCAATTTCATCATTTACAAAAGGAGATATCTTGGAGCTCCCATGTTAAATAACTCGGTATAATAATTCACAAAAACTTATAGAAACTTGCTCGCATCACCTATGTTATTAACAAAACAAAGGCTTTATGAAGTGCTCTCTACCCACTTTTATTGGCTAAAAAAATAGACTGAGCCTTGAAGGCAAGCTGCTACTAACAAATCCGTGGTCCAGACTTGATTACGCATTAATAGCTTTAGGTTACCTACAGCACAATTTTATTTTTTATACTAGCAGAGGCGTTTTCACCCGCATTTGCAACTTACAGCGGGACCGTAAATTTTATCTTGTTGAAAACATTTTTGTTTAAGCAGCACACATCCAATCAACATTCGCGAAAAGATATATAAATCCATTATTTTTAAAGTAGTAAATGTAAAAATAACATTAATTAAAAATTTAGGCAAATAGTAGTTAGTATAACGTTCGAGAATAACTTTATACAAATAAGACAATAACGAGGGCTTGAACCTAAACCACCCTATGGTAAAATACTAAGTAAGGAGACAATCTCCCTCGGCCCCCACTATGGCAGCTCGCTTTTAGAAGGAAATAAAAAATAAATTAAGCTATAGCATGTAAAGAACAATAAGGAAGAGTTGTGGAGGCGGCTGAATTAAAGCAGAGAATTCGCATTTTTGGAAGTGTGACGAGAGACCCAAGACCGTACTGGCAAAACCAGGTGACTAAAGTTTAGAACAATTTTGGTAGACGTTAAGTTGGGTTATATTTGTGGTGGTAATCAATGTAGTCGTGAATGCCCAAAACTATATAAGAAAGCAGAACACCTTTGGATTTACTAGGTAGAAAAGCAGCAGCTAAATGGCTACAGTAGTTTAATGAGAGGCAGCTCAATATTTATAGTCAATTGAAGTAGATGGAAGGGCAAATAGAAGTAAATTAAGTTTAACCAGGGTAGGTACGAGAGATATACATATTTAAAGTAAAAACTTTGAGCATGGAAGTAATTTAACGAGGAGAATGCATACATCTGGGATGGATCAAGATCTTCCTAAAGGGGTTAAGTTTTTGGTAGGTGAACGGAATTTAAAAACGCTGGTGTTTAAGCTGGTGAATAAAGACAAAAAAATACCTGAAAGATAGAAAATAGCAAACATACTTGACGTTATTTGGTAGAAGATGGGATAGCAGTCAATAGTAATGCAAGAGGCAGTTTAAAAATTTTAAGTTGTGGACTAAACACGACGCAGGGGCGGACTGAGGTTAGTTATTCATTAAAGTGAGCAAGACGGAGATGTATAAGAAGCCATGAGACGAGTCCCCCTACTACACTTTTGGAAAAGAAAACTAAAATTGTGGGGAAGTTACGGGAACAGGTAAAAATAAACCGTAGAGAGAAAAGAATGTATATATATTTGTAATTGTTCGTGGCCTTCTAAAAGGGAATAAATTATTATTAGGTGCGAAGAATTTAAAGAAATTAAGATTTACGCTGAGGAGTAAAGATTACTACATGAAAAATAAAGAAATCAGAGAGCAGTAAATTTAAACTTAAGAGTGGCGTGAGGAAGAGACTGCCTTGACAAAGTTATTCAGGCGAATGCAAGTCCTTACGAGGGAAGGCGTCTCGAATCCAGCCACCTTGCCAAGTAAATATAAATAATATTTATAAAAACAATAAAACAATAATAGCTATGATAAGTCTACATAAATTTTTAATAGTAACCAAAAAAATATAAAGTTTTTTATTTACATATTATATATTCAGTTTTATCTTTTAAAAAAATATATTTGATACGCTTTTTTCTTGACCTTATCGAGCCAAAGAGAGCCAAGCCATAGCGGTGTCGAACAAAAGCAGCCATGGACAGGAATAAAGTTGGAGTGATCAGTAAGGAAACAGTTACATAGATAAACATTTTAAGAACTCAAGTTATTTTGAAGAAATAGATAGAGAATATTTTAAAAAAAGGTTAAATGAGCACTTGAAGAGCGGGTAGTTAGTGAGGAGTGTGACACTTGTTTTTAATTTCAACTAGGCACACAAACTTACAGTATCCGCATTGGATAAATCCTCCTAGAAACCTTGAGTACCTCTCGCTGTAGAAAATATGAAATGCCAAGAATGCGAGAAGATTAGGGGAGCGCTCTAGTTATACTCGACTATAAAACTATTTTCGCACGAGCTCAGTCATTTTAAAAGTTTAAGGCGGAGCTGGAAGTAAAAAAATAAGAGAAACATTCTAGATGAGACAGCTCACTAATACCTCTTAAGGATGAGAAAGCAAGATTTAATAGTAGGGAATAAAAAGAGGTTTTTCAAGATTAAACACAAAGAGCGGGGTATAGTTGGGCAAGATTGAGATGGATATGCAAGCGAAAGAGGTGGTGGGAATAACCATAATTTTTTTTACCATCACAACATATTTTCGAACGCTCTATAGGCCAATTCTACTGTATAACGTTTAAAGAGAAGTCACTTGCGACTGACTCGAGAAAAAAAAAGGAAAAGTAGTGGAGTTGGACAAAAATGAAGGTTGAAGTCCATGGGGGAAATAAAAGAATTCGAAAAGCTTGTAGATGAAAAGCAGTAAAACTTGGATAAAACTAAGAAAGAAGATTACGATAAAAAGATAAAACACGCGAAAGGCCTAAAAAGTAGTAAAGCTGGTTTGGAAGAAAGGTGAAAGATAAGAGGACGACCCTGTCACTTTACTTGTTGCGAAAGACCACGATGGCAAATGCAGGGCCCAACTGGAAGAAAGTTATAATATTTTTTATTTAATTCTCTTAGTTATACTACAGTTGTTCTCCTATTTAATGCTTTAATTTATACTTATAGTTTCAACATTATTATAAAATCTCTCATTCATACTCCATAAAAAATAGTTAACTATAATAACTTAAAAATTACTCAAAATTTTTTACATTCCCTTACTTATGAACTTATTTTTAATTAAAAGAACGTAAATTTAATTCTAAATCGAACTTTTTTTAATTTATAATTGGTTTTGCTAGTATTAAAATTAAAATTAAAATTTTTTATTTTATAATACTTTTCTACTATAATAAAATATCTATTATTAATTTTTTTTACATTAAATTATTAATTGTTTAATCCTGTTGAATCAGCGGTATTGGTAGAACTTCCTATAGATAATTATTTTTTGGATATAAAAATGAGCTTTTCTTTTTTTATATCTTCTTATATACAACTTTTTAATATTTTAATAAAGTAATATATAAATTTATTCAAATAATCAATAAATATTAATAAAATTTTAAAAATTAAGAAAAAAATCTATAAAAAGTTATGTAAATTTATTAAATTTAAGAAATTAAATTATTCTTTATAATGTAGTCTAATGCAATTTTGTTTTAAAAAATATAATCAACTTTTTACTTTTAATTAACTTTATAATTTGATTCCTTTTGGTTATTAAATTTTAAATAGTCAATTATTATACAGTATTAAAATTTTATTCAAAATTATAATTAACTAGAAATTATGATAAACTTTATTCAATAAATAATACTTATTTGTACTTCCTTTTTTTTTTAATAATATCGTTTTAATATAATTTAATTATAATTTAAATAATGTCAGAAATATTTTGTTCTTATTCTTTAAATAAATAAATAATAAAAATATTAAATACTTATTTACTAAAAATTTTTATAAACCACCGAATAATAAAAAACTTAAATGTTCATAATAAAAAGATTAAAAAAACGTAAAGGATAATTTAAACTAATTTCAAAGGAATCGAAATTTTTTTTATGAAAAATGACAAAAATGAAATTCATGAATTATTTTCGTCCAGTAGAAGTCTAACGGCTTCTTTTAGGGCGCCCTCGGAGACTCCTGCCGCCCAGCCTGGAAGTGCCGATTTATACGCCCAAGCGAGTCCCGAGTAGCTATAAGCGTGCAAGTATATAAATTGCTGCAATATATACAAATATATAAAAATGAATACAATAATAAAACTTATAAAAAATAAAAAATTATTAAAGAAAATAAAATGTTAAATGCTTTTTATTTATTTATTAGAAAAATATATAAGAAACAGCGAAATATAATTATTATGTTAAAATTCATAAGAAATAAATAATATTTTGGGTGAATTCTAAAATTATTATATAAAAATTACTTGTAAAATCAAAGTAAAAAAGTGCTGGAGTAGACCATTATAGCCACGTGGTTTTTTATCAGGTGATACCTTCCGCAATATTACCACGTGGAAAACATGGGGCTTATTAACTTTTTTGTTTATATTCAAACAGTTGAAAAGAAATTATTTTTATTTTATAATTAATATTGTAAACAATTATGAAAAATATCTATAAAGAAATTTTTAATACAGCAGACTTTACATAAATTTATAATTTTTATATAAAAATAAATTTTTTTTAATATAATAATTTACTTAAAAATAAAAATATATAAATAAACAAAACGACAAGGAAATATTATATCAACGCTACTTCATAGAAAACCACTTTTTATTATTTTTATATTAAAATAAGAAAAATACGTACACTTTCATTAAAATATACTTTCTGTGGTTCTCTACAATGCAGGCAAAAGTTATCTTTAAATTCAGAATGCCGTTGGAAAATAGTTAATGGAAGAGGCTTGATAATAACAATAAAATAAAAAAAAAATAATAATAATAAATATAAAATGACAAATTACTTCAATAAATTCGAAATTATAAATTTTTTGGTGAAGAGTTTTTATAATATTCGCTTTATTTCCTTCCGAAGGGTCTTTGATAAAAGTATTATATATTAAAAAACAAGAATAAAATAAACTTCACTCAATTTCCAAGGAAGCCAGCAGGCATCGTCGTAAAGCGGATCATTTTTGATTGGAAATCCAAGATCCAATAAATGAACGCGAATTTGATGAGAGCGGCCGGTGATTGGTCGACCTAAAATAATTATTAGAAAGGTTATTTATTTTTTTTTATTTTATTATAATTACTTATTTATTATTGTTACAATTAATAATTATTAACTATAATTATGGAGTTTTTATTACTTTTAAGAAAAATATTATTGTTATAGTTTTTTTATATTAATTATTTTTATTCAAAAAAAAATAAAAAATAAATTCGAATTTAAAAAATTCTCAAGTTCTTTAATTAAATAAAATATTAAAAGCTAATCATATTTAGAAAAAAAGTTATAAAATTAAATCAATTATTAAAAAAATATTTTAGTAATTATTTTTAATAACGATATTTTTATTACTTTAAGTATTTTATAAAAACTTTATGTGCTAATAATTTAAAATTTTTTTTCATAATAAATATTATAAAAAAAAGAATATTTATTATTTATAAAAGAATTATTTTTAAATTTTTATGAGTATCTTTAAAAAAATAAATTGTATAACCAAAAAAATTAAATCTTTAAATTTTCATTAAAAAGTTAAATCTAATAAATTTTAAATAATTATCTGTAAATAAAATTTATATAAATTTTTTTTAGTATTAAAGTATTTTTAATAATAGAAATAAATTTGTAAATAAAAAAATTAAAAAGTGAATTTAATGTACTCTTCTAATTATCTATAACTTTTTTAAAATTGAAAAATCATAAAAGATTTACAAAGCACGAGGCTTTCATTTTTACTGGCATCGAAATTCAAACGAATAAATTTTGTCACGCTTTCTTTTCCTGAAGAAGTTGTGCAAGAAATGCCGAGTCGTGGGCATAAAAGTGTTAGAGGCCGATGATTTTCCAAAAGAGTTTCACTTTATTAAAAAAAATTAAGCATCAAATAAATAAAGATTAATAACTAATATGGTCTCTAAATAAAAATAATCTGTATAAACTAAAAAAAAAATTATTGTATAAGCAAGATAGACTGTGCTAATAGACAATATTATCTGAAATTTTATAGTCTAAATAAAAATTTAATATATATATATATAATAAAGCATACGGAAAACGGCCTCTCACTAAGCTTAAGTAAATTTTAACCACTCTGTGATGGTAAATATCAGATAAATAAAGATCGGCAAGCTCTTTAGTGCGAGGCAAGATGAGAATCCCAGAGGCGAGTCTATCAAGACGGTGCACCACTTGAAATAAGTAAAAGTGATAGTTAGCACTAAAATATAAAATATACAAGCTTTCTATAAATTAAATAACTTATAGTTAATGTTATAGAAAACCTATTTTTAATATTTTTTATAACAAATTCAAAACTTTTTGTTTTACTATTATGTATTAATTTTAAGAAACTATTAAATTATTAACTTTTTAGCCAAGCGAATATGGTTAAGAATTACCGTTACTAGCTAAAACCAAAGATGATGTATTAATTCGCGCATTCTAATAAACTGTTACTGGGTAATTCCGGTGAAAATTTTTTGGGTTTAAAAGTCTTTTTCCTATAGGGATCTAACCCTGTATTAAATCGGGGAACTTATGAAAATTACCATAAAATTGTAGAGGTGAATAGCTTTATATGTCTTTGTTTATAACTATAGGATACAGACTGGCTTGAAGCCAAGTAATTTAAACAAAAAGATCAATTGCGGCAGTGGGAGCTGCAGAAATCAAAAACAGTAAAAAAATTAAATTGAAATTTTAAGAGATTATAAATAAATGTACTAAAAAAACAAACGTTGCATATGACAAGCAACCTAAACACTTTATACAATATTCAATTATCAAAGCCTCATTAGTTTACTATAAATTAATATAATTTATGCAAAAATTCTAACTAGTTTGGAATTGCTGTTCTCCAAAAAATGAGATGAAAGTGAATAAAATTATGAGCGCTTGGTTCAATTTTCTTTTTAAAAAGGTCTACTACTGATTTCATTTTCATCCAAGTTACCTTATTTTTGAATTCGTTCTTTAATAATATCTCTGGAATTAAAAAAATTTCAAGTTTTACTAACATCCATTTTCAATATTTCTTGTTAGTAATAATAAAAAATTTACACGAGAAAAAAAATAAAATGTTCTTCTACAATGAAGTTGAAAAGTGCATCAAGGTTAGATTTAGTTTAAAATACGTGATAAGTAAAAACGTGAGTATCTCTACTTCAAATACAAACAGTCAGTAAATCCTTTCTCCGATGGCCCTAAAAATCTTGCTCAAAATATAATAATAATTCGAAGACTAAAGAAAAGAAATTTTTTTATGAACGTCAATCTTTTAAGTGGCTATCGCGAAAGGCTGGTGGTTTAATTTAAAGTAACGCTTTCTATTTCACCACTTTTTAAGTATTTTTACTAATTTACTGGGAAACTTCAGTAGTGCGATCTTTAACTTAACCACGTTATAAAATTAACTCAAAAGTATGCAATAAAAGATATTGAAACACAAAGATACAAAGTATATAGCTTTTTTCTACCATAAATCTTAGCGATATTATATTCTTCCTTTAATCTTAAAGTTACGGAACCATAATTAAAGCGACCAGCAGGATGAACCTAGGAAGAGGTACTAGAAAACAGACACAATATATACAAACTATAAATGTACAGGAAGAGAAGGAGGCTTATTAATTACAATCAACTTTGAAGTAAAAGTTATAAATTCCAAAGCCCGATTTGTAGTGGGATGCTCATGACGATGAACGAGATGAGTAATAAGATCATTAGGCTTTAGTTGGTAGCCGGGGAGTACAGAAGTACCATTTATTGCTACACGACCAGAAGTAAGCTATTTTTAATGTTACTAATTATACAGCGCATAAGAATTTCTTTTAAGAAAATATACAAAATTTTTAGTTTTGAACTCTTTAGTTAAAATTTCATCCACGGATTTTCCAAGCCAACGGAATTTGCAAAAAGTCTTATAAACGAAGTAATAAGGATCGTAATAACGCAAGCCTTAAAGAAAGGGGTCGCTAGAAAAGTGATAATTGAAAAATTAAATCTTTTATATTAACCTTTATATACTATATATTTGGGAATTTGGTTGAGTTCAGTCACCCGACTTAAGCATTCCACGTTATTCATAACAAACAACTTTAGAAAATTAGTCAAAAAACTTGAAAAGCTTTTTAGGCAAAATTTATATTTTTTGAAACTAGCATGCTTAGTTTTATCGCTTAATGCGAGCACACCGTTTGTGAGCTGTCCACATAAAATATGTAAAACTTTTTAACTTTATTAAAAAATAATTGAGTTTTAACTAATAAACAAAATAAAGCTACTTTACTCAACTCACTACAACTTAAACACAGGTTTCTTTAGCGAAAGGGCAACGCGCTGAAAAATGAATGAATGCTTTTCAAAACTAGCACACGCTTAGCCGCAGCTTATGTCAAGCTAATATAGAGATACCACTGTTTAAAAAAAAATCAACCAACTGTTTACATATATATACATAACTTTTTTACGTTGAACTACAAGAAACCATAATAAACTCAAGCTTTCTAATCTTTATTTAACCTGATGCTAAAAATTTATTTATGGCTTCCATACTAATAGTTAAAAAAGGTTCTGGTTTTTATTACTAATGTTATTATGTTTGTTGTTCGATAATAAACACAAGTATGCTAAATTACTTAACTTACAACAACTTAAACACCAAAATATATCCTTGTAAGAGTATTAGGTCTGTGACATAAAAGATTTATAATGGTGACATTTTTTTAATTCCGATCCATTTTCATTGCTAGCAGAGCGATGAAAATCATTACCCGTTAAACGTTTGCACATCCCCTGGTTAGCTCCACTTCCATAATCACAGTTAAAAAATCAGCCTTGCAACTAGGGTAAGGTTATGTAAGCAACCATAATAAACAGGAAAAAAAAATTGCGTCAGTTAAAGCGCGTTCACGACCTTGATTTCCGCGCAATACACTTAATTTTGAACTACAAGGACAGCTGGATCTACATCTTTAAACTGTTTTAGTAAGTGGTAGTTTAGCGTGGTCGTCCACCCTTTGAGTGTTTTGGCTTTCTAAAATGGATGGAATGAGGCGCCTTTTCGGTCAGCTGTACAGCTCAGACCTCAAAAACAAAATGTTTACGTTGTTAATTCTAAGCCTCCCACTTCGCATCGTTCTTACTACTAAACTATAGAATTCTAATTATAGTTACAAAGGAGAGTATAAATCAACTTGGTGCATTACGCCTGCCAAAATTTATCTTTCCAGAGAGCACGTGGTATTAAATAGTAGATTTTTAAAGGCAGGCAATCTCAACTTGTTTAAACTTATTCAACTTATCTTTAAACTAACCCGATCACGGAACTTTTATGTCTCAAATTTCTTGTTATTTGAGATTTTATTCTTAATGATTATTTACAGATTATTTGTATCCTAATTATAACTTTCAGACTAAATTTTTTAAGAACGCATGGCGTAGTCTAAGGGTCTTCAACAATTGGTAATTTTGCTCGCTGTGAGAGGGATGTTTTATTTAGTAACGTTTTGGAAAATGGTTAGGTTTGCATAAAAACTGTATAGTTTTCTGTTGTGTAGCAAAAGAATAATTTATCTACAAGCAGATGGCAACTCTGAAAATTAGATTTTAACATGATTATATTAACAATTAAGTTGTAATGATTTTTCTTTTTTTTTTTTCCTGAATTTTTTCGTTAAATCACTAATCAGTGAGCGTTACTTTAAGAGTAAAATAACTTAAAAACTTAAAAAATTATGGAACAAAGTTATTTAAAACTGCCCATAAGGAAAGGTAGTATATTTTTTTTGTGGAAGATGCTATGCGTTCAATACATAAAGCTGTAAGTCTGACTGGCAATGATCGCTTATCGGGTCACTTTTCAAGCAAGGACTTGATTAACAGTAATTAAACTTAAGTTAAAATTTTTTTTGGCACTTGTTTTACTTTACCTAGAAATCGTAGCACCACCACCCCCTTGTAATTTCGTGATTAATAGTTGTCTGCCTACACTATACTTTATTTTTAAACAAATATTGGCACTTAATGTTTTCTTAAATCTATTAGTCACTCATTTAAAAGCTTAAACGCAAATTGATCCAATAAGCGAATGAAGCTTCGCGTACAATTTATATAGAAACATGTTCTGGAATGTTTGGAGTTTATAAAAGTTAACACTATCCCCTATATATTTTTTTTAATACGTTGCGGTAATAAAATTTTTGTGTAAACTACGGGGTAGCGAAAATATATGAAGGACCTAACACTAAGTTAACAGGCAGATAACCGCAAACAAATAATCTTGCTAGCTCATGGCAGAGCTCGTGCTTATGACCTTTTCGATATTATGAGAGCAAGTTTAAACACGCAACCGTCAAGGACCGAAAGGAGAGCCGCGTCAGTGGAAATGAACCCACCGCTTTAGTCCAAGCGTTTTTAACCAGTGAGCTTCGACGACATCTCTGAGCTTCTGTGAGGGGTACGTGGTGCGGTTCAAAAGTTCCCGGCCTAAAGATGTTAGAAACGACATTAATAAAGATTTTTTAATTATTATTCAATATAATCTCCTTGCTTTTCAACACATTATATTGGTAAATTAACTTTTTTAAACCTCAAAAAATGATTGGATGTTTTGTTTTCTGCGCATAATCGGCCAAGTTTACTTCACTATATTTCTTAAATCTTCTCTCCCTTAAGCCCAATTTCAGTTTTGCGAAGAGGGAATAGTCGCTGGGGGCAAGATCTGAACTGTAAAGCGGCCGGTTCAGTTCAATAAAACCACACTCACGAAATGCAGCTTTAGCAACTCCAGCGGTATGAACTAAAGCATTATTGTGCAGAAGCCTCACACCTCTACTAAGCACTCCTCTCTGTTTTCCTTCGATGACATCAAGCAGTTTACGTAAATAACTTGCGTAATACGTCCAATTTACAATAGTGTGTCCCTCTCTTTAAAGTCTACCATCAAAATCCCTTGAGATCCCAGATGATTATGACCGTAATTTTTTTTTGGTTGAGGATGACCTTCTCGCATTTTGGTGGTTCACCCCGAGGGCGCCACCACTGTTTTTTTTTTCCGCCTGAGGATCAAAGAACCATGGTTTTCTCTGCAGTAACGAAGGACTCCTTTACTTCTCTCTCATTATCGTGGTAAAGCCCCAAAAATTTCCGACAGTAATCCATACGTTGCTGTTTTTGAAGTGGGGCGAGAGGTTTGGACTCCTCCTTCTTGCGCTTATCTTTGTAATATGTAAATGGTCGTGAAGAATTCGAATATCTTTGATTCTGGAAAGATTGGTAGATTCTGCAATTACTTGGTCTTTAAATGGGGAGCACCTGTAACAGTTCTTATACAATTTTTTTACTTTCCGGTGTGGCCGCTGCTCCTGGAAGACGTGGGCTACCTTCAATAGAATTTCTTTTAAAAGGAAGTAAATGATGTCGATTAACTGTCATAAACATTATCAAAACGTTGTTCATCTTCTGTGGGTTTAACGCCCTCTTTAGTATGATGTTACTTAGTTAATAGTTACTTTGACTTTCTGAACATATAAATAATTAAATTTTTTTTCACGACCTACTGAGTTATGAATGTAATCAATAGCATTAATCAAAACCGCGCCTTTTTTTTTAATTAGGGCTACCGCAATTTATGGATTATTCCACGTAGATACATACTTGCCCTGTTAGGTTTTACAATACATACGTAAGGTGATAATAAGTCTAATAAAAAATATAGAAATAATAAGTACGGTTTTAAAATAGTCAAGTCTAGCTATGAAAAAGTTAACACCAGAAACTATTGTAAACTGCAAGCCATACTTTTATTTAAATATAAGAGGAATTTATTATTTATTTTAGAAATAGACGAAGAACGTATTAAATTTTACCCTATAATTTCTCTTTGTAACAAACACTAAGGATTCTTTCGTTAAAAATGCTAGTCAACTGCCCTGCTCAAAACTCAAAAGCATTAAATAAAAAATTAAAGTTTTACTCGTTAACTTGCACAATTAACACCGATCCTCCCCACTTCGCTCCCTGTAAACTTTTCACCGAAATAAACGCGATATTACAAAACTCCTAATCTTTATAAATACAGTTTTGTTCATGATAAAACGAAGCTAACCAACCTTTATACACGCAAAACTATCTATCTAATAACTTCCAGAATATTTTTCAAGATCACCTTTGCTTAACACTCTAACTTACCTTATGTAGCTCGATTTCTTAGAACTAAATTATTATATAGCTATGTATGTGCTAGCAAATATGAGATTCTCTATATACGTGTAAGTTATTTAATAAATTTAAAAATTTCGGCCTTATTAAAACTCTAATTTACAATAGTAAAACCCGATACACCTATAACTTTTCTTATATTATAATAAAAATCAATTTTTCCTAAAGATTAATCAAAAAACACGTTTAACGAGGTCAGATTGACTCATACAGCAGTAGAGCAACGACGGCGTTAGAGAACTGTGGAGAACAGTTCATCTATTTAACGAAAGTTTTCTAGTTTAGCTTTTCATAGGCTAAAGAAATACTTTCTTTTATATTAAAAAGCAATTAAATATATTTTTATTATTTCTTTGATTCTATAACTTCTTCTTATGACACTCAGGAAAAGTTTTTGTAAACAAATTATTCAAAAAAGCTTCAAGAGATTCCTTATGCACGTGGCCTTCAACGTCAATAAACTGTCCAATCTGCCAAAAATTAAACGATGGCGGAAGAAAAATTACTATTTATATATATAACGCACACTTTTGACGTCTTTATGCTCCTCTTTGTTCTTAAGATTAGTAAAGATAACAGAATAATTTGCTTCTTTTGGATTAAACTTTGTGGATACGGAAAACATGTCCTAAAATAAAATAATAATTTCACAGAAAAAATACTTTTGCTTAATTTTAAAAATTAAATTTATAATCAATGGTGAAGAAAATGTTTAATAAGGATTATTTTCAAGTATTACTCACCTTGCGGAATGCGGCGATCAGTATTTTATTTTGGATTACATACCATGAAAATAATTGAGCAATTGATATAAGCGCAAAATACGCGATAATACAAGCGGTCATCACTCGGGGAAATTCCATAACGGAGTGGAAATAGCTATAACCTGTTAAAAAAATTGCAATATGTATAAAAATTAAAGTTAAACTACGTACTAACTTAATATAAATTATATAACACTGAAAAAAAATTATCATCAATATAAGTAATATTTAAAAAAAAAAGGCTCCAATTTAAATAAACTACATATATTTTTAAATTTAAACTTTTTCTTTTTACCTTTTATAAAATTACTAAAGCTTTATCTTATTTTATTTTAAAAGTATATGGGATATCAATATTTAATTTCCTATATAAATATCAAAAAATCTTTACGTGTCAGAAAATTAACTAACTATATAAACAAAAGGATATATCTTGTATACCCATACAAACTTCGCGTGGTGAATAGTAAGAAGTATATTAATATCAAAGTTAGTAACGCTTCATTTTTAAATAAGGAAAATAAAAAAAATTGTAGAAGTTAAGTCATATAATGGTATCATAAAACTTTGCAAACTTCGCGAGAACAAAAAAATTAAGTAAACCTTTTCAACAAAAAGAATAAGCTGAAAACTATAGCTCACCAAGAGAGATAATAGCAATTAACACAGCTACACTGTTGAGTAAAAAGTGAAAATTTTCTAAGAAGTATTTCCGCTCAACACCAGAAGTTTTACTCTTATAAAGTTAAAAAAGAAAGTAATAATCAGTTTATACGAAGAATTTTAAAAGGTCAATGACTTACTAACCAACAGAAGTTGCACGGTATCATCAAGAGCATTTTTAACAGCTACCTTGTTCCATTTCTCTATGACTAGCCCTTTACTAAATAAAAGTAAATTTAAATTACCATACAAAAATTAATCTTCAGATATATTTATCTCGCTTTAAAAAATTTTGAACCTTCACTGATTAGCAATACTTGAAAATAATTTATACTTAAGGTATAATGAGTATTATTAACGTACATGACCAAACTTACTTTGGATACTTTACAGTCATTGCGTGTCGCACAACCCAAAGAGGAAAGGTGTTTAATTGCTATGGTCAACCTCCCCATTAGAATTTATGAGGGCGAGTTAAACACGGGACTATCAAAAACCGGGCGAGCCGCGTCGGTGGGCCTCGAGTATGCGCGTCAACGCTCTTAACCGCTGAGCTACGACGACAACTCTCAGACCCGGTATTACGTATTTAACCTGTTACTCTAACCTTACCTTAACCCGAAGTTTTAACCAGTAAAGTGCTTTAGACAGTTTACCTTTAATGTTTATTCCGGCAGAGCATAGAGATACTATAAATAACGTTCAAAAGTATTTTTATACATTTACTACGAGGCAGTATAAAACGTTAAAGAGAAGAAATCAACGCAGGGTGCATGCTAACTTTCTAACTTTTCGTTTGTACAGGGACAGACTTTCTTGTTTAACTACTGAATATATGTTTTACATTTAATATAGGTTATATAAATATTATATACGAAAAACTGTATGTTTAAGAAGACTGGTTTAACCTATTTATAATTGTGCTATGCGAGTACAGGAAACTTAAGAGTGTAGGTATACTAAAGAGTATTTCTATCTTAAAGTCGGCACATGTTTCCCTAATTTTTTATTTTCCTTTATGCGTCTCTCACAGTTGTTTAGTCCCCTCGCTATTTAGTTAATCTTATCTCCCCCGTATATTAATCTTAGTTATACTAGTTCTTTTTTGTCAATCTCAATTTATTAACAAAAAGAAGATATGCGAACTAGTATATTTCTGAAATTAAGTGATAGGACATTAGCTAAAGAACAAAAAATATACTACTTAGTTAATTAGCTTAAGTCTCCCATGAGCGCTGTCAACTGCTTTCGGATTAGGGTAAGAAAGAATAAAACAGGATGGTCACAAGCTAATTCGTTTAACTGTTAGACGCCCAAAATCAGGAGGGTAAAAATTTATTAATTTAGGTAATCATCTTTACGAGCTTCTTTGGTTGTACGAATAATGGTTATGCTCTTACAATAAACTTCTAATCGTTGATGCCATCGGTCTTAATTTTCGCAGTTTATTTATTCAGAGCCATAGATTGGTTAATTAAATAAAAGTCCATGATTAATGATTATTTAAACAACTGCTGAAGAATTAAACTATATAAAGTGTGCTTTTTTAGTAGATTTTATGTTCCTTCTCAGTTCTTGAAAAATTGCTCTCTGTATTGAAATTGTCCCACATAAGATCTTGTTAGAATTTTACAGAATTAAATGTGTAGTTTTTTTTTCCCTAGCAAATTTTTTGTGTTCTCAACTTTATAATGGTTAACTATGCATAAACTAATAACGAAAATAATTAATTTGAAACCTTTTAAATTCTTGCATTTTTTGTTTAGTTTTATTAGAATAGTACATAGCACCATTAAAATTGCTGAGTACCTAACCCTTCATTACGTAATCTTGTCCTGTCTTTTTTTCCGCGATCTTCTCAGTTCGCAAGCAAGGGTTTTTGATAAACTCTTGCCTTTTCTGCAGATATAACTGCATGCATGAACTTGGGCGACCTGGTTTGTGTTTATTCTTTTCACGGTGGGATTTTTTCCCTGCTTTTAGTTCTGTTCTAACATGTTTTAAATATTTAATAAGGTTGAATATCTAATTTTTATTAACCATACTTTTCTTTTAATTTACGACACTTTTCTGTCTTAATGGAAATGACGTTACCTCTCAGGTCATTCCAATTTATGCACTGCAGCAGGGGCAGAAAATATCTTTTATCCCTAAATTTAGAGAAAACTGATTATCTTATGGCCGAAACTAGAATTTTGTAGCTATAAAAAAAACAAAATTGTTGACCCAAAGTTTAATAGTATAGTTTACCTGATATGCCAAAATAGGATTTGCAAACCTTTAATTAAGTTTTACTTAAGCCACCGTCATTCTTTTAAATATTTTTTTTAATTTATAAGGTTTTTTATCGTAATTCTAACTTTGTTATATCCCCATTCTATATATAAAATTTTTTAATTTTTTTTAAAGGCCATAAAGGTAGATTGTAAGTAATTCGTGTATTATAACATTTTAGTAGGCCTCCGTAAACCTATTTACCTACTTTTTAAGTAGCTTTCGGACTAAGCGGTTCTTGATAATGTAATTATTATTAAATATGTTTATTGCGCTCACTGAAGTCGACTCTATCTCTAGCTCCATTATTTTTAAGGCCACGATCTGAAGTATGCATAGTTTACGCTTTTATTAACTCTCATTTTTCTTTTTTAAGTACAGGCAGTAGTGAATACCGAATATATATAACTACAGGTATATTAATTATACGGATCATGAAATTTTTTTTTTGGGAGAAACGCTAGCATATTACTACTCTTAGAGAATTGATCCATAAAACTGAAATTTTCTAATTTAAGCAATAATTTAGAACTCAGTCGTTAATTAATGTTAACTACAACTCGCTTTATTAATTTGACATCATTTTATATGGTATTTAACGTTCTATCATGTTATAAGCGCGTTTTCCAAAAGGGGAAAGATTATATTAAATAAAAGCGGTACTAATCGAAAGATCAGTATACAATTTTTTTTTTAAGGAGAGCCTCTTAGAATGCCTTCATTATCCGAAGGAAGCAAAAATTAAATAACTTATGTCCCTTTACTAGACTGCTGCCCGAAAAGAACGGAAAAAAAGCTTTATTTTAGTATTATGGTACAAATGGCCCCCCCCCCCACGGCAGTTTAAGTCGCAGTACACAACGAAATGCGATTAGAACAAGCTAGATTATATTAAATATAGCTGATCTTGTATAGAGTTTTTATTTTAAAGTAAATAGTTGACGCTAGATTTGGATTATTTCGGATTATTATAATGAATGGGTCCTTCAAAAGTCCTTATAGAGATTACAAAGTTTAAAACAATAATTTAGTAAACGCTAGACTGAATACTTTTAATATACAAATTTTTTTTATAAAGAAAGCAAGTAACCCATATAATATTATCGGTTTAACTATGATATTATGAAAGCAAAAATATGATAAACCTTAACATAATAAAAGCAAGAAAATATAATTCGCCTCATAGCAAAGTTTTCTTCTAGTAAAACACAAATGATATTTCTTTACTGTTTACTATCAAAAGAAAAGGTTGTGTTTTTTTTTGTAATTCAATATATAAGAATTCGCTAAATATTTGTTATGTTTAAAGAGCTGCTGAATATCGACTAGTATTAGCAAATTTTTAAAATTAACATAGAAGCTTAGCATTTATTTCTTATTGAAGCACTTTAGTTAATTGCATTTATTTGTGTAGGCCCGCCCTTCGTTTCTTGTCAGGTTATAAAGCTTTTTAATTTAATTAGTGTTTGTTTACACGCGAGGGCTAACTCAAGACGAAGCGCGTCTACATAGGGCACGATCTTTTTCGTGCGCTTCACGATAAAATCTAAGCACAAAGAGCAACTGAAACTTCAAAAGCCAAAACTAATTTAAATTAATTTCAAACTTATGCTAGGACACTCACCGCATATATAAGTATATACTAGTAAATAACACTATTAAACACAGTACAAACACATAGACACTAGTCACAGCATTCTATATACCAGCACTATATCACACTCATACAGCAATCATTCTAGTGAGTTCAGATTTTTACTTTACTAAACTACTTTTTTTCCGAAGGTACATAGATATTGGCCATTAAATACTCGCAAAGCATTAATTACGCAATTTTTATTAGCGCTAAACTTTAACTGTAACCTCTAAACTATACAGTCAAGTCTTCCTTTCCAGGTGCACCCGAATTACAACTTATTTTTTTTAATGTAGTATATAGCCCTGGATTGCATCTGAAAAAGTTCAAGTTTATTTATTAGTTCTCTTTTTTACCCAGCATTGGAGAGAAAAAAAAACTCAAGTCGACTGCTTATCTTCTGCAATTTTCGCATTGGGGCTATAACAAACTATAGACTAAACCACCGTTGGTCTCCACATGATGCTATCTCGGATTAGCATCAACTCACTGAGTTACTCAAGTGTGCAGATAGTGCCGGTGCTTCACCAACTAAACAGAAAAACCCCTTAGTTTAGCTAACTTAGCGCTTCTGCTTGGGTTATGTTACTGTACAGTGTTTGTCCATTCTATATATATAAGATAAGTTTATTGTTAAGTCAACTCCAATTGAAATTGTTGAAAGATGGTCGTTTAAGCTTCTAGTAAAAAATTTAACTTCAAAGTATAAAGTATATATTGTATGCTTACACCAGGTGATTTCCGGCAGCTACATAATACCCCAGGTTTATTAATTTTTATGTTTATGCTTTATTTTTAGAAATTTTAGAATCTTTCAGAACTATCAGCACAGTTGCAACAGTGTTATAATTAAGAGCAAGAACAGTCGGGGATCCGCCAAGGGCCGCGTTTACAGAATTCGTGCTGCCTAGCTTGAAACAGTTGTGTAACTCTTAATAAGTTCATAATAATCACTGAAGATAAATAGCATTAAACTAATCGAAATTATCGTTTGGTAAATAAAAAATATATGATAAATTAAAGTAATATGGTAAAATTTAAAAAAATGGGAATAAACAGAAAGACTTAGAACTAAAAAAGAACAGTTAAGATCAAAAGTAGGGAGGCGTGAACTAAACTTCTACAAAGTATGCGGGTTTGCATTAAAACCATTCTAGCGACGAACTACTTCTTATTTTTTTAATTAATTATAAGTATTAATCTGTGGAGCTACCTTTACTGGGTAGCAAGACTGGATGATATATCTTATTTTTAAAGGACTTTTAATAACTGGGTTGTATATTTGAGACAGGAAGACTTAAAGATTTAACAACCAACTTATCAAATTAAACTGCTAATTTTAAGCACATTCTATACCAAACTTTACTATATGAGATATGAACCGGTCTGTCGTCGTGGCGAGAGCTAGAGCTCCGTATTTTTTTTTTACCGGTCTTTGATAGTTAAGGTTTGAATTAACAACTGTACTTTCTAAGTATCCAAAAAAATGTTTAAGATTTTAAGCTGTTTGGCTTAAATTTTGAAGGAAATTTTACTTCTGTGAATCTGCCTGTTATCATTTGCATTCGTTTCAATTCTAATAGTAATCTGCTCATATAAAACTATACCTTTACATCAAAATTTTTTAAAATAATTTCAACTTAAGATGCTACTGTTTTATATCGAAAATCTTCAAAAAACTATGGGTTTAACAAAATAATGAGAAAAGAGTTGAGTATAATCTAAAAGCAGGCAGATCATCAGAGATAGAAACATATATATATGTTATTAACTACGGGGCTCAGCCTGGCAAAGACCAAGTAGATTATGATAAAAGTACAATTTTTTTTTGCAAAAGTTGACTCTAAAACTTTTTAGAAATGAATATAAGAAATAATATTTTTCCATATTAAGTATAAGTAAAAAAATATAGATTTAAAAATTTATAAGGGGAAGTGCACTTGCGAAAAGCACTTCTACCCGTCCGATCTAAGAAGTCAAATCTCCGGGGCCTTGGTTAGTTTGCGTTGGGTGACCGGAGGCCTAACCACGTACTGCATCCCCCTCTAATAGTCGGAACATTCTTGGCACTGGCGATGTGTGGACGCCTACTTGCTCCCGAATAAAGACTAAGCAGTATGCGCTCGACTTACCGAGCATCCGCAAAAGTCACTAATAAAATGTATACATATATGTTCCACTTTAAGTTTATTAAGCCTATATGAATGTATTCTTACTATATGTGTCTTTAAAATACAGACAGCCCCTCATTCCAGGACAAAAATGTAAAAAAACCATATTTAAAAGACATAACTTCTCCTACAACAATTTTTAATAAAGATCTTAATATTTGCTCCGACTGTCGACGTTTGATTTCTAAATAAACGTTGTAACCTTTGAGAGAGTATAAAAATAACTGTTTCTTTAATGCAGTGACATGCTACATGCACGCGGTCTTTAAATTAGTTGAGGTTTCCATTTACTTAATTAAATTCATTTCGAAGTTTGTTTTGGTACTATAATTTAGTTAACTGATATTATTTGGTAAGTATTTACAATTTTATAAAATTTTTATTCTATTTCGATATCTCTAGCCTTTTAAAATAAGTTTACTTTAAATACTTTGTTCGTGCTAATTTTTTTCGTCTTTAATTAGTATATTGCAAAACTTTCATAAGCTTGAGTTTGTTGATTTCTGATTTTTGTTTATTATAAGTCTAGAATAAATTTTTAATTTAGAATGGACACTTCTATATTAAAACTTCAAGCATCTACTCGCACGGGTGGAAAAGGCACCCCAAGACTGAAAACAAGAGTTGTAAACAATAAAGGAAACTCTGATAACAATAGAATTCAACTTGCTTTAAAGAAATTGCAGCTTAACACAATTCCAGGTTTTCGTTTTTTAAATATTTTTTGTGTATTCTGTAAGCTTACCTTTGCACATAGGCATTGATGAAGTTAGTATGTTTACTGATGACAATAAAATATTGCACTTTGAAAAACCAAAAGTTCAAGGGTCTTTGCAATCGAAAACTTTTACCGTTTCTGGCCGTTGTCAAACTCGAAGTAGAGCTAATTATGCGCTGTTACCTCGACTATCGCTTATACATTTCTAAAAAAAAGGTATAGAGTCCACCCTAAGTTCGATTCCAGGAGCAAAGAACCGTTTAAAAACTGAAGATTCTATTATAGAGGGAACCCCCAACAGCGCAAATCATCAAGTAGCAAACGACGATGACGACGATATTCCGGAGCTTCTTGGAAATATAGATGCTGATTAAGTATTTAATTTACAAAGGATTGTTTGTATCAAATAAAAGTAATTGGAGTGATGTTATCTTAACTTTAAGTGCGTATTTCTCACTTATTTCGCGGAGGATTGCTGCAACCTGCAAAAAACTTGCATAAGCGTTTTTTTGTAGGCCCTCACGGCATTCTTTTTACTCATTCTTAAAAAAGAAATTTTGTGAGTTGCGCCGCGTGTATCCACAAATAGCACTTGCTTTGCAATAACTAGTTAAAGTTATTAAGTACACAAGTAAGCTTTTATAAATAAGTTAAAATTCGTTTGCAGCTGCAAACATTGCCAATTTTGTAAAGTTTAAGCTAAAATATTAACTCGGCACTTCAGAACAAAGCGCACATAGGCAATTGTAAGAAACAAATTTATAATTAATAACACTAAATTAATGAGATTGAGGCTTCACCAGTAAGTAATGAGAAGTACTTAAATTTAGGTCACTAACGGGCCCCGACTTCAGAGGCTATTTGTAAAATATAACACCACTAAAACTGCACCTCAGAGGACACTGGCTACCGCCATACACATGAATGATTATATTAGGCCAAACAAAACAAAAGACACTATTAATATAATTAATATAATTTAAGGTATATAATTAAAATAGATTTTAATATCAATTTAACTTATGCTTTAGTCGATAAAGATTCGGCCGCAGCCTTTTCTTGACTACGTTTTAAGCGAATGCCAACCAAGCGAGCCTCCGCTCTAGCCATTCGCATGGTTTGATATGCAGAGATCTTTGTATTAATGTACTCGACGGGGAGCGTTTGTTCCTTATTTGGGGGTTGCTTAATAGGTAAGACATCCCCCAATAATACTTGCTTGGCGGCGCGACAATCCTTTGCTTTAGAATCTCCTTTTCTAAATTGGTTTTTGACTTTTGGAAATAAAATTAATTTTTCTTTATAAGCCTTCAAACGTTGAACGTTGAGAGTTAGAGATTCCACAGATCGATTACGACGGCGAAAATCTACGGCGATACCAATAGTTCGGGCAAACTTAGGTGAGATTTTAGCGGCTTTCAATTCTTCAAAGGTAAATCCACGTCCAGCACGGACACGTATGTTGTACTTACTAGTGGGACAACGAACAGCTGGGCGTAATAAAGAAAGGGGTCTTGGGGCGAGACGTGCAGCTCTAGAAGGATGTTATGTCAAAAAAAAATTCGAAAGAAAAATAGTACCCTACTTTATCATTCGTGACTTACGACGACGTGACTTCCTAGCTGGTTGATTAAACCAAGTTTTCACATATCTTTGCCAGTCTTTATGAAGGTGAGCATTTGGCAACACATTATTGTGGGCAACCATATTCTTTTAACCACGTATCTATGAATATTTAGGATTAAAATGCTATACAACAAAATAGAAAATTAAAAAACGCATTAAAACTTTAACCTATAGCACAAGCCACTCGAAAAAAAATTTAAGCAGCCCGAACGCCGGATAGCCAACTACTGAAGACAGGAAAGGCTGTTGTAAAAGCTTAGTAAAATAGGGGCCCTCAAATTTTTAGTTCGACTTTGGCACGCGTTAACATACGATGAGAACGTAGCGTGGGGAGTTTTAGCCAAGCTGATGCCGTTTTTTGGCCTGGTAACACCCACATATTAACTCAGGGGACGCAAGCACAGCATACCATGGGTTGTGTATAATATATGAAATATTCATTTTTCTTTGTTCAACTTAGAAGTTGTAACTATTTTTTTAGTTTATTGTTGTCTATAGTCTTTAGTTCGCGTAGTCCTTTTGGTTAAACCTTAACATCTAAATTAGCAAGCAACAAAAGAAAATATAAAAATGTTTTTATTGATTTTTAAATGCGCACTATTTTTTACTCTGCAACACATATTATAGCTATACGTAAGCTCCATATCCATAAATTTTTTTTATTACGATTTATATCATATTTTTGGTGCCTATATTACTAAAACACTTAAAGATTTAATTATTATTTAAAAAAAGTATGTTTTTATTTTTTAATAATCTTATCTCTACTTTAAGTTGGTTTTTTAAAACCTCACCTTCTAAAACTTTCAACAGGGTATGAGCTCAGCTTTACATCCTTTCATAAATTTTAAAAAATTAACTTTTTTTTTAAGTCAAACAGGTTGAGTTTACCTATACCTTTAAATTATTTATTTAAACAGTGTTTTATAAAATTCTTCAACCTTTTCGGGTTTTTATGATTTTTAAAGTTTCTTTCTCAAAGAATATGCCTTATTATTTGAAAAAAATAAAGTTTAAGTATTAAGAGCGTTAGACGCGATTAGTTTATATTTATATTTAAAGTCTAACTGCTTATTTTATAACTCTGATGATCGGCTTAAGTATGTGAGGTTTTTAGTTCACCCTGACTATCGACACAACTTTTAAAGTTTCTTAACAAACAGTTAAGAAGGTCGTCGATAATAAGAAAGAGTTAAAGCAACTTTTTCTTCTTTGCGGCCTCTTATCGAAAAGCTTTGGGCTGAACACGATTGTCATGCAACACGAATTATCACGTTTTGCCAAGGCATAGTCGTTAATAGCGTATAACAAAGACCTTAGGGTGCACTATAACGCCTCGTAAACTTGTACTTACGAGTGTAAGAAGTTACAAGTTTATATATCACTAGAAACTGCCAAAACATAAATTGGGAAATATAATTTATGTTAACGGGTTATTTATTAAAGGCTGACGAAAGTGTTAATCAAAAGGGCAGATACTTAAGCTCCTCTCTACTAAGTATACCCTTTTGTATTTGTAAGAGATATATCACGCTAGTAGGAACCAAATTTTTAAAGCAAAGTTCAATTGTTGTACCAACTGCTTTAAAGAGAAGTTCGTTGCTATAGCGAAAATGCAAAACAAAAGCTCGCTTTTAATTTTAGAGTGGTAAACATATAGAGAACGCCATTAAACTATTAAATAAAATGGGCCGAGCTGGTTAATAATTGCTTGTAGTGGCATAAAATTAAGTTATTCCAGGTAAAAAATGCAAAAGCAAAGCGTCAGTAATCAATATTTTTATATTGTAAAGTTAAAATTTCTTTGCGAAATAAATATTGTTTGTTGGATTTTTATAGTATAAAAATAAAAAGCTTAAAAAAAAGTTTATAAAAGTGTAGAAGGCTTTTACTTCCTCGCATTTACAAACGTGCGATCTCATTGGCTAAGCAAACCGAAGGTTACAGCTATAACGTGACAAGTGCAAAGCGTGATTTTCTTATATTTTACTTTTTTAAAAAATATGTAAATTTGAAAATTAATATGCCTCCTGTTCTTGTTCTAAAAGTTGGTAACTTTAATAGTTATTCGGGAATAGTTAAGGTAATTATTAAAAATTTTATTACTTTTGTCTCAATTTTATTTAGTCAAGCAGTTAATTTAAGTTTTTTTGTATGATATATGATAGTGTTGGTTCAACAAGATTGGTAGAATGTAAAAGTTTGACGTATTTTGTAAACTTGGGCTAATTTTGTTTGTAGGAATTTATGTTATTATCTTAGTCTATAACTTTTTATTTTATTTTGTTATATTCTTCTAGGAAGAAGGGACGTATAAAATTATTGAGAATTCCTTCGGAGAAAGATCCACTCCAAGTTATATAGCCTTTACAGAATATCAAGTAGAAGTAGGCTCTTTAGCCAAACAAAATTATATTAGCAATCCTTCAAACACTGGTTCCACTTCTTTTGTATTTATGCAATTTAATGAATATTTATTTATTTCAAAAAAAGTATTTGGCTTTAACAGGCTTTTATCTAATAAGATTTCTGATTTTAGTCCCTCTGAACTGAAGCGTTGGCAGTGTCGTATTTGTAGGAATAAAGATTTTGATGAAAATGCTATTGAAGAGTATATAATTATTTGCACTGCTAGTTTTTATACTTTAACTTTGTTAAAGTGGTACATTGGTTGAAGTGACTTACCTCACTGAAAAAAAGATTTTCAGTCCTTCAGAACTTATAACCATCTTTTTGAAGGAATTAAAATTAACTGCGGAAACCTCTTTATCTCTCAAAGTTTTCATATTTTTTATTACGAATTAATCATATTTACTATTATTTTCCAGTTGTCAAAGGCTATTGTGGTAATGCCATCATATTTTGTGGAAGACACCCAACAAAAGTTGTTTGAGGAGGTTTTTATCATTAAATTGTGAAAGGAATTTTATTATAATTATTGGAAAGATCGTCAAAAATTCGGGTATTACTGCACTGAGATTTATCAAGGAGCCCGTCTCGGCTTGCCTCGCCTTTGATCTAGTTGAAGATGCTCTTGTTATAGTGCTTGACTATGGAGCACTGGGCGTAACCTGCTCCTTGGTGCGCATAAGTTGCGGCCTGTACCTTTTTTATTTAAAGTTATTAAGTTTTTATTACACGTTGATCCCTGCAAACAGCTACACTTTGGTAAAGACTGAAGTTGACAACAGCCTGGGTACTGCCATTCTCACGGCTCGTCTTATGCAGTTTTTTGCTAGTCAATTTTTTAAGAGTACGAAACTGAATATTTCAGAAAATTTGAAAGGTAAAATCCTTATTACTGAGTAATCACTTGCACAAACTAAAATGTATGACTTAGCGGTACTAAAGCTCCGTGCAGAATGTGAAAGAGCGCTGATTGCACTTACACGGGCAAAAACGTACACTGCAAGTGTCGAAGCGCTAATGGAGGGTTACAACCTTCTATACTCCCGCCCAATTTATATAAATGGTTTTGTGCTGAATCAGGCATCGACTTGAACTGTACTATCGATCGAGGAACTTTTGAACAGCTGTGCAAAACTCAACTTGAGGACGGCCTGAAACCCCTCCGCTCACTTCTAACGAATTCTGAGATTCCCCTCGGTCCCCAGGAAGTGACGCATGTGGTTTTTACCGGTACCAGTTTATTATGCACCTGACACAAGACTCTTAAAACCGACCGAGAAACCGGTTTCAGGCGGGGGTGCAAACATTCCTCTTCTGCAGGAGTTACTAAAGCAAGAGTTCGAAAGTGCCAGATTCTTGTGCGGGAGCAACCCAGAGGAAACAGTTGTGATAGGGGGACTCAAGGAGGCGTCTCTATTATTGAAGTTTAAAGGATCTCTCAACTTAGTAACTTTGAAATCTTCGCACGTCGTTAAGCTTTTTATACACAGACTGCTTGCAGGAAGTTCAGCCCACCGAAGTATATGCATTGTCTCACACGTTGAGCCTCGAGATCAGTGGAGGTCGCTGCTATCCTATTCTTAAGAGGATGACGCCGCTGCCTGCCCATCAGAAAGTCGTCCATCGTATTGCCTGCGACGTTCTATTAAAAGTCTACGAGGGTATGCGGGGTTGGCGGAATAGCCGGCCCTGCGTTCTCTTAATCGTTGTTTAGGCGAGTGCTCGACTGTCGAAGGGAATAAATTATTGAAGGAGATACCAGTAATGGGGATCAACAGCGAGCAGATGGTGTCCATCAACTTCCATTGCAGTCAATCCGGTACGCAGCCTAGTCCCGTACTCGGTGGGGGCACTCACAGACATTCGACAGGAGTTCTACGGATCGCCGTGGAGTCGAGCGTGAGTGGAATGCAAATCTGTGAGGCTTATATTCCGTGAGTTCCGCCAGAACATAAATATTAAGAAGCGCTGCATTTCTTGTTAGGAGCTGCTTTTTATTATTACGATGTGAAAATAAACACGTGCGTCTAAAGGAGCAGCTTTCTTTTCTTGCGTTTATATTTCTCCTTAAATTGCAGTTCGGCACTGTCAAAAAATTTAATGTCCCTTTCGATCAGTAAGTTTTTTAAAAAAGCGAGTCCGGCTTGATTGCAGCCAATGGTGTCCTAGTGCAATGCAATAGGAGGAAGAAACCAAAACAGCACGTAGCCTGTCACAAAGTACTTTGAGCTGCTCAAGTTGGGACCGCAATTTCAGGCGTAGGTTGTCCAGCGCTCCCGCCATGACCTGGCTAGACACGAGGCGGTTGTGGTGAAGCTTGAGGAGATAAAACAGGCACCGTGCCGTTAGCTCGACATCCTTCCCTAAACAGCAAAAAATGTTCAAGCAAGGACATGTGACTACGGTATAAACATGTGCCCACGCACCTGCCTCTGCCCACTCTTCGATGTAATGCAAAAATCGCAGAGTAAAGGCAAAAGGCATCACAAGAAGCGCTTCGTCCAGATCACTAGCCCTTTGATTGGTCCATGCTAGTACAGCGTAAAAAAGTGGTTGGCTGGCCGTTTCAAAAACCTGACAGACTTGACCACATGCAGCAGATATTCCGCGGGAGTCTTACACTTATGCATAGAGAGAAGCGGGTCCCGAAGTCGTTTAGCTGGCGGAATTTCGCCCTTACAGAGAAGTCAGACTGCCTGCAGTTTCAGTGGCTGAAAAAAGGCACCTTTTTCATTGCAGCTCGGCACAGTTCCGCAAATTCTCTCTCTGCTTCGACCTCTTTGTCGCACACTTCAATGGCTGCAAGCCAAAGCACGTGTCACTATGGAAGGACACTAAAAAAAGAGACAACCAACCATCGATAATCCTCTCCGATGCGTGCATGGTTGTTCTCGACGGCTTGCCAACCCCAACAGCCTCATACACTCCTTCATTGGTCTAAGAAGTCACGTGAACAAGCGGATCATGCGGGTTGTTCCTAGCGAAACCTCCTCGAGTGCGAGCTGGTCCTCCACTATAGCGGCGTCCATGTGTTTTTCCCTGTCGAGCTCTCGTTGGATGTCCAAGTACACAATATCTGGTGTCCTTTCCCACAGACGGAACGACCTATCACTGGACGAGGTGACCACAAAGTGACCGTATTTACTGGCTGGCAAAATAACATAAGACAACCAAATAAAAACAAAGCAGCAACGACTGGAGTTATTACCCGACACGCACCAGACTTCAGATTGGTGGCCGCTTAGAGTAAGAATGTGGTCGAACGTGTCGCCGTCCCAGTACTTGACCAACTTATCTTTGCTTGTAGTGAAAAAGTAATGCGTGTTGTGCACGAAAGTGACGTCCGTCACTGTGTCCGCGTGCGCAAAGATAGACTTGTGGCAGTCTCCAAAGTCCAGTCCCCAAAGTTTTATGTTTTTATCAGCGGACGCGGAGACCAGAAGCGTGGAGTCCGCGGAGATATCAAACTTGGTTACGGGCAACTTGTGCCCATACAGGGAGGTAAAAAATTTCAGGGTGTCCTGGAAGAAAATCTACTGACCAGACGGCAAGTGTTATTATCCATTAGCACCCATGATACGACACTCACAAAGACCTTTATGGTGCAGTCCAAGAGAGCCACTGCCAGAAAACGGGCGTCCGGACTGTATTTGACGCAAAGGACATCATCCGACATTAGCAAGGTGCTTTCCAGTTCACAGCCTACACCGGTCACATGGCAAAACGCAAGCAACAAATTGGAACCAAATAACCCACACCTAAGCGGAGCGCTGATTTGGAGTAGCTGTCATCCTGGATCAATGAAAAGTCCCAAAGCTTTACTTCATGGTCAGCGCCGCCTAGTTTAGCGAATAATAAGAGGCGAAGGGTGGCCCTGCCATAGAAAGCCCAAAGCAGACACGGACCGGAGGCGAAGCGTTTTCCGTCGGGCCGCAGCGCCAGGGACCACAGGGGGCCTTTATGCGCCTGCTTTTCTTCGAGTAAAAGGGAAGCAGAAGCATCAAACAGTTGCAACTTTCCGCACTTTGTACCTACCACGCGGTAATAAGCATATGGAGCCGCGCCAATCCAAAACGCCTAAGCGCACCAATAACCAGATGTTTTCCGCCAGGCGCTAGAAAGGCGCAAAGGCCGTGTGCCGAAGGGATTGTGCGGATACACGAGCGGGTCTGAATGTTCCAAAGCTTGACGCATTCTGTACCACGTGGTTAAAATACTGCATAAAATAAGCAAAGGCTTCATATCAACATACTTTTGGCGCAGGTGGCCAGCACTGTCCCGTCCTCGCTGACGACGATCGCACGGGCACCTTGACGGTGGCCGCTGGCTTCCAGACTGCCCGTCAAAGTCGAGGTGGTTTCTGCTCAGCGTTAAGCAAACCGACTACTGTGAATAGATTCGCAAACCTCACCTTTTAAGGAAACCTCGTACTGCTCCAACAGATTATTAGTTAAACTTAAAATTAACACCAACGGTGGTGCATTGTCATAAGCAGTGTCAATCTCTTTTTTTCTAACAAACTTTTTAGGTTGGCATACGGACAGCGAGCGCACGGGAGAAACTGTTTTTAGCGTGTGGACGTGGGAAATCTCATCCTCCACAGCGGCTTCCACGCTAACTTGCAGCGATCCTTTTGCTTTATAATTTAAATATAAATGATTTAATTAAAACACAACTAACTTGCCTTTTTCTTTAATCCGTCTTCTTCGCTTTTTTAATTTCTCCTTGATCTCTACTTCAGTAGCCAAAACAAAAAATTCTATAGTCTTTCTCTGGCCTTAGAAAGCAATCTAAGGGATGGTCAGGACGGCTAAAGAGGCGGAAGACAAACCTTGAACGATGAGGACGCGGTCGTTATGCAGAGTTAACGACATAACACGACCATTTTCTTTCCGTTTAACTTCTCCATGAAATATAATTTCTAATTTACAAAGCGACGATGTTTCAGCCTCTCGCTTTAAAACATCGGTCGAATCCTCGATTTTCCTAATTTTCCAAATTTTTAAAACTTCATCCGTAGATGCTTAAAAAAAATAATATAATTAAATAATTCAGAAAATTCAGACAAAAAAAATTAAGCACCGGTGATTAACTTTGATAATTGCGGGTTAACCACAAAAGAAGTAACTTCGGAACGGTGGGAAGCAATAGTATGCACGCAACTTTGCAGATCCAAATCCCAGAACTTAATAGTGGTGTCTTTCGACGAGGAAATTACGTATTTTAAAGAATTTATTATAAACACTCGAGTGATTTCATCCTTGTGGCCTTTTAATCTTTACTAGCGGGCTTAAAATTGAGACGGACTGGCCGGTATAAAAAAGTTACCTGTATAAACCAGTTTCGGAAACTACGTCCCAGACTATGAGATCAGTATCTTTCGATCCTGTAATGACATTTAAAATAGCCTGAACAATTTATATTTTAAGAAAAAAACCAGAAACAAGTAAAATTTCATCGGTATCAAATTCCATAGTGGTTACTTGGCCTTAGACAAATGGATGTTCAAATCTTAAAAACTTATAGTTATAAACATATAATAAACCTTTATGACCGCTAAAGGTCACAAAACATTCCCTGGAATCAAGTTTAAATATTTTTAAATCGCCATTCGCGTAGCTAGATTGTGTTAGTGCTATAAAGAAACTTTACAATAGAGTTTATAAAACTAACCCTACAGCAACAATATTTGATTTTTTTCCGAGACAAATGGTACTAACCTCACTTAACTTGTTTTCTTCATAGGTTTTTTCATATAACTTGCCTGCAAAGAACAAGATAATATAAACTTAAGTTAATAAAAAGTAGATTTAAATCGACATAGTTATTATAATAATAATTATTACCCAAATAAAAGCAAAAATGATAATAAAAAAACCTTTTAACTCAGAATTTCTAAAATCATAAATGTGAACATATTCTAAAGCGGGAGAAAGTACAATATCTGAATTGGGGACGGATACAATATTGCTAAGACTACTCGCAATAACTCCAAAAGAGTCGGCAAACTCATAACGAAGATACGCTTTCTGGCCCATTTTGGGGCTATACCGCCTGGCGAAAGGCAGTACGAAAAACGAAGCGGTTGTGCAGGGACAGTGGACTCAAAAGATCTCGCAGTTCACGTGGAGCAAAAACATTTAGTTTACTGTACTGATGTCTACTACTGTTGTACACTACTAAAACAGATCAGTTATTTTTGTTATATCACTTAATAGTGATTTTTAATTTAATTGATTATCTACTAAGATATTGGTTGAACTATTTTATTAAAAAAAATTAAATGAGACAATATTTTAACCTTTTTTTTCGCTTTTTAAGTTAGAGTATGTTCTGTTATAAATAAAAGCCTATTTAATAGGCTTGCTCACTCTTTAAGATACTTTTCCTAACTTATTATTTTTATACTATGTTTTAAGGTTATTCAGATAAAAAACATCTGATACTTGGTCTTCCCTAGCTTACTTAGGTTTTTTCCCCCGTATGTATATTTTGTCAACCGATTGTAGTTGTATATGTGTTCACTAGTCAAAGCGTATACTTGATTTTAAAAGAATTTAGAAACCAACTATTATTTATTTGTAATCGAAGCTTTATTTTAATATTACTTTGTCACACTTATATGGTTTGGGCCCACCAACCCTGTTTACTTTACCGAGTATATGTTAATATATTATCCTCCTAACAACGATATAATCTGTAAAGTTTCTTGCTTACTTTATGATACCTTTCAGCTTTGTACCTCCCTGCTATTTCTTGAATTCACTAGGAATTATGACTTTTATGGCTTGTACTGTTATTCTATATTTGCAATAACAAATAATTTTACCCCTCTTTTACTGAGGTAAATCTTTGCAAGAATGAAAGTGTTCACTTTTACCCTTGCACTTTGAAGCTTAATTACTCTGCTTTGTTTACTAATAGAGGGGTTTTGAGGGAAGAAAAAACTTTGTTTTATATAAAAGTCCAAGGTCTTCTATGCATTAAAACCCCCGCTAGGGATAGAGAACATAGTAAAGCGAATTTATGAGCGAAAACAAATTGGTTTGCGTAAGAAGAGGGTAAAAATAACAGAATAAAGTATAATAAAGTTAAACCAAAACTTGACTAAAAGATGTGACGAAAAATATATTTATTAAAAGTGGTACCAGTAAGCTTATAATTTATAAAGAAAGAAGAACCTAAGTCAAACTTAAGAAACGTATGAATAGTAGCATAGTTTAATTTTAGGTAACGTGACAACTGTTTTCTCTTTAGAAAAACAAAGGTAGAATTTTTAAATTACTTGCCCTTTTCGTACTTTCTTGCCTCTTTGAAACGTTATTTTATCCACTTTTTGTTTTTTTAAGTGTACATATGATATTTACTGCCTAAGAGCAAATAAGTTAATGCAGGTTAACTTGCGCACCGCAATATTCGTTTACAGATTATATTTCAGATTTTATTAGATTTTTTTATAATTAAATCTACTGTAAGAGTTATATTATCACTTAAATATAAAATACTAGCTTTCGAACTACACATCGGTAATAATAACACAATCATATTCATACCTTTCTTTTTATTATACAAACAAGCTACGCTACATATTCTCTATTTGTCTTCTGTCTCTTTGATACTGCATAACTAAGGGCCTTGGCAGAAATGCTTTGCAAAAGGATATCTTGCTAGCAATTTCCTACAAACAGTTATATAATACATTTGTCACTAAGTTTCTACTGTAACGTCTCTCACGACTTATGATAAATCCTTTTAAAGGAACGTGTGCGCTTCTCCTAATTATTTCTTTCTATCGAGAAAACTAGTGCTTTACTATGCAATAAAAATAATAACAATAACGGAGTAAGCGGAGTCTCAGCACTGACTGTTTAAACTGAGAGATATTCCGCCCAACCCATGGACTGTAGTGTACGTCCCTTCCCCCGAAATCTTTGATAAGGGTATAACCATTTCTATATGCCTGAGCAGGCTTGGTTCTTTTGAAATTTCCACGAACGTAGCTTGCGAAAGTGTCTAAGAAAATGGTTTTGTTAGCTGCTGGTATTTGTAATAAGAATGGGGAACTTCTGGTTTCTCGACAGTTTGTGGAAATGTCCCGTTCACGGGTAGAAGGTTTATTTGTTACCTTTAGCAAACTACCCAAAAAAGGTATCGAAAGCTTTTTTTGATTAGAATCCTAAGATTTTCTTGCAGTCTTTTTATAAAAGATAACCTTCGTACATGTAGAACTTTTATCCCCGTTACACCTTATACTAAATCAACAACTATCTTATGATCTTTGTAACCTTTATATACCTAAAAGCTCCTTTATAACGCACTTAGGTAAGCAACACACTTTTTTAGAAACCGAAACGGTTCGTTATGTTTATCAGCCCATGGAAGAACTATTACTTGTCCTTATAACCACCATGAAAAGCAATATATTTGAAGATTTAGAAACCCTAAGACTTTTTTCAATAATTGTAAATTTAATAAATTAATACATGTCGATTACTCTCAATCTTCCCTTTCAAAGTTACCAGAATACTGCGATATTACCAAACCAACTAGCGTTATTGATAACGCTATTAATCTAATTTTTGCTTTTGATGAAAGTATTTCTTTAGGTACTCATTGCAAAAACAGTATTCACTTCTGAATATTTGCCTTTTATATGATTTTAATTTAATGTATTGTTTTTCTTTGTTAAGAATTAATCTAGTCTTCTAAGTTTTTACTAGTAATTTTTTTTAACAATTTGAGTAGTGGAAACAACGTCACTACCAAGTATTTCGTTTTGCATTAATAATGTTATAAAGTGTAAGCAATTAACGTAAGAATTTTGTTAATTTTTTTAGTTGAGCTGAAAATGTTAGTTTAAATGATAACAAATATTTAAATTCTCTGCAAAAATCAGCTTGATAATTATTACTGGAATACCTTGAAAGAAGAATTACAAATTAAATTGGGCGAGAGTGCAGAAGCTACTAACTTTATTTAACTTTTTTTTACTCATAAGGGTACCGTGAGAATGTCGATCCCGTTCAAATCAGAACAATAATGGCTAAAGAAAGTTTAGATGAGTATGTAGCTAACAAATTAGAGGAGGTTAGCCCGTTTTACTCCGCCCCTTTCCTTCCTAATTTTAAAAAATTGCCCAGAGCAAAGTCAAGGAGGCCAAAGCTGTAATGAGGCAGAAAGCGTTAGAGCTTGAGAAAAAAAAGAAACTCGGTTATGATAAGTGTACTCTAAAGATCAATTCAACGATATGTCTCCATTTAAAAAATAAATTCTCAGTGGGAGCTTCTGTTTCCTATAGCAGTTACGCCTTTGAGGGTTATGAGGAGACCAGCGATGTCGATTCTGTGGGAAAGACGGAGCCCTCGTTTCGATCAAGAAGTGAAAAGTCTTGAGCATTTATATGCAATTGTCCTCTGGCGGGCCTTCAGCTACAGTTTTGCTAGGCCAGTCAGGAAGGGATGGCGGCTGGACAAGAAGAAAGAGAACGACGAATTTATTGGAAGCCTCGTGGCGGAAGGTAGCTCGTCAGTAGGCAAAAAAAAAGATAAGCAAATTTTTACTGCTTATACACATGCAGGGGAAAGCTTGATCGCGCCCTTGAATAAAGTGGCATCGCCCTCAAAAGATTATGGTTCCTGCTTTTTCCTGCAACTTTTGTCTTTGGCTTTCGTTCAGAAATCCACGGCTCCTCACCAACTGACGTGAATGCAATTTTGGAGGAGAAACTAAGACTGGAAGTACATCGCGAAGGGCAACTGCAAAAGCTTGAACTGGAGGGGACGCTCAAGTTGCAGGCTTTGGAGCCTCAACGCGCTTGCCTCCAGGTTCACCTGGACTTGCCAGAGGACAGTGGCCTGGTCTACAAGGTGACTCTCCGCACTGAACCGGTCAAAGAGAAAGGCATTCCTTTTGGATAGATTCATCCGCAGTTGGACAAGTCGCTCTTTGCGAGGTGCATTCTGGGTCACAAGCAACGCAACAAACCCTTCCCACCGTCCGAGCTTACGGTTCTGCGGTACCGCTTGCAGCAGCCGACGACCTGGGTTCCCCCGTTTTCTGGTTCTTTAATACTCTGAACTAAGCATTTTCAGAAAAATTTAAAGGCCTCCTCCCTAGTAAACTGCTGGCCTTCATTAGAAGCTGATAATACTTGCAGCTTGAGCGTAGAGTACGAGCTGGAAGACCCGCAACTCACGCTAAAGCACGTGGTCATCTCCATTCCATGGTGCTCCCCGCCTTTTGCTGATAATGGAAGCCTTTTCTCACTTTTACCCTCGGTCGACAAGCCCGACGCCTCCTGATGCAGGCGACATGGACGGCAACTACTCCTATGACGAGCGTAACGGCAAGCTCGTGTGGACCGTCAACCACGTGGATTCCACAAACAGGTGACATTAAGACCCATATTTAATTGTAGTGATCTGAACGAGATGAATGCCGGAAGGACGGGCAGTGCAGAATTTAGCCTCCATGAAACAGATACAGGCAGCCTTTACCCGGTCGACGTGCACTTCCATTGCTCGCAGGCGCTTTCCGGTGTGAAGGTTAACACCTGCATTGCTGTATATGCACCTCTTAACTGACTATGGGATTTCTTAGATCGCTAAAATTGTGACTACCGATGAGAAAGAAGTTGCGTTTTCGCTGACTACTCGGTTCGAGTGCGAATCGTTCCAAATAGTCTGAGACAATAAAATAAGCATTTATTCAAAGTTAATTTTTCGTTGAAGAGAAAAAAGTTCGCTGAAGTTGATGTCCATGCGAAGATCGACACAGCATTGCTGAACAAAAAGGATCAAACATTCCGCTTCCTTGATCCTGGTGGCTCTTCCCTAAAATTATTAACACATTAAATAGTCACACGATAAGCCAGTCAATGCGCCTTACGACATAGCGCGCCGAAAGCAGCGTTTCCAGGGCTATTTTCGGTAGTACTCGTAAGTACACTTCTAAAAGTTCCTACGGAAGTAGCTGGTATAGACAACTTTTGCACACCATTCTACTACGAATAAGCTACAGTGTTTATATTGGAAAGAGCAGCTGCTTTTTCATAGCGGTCCTGTTCGTCAAAAGAAAGAACGTTCAGCTGCTTGATAGCCTGTTAATAATAAAAAGACTAAAAAAACATCAAAAAACAACCGATGAGCAAACTGGCCTGCAGAATTCGCGGAGCCACGGACGCCAAAAAGTTCTCTGAATGAGCACGTTTGAAAGGATAGTAGATGTCAGTGAAAATAGTAAAGACGTGCCGGAAGCCCGTGAAGTTTGCAAGAGCTTTAGTCTGGTACTCGTCTCGAAAGGTGTACACGGAAAAACTAAGAACGGCGTGGAGGTACTAGTCCAATTAGTGTAGATACCACGGTATTCCCTGGCAAGACGGATGAGATCCTCGCCTTCGAGAACTGCGTCCTGCAACATGAGTTCCTTAAACTGTTCAATGAATATTTCGCACACAGCATTCTCGCACGCTTTGGCCTTCGGACGGCTCTAAGAAAAAAAATAAACAGGCGCAAGTACGACAAGAACGCCCAAGCATACTTGAAACTTTTCTTCGAAGTAACGAGCGGCCAGATCAAACAACATAACGGCGGCCACTGGGTTATTGATTTTCTTTCCTATCGAGGGAATGAAGAGGCGAGGAAAAAAGAGCAGGCGATTAAGTGTACCTCTAAACTCGTGAGCTATCGACTCCAAAAGCGACGGCACGTTGAAGGTGATCGCAAGATTCGGGTTCAATATCAAACCGGGCTGGGAAGGGCTGTATGAAACAATGGTCATAAAGCAGCAGCGTGGTATCACGCCTTACGTGGAGTCGATAGTATTCGCGGTGGCCTAGAAGAGTTTTTAGTGCCTGCGGTCTGTCGTGGAAGTCCGTCGCCACTTGTCGTACTTGGTCTTTATATGAGCAGAGTAGCCAATAAGGGCGATCCGGAGAGGGGAGCAGTCGCGGGAGAACCTTCAAATATGTCCAAACCGGGAATAGCCAGATAGAACAGAGCTGTCATGCATTGCTGTGGAAAATCGCCCCCGTCCTTAAGAAAGTGTCTTATCGATGCAGTAACTCGCTTGAGCCCCACAGCCAGACAAATCGTTATTAAGCAAAGAGGTGGAACCTCGCGTACGCGGAAACCATCTCTTGCACTTCAGACTTGGATAGCAGGCAGTCACCCAATGTAGATGCGGGCTGCTGTGTCTGAAGAAGGGCGCTGGTCAGCATGGCGATGGAAAAGTGGACAGCCTCGACTTCGTGGGTGTGGTCCTTCGAAAGCTCACGAATGCCCTTTGCAAAACGGTATCAGAAAAGGATGCGGTAAAAGTTTTCGGAATCGCTTTGAAACCCGAGCAAAGTCGCAGCATAGAAGCTGCACGTAGAATTTGTCCAGTGTAGACCATTTCTCGAAGGAGCGATTGTCCAGGAGCGACGGCGCCTCGTGTTGCCAAAAGGCGTCTTCTCTTGCAACATTTTCCTGCAGCCTCTCGAGAGTGTAAATAGCGCGCTGCGAGGGGGGCTGTACCGCGTTTAGCTGTAGCAAAGCAGCCAATAAGAGATAGGCTATGATATTTAAGTGCGTCCTTATAACTCGCATCCAGACAACGTCCTCTACTGACTGAAGTATATGTGAATTCTGGAAGGAGGGATCCCGCGTTAGCACAGCGAGCACCGCCCTTTTGTAGCCTTGGAAAGTTCTTCCAACAAAATTGATAAAAGTCAATAATATAGTAATTTGAGAACACCTGCTGAAGTGGAGGAGGGTAGGTTCGTTGCTAGTGCGCGAGTCGCGCTGCTCTTCTTCTTCCATATAGCGACTAAACAATGTGGAAAATTCTCCCACGTGGGAAAAGGGCTATGGATTTTTTATACGTCACCGTTAGTAGCGTATACCGATAGATACATATGAAAGACTTGAGGTGTGGCCCGCCACGTGCCACTTCGGAGCAAATAATAAGCCTGCACCCACTTCCGCTCAGCGGGGTCCCGAAGTTTGTGAAGAAGATCTTCAAGAGGAGCAGTAAATAAACTTTCTAGAGTTTGCTTCGAGAGAACAGCCCAGGTGAAGGGGTCCCTCGTGTGTTCGGATCGGCTCTGTGAATGGTAAGAAAAAAACTCACAAATTCGTAAAGCAGCAAACCTTGAGGGCAAAAGTATGCAGAAAAGTCCAGCATTTACTAACCTGTTCAAAAGTAAAGAAAAGAATAACGACTTGCCGGTGTTGACAAAAAAAAAAAATGAGACAATGAAGGGATCTTTTATATTTTCTTTGCAAAGTTTGGTGAAAAGACATGTGCTATCTTCATGGTTAAGCTGCAGAATATAATTCGAAACAATGTTCGCATAGCGGCTTTTTGTATCCTGAAAATTCTTCCGACTCGTTTTATTTTCTTTTAAAAACAACTTAAAAAAAGTAAATTTTCTACAAAAATTAGGTAAAACCGTAATTTAAAGAGTCTACGGAGGAGTAAGCTGATGATCTCGGAGGTAACATGTGTGAATATCGGATGCTCTTTTTTATTTTATCCCATTCCGCAAACATGTTTTTCCAGTAGCTCTTATAAAATGACGCGGAGGTCTGCAGATCAAGAAAATCGAAAGCGTTATTTTACAAAAAAGGGGGATGAAATCAATAAAAAAATTTTAGACAGCGGAAGATATAATAAAAAGTTTTTTAAGATTTATCGAAAACAAAAAAAGATACAAATATAAGAACGACTTACATTCTCTTCCGCCTCTTCAATTAAAGCGGATATTATTAACTCATGCTCATTTTCTAAAAATCCTATATAAAGTTTACAAGGATGTAAATCTTAAAAAAAAGTGTGCTAATAAAAAGGTTATGTACCACAAGCATCGCTTTTGCCGAAACTTGAGCGTGAATCAAGAGTAGATGATCGATTTATTTCCTTTAAAAGTTGCATTTGGTCCGCGAAGTCATAAGTACTTAAAGCCAGTATCTTTTTACTAACAAAAATCAAGTATAAAAGTAACATTTTATATGAGTAACAATATTATAAATATATATAAAGATCAAAAAGAAATTTAAAACCGGACAGTAAGGTTTTCATATAATTTATAATTTATTATAGTTTAATATAACTTACGCTTGACTATCATTTGTGTCGTTATGCTTTAAAAGCAGATTTTGATTAAAATCACTAGATTTTTTAGCTAACTGACCTAAAGTCAGCATAACCGTCTCGCTTCCATCTAAGTTGACCGCCGTTCGAGAACTCGCCTTAAGTAATAAAAACCGTTTAAAAAAAACTACGCCAAAATATATTTTATATTATAATTTATTGTAAAAGAAAAACCTGTCTTTCTAGAGCTTTCAAGCTGCTTAGTGACATATTTTGAATAGCAAAGTATATATATATAACTAAAGCTGACAGGTAATATTCCCTACGAAAGCAGGCAGCACTATTAGCAACGACCGCAAGCAATGCCCCCTTCCCGTCTCTCGACTTCTTCTAGCTGTTTGAATTGTCTTGGCTTCAAGCGGTTTGTGTTTTGCTGTTTAACTTTGGTTCAGGAAACAAGCAGATGCCATAACTAAAATGAACAATTTGCATAAAAGTAAAATAAATAATAATATTTTAATACAAGAATCAGCTGGTCATACAGTTGAAGAACGGCTGAACTATGACAAAAATGTAGATTGTAAAAAATTTTTGAAAGCTTTTACTAAGCAGTTTGAGCTTGTCCAAGAAGGATGCAGTGAAAAGAAAATTCGTTTAAGCGCCGTATTGTTTTTTAAATTATTTACACGTTACAAACTTATTATCTGTAAAGTTTCTTTTTTTTTTTAATAAATAACTGCTTGACCTGTTCCCATACTAAATAGCAAATTCTACAACATTTGGGAAGTCTATTAGGAGATGACGTTTTCGTTACAGCTTTGATTTCACATTCGCTTCCTATATTACAAGCTCCTTCAGGTAATAATCTGTTTTTATGTAAATTGTTTATTAAAATATTAAGGTTGTCTTACAATTGTTCAGATATTTTAACCGTTTTTTTCGACTTTTCTTATCAAACAATTTTAATGCCGTAAAGGCTCAGGTTCTTCTATTGGGCGTTTGATGCATCTTATAGCCTTAACTATTGTCAAACCACATACAACGACTAAGGTGCGTTGTTTTCTTCAATAAAAACAAAGACTGAACTTTATTAAAAAAAAACACAGGAAAATGCACTTAAATTAAGCAACGAAGACGACTTGAATCCTTCTGCTGTTGGCTTTATTACTTTTTGTTTAAAAAATACAGAATCTCAGGTTAGATATTTGTTCCTCTGCTACTTTTTGTTAACTAAAATATATATAGTCTAAGCAAGTTCGTTTGCGTTCCTGTGAGTTGCTAAATTTTATATTGCAAGCTTGTGAGGATTACGAAGTAAAGCTTTCTTTAACGTTATTTTTATTACTAAAAAGATTATATTAGCGGTTGGTTCCATTATAATTATTAATTTTATGTAATTAATCAGATTTCCTCTTACTTATTTGACACTATTGCCGAAATCATGATGATACGGGCTTATGACAAGAATCCTAGTCTTATATATACCTATTATTACTAATATTCTTTACAGATTTTATTTAATTTATAAGGCATTAGAATACAAGCATTAAAGTTATTAGCCCGAGTGCAGGATCCCATAGATGTCGACTTTATTAGTACGCCTTTAATAGTAGCACCATCTAATCTTTTTTAATAAATAGGAGAACAGTGGAACTTGTGGGGGCTGGAACGACCTGAAAAACCCCATTACTGAAATCTTTGTTAATCTTGTGAGTTCGGACAACAGCCCTGAAGTATTAATCTGTGCGTCACTTTTTCCTCTGCACTTCGAATTCTCCTTTCTGCAGGTGAGAAAAACGGCACTCGAGCTCATGCCGCCCAGCGTATACACGCTTCCAGTTTTCCTGCGGCGGTGTTACGATGTGAAGGACGTCGTGCGATTGGCGGCCTTCCGAACGTTGGGACAGCGAGTGGCCGTCAGCGATCTTACAAGGACTGCCCGTCTCCAGCGTTGCTTTGTTAATTATTTTTTTATTTTTCTCTTTACCTGTGCCGCTGCTTGTAGTGGTCAAGTCTGGCCTTTCCGACAGGAGCAGTCACGTCGTTGCTGCCTGTCGCCAAATGCTTTGCAACTGGCTAACCCACCAGAATGAATGCTGCCTGACACTTTTACACTTCTTTCATGTGCTTTTCTTCATGTATATATAATATATGTTTCTTAAATTTCCATCTTGAAGGTTGAATCTCACGAAGAAGTTTCAGTTGACGTCTTAAAAGCGATTTTTGTCCACAGTGACCAACACTTTACAATTAAAAACCTTAAAGTAAGCGTTTCACATACTTTTCTACGGCTATGCTCACTTTTTTTCCCTCTACCAGCTCGATGGCTTGAATTCTGAGGGCGCTCTCTATTGGCGTGTTTTATGTTTGTTTTTCTTTTTAACTTTGATAACGGGATCCACCAGTTAGTTATTTGCAGGCCAGCACGTGCTCGCCACTGATTCCAACCGAGAAATTGAAGTGCTGCCCACCCTGTCCGGTCTTAACTCAATCTCTCCACATCGTGAACTTCCTATGCTGACACTCGCTTATACTCAGATTTGTGCGACTTGCTTCTTCACTATAAGGCATTGTTTTTTCATTCAGACGAGAGCAATACTACAACCAAGCAAACTATTACTTTTATAATGAGACAACTGCTTTTCCTGGCATCCAACTTGGATGCGGTATTTTATTTTCTTATAAAGCCGACTTCGCCACTAGCGACCGTGCGGCATGCAGAGCGATGAGGTTGGCCGCCAGCGTTTGACCGAGGAAGTTGAAAGGCTGGTTGTCTCTTTGGAAACGTTTCCGATGCTTATGGAGGTTATTAGCAATTTCACGCTCCCCGCGTCTCGTCTGTTTACTGGCGTTTAGCCTCTTGTACGTTGCATAGAGCGCTTGCACCCGTCCGTCACCGCTAGAACCTCTACTTTTTTTCAACTCCTGGACCAAACTGCAAAGGGAGCTCCTGTAAGCCACCCCGCTCCTTTCCATTGCCTCTAAAGAGACACTGGTACTATTTCGTAACAGAGCAGTCACCCGGAAAAACTTAGAGCGTTCCTGGAGTTGTCTGTGTATTTTTTCGAGGGGCTCGCTGTAATTCCCACCACTGAGAAGCCTGTAGCCGCCTATCTCGAGTCGATCGTGCTAGTTCTAAGGAGCGGAGACCCTGAGGTTTTTTGGTGGGGGTGGCGGGAGGGCGACCTGCACTGAGGGCTTTCTGCTAACATAACTTACAGCTCCGCTTGCTCTCCTTAAGAAACTTGGGGCTGTACTGTTTGTCTGATTGGCTCCTTTCTCGCCAGTATCTTCCCTGGATTAAGCAGATCCTTGAAAGCGATTTGAGACCAATAAGGGTTTTTCTATTTGGTTCTAAAGGAGTTATGCTTTCTTATTATATACCAAAAAGGTTGTTGCTTTGAAGCTTTTATGCGACCTTGTCTTAAAATTTGCGGTGAGTGCGTACCAGACTCCCCAATCTAATGTTTGATTTACTTTTTACCTGTCAAGTTGCAACCACCAACTCCCTTCGATGACTTCCCTGATTCCTTTCTTAACGATCAACTAGCGCTACTGGACAAATACTTGTCCTCCTCAGAAAAAGAGGTTTCTGGTGCAACTGGCGCGGGGCGCCTCTGTTGCCTGCTACAAGTATAACTCCGCAGGAACAAGCCGTAGCCGTTGAAGGGGTTGCCAAGGTCCTAATCCACAGTGCATCCAACAGCGTTGATCTGCTTGCGAAGTTGCTACTGCTTTACTTCGATTCCTCTACGGAGGGCAACACCCGTCTGCGTCAGGTTTTATCCACTTTCTTTTTATATTATCCATGAACGAAACTTTTTTTTTATAACAGAGTCTGAGCGTTTTTTTTCCTGTCTTTGCCTTATCTTCGCTTGCAAACCAAGAGCTTGTGGCCCGGTCTTTTCTCTACTTGCTCTCCTCCGTTTTTTCCGGTTGTTATTCATATATATGGTGACGTCTATGACTTGTAAGAAAGGAATAGTTATTAATAACGACTATTACATGAAAGTAGTAATAATAATGTTGAGCTAATATAGTAGGTTCTTCGAGGCCCATTTTTAGTGCTGTGCGTATAATTGATCTGGCGCAGTACATTGTGCATCTCACGCATCCTTCTAACCTACTCCCACTAGAAAAAAAAAAAACAGACGAGTTATATATATACTAAGTTACGATTTAAACCAACCTAAGAACTACTTGACCTCCAGAGCCAGTAACTGCCATGATTTTGTCTTGATCGAACTTTTGAGCGATCTGGTGGCTTTGAAAATCTCCAATTACGCTGCTGTTAAGGCTTCTTGCAAGGCGCTGACACTGCTGCAGTACTGTAGTGCCTCCCATGCCCGGCTGGCGCTACAGTTGGTTACCAGACTTCAAGTGACTGCTTTGAATATTTTCTACGCCAAAACTAGTAGATAACCATTTTTTTAAGTGTCTTCAGGATAAAGCGTGTAGTGCTTACCTCTTAAAATTCAAAACCAACTTGCAACTTTTTGTTAGTAACTGCACCACTCAGAAGAACGCAAACAATTTAATAATTTATGTGCGTGCAGGTAAATTTGAGAAACCAGTTTGTAATTTTCTTTGAAAAATTTAATATACTATTAGAAACTTATGAGCACCTACAACCGCTTCTTGCGGGAATGTCTTCTATAGATGTCGTTCTGCGTGGCCTTTAAAAAAATTACTATTAATTATCCAATTTAAAAATGGAGCAATTGTCTTCACTTTACTTTGAGTTTAACTAAAGGAATTTCTCAATTGTTATATTTTTGTTCTTGTCAAAAATGAGATAATAAGCTAATAACATCTACCATTTATTATCTTATTAAAATTGTTCACCTTGATGCTTCTAAACGCCTCGCTTCATGTACTTCGCTGGACTAGCACACCTTAATTTAATTTTAATAAATTCCTAAATCTTTTATATCGTTATTTATATATGCACTCGTTTCATTCCTATTTTAGACTTTTTGTCTATATTATCGTACTTTTAAGTAAGTTAACTTTCAAAATCTCTAAAGTTTACTTAAATTTTTAAAAATTTGGCTACTGTACTATTAAGTAACACTCGCTATTTTATGTCGCGTATCACTGAGTTGCAATCGAGTATTTTGATTACTATTTACTAACTTGAATACGGTTACCCCCTTTAAAGAGCAAAGTTTATTTTATTGTAAACTTAGACTACTATTCGTTCAGCTTTTAGCTCGTAATATATTTTTGTAAAGTTTAGGATAACTATAAATAAATAAATAAAAAGTTTGAAGAAAAAAATTAGTGCACATTCTAGGGACAAAGTTAGTGTTATCGCTATGGTAAGACATAATATAAAGTAGACGTTTGTACACTGCCATACAGAGCTAATGATTACAAACTCAAGTAAGTACATCTGCCTATAGTTTAGTAACAACTCAATAACGAGCGTTTAGAAGTGGAAGTGGAGTTTAAAGGCCTTGCAGCCTCTTTTTGAAGTCATCACCGCAAAGCTCTTCAGCCGTTTTTAAAAAAAAAAGAGGAAACCGAAAACAAACGTGCTACATATTCCTAGCGGAAAAGAGGAGGTGCAGAAAAGTCCTAGTTTTATAGCTTAGTACTTTTTGTCATGTCTACAGTTCTTAGCCCTGGTGACTTTTTAAAAAATATCGCTGGCAAACCAGTGCTCGTTAAACTAAACTCAGGAGTAGATTTTAAAGGTTTTTTTCGTTGAAGTCTATTGAATTTATATAATTTTTTCTATGAAGGCGTCTTGGCTGCACTTGATGGGTGTATGAACATTGCTTTAGAAAATGTCGAGGAATTTGAGAACGGGCAATTAAAAAAAAAATATGGAGACGCTTTTATTCGGGGAAATAATGGTATGTTCTGCGTAATACATTTTAGCAACATTTTTATATTATAGTTGCTAGTCTTATATATTAGCTCCTTAACTCCAAGGGTTTAAGCTGTTCTCTCAATAGAAAAATAAGGTAGTTTTAACAAATTTATTTTTTGAATCTTTTCTTCAAAATTTTTAAAATGTAGCTTTCCAAATTATCGGCCCTTATTCTTAAAAGTAATTACTGAACTATTAAAAAAATTATTTTCTTATGTTTAAAGACGTTTACGTCGATACACTTCAATATTATTATGTGCCTTAAATTTTGAAGTTGTAGTAGGTAGTTTTATAAATTATCAAACACTGTAGTACTTTGTAAATCAAGCTTTAAATCCACATAGCCTTAAGATAAAAGTCAACTTATTTTTTAAAGAATTTTAAAGTAAAGCAATCTTTGCTATTGAATTATTATGAGTGTGTTAAGGGGAAGGCAAGGTAGCTTACCAGTATTAAAATTTTGATCTCCACTTCTACGAGCTGATCTAAAGTTTATTTATGGGTTATTATGTTAAAATACTTTGTCTTTCTACCAACTTTATAATCATAATATGAGCAATTTTAAAACGAGATATATATTCTGGTTCCAGACACCGCGGCACACCCACCTTCACATAAAGAAAAAGTACTTATTGTGACATTTAGAAAATAATATTAACACTTCACCGACAATTTTGACTACATAAAATGTCACTATGCAAGCACTAGAACTCAGAAAAAGGGCGTATGTGAAGCATAGTTTTCTTCTTCCCTACGATCACAGTTCATTTTTATAAATAATTTCTCCTGGACTAAAAAGATTGTAAAGCAAAAACTATAAACATAGGAATTATCATAACTTCGAGGAATACGGCAAAGTTGGCGCTGATACTTAGTTTATTAAGGTCTGAGCAATAGCATTACTAATACGTCCGGACTACCTTACTTAATTACACTCATTAAAGAAAAGACTTCCAGTCTTTAATAGCTAAAGCTCCGTATAATAAAAATTAATAACTTTTCGGCCGGTGGAGGTCTCAAATAAAAATCATGGGGCTTTTAATTTATTAGAGTTTACACTACGAGAGGAAAAAAAACGGAAATCTAAAAAGTAGGCAAGAGTTCAGAGATGGAGGATCAAAAGTACTTAAGTGTTCAAGCCAAGGTTCATACGCTTTTATAATTCTGGCCTAATATACTACCATAAACTACAAACTATAATAATTATTAAATAATTTTTGACAAATAAGCCTCGTTTTTCGCAAAGATTAACATAGAGTATATAATTTTTGAAGAGATCAAAAAATTGTAAAATATTAAGGTTGTAAGCAATTATTATATTAGTAGATTGAAGTGCCTCGCGCTTGTGAAACAGTCTTAATTCTTTAATGTACCAAAAAAAATTCTTTGCTTACAAGGTGATCACAGCGCTTTTGATAAAAAACGAGTAATTAACTTATAAACTTATTTTATAAAAAAAATTTTACAAAAAAGGTCTATTTTTCAAAAACTTTTTATTTTTCATTAATTTATTAAATTAAGAAGATAAAAAAAACTATAATTTGTTATAAGGGATGGAGATAAATCATATGTGCAACCTTATAGCATTTTCAATCTATAAATAAAATAAATTTTATTAAAAATCACTTACTACCCTTTATGGCGATATAACTAAGTTATTCTAGTAATTATTGGTAGTGACTAGAATGCAGCACTCTTATATAAGCGCTCCAAGAAAAAATATCTTGAATAACACCAAAAATTTAAAAGCCCCAATTAAAAAACAACTATTTATTATAATTCACTTGCGCACCAAATAAATTTAAGTTCCAAATCTCGAACGCAAAAATGGAGGCGGAAAAGTAGCTACTACATCAAGCCAAGGCCTCTCGACAGCTACAGCTTCGCCGGGTCCAATAAAATCGAAGAACAGAAGAGGTTGGAATCGGGTGATCGTCTTGAGCTGGTGGCAAGTAGACGGAAGACCCAAAGTTGCATCGCTCGCATCAGTCTTCAATGCACCCGCGGGAAAAGAAGGATCAATAATCTCGTCCTTCCTTCTCTTTTTATTTCTTTTCTCATATGTGGGATGCCGCTGAGCACCAAAAGAAACAGTATTGAATTCTTCCATGGAGTAGTTAAGATCAATGCGAGAAAAGGAGCAGTGATCATAGACAAAAATTTGCTGCGGAAGCGACTCGCAAAACTTAATTCCAATCTAATTCAAGTTACAAAGTTACTATAATTCTTTAATAAAAGCGAACTAGCAAATTTTAAAAAACCGTTTTTTGATTTTTTCGAAGATAATCAGGCGGAAAGCGCTCAGAATTAGCACGTGACCATAACGTTAACATAAGCTATAAAAAAGCTTATAATAAACGTAAAAAGAGAAAAAAAATGCACCACAAACCTCGTCGGCACTAAAAATGTACACGCGATTGCAAGTGCAGACCGCCACAAGTTCGCTACTGTTCGGCCTGAACTCCAAAGCGCAGATCTTTGCTTCGGTTTTCGGTAATTTTCCTCGACTCTTTTTTTTTAATACCAGAAAATAACATGAAGCAAGCAAAAAGATAAGACGTCTAGAAAATACTTTAAAAGTAGAAAGTTCAAAGATCTCCACTTCATTTAATGCATCACAAACAGCCATGTACTTTCCAGCGGAGCTCAATGCGAGATGAGAAATATGCTACCGCAGTAAATACAATTAATAAAAATTTAATTAAAAAAGTCGCTAACTGTTACCGTCCAACTACTTTTTCGAAAGACGTGCTCTGCCTTAAGAGTAGTCAAGCTCATAACAGTTATCTCTCCTGCTCATAATATAAATTACATCAACTTGAAACAAAAATTTCTAACATTAAATAGTGAAGCAACCGTAGAAAGAAACAGAAAAAAGACGAGCGCCATCAGTGGAAAACAAAAGTTTCGAAGAGCCAAATTTACGTAAACAATGCTTAGAAATTTTACTAAGAGAAAAGAACTGGCCGCTACTCTATATAAAATAGATCAATAACAATTAACTAATTAAATAAAAAATAATTTAAAAAAAATTCTACATGAGCACGAAAGAGCTTAGTAGCCTGAACATCCGAATAAGAAACAAATTCAGCGTTGGAAGTAATCGCAGAGCAAACAATGGAAGAGACTGTCTTTAAAATTTTAAAAATTAAAAAAATTAATTCAAATAAGCAATAATGCATATACACCTTTGGTGAAAACTCTAACAACAAACACAAATTCGACTCTAATGAGAGCTGCGTACCACTTGGAATCGATGTTAGTGGATTTTCTGATAGTGCTGCTACAGATTTCCGTAAAGAAATTTAATAAACCTTTTAAAATATAAAATCAAGCAAAACTTTTTCCAAGAGCCCAAAATCGAAGTCCTCCGGAGAATTGGTACAAAAGAATCCTGGCCGTTTTTGCTAAGCATAACGGCGATTGGTGCGGAAAAGGTGGGATACGACGCCAACGTACTTTGCTAAGGCCCGGGCTAGCACGTGGTTAATTATAAATTAATTTAAAAAAGTTAAGCCCTACCAGCTGTAGGTAATAAGGCACGTGTCCACTCCTCCAGATAGCAGCGTCTTTTTGTAGTAAACGAGCGCTCTGACGTCATGAGTGTGCGCTCGAATTTGATCAGTTTTGGTCCATTTTGCGCTGCTGTTCTCTTCTGTCCCTTTTAATAAACTCAGTTCAACAATATTAGTATCAACACCGGAACAGTAAATCACTGTCTTTTCCTGCGGAAAACTATAAGTAAAAGTGTACAAGAAAAACTATAAACGCACACACTATATTGGTAGCTAAAGCAGTTATATCCGCTTCGTGCGTCTGAGAAGATTGCAGCAAAGTACCAAATTGGCCGTCCCAAAATTGTATTCTCCCCAGAGAGTCACCGCTGACCATTGTAAGATCATTGAGAACAGCCAAATCCCATACAATACACCGGCGACCTCCAGGAGAGTCTAGAGTAATACGCTGAATTGCCTCTTAAAATTAGAGGATCCCTCAAAATTAGTAAATTCCGCTATTAACTTAGTATATATAATAAACGTACGTCCAGTGCTTATGTCAAACTTTGTTATACGACCTTCCGAGCTTCCAGCATATGCAATATTTTTATTAAAAATACAGCAGACAACAGTAACTTTTCCTTTTACTTTGTCGAAAGACCGCATATAATCAAGCTTTAAAATGGTAAATTAAATTCAAAACAACCATTAAAATGAAAATAAATTCTGAAACAAATAAAATAACCTCGGTCTCAATGCTATACATTTTACAATGCCCATCCTCACAGCCAGAAATCAAAAGCGTTCCTTCGGGATCGATAACTATTGACAAAACCTTAAACAATTTAGCTAAACAATAACAGCAACAATTCTTTAATAACAGTAACTAAGATATAAAAAAAAGGTTTACAGCTCCTCCATAAGAATCGTAATGGCCCTTAGCTAAGCAAGTATCGATATCCCATTCAGTAATTTTTCCGTGAGAACCGGCTGAGAATAAACGATTATTAGGAGCCCAAGATAACGTTTCTACCGAGGCCCTAGAAAGCCCAAACAACGCCTTTTTAAAAAATAATACTGTTAAAGAGAAAGGAGTAAAGATAAAATATATAAAAACAACTTTTTCAAAATAATAATCGCAATCTACAGTCCATAATTCTATATGTCCGTTAGCCCTAAAAATTAAGTATACCAATAAAATTTATACTTTAATTTAAAATCTTTTTCTTACCGAGCAACAGCAAGTATTGTGCAATCTGTGTTAAGAGCCAAACAGTTTATTGTAGAAGGATAATAATCCACAAATCTACAGCGGTGTACTTCCATTTTTAAATTTTAGAAGTTAATATTTCCAAACGGTGATGGGGCTCACGTGTATAAAATATTTAGAGGATAGTAAAATTTTTATATATTTCCCATAGAGTATATAATAATAATGGCCTATATTACTTATAACAAAGTTAAAGTTAGACTTTACTACTTTATATAGGACTATTCAATAGTACCTATGTTACTTTACTCTTGTTAACATCTGGAATTAGCTCAACCACAAAAGCATGCGCTTAATGCACCGCATGCGGGGTCAACTCCGCTCTCAAGCTCACCGAAGCGATTCTTATTAAGTTTCACGTTATTTAAAAGGGGCCACTATAGCAATCGTTTTGGACGTTAAACAATTTTTTATATATTTCATGGTCATTAAAGTGAGTTTACGTTTATTCGAGTATATATTATAGCCAGCACTATTCAAAAGACAAATACCTCCTCTTAGTAAAGAAAAAAGGTTTCCACAAAAACCATTTGGTTGCAATACGTAAACACCTTTCATTTTAATAGCTAAATCAGGAAGAATTGTATTAAAACTGTCTTTAGTACAGACTCTTTAATTTCATATTTTGGGCTCTTTAGTCCACCTTGCTTAATGTAATATATATATAATATACCATAACTGTTGAAATAACTTTTACAAGCAAGTAAAATAAAGTGACCAAAACAGCAATGGAACATTTATTAGAATAAAACTTCAGAAGAATACTAAATTTGGCTTTCTTCCTTGTTCTTGCTAGAATCTTACCGTAAAGCCTCTTCCAGCTCCATCACAGGGCCAACTGCGCATTTACTGAGAAAAAACATCTGATCAGGGTAGCCTTGTGATCTCTAGACAAGGCCTAAATAAACTAGGAAAATTACTAAACTTTTCAACGCCTGCGCGTTGATGCTTTTAACCACAATATAGTTTCTAAGTGTGGACAAAAGGGTTAACTTAGCGGAAAATAATATTCAAACCAGTTAATATAGTTAGTTTTAGGTTGTGCTAAATTTAATACACTTTTTTTTACGTTCTTATTCAAATTACTTTTGCTTTTTAATAAAAAATAAATTTTAGTTTTCTCTAGACTACAAAACCAATACTGTGTTTGTTAAGAAGCTTCATTTTTTTTCGTATACTAGGTCAATAATGAATGAAGCTATAAAGACAGTCAAGCTTAAGTTTATTTATAGAAAATAATTTTACTTTGATATCCATACAATATGTGGTCACTAAAACGTTTTAACCCAGCTGTTTGAGTTGATTATTGTTTATTATTTTTAATAAATTTTAGTTTATTTGCTTATCCTGACATACTCTTGTCTGACCTAACGTTAGTTTGGGACACATTTTTATTTAATTAATTGTAAGAGAAATTCAGTTGTTTTTAACTTCTTGAATAAACTCTTAGACTGCTTACTGGATACAACAGCCGTAACACATAGTGCTATAAACTGCACGTAGTTTGCCCTTGTAGCCCCTGTTGTGTAGATAGGGTGCTTAAAATTGCCCAAAAATTTTATGATCGTATTTGCATTGTTTCGACTAAAAAAATTGCATAATGTAAAATAGCTCTCCACTAAAAAATTACCTTTTTTTGTATCTGTGTTTTTGCGTTTTAATTATCTTTTTTGTCAGGAAATACTGAATTGTAGCAGTTGTAAAGTAAGTTCATGTAAAACCGAGTTTATGCACAAGCTAGAACATATACCCAGTATTTATTTGGTAAATAATTTAGTCACACGCTTATAGCTATTTCGTTTGATTTCCCACCACTTTCCCACCACTTCAAAAAGAACTCTTCTTAATGGATTATTAAATCTAGAGTCCCAAGATGTTTTATTATAGGAAAGAGAGTTTGGTTTTAGAGCTCTTCTCTTAATTGTGGTAGGATTTCAGGTGTAAAAGAGCCGGTAGCACTTTTATTATTTAGCCTAGAATGTGAAAATAAACGTCTTAATAGTTAAATTTTTAAAACTTAAGCTTGAAAACCTTAAAGAGCGAAGCGTCCCAGATGGTCGAAAGAAAAACTTGTATATATCAATATATAGTATTTTGTGTTCTGTCGAGACACATATGTCCTCTAAAATGATTCTAACTAAAGATCCAATTTATTCCCGTAACAGCATAAAAGTTTTAACCAAAGTGGCTTATTGAGTGCAGGGTGAATCTGATAAAAATTATCTTGGTTTAGAGAACTTCAAAGTAATTAAATTATTGCTAATTTAATTAAGTGTAACCTCTTAGTCATACGAAACACTAAACAACATTCATTACATGATACTGCACAGTTAGCTAAAGTTAATACCTATAAGTTGGTTATTCATATATATTAAATAATTTATAAAAAGTTTAAACTCATACAACTGAGATCATCTAATATGATATTATTAGTTAATTATATAATTTTTACCTTACTATTCATAATTTCTTCTGCAAAATTTTTTAATTACGTTAAAAGTTTTTTACGATTCTATGGCTGTTAGAATGGTAGTAGTTTATTAGCAACTCTTAAAATAATTTACTAAACTTTCTAAGCAAGAGATAAGGGTTACAAAAAAAATATAAGCATTCCCATATAACTGAAAATAGCGTCAGTGTTCGTATAAACTGACGTCTAAATGAAAGTAGGCGTAGTCAATGTAATATCTACAATATTTAAAGCAAAAAAAGTTTAAGTTGTAGTAGTAAACTTTAAACTTACGAAGTGAGGACATAAATTATTAGTTAAAAGCATTTATTTAGATCAAAGATTGGAATTAATGAATATGTAAAATTTATGATCTTTTAAAGAGCAACCAGTGATCTAATAATGCCAGCTTAGGGTTATACGAGGTTATTTTCAACTGTTAAATATATTAGTTAACGGTCACTTGCTCAAGTCGAAGTTTAATTAACCTTATAATTTGTATTGTTATAAAGAGGAGATATATTTCGGTTAGTTTTGGTTAAGAAGCGATCACTGATTTGTTTAGTATTGAGTCACTAAAGCTTACGATATAAAACTTTCGTTAAAGATTTTAAAGCTCCAACTAAATAATTTTTCTTCTTCACCACTAACAAAATGTTTAATTTTATTAAAATAAGTTGCAGCCAGAAAAGTTGTAACAAAAAAAAAAGTAAACAATTAATTCTACCGCCAAAGGTGTTATGATGTTATTTATTTACTAAAAATTCTTGCCTGTTTAGAATATCCTCTATTCTTTGAAGTCATTATTGTAAATTTATAGTTAAAAATTATATAAATATTCTCTCAGCAACTGCTACTGATAATATAAAATATTAAACTTGCTGAGTCCTAATGGCTTTTATAATGTCTACTCCTAATAAAATTGGTTAAATTATGTATACAGAAATGTTTTAATCAAAATTAATATTTCTTTGTTATAGTTTTAATTGGGTTAGTAGGATTAGCTGTTCCATGTTGGAGCTTTATAAATCATACGTTAAACATCGATTCTGAATCTCTGAATAAAAGTACCTCCGCAAGTGGCTTAGACCTCGATTCTATGGACTATTCGGTCCGGCCTCAAGACGATTTCTAGTGAGTTTTTATTATCGAACTTCTGTGTTTTGTAGCCCAAGTAAGTACAATAACTTCTACATGACCGCTGTACATTCGTAGGATGATAACCAAATCTTGATTCTTTAAATAGAATTTTGAGAGAATGTTTTAATTTTCCTTGATATTTATGTAGCCATGCTAATCTGAATGGAATTTTATTTTATTAGTTTTTTTTAATTTAAATTGGTACTAACACCTTTTTAGTCAGTTCTGCAATGGCAACTGGAAAGATGAAATCCCGGAAACTGACTTTCGTTTGGTAATATCTTTCTTTAATATTAGCGTATTATTATAGGTTAAAAGTAAAATATATGGTATTGTCTCAGGATTTTATATCAATTTTGCAGAATGTCACTTTTTACCAACTGCTAAGTATAATTACCGATCTCACTATTGAAGATACTAATACTTCTACTGATGCTGGTAATACTTCCTTGCTTTCCTTATTACTGCTATAGTCGGAGCTTGTAATAGTTTTAGTTATAAGGTGTTTTATTTTTTTTAATTTTATAAGGAAAACTTGCGTTATTATGGTCCTCTGCAATGGACTTGGAAAAAATCGAAGAGGTTGGAATAACGCCTTTAAACGACTTATTTGAAGAAATTGATAAAATTTCTTCTCTTTCAGACTTTGTGAAGTTTGTCGCCAAAAGCCACAAGTAGGGATTTTTTATTTCGGCATACTTTTTTTAACATTTTGGAAATTTTAAATTCGTTTTATTTTTTTAGGTACGGTGTTAATATTCTTTTTGACATTGCGAGTGAGGCTCATCCGGAGAACAGCCAGAGAACCATCCTTTGGATTTATGAAGCTGTTTTTGGATTACCGAGTAAAGAATACTATTTTGATGCCGACAAGGTTGCTTTTCTATTCTTCCGTTTGACGAAGCAGTGATAAAATTTTTTTTTTAAGAAGTTATTTCTAGCTTATCCTTATTTGTGTCTTGCCTATCTTGCAAGTAACTTCATTTATATACCAGGAAGAACTGCGGAGCGCTTATCTCAGTTTTATAACCGAAATCTTAACTATGGCAGGTGCGTAGAATCTTTTTTATACGTTATTTTAAAAGACATTAAAGTTTTTATTACGCAGGGCTAGAAAATGCTCATACAATTTCTCTAGAGATTATGGCGCTCGAAACCGAAATTGCCAAAGCTGCTAAGTCGAGTATTGAAGGGAGGGATTTAAAAGGGTTATCTACATAATAAAGTCATGTACAGCCTAAAAAATTTTATATTTTTTCTTAGAATGACTAACTTGAGAACACTCGAGGAGCTCCCCTCGAGTTGGTTATGGCAGGAATACTTTGAAATTGTTGGAGAGGACTGCCTCGATGTCAACGCACTGAGCACCATTTGTGTCTTCAATCCAACGTACCACCCAGTAGGTGCCTTTGCTATTCGCTCGGCTTATTTTTACTGTTCCAGCTACCTCGAATTTGTGGTCGGCCTTTTCTCCAGCGATCCGGACCGTCTGGCGTTACTGAAACACTATGCTAAGTGTATACGCTGCGAGCCCGCCTCTTTGCTCCTGCAAGCCATGTGACTATCCGATTATTTCTTTGTAGGGCAAACTCTCCTCACCTTCGCGCCCTTTCTTTCCAGCGGATTCGTAGATGCTCATTTCCGTTTTTTCGGGCAGACTTTACAAGTAAAGCCACCATTATCCCTGCCGTTTTGGGGGGAGCCTCAACAGTTTTTTCAGGGCCAACCGCGTCCCGTGGACCGCTGGGTCTGGTTGATAAGACTCCTTAACTACCAAGCAGGCGATCTTCTCGGAAAACTCTACTGCGACCGCTACTTCCCGCCTTCTTCCAGAGACTACGTGCTTGGTACGCTTTTGTGTGAATTTCCCAGCGGAGCGACGCCTTATTTGTATTATAAAAGATTTAGCTGAAACCATTATTGTTTCGTTGAGAGATATCATCGGTAAAGTGGAATGGATGGAGGAGAGTACTAAGTTCCACGTTGCTTTTTACCGTTCTAGTGTAGATCTTTTTTTTTAAAGCTTGTATTGAAAGGCTTTAGAGAAGCTGAAGAACCTGCAACTAAAAGTTGGCTATCCTAATAAGTATACAGACTACAGGGCTTTTATGCCGTCAAAGGAGGACAACTTTGTGTCCATCGTCCGCCAGCTGTTTGAGTTCAACTTGAAGTGGTGGGTACTCCTTTGCCTTTATTAGTGAGACACTGGCGTCTCACGTACTTTGTCGCAGGGATCTCCGTTATGTTGGCAAGCCCACTAGTAGGGATCGATGGCTTGTGGCCCCGCAGACGGTCAATGCCTACTACCACCCCTTTTCTAACGTGATTGGTTAGCAATGCATTATTAACCAATAACACTCCCTTGATAAGCGTGTCTGTAGTCCTTCCAGCAGGCATTCTGCAAGGCTATTCTTTTGGCCCCGAAAAAGATCTTTGCGTTAACTACGGCGCCATTGGGGCCATTATTAGCCACGAATGTTATCCCCAACGCTTCTTGGCTCCTTCTTGGGCTTATGCAATCTCATTTTTCAGGCACGCACGGGTACGACGACCAGGGCAAAGATGTGGATGCTTACGGGAACTTGGCCAATTGGTGGTCACCAAACGACATCCAAAAGTGGCACCGTTACGCTTTATGTTTGGCTCACTTATATCTAAAGTGATATGAAAAGGTATAACGAGCGGTTGCGACCAATTATAGAGCAGTATTCGTCTTTGAGGGTCATTGGTGACCACTACGTGGACGGCAATCTCACGCTAGGTAAGCAAATCGATTATCCTGCCTCCGCCTCCCGTAGCCTGACCAAGTGTCTCTGTAGGTGAGAATATAGCCGACATTGGTGGTGTCAAGTGCGCGTACCACGCTATGCAGAAGGCTCTTCAGCGGCATCCAGAGGCCAACAAAGTAACCTTCGTGCGGCTTCTTTTCTAGGTTTCCTTAATTTCTTGTGCAGATCATCGACAACTTCACTCCTTCGCAACGCTTTTTTATTTCCTGGTGCCAACTGTCTCGGGAAAAGACTCGAGAAGCTTACCTGCTTCATGTACTTTTTAAATCATTTTTTCCCTTAAACCTAACTATTCCCCTGTAGCAACTGCGAACCGACGAGCATCCACCCTCTAAAGTGCGGGCCACGCAAACGCTGAGAAATATACCGGCGTTTTATGAAGCCTTTCAAGTACAGGAAGGTGTGAGATAGAGTGCTCTTCTGTCTTTCCCTTTTTTGACTCTGCGCATTTTCAGGAGATTTAATGTTTCTTAAGAATGAATCTAGAGGGGAAATCTGGTGATGCGCACTTCTGAAATTGCTTAGCTTTTAGTTTTTATATTGAACAAGAGGCGATGCCGCCCTGATCTTAGAAGGATCTTAACCAAACAAAACTATTACTTTACAATAAAAACAACTGGTATCACTTATAATTTTAATTAGCGAGGTGTGGGCTACGCCAATTGTTGCTATCAAAGAATCATTAACTTATAAGCTGCTCTATTTCGTCCAGCTCCTTCTGGAGGCCGCTAGTTTTTTCCTTCCACTGCGCCAGTTCGCTTTCCAGATTGCCCAGTCGCTGCTTCAGAGCTTTCGTTTTTCTCACTTCTGCTTCGAACTGCACGTCGGTATGACTGGCGCCTGTGGCCATCATGCCGTGTGTTAAAAGTTTTATCAAGGAAAGGGGTTATTGCATAGAAAAAAACCCGAAACTTTAGAGCTCTCCTTAAGTTCTGAGTATTGCGCTTCCAAAATATCCCGCTCATGTTCAAGCCCTGCTTTTTCTGCGGCGCGCTGTTCTGCTTTTTCGGCTAACTTTTCAATTTCTTCGTTGATCTTTTCAATTGACTTTTTTAGCGGCGTGGTCTTGGATTGTACCGTCTTTCCACTGTTAAACAGTTAATAAATAATTTTGTTTAGTAAAGAAAGGATGTTTCTGCTTAATTTTTAAAAATTGGAAAGATTTATTATGCTAAGAAAGTTAATTAAACCCAGTAAAAAAAAAAGGGGGTATTCTTAGATACTTTTTTAAAATAAATCTACCTATGCTCAAAAATAAAAAAATTCAAATTTTCTTTATTTACTTATTCCGCTCGCGAATTTGGTGCGTTTACTTAGAAGAGCAGAGTAAAACCAAACATGGATAGGTGTTAGGAGAACCTTTTATAGTTGAGGCTTTCTAATTCCTTTTCGAGTCGTTCAAATTTACTTTTTAATTCTATTTGCTCATCGTGACATTTGTCCAAGTCGTCTCTGAGCAGAGATATTTGTTCCTCTATAATTAAAAAAAAGAGTGTTTGCTGCTTGCTTTTAGCAAATAATGGTTATAAACAAAATTGAAACCATATTCAGTATTCTTAGAAGTCAGTTTTTCACATAAAGCTTGCAAATCTAAACATTCGACCTTTAATTTATCTCTCTTCTCTTCAACTTCTTTTAACTTTTCCTTTCTTTGTAGAAGTTTTTTTTTAAAATTTTCAAGAGATTCCATACCACTGAGCCTACAATAGATTAAAAAGTAACTGTTTATACAAACTACTGTAGTTTTTGATATTGGAGTTATTAAAGGTTCGTAAAAACAAACTTATTAAGAGGAAAAGTAATTAGTCCTAATTTAATAAGCATTTACTGCATCAATACAGCTAAAGTCACAACTTTTACACTCTGTTATTATAAATAAAACTGTTATTTACTATTTTAAAATTTTCAGATATTTGACGTTTTTTTTAAGAACTATGTTAATCGCAAAATTTAGCCAAATTGTAATATTAATTAAAATTATACATTTTTAATCTTAGTTTACAAATAATAAACATTTATAAATTAAGCTATTGTAAATTACCGTTCTTATGTTAGCTTAATGAAAAGTTATTTTTGAAATTTAACAAGATAATCACTATAAATTGATCAAAATTGAGATATATATCTAAAATTAAAGTGGTAAGAAAAATAATATTACTTTAAAGTTAAAAAACAAACTTTTAAAAAGAAAATTAGGTGAGGAAAACCGGGTGAGGGAGAAGAAGTGCGGTTTATAAAACCCCCTTTTTCAATCTTAGAAGTTAGTAAACGCAGTACCCTATCAACAATCCAACCAATAAACTTTGTGATTAGTTTATAATTAACGAATAATTGTTTAATGCCTATTTTTGTATATTATCCATAAAACCCAAACTTCCTTTGAAGACTTTACAACTTAAAAGAATTTCTTTTTTAAAGCGTAAATAGTCATTAATAATCAGATAGTAAGAATTGTATATATACGCTATGACAATGAGTTCAACATCAAAAGTAAAATAACCAAAATCTCCTTACAAGAAAGCGTTATTTTGTAGTACAAAAAATTTTCTTGAATCAATTCTGTATTGAAAGGATGGATTATTTAAAAAACAAACCCGACCAGTATAAATGTTATATTGGCTTAAGTTAATCTGTATAAGAAATAATTCCTTTTTAAAAACTATTATATATCGCATTCAGGTTTTTGTATTTTAGAGCTTTTAAGCCAATGAGATGAATTCAGTAATTACGCGGTAGAAAGCACAAGCGTCTTTTGAAATGTCACTGCTTGTAAAAAACTTTACTAAACCTAATAGTAAAAATTCGTAGTAAGTACGACTAAAGAAGCGAAAGAACTTCAAACTATGGCAAAAAGGAGTTTAAACTTTTTTTAAAAATTATAACTTTGTTAACTGAGATGTATCAAAGCTCCATCAGACGAGTGTAACTTTTTAAAAGTGACCGATCTCATTAACTTAATTTAAAAACTACCAATGTACTACTTTAATGTATCCAAGTGGAATTAAAATTGCCTATTAAACAGCTTACTTTACACAAAGCGATTTATAATTGCTACAAAGCGATAAGCCCGTAAAGATAATTTTTGGCCGCTTAACTTAAGGCGGCGTTGGCTTGGAAGTTTTTGTATTAATTCATCTCTTTTGTAGCGCTACTTTTTGGTTTTGTAAATATATATACTTTTATTTACGTTACTTATGAAAAGTTTTCGTATATATTTTCCTGTGAAATTAGTTAAGCTATCCGTTATTTGTTAACTAATAAAAATACCAGCTAGTGAGATGTACGTACCCAACCGTGTTTCATCTCTTCGAAGGGATGTAAAACTCAGTAGGGCATCTAACTTTTACACTCTAGGTAGTTTCAATCCTGAAGGTATAACTTGGCTATTTTTTTTAATTTGTGCGCAGTGCTAAATTGATAATTGGATAAATTCCACAGTTTTTACTATATTTATAAAAAACAAGTTTTCCAATTTTTGTTAGATTTTTTTTCTCATTACTCTTATTTTCACTAAACAAACTGGAGAAGAATGGGATATTACCACCTTTAAAAACGTAAGAACACTGTCTTAATATTTTATTACTGTTAATCCTTTAGAGTCTTTTAAAATGTGCAACGGTATATATAGCATTTACGTATTAGTAACATGTTTGCCTTAGTATCCTATTTCTGGTTATTTGCAAGTTAAAGGAAAATTGAAGTGGTTTGCACTACAAGGTGATCGTCTTTGTTGGTTTAAAGAAAAAGGGTAGAGCTACTGAATATAACTTTTATCTTTTAATCTGAAATCTATTTGTAAATCTCTTAAAGAGACACCAATCGTAAAGGTTTTTGGTTACTTTCAACTCTGCAAAGAATACGATATTCTTTTGAAATCGACTCAACGGAGGAAAACGTAGGAATCGTCGTAAGCCTAGTAGACTCTAGCGGGAGAACTTCTGAAGTGTATTTAGGGATGCCGAGCAACGAAATTGATGACGCGCGACATTGGTAGTTAAAAAAAATTAAAATTTTTTGAAATGCGTTCAAAGGTGTTAAGTTCTTAAAAACTATTGGTTACGTTATCACCTTTTTTAAAATTGCAAGTGTGCAATAATTTTTGTTTGTAACTCAGATTTTGTAAAACTGGATCTCTTCGATCAATATCATGTTTACCAACCTTACAAAAGGGTTTTCACTTTTTTTCTTACAGGTACGATGTGCTAAGCTGGGCTTGTTTTGGCTTTTTGAAGAGCGATACTGAGGAGGGATCGGCCCCAAAAGAGGTAGCACTGTTTATATAGGAAGCGCATAAAGCAACTCCCCTTGTTGAACGCAGATCACCGCGCCTCGACCCTTTTCCGGATGGCTTAAGAGAAAAACAGCCAACGGCTGGAAAAGTCGGCATTTTCTCGCCCTTGCCCATCAAGTGAAGTGGTACAATACTGAGCAGACGAGCAGAGAAAATCTCATGGGGTTACGCTTTCAATGTAGCGCTCATGCGTTTTCTCACGTGGCTCTTTTCTTAGCTTTTTGAGCATGTTCTCGATTACGGGTATCTTCGACGGGCTGGTGAAGGTAGGACCCTTTGCCTACCACCTTCCGGCAGGCCGGCACAGAACCTCTTATCTATTTACCAGGGCAAGCTTCACCCGTGCTTGCTGGAAATGGAAATACAGAAGTCCAAGACGGACTGCGTGTTTTTTATTGAACGCTCGTTCTCAAAAGAGCCGCTCTATTTGCTCGCACCGGTTGGTTTCTATTTCCTTCTCTTTACCACGTGCGCGTAGACCAGTTATGTTTCCTTTAGTCTAAGCAAGTAAAACTGATATGGCTCGATGTATTGACGCGCCTGCACAAATATTTTTCGAGCCTTCCGGGCTCTTACGAGGAGCCGATGTCGGACATCGACAATGACGATGCCAAGGAGGTGTTGGCTGGTGGGCCGTCTCTTTTATTTCTTGTGTTTTGTACTTGCCCTGTTACTTTTCTTCCCAAATAGTGGAGAGAGCGAAGTTAGAATCGCTGATGAGCTTTGTGCCAATGATTGTTATTAAGAGGTTCCTTGCAGTTAAGCTTTTGAATCTCTTCGTTCTGCTTGCTGTCTCTGTTCTACGTCGCTAGGACCCCACCGTGCTGGTCGAGCCAGAGTCCGAAAGGCTACCCAACAGCGCCGTTCTGTTTGCCGATATCAGGTTGTCCCTCCCAGTACTCTTTGATTTTTTATGTATGTTAAATCACGATTTGGCCCTTTCTCTTTCCTCTCTCAGCGGGTTCACCACGTTAGCGGAGCGTCTAGCCAAGAAAGGCGAAGCCGAAGGTGCGGAGGTACTCGTGTTGCTTCATAATATTGACTTATTTTCGTTCATTTGAATTTTTTTTCGCATCGTCTATTAGATTCTCTGCAAGCACCTCAACGCTTATTTTGGTAAGCTCGTTGAAATCATTCACAAGAACGGCGGGGACGTCATCAAATATGCTGGTGAGCTGATTGGCTAACTAGTTACCTCCGCCCGGTAAAACCATCTCCTCCTCGCCCCAGGCGATGCTCTCTTGGCCTTGTGGTACAACGGTCCGGCATGGTTGACAGCCATGTGTGCCACCCAGTGCGGCCTGGATATGCAAACGCACACTGCAAAGTACTCAGCGGACTCAGTTACGCTTACGTTGCACATTGGAGTTGCGTCTGGCGCCGTCACAGGAAAGGCTTCTCTCCACTTAGTCTTCTACCTCTTGTGATTGGCACGAACGGTTTCAGGCCTCCACTTGGGAGGGGTCCGGATGCGCTGGGAGTACCTAATTGGTGGACAGCCCATGTTGGAGATTGCGCATGCTGAGGCCGCCGCGAAGAGCGGAGACGTCGTCCTCACAGGCACGAAAGTTCATCTCTTATTTCATATTAGTAGTCTTACGTTGGCTCGTTCCATATGCAGGGAGGACGTGGGGGCTGGTGTCCGAGCACTGCAAAGGTACCCTTTGCGAATTTTGATTTACCAATGATATTCAATTCTTAATGAACGCCAATAGGAAGAATGATTAACGGCGAGCCCGCTCTCTGGCTGTTGGAAGAAATTTCTATTAAGTTCAAGCCGCCGGCAAATCCTCCTGTGGACCCTGATTTGTCCATTCAAGCGTCGCTGCGCTCGTACATACCAGAAACAATCGTACACTTCGCTTCTTTTCAGGCGCTCCTTTGCTCATAATACTGGCCTTAGAGGAAACGAATCGACATCGGGTTAAGCGATTGGATGGCTGAGCTCCGCCGAGTCACTGTGATGTTTGTCCAACTGACCAACTTGACTTTTACCGGTAGAGACGAGGAGACGGACAAACTCCAGCATTCCTTTACGCACATGCAGTCGGCTATATACGACTACAGCGGGATTATAAGACAGGTACGCAGCCACGTGACTGTCGACCAATGAGATTTGTCAACCACCTATTTTTGAGCGTAGTTCATCATCGACGACAAAGGAAGCGTGCTAGTGGCTGCTTTTTTCCAGCACGAAGATGATCCCGTGCGCGCGCTTAAAGCCGGCATAAATATCATTTCCAGACTTAAAAATATAAATGTCAACTCTTCGATTGGTGTGACCACTGGGAAGGTTTTCTTGGGCGCCGTGGGGAGTAGGCTATCTGCCATTGGTGCTCCTCCCTTTCCTGCCAATGTTTTTTATATTCAGGCTCCATCCGCCACGAGTTTGCGATGGTTGGCGATACCGTCAACCTTGCCGCCAGGCTTATGGTAGTGGCCAATAAGTTTGTAATTTGCGACAACTACACCTTTCAGGCGGCCAATGCGTATCCCGGGACACTTCTAAAATTCCTGTACTCCTCTATCCGACCTTTTTATCTCTAACGGCCGGCATTATACGCCCTGCAGCTCTCTCAACTCGATCCGAGTTAAAGGCAAATCTACTCTCATTCCGATCTTCAAAGCTTCGCTGGAGGCATCCGGCGATGTACTTGTGTGTCCGTCGCTTGGCGTACGTCTGACCCTTGTCTGTCTTTGCTTTTGCTGCTCATTTGGATGCGCGCATGCTAAGGACAATCGAGAGGAGGCGGCCATTGTGGGGAGGGAAGAGGAGTGCGATCTCTTGTTAAAGTTTATAGAGGACGGCCTTTCGGTTGCCCTCCTTATAAAAAGGGCGGTGTGCTCTCTCACAGTCCGTGCACTTCCACAGGGAAAAAAAATAGTTTTCGTGGAAGGAGAGGAGGGTATCGGAAAGTCGCTCTTTCTTTCGCACGTTCGCGAACGGATCGGTGAGTGGGCTGAACGAAAACCTGGTAATTCTCTTTGGTTACATACCCCTTCAGCAAATCAGGGCTGCACCATCGCCAACATAAAGGGGGACAGCGCCAATAGCATGACCCCCTTGCACGCCTGGCGACGCTTTACTCTTGAGAGAATATTCAAGTTTGCAAAACCCGTAGCAGAGAATGTGCGTTGGAAATTTTTTTAGCTCCGATTAGGTATTTAGTATAACCGCCATCAGAGTACAGAAGAACTGAGGGCGGCCGTACTGGAGTCGCTCAGCAAAATCAACAGCGTGGATGCTGCTCCGCTTCTAAATGACGTCTTTTTTAGCACACGCCTCATCTTTTACACTCCGTCCAACCCGCCATTCTTATTTGTTGCAGTCTTTCATGCTGAGCTTTCCCGACACGCGGCCGGGCTTAGAGCCTAATGCCAAATTGGGTACCTCCTTTGTACACAAGTAATTTCCTAGCCAATTCGATAATTGTTACGTGTGTTTCAGCGGAGACCGTATCGCTCTTCACAAAGCTCATCGCAAAAGGTGAGTACTTCTTATCTATAAGCCGCTCATACCACGTGCTAATCCGGAGGCGGGTGTAATGCCCGCTTGATTACTGGCTCATTAACAATACTTCTCTGTAAAACGTTGTAGAAGTATCAGACGCTCAAAAGTTCGTAGTATTTATTGATGACGGGGACTTGGTTGACCGGTGGTCTTACGAAGTTTTAACTCTTCTTTCAAAAGTTTTTATATCACTGGTCATTATTATATCACGTGGCCTGACGGTAAAAAACATGATGGACTACTTACTGGCCTGTGCGGTTACGACTTCTGTCTTTATAGTCGACCATCCCGAGCGAAACCAAATCGCTTATAGAAACTTCCGAAGTCTTTCACTTGAGACTTTCTCCGCTGACCTCTGAAAGCACTAGAGAAGTGAGTGCTACAACGGGCTACTCACTAGCTAGCAAACTTGTACTGTCCCTGCAGATTATTCTTCAAGTCCTTCAGGCTAAAAGTATTCCTAACGCGGTGGTGGCACTCATCCACGAGAGGTCGTCCGGAAACCCGTACTTCACAGTTCTCCTGGCGACCTCTCTTTTGGAAAGCAATGCCGTGAAGGTGCTTCCCCACGGCGAATGCGAGTTTTCCAAGAAGCTGAAGAACGTTGAAGGTCATCTTCAGCAATGCGGACCACCAAGAAAAGGCCGTTAACGTCTTTCTCTTAAGTAGATATCGCTCTTCCTGATACTCTGGAGAACCTTATTACCAGCCGGATAGGCCGCCTCTCTTCCAAGGATCAGTTTGTTTTAAAAGTTGCGTCAGTGGTGGGAATGCAGTTTGAGTTCCGTCTCCTGACCATGATCTATCCGGTGCCGGAGGACAAAGGCTCCTTAGCGCAGAGCATCGAAGCATTGCAAGCGATGAACTTTATAGAGCCGATCCCGTATGAGAAGGAGCCGACCTTTCAGTTTACACAAACGGCCGTACGGGATTGCTGTTACAACCTGCTCCTCTTCGAGCAGGTTTGGTGTTTTGTTTAACTCCAGAAGTTTTTTTTTCAGTGTACACTTATTTGTAGAGGCGACTCTTACACGTGAGCGTGGCTGAGTGGTACAAAGAATTTAACGACGATTCCAAACCGTACGACCACTTGCTAGGTTTTTATACGCTTAACAAACGACGCGTTTCCCAAGCACACGAAGTTGTAGAGCGTGTTTACTCGTTCAGTATCTTTTTAGTCGCTTGGGAGGCTCTTCCTACTACCTTTATCTTCTGGGTCTTTATATAATACGTGCCCTATAGGTTATCACTACGAGTGCGCCGGGGACCTCTCAAACTCTTCCCTCCATTACAAGCTTGCCGCCGATGAAGCACTCGCGCAGTACTCCTTAAAAAAAGCTGCAAATTTTTATATAACCGTAAGTTAAAAAGCCTACAGTCGTTTTACCAGTAAATGCTAATGCTTATTTGTGACCAGTAGGCCTTTAAAAACTTTAAAAACGTTCAATCTGCCAATCAAAGCGGCTTTTATGCGCAGTTACTAAATGGTTTAGCAGAGTGCTTCTATCGTTTGGGTGCGTGCCAAGCCATTTTTCAGGTCTCAGGCTCCTAGACTTTAGCTCCTTTTAGGTCAATACAAGAAGGCGTACTTTTATTTTGAGAGTGCCCTGAAGTACCTCGGACAGCCGCTGCCCAGAATGAAGACGGGTTCGAGTATAAAGGACGTGTTTCGCTGGAAGTCGTCCAGTTAGTCAGTTCATAGGCTATATCGATTAAATTTTTAATACTAAACGGTGTTTACCAGCAAAAGGGGACGACGCTCTCTGCTTGGAAGCCGTACGCTGCTACGAAAATCTTTCTGTTATCTTTTATGCCGTTGGAGACAAGAGCAAAATGGTTAATTGCGTTCATCAAGGTGATGCAGGAGGGCCCGTAGCCATTTAGCCGTTTCTCTCTCTCACATTTACTCCCGCAGCATTGAGCCTCTCAACGGTACTTGACAGCAAAGCAGAACTCGCCCGAATCCACGTATTGTTGAGCCTTTCATCGAAGGTAAGTGGGGACGAAACAACGGCAGATAAACAACTTAAAAGGGCGCAGGAGCTTGTTTCTTGCGTAATTTCTCGTTTCTCACACTAAAAATAATACTCAGAGTATAACTCGCATAAGGTGCCACATGCACTCACATTTGCAAACGTTTTGTTCTACGCCACTTTGAAAGACGCCTTAAACGGTATCCCCTCGCCTACTGACTTTAAGAGTGTCTTGGAAATGTACTCCCGAGCATTTGAGTGGACAAAATGGTGCAGACAATACTGGTGGTCGGCTCTGCGCACAAATACCCAATAATGCAAAATTATCGCTCTTTAGGTGCGAGGCCACACAGCTTCTGTCAATGTGCTCACTCTGGGCCGGTGACTTTGGTGAATCTCTCGAGGCGGGAAAGAGGCTTCTAGAGTGCGGTACCGTCCCGTTCACAATTGTTCTCTATAATGAACCTCACCTTTGCATGTGGAGGAGTGAAATATGACGACGTGGTCACTAGTATCACTGGTCACTTAGTGCAGGCTCGCGCTCATTTGGGACGAACTGAGTACAGTGCCGCTTTACAGTGGCTGATGGAGGCTTCCAGGATATTCGAATCAGAAGAAAACCTCACCTTTCATACTTCTCTTCACCTCGAAACAATGGGGTTGCTTGCCTGCGCTTACTTTCGCTCATCAGTAGACCTTTCTACAAACCGTACATGACACTTATTTAGTGCGCTTGCCTATAGGACTTTGCACGAACAGTAGAAGTAGTTCATGATATATTGCATATGGAGTTGCTGGAAGTGCACTTCCACTTGTACCTTATGTACTGCGAGCTGATCGTAATATGCTTGGCTCTCTGGCTAGCTCCTCAGTAAGGCACCCTCCCGAATTCGCTTTTATTTTTCACCAGCAGTTATTTTTACGGCAGATGCGAAGCGCTGACGAGTAAATGCAGCGTCGATATTAAAGGATTATTACTGAGGCTCTACAATGCCTTAAGTCACATGGCCAAAGCGTTCCCTGTTTGCGCGCCTCGGTGGGTGCAAAAAAATCTACACTTTTCCATTTACTCAAATAAAATATTTTTACTACTAATTTCAAAGAGCGCTAATGCGAAAAGGGCAGGTTGACTGGGTGCTGGGGAATGCAAAGAAGGCCAAAAGGAATCTCGAGGAAGCGCTCAGCCTTGCAGGTGGGGTGCATAATTCTTAAACTTTACTCAACTATTTCCTTACTATTGTAAAAGCAGAAAAACTACCTTCTGGTATGAAATACGAAATGGCATTTTGCCAGTTCGAAGTTGGCTTTCTTCTTGAGGATGAGCTTGTACGCGAGGCGGTCTTCAAAAAAGGTGACTTTGCACGCACACTCGAGCAAGCCTTCAATAAGGCAACTTCACTGCAGGTGCCGAGCAGCTGGCCGAACTGAAGGTGCCCTTCCCGCCATCTTTAATCAGTAATTAACCTAACAGCCGGCTTTCAACGCTCTCGCAAATATCACTTGCAACATTATGGCAAGACAACGTCGTTTTTTTATTAAAAAAAAAAAACCTTCAGCCTCACTATGATAATGTAGGTATCAACTGTTCCTAAAATAAATTAAATATTTTTTCCAATAATATTTGTAAATAACTGATTATAAATCTTTTATTATCCTCAGTGGTAAAAACATACAATTATTTAGTCTTTAGAAAAAAAATAAGCTCAAGAGAAGTAATTACTCTAACCAAATTTAAGAGGAGAGCTCAACTGCTAAAAGCGCGAATAGTAACTCTTTAAAACTCGACTAAGTTAAACTCAAGCCAAAAACTTAAGGCCTAGCAACTTACAATAAAGCGGTTATCTATATAAAACCACATTTAAGAGCGTTTATAAAGGTAATAGAATATTTAATTTCTATTAACTTGTCTCGCTATATATATATAAAAGAAAAATATAATTAATACTGTAAAGGAAAATTTCCCTTTCCCTAGACAGCTATATAAATTACTCTTCCACAAAGTGTTAAAAAGATCAACGACAATTCTTCGTGAGCGAATCCTAGCAAAATAGTTAGTAAATAACAGCATATATGTAAGTTAATGTCTTTTTATATTTAGCCAAAGCATAAATAATTATAACTAGTAGTAAATTATAAAAAAATGTACACCTCTTCAAACAGCACCAAAAATATAATGTTATCAAGAAGCAAAATGAAAGGTTATGAATTAATATAGGCACACTTTTGAACAAAAAGCAAGTATACTACTTATTTCTTGTCTTCGATAATGCCAAATATTTAGTAACAGTTCTAAGAAAAGTCACCAACTAAATTAAGGGGCTGTACAGCAATAGAATTACACAAACAGATAAATATGATTAATTAGGAAGGACTCCACTAAATAACGAGAAAATGTATTCTAAAAAAAGAAATTCACACCCGCCAATAAATTCTTCTCTACAAAAAAACGTTACGCTTTCTAGTTTGATAGAACCCTGAGCAATACACAAACGTATATACAATTAGGCCTCCCTAAGCGAGACCGACGAAGAGTTCAAACTTTTTAAAAAATTAAGGGAAATACCATATTAGCCTGACTACAGTAAATCACGTGATAAACACTAAACCACGTGCTTACGTTTTGTTTAGTTGCTCATGCGTGGGCTGTTGCTTTTATTGTTTTCTTTTTTTTGTGGACAAGGTCTATATTAACTTTTCGGAATGGATAAAGATATTTTAATTTCTCTTGTTTACAACTTCCTTGTTGAGGAGAATTTAATTACCACTGCTAAAGCACTTTTAAAAGAAACTGGAAAAATTAAGAGCACTGATCACAACCTAGTTTCTTTGCTTAAAACTTTGTAAATTTTGTCTGTATTCATGGTATTTAAGTTTAATTATATATTAATCTTATAAAAAACTTTTTAGACCAGAGCTTAATTCTAAGAAAAAAATTGGCACTTCTTCAGGTAATGTAGGCGAAAGTAGTTCCTCTAGTAGTGAAACTGAAAATGACGAAGGGGATAGCATGAGCTCGGCTAATGAAAATTTATCCAAAAAAAATTTAATAGCGCCTCAGAGTAAGCAGTCTTCGTCTAACGTTAAAAAGAATGTCCCCGAGGAGTCTTCGTCTTCAGAATCTGAATCCAGCTCTGCCTCTGATAAAGAACTAAATGTTAATAATTCTAGCTCTAAATCTTCCACTGACTCTGAATCCTCTGAGTCCGAGTCTGAAGAGGAATTTAAACCTGTCACTAAAAAATTAAAGAATAAAGAAGAAGTTAACAAAGTTAGTCAGCCCCGGAAGGAGCTTAAAGTTGTTAAACAGAAGGAATCCTCTTCCGAAGAAGATACCAACTCTGATGCCTCCACTACTTCCGATTCTGATAGCAGTTCTGAATCTGAAGTTGAACCAACCCCAAAAAAAATTGAAAAAAAATCTTCATCTACCGCTGGTAAACGTAAAGCGAACCCCACAATGGACAATTCTTCCTCAGACTCTGAAGATACTTCTAGTGACGATGATAGTAGCTCAGCCTCTGAAAGTGAAAGTATTTCAGGTAAAAATAAAGTTACAGAACCGCAAGGGAAACAGTTTAAAAAGAGCGATTCTTCATCCTCTGATTCCGACTCTTCTGCTTCTGAAGTTACAGAACAAAAGTCTTTGAAGACAAAATCTGGAAAGCCAAATGCTTCAATAATCAAAAAGAATCACTCTTCTTCTTCTTCTTCTTCGGCCTCTGATTCTTCTAGCTCAAATTCTTCTGATACTTCTGATTCTAGTGACACTGATAAGGAAACTGATAAAGAAAATAAAAAAAAGTTTAGCAACTTGACGCAAACTTCACAGAATCAGGTTTTTATAATATAATGCTTATTCTATTTTAATATACAAATGTACAATTAGGCTAAAAAGCGAAAAATTAAAACCACCAGCGACAATGGTACAAGCGATAGTAAACTTTCAAAAACGGACTTAGGAGCTAAAGTTAATGCCAAAAAAAAAGCGCCCAAAGAAGCTAAGTCGACTTTTACGCACTCGACTCCCCAGGAAACTAAAAAGATTCCTGCAGCAAAGCCTTTAACAGCACCCATGAAAAATAGAAAATCCACCACTAAAGTTAGAGCCAACGGAAAGAACAACGCAGTTACTCCTTAACTTCCTCTATTTTTCTTTACTTTTTGTGGGCTGTTATATTTTATGTCGAACGATAGCTAATTATTAATAAATTATTTTAAAAATTTATACTTTTACTTATATTTATCATTATTGTGTATTTCTATATTTTTTATTAATTCCGCCTTATGCGTGACGGCGATCTTTTTACCAACTAAAGCGCTTCCAATATATCGATGAGTCTGCCGTTTCATTTGAGGACGAGCGACTGCAAAATAATAGCTTTGAAGCTACAGTAAGCTAGAATTCCCTGCTCACCGCGCGGCCCTTTTACTTTTCTTTACTTGATAGATGGGGACAAACACGTGGTCATCGAGGGCTAATGCCGACTTAAGTAGTACGCGCGGAAAGGATTTTACTAAGGCTAAGAATAGGAAGAAAAAGGGCTCCTACAGAGGCGGATACCTGGACATCCACTCCGTTAATTCTATTAAGTTTGACGAAGAGTAGACACTAACTATTAATAAATATATTTACTGGTATCCTCTTTAAATCTCTAATTTAGTTTTAACTATTTGAAATTTATTTGTTCACGTATCGCTTTTATTTAAGTACTAAAATAGTTTATAAAGAAGCTATTGTTTTCAAATGTTATGATAGTGCTTCAGCAGATGCCATCCTCGTCGCTTTCCTCGCGTTCGCTCACAATGCCAGCGCTGTCTTTTTTCGCAACAGAATGGCTTCCAGGGACTTTTATTGATTTAAAAAGCACCTGAAGCTAATGTTATGTATTATTAAGGGTTGAGTATAAAGCAGAGATAGATAACTTGATTGTCCAACAGAGAAAAGGGAGATAAGCGAGAGCAGTTTTCAAAAAGAGTTGCATCTCCAGCTTCATAGGCTTCGATGGCCTTTTGGCAGAAGGCCCGAAGAGAATTGACCCTGTGCTCCCCGCTGCTTTAAATCGCATAATAAAACATGAGTAGTTAGTGGCGGCCAATAGCCTTTCAGTTTGTTAGGTTTATACAAGCTTTTAGAGTAAAAGACGAAGTTTAATCTTTTTATTTTTAATTCGCACTATAAGTGAGATAATATACTATACACACTATATATAAGGCCTTGCTACTTAATATACCAGAAGGGAATACTTGTAACATAAAGACTAAGCAAACTTGGGTAAGCTAAGTAGATGTATAATTTCTTGGATATCTAACCGAAATGGACTCTAGTATTTAAAAAAATTTAAATATAAAGAGTGTGCTTACTTAAAATAATTTTTATATGCTTTATTAGCTGAAACAAAATCGCCAGAGGAGAGGTGTAAGATTATGAGCCCTGCCGATATTAATAGTTTAGGGGTATATATTATAGACACTAAAGTTAGACCAGAAACTGCTGTATAAAAAATAGCCTCTTGTTTGCATACTTTTGCCAGATATATTTGTTTTTCAAAAAGCTTTAGAGTCGTTTGCTTGCTATTGGGGTTATAATTAAGCAGGACTTATATACTGGTTAAAAAAGTTCGCTCACTCTTTATACTTTAGGGAAGCACTTAAGGCATATCGCAATACGTTATTGGCAGGAAGATAAAGGTCATCAGCCTCATATATATCAAAAGCTCTTAAATAGTTATCGATAGCTTTTTCTAAATCTTCGCTTTCCAAAATCCTGTTAACTTCAAGCCTTACGTGTACTAAATTACGTTATATAAGTTTTCTACTTTCCAGCTTGCTCAAAAGCAGCTGTTGCGGAAGAAGTGGAATTTCCAATATAAAAATTGTTTCCCGCTCTGGAAGGCAAAATCCAAAGTTACACTTATTTATAAAGGTGAGATGTATAATACTTGGCTAATAGGTCCCCTGCCTCTACCTTTTTATCAACTTGTAAGGCAGCTCTCGCAGCCTCTTGTAGAAGCCTTAAGCTCAAAACAAAACAAAAACAGAAATAACCATAAAGATTTAAAATATACTTGGCCGCGTGATGCCAATTTTTTTGTGTTTCAGATAAGTTAGCAGCCCGTAAGAATGCATTTTTGGAGTTTTGATGGTCTTTAGCAAGCTTATAGCAAAACCCTTTAATTAAAGGTTACTCTATTAACTTATTTAATAATCTAAAAAGTTAAAACATCGAATCTTTACATTAAAGTTTTTAAAGTACAATATAAAAATTAAAGGTATATTAAGACCAGCGCTTTCTAGTTCTTTAATTGCAGTATAACTATCCGGACTTTTGAAAAAGGAAGATTTTAAAGCATCCTCCGCAGCATTTAAGTGTTGTACAGCCTCTAAACGCTTTCCTTCCATTTCAACTTTTAAATTTTATTGCGACACAACAGGTTTTTGTTGTATACATGATAATAGTCGCAGAAGCCCCGTTTGGCAAAAATTATTTAAAGGCGGTAGAGGCTTACCCCACCCCAATTAGGGTAAAAGCAATTAAAAAAATTTAAATTATAACTTGAATTTCTGTCCGGGTTGTTGCCCATTCTGCTGTTACAACAAGTAAAAGTTTTGTTTTATTACTAAATCTTTCTTCTTTTCTCAACTATTGTAAGGTACATTTACGAACTTTCCACCCATTCTTTAGGTTACTTAGTATTTATGACGTTTTTAAATACAGACGTACGGAAAAGCGCACGGTATAATATGAGATATATCTCTTAAGAGTTATAAATAAGTAAGCATGTTTTATAATCCTAAAGGAATTTTTTTAATAAAATTTGTGATGAAGCTTAGCATAACAGTCTAAAGTTGTGAAGATGATGATTGCTTCAAATTAATTATACGATGTGGTACTAAAACTAATTCGCTACTAGTCCCTTTCTAAACATTTTAAAATCTAAACAAGATCACTATTGCTAGACTCTCTTAAATATTCCTAGTCGGCTTTAATTTTATATTAACTAGGCTAGTATATAATTTGGAAAATGTCGAAAATTCAAATATTTGTTTTATTAATTTTGCAGTACACCCTAGAAAAGTATTTCCGATAATACTAACCAATTAGAAGCTTTATTTCGTATTTACCTCATGGCGGTATACCGCTGTTAAAAAATTTAAAGATACATTAACTAAAAGGCTTTAAAATAAGATTGAGAAAAAAAAACCCATGAGCAAGAGGAATAAGAAAAACGAGATAAATTTTATTGAGCCTCACGAAAAAATATATACAACTATTGCACCTCAGGATACAAAATTAATCATCACTTTAAGGGTTATATATGGCAGCAATTATTGTTCTATGGTAGTTATTATCTAACATCCACAGGTAATAATGTCGTATGAAAAAAAGAAGCTGTTTTCATATTATTAATCTCGGTAATAGTTTTTAAATTGGGTGCAAGATTCTTATAATACACATCAATTTTATTTAGCGGTATAATAAGTTATATACTGTCATAAAGATGAGAGAGCTCTTGCGGTTCGTCAGCGCTACAGGTTCGCCGACAAAAAATATTTTGATTATTGGCGAGATAAGAAAAAAGCATGCTGCCTTAGTCGTAAATAAATATATACGTTTTTACAGTTTGTTTATACGTAAAGAAAACTTGCACATCAACTCCATTAAGAGGAGATTAGGAGTTTTATCGAATGGTGGGAGCCTTAACGATGCTTATAAGAGCCAATAATATAGCCACTATACTTTATAGGCCTGATGGAACTATAATTTATACCTAATTTAACAGGTACAAGGTTCTATCTCGCTAAGAGAATTATGGTAAAACTTCCACATGCCGGGAGAATTTTTAAATTTTTTTTATATTCTTTACAATAAAGCGCAGTTTACTTTTGTGCTTAACTGTTCGTTTAACTTTCAGTAGATCTATATTTGTTGTTATAATTCAGTTTTACCCGTAACTGTACTTTCCATTTTTTCTGCTGGTATTGAGTTTTCTTTATTTCTTATTCCTATTACCCACCCGTATTTTTATATCGTTAATTTCGATTAATTTGGCGCTTTACAGCTATATAAAACGTTAAAATCTTTTCTTAATTGATAACACTGAGCTACAATGACTTTTCTCATTGCTTGGCCCCCTAACTACGTTCAACTTTTTTAACAGGTTATTATAGAAGTTGAACCCCTCCCCACCATCTTTAATTGCCTGGATATTTGCTGGATTTGTTATATCTTATAGTTAAAACTAGCAAGCAACTAACTATTAAATTACCAAAAAAATTATTTAACACTAAGACAAATTTATAATTTTTATTGGTTCCTGCTTTTAAGATGAAGCTAACCTTAACCCTAAACTTAACCTAAGTGTCATTATTATTATTATTATTATTATTATTATTATTATTATTATTATTATTATTATTATTATTATTATTATTATTATTATTATTATTATTATTATCATTATTAAGACTCTGTACAGAAATAAGTATTGCTGTTCAGTGAAATTTGTAATTTTTATTATCGAATTTCTCAAGGTTATTGCTAACGACTAAAGCTTCTAACAAATGACATTTTGTATACACCAAAGAGAAGGAATTGAAGCTAGCGTTGAAACACCCTACTTTTCTAAGCTTATATAAACAAGGAACATCGTGATATAGTAACTTAAATTTTTTTTATTAACCGTTCAGAATTAATTGTACTTTTAAAGTCGAAGACAAGAAAACATATGGGCAAACTGTTAAAGTCAACGGAGGGGGGTGTAGTTTGAGCAGACAATTGCTAAAATTGCACTCAATTGTGGGACATTCCCTTACAAAGTTACGATAAATATCAAAACTAAAACTAAATATAACTTTTTTAAGGGTTTTTAGAGAGTCTTAATAGTAGTAAGCATTAAAAAATATAGCATAATAACGCAGTTCGTACTTTTGGGAAAAGATGTAAAATATTGAAGGGTAGGAGAATGGGCCCAAGGTTGAGCAACCACGTGGTGGTTTTAAGTAGGCAGTAATATTACTTTTAATAAATAAATGTCAGTTTTACCGGCTTTGTTAATAATTTTAAAGGTTGTTGTTTATTAAATCTTTATTATTGTAGCTACAATATAGTGTTTCAAAATGGTTAAGAAAACTCCAGATCCTGAAATTAAAACGTACTGTATCTATACCAAGAAATTTATAGACTTCTTACTAGTTGAAATTTTTTAAAAACAGATACATAGAAAAAAAAATTTTAGTCAAGCTAAATGGAAATAGAAAGATATCTGGTATTTTAAGAGGCTATGATCCTTTTATGAATTTATCTTTAGAGGCCTGTAACGAAGAAATATCTTCCACCGAGCAGAATTTTCTTGGAACCATTGTGAACTCGCTTACTTTTGATTCCATTTGACTTTTTTACTTTCTTTTTATTATATTTGCCATACCAGGTCATACGCGGTAATAGTATTGACTCTATCGAATGCTTAGAGCGGATATAAGCCTTACATTATTTTAAACCTAAATTGTTGGTCTTAAGGTCTTTTAATAAACTTTTTTATTAATTCTGAAAATTGTCCCATGGTCAAATTCAACACCTTTATTATCTAATATTTGACGGATAATTTATTATCAAGTGAAGAGCTTTATGTTTGGTATTTTGTATATTATTTGAAAATTCTTAAGTTATGCTTGCTTATAGATCGATATATATTTTTTAAGATAGATCTTGACTGTATATATCAGCGTCATATTCCAATTTCAGCACTCCCTTTTCTGTTAGAACTTTTTTAACTACCAATCGCAATTTATTTTTACAGTATTTAACTAGAAGAGCTATAGAAATATTTACTGTGCACACAACTTAAACTTTAAAAATTTTGAAAAGCATGTTAAGCATAGAATCCATTAATTAACTAAACTTCTCTTATTGCCACATTTAATATATGCAAATTATGCATAAAGAGTTTAGGTTTTAATGGTTTTTTTATTTCGTTAAATAAAGCTTTTTAAACAGCTAACGTTAGTTTTACTATAGAAGAAAGTTTATATATATATGTGTGTGTTTATCGTTAGCAGCTTGGCGATTACCTGCTCGGTTTTAGTGAGCCTTCTAACAAACCTAAGAAACTCATTTCATAACGCATATTAATATAATCGCGCTTTTAATTTTCTATCTTAAAAGTAAAAACTTAGTTTATATAGTCGCGCTTTCTATAGTTAAAACCCTCTTATTTCCTTGTTTATAAATAAAGGATTTATAACGCCATTTTTTTTAACTTTATGCTCACACTAATAACTTAACAGCAATTGCCGTCAAGTACAATCATTAATTATTAAAGTACAAAAAACCAAGGCTTACAAGATTTTCTGCTAATACCCATAATTAATTATTAATACTGATCTCGCCTCCAGTATCTGCTATAAACGAGTTGAAAACACGCTAGTTATTTTAACGACAGCAAATTGCAAATGTGTGTGCTTGTAAGGATCGAGGTTGCACTATTTTTTAGCAAGAAATTCTAAAAATGACGGCCTAATAATTTCGTTTCTCTAAATTCCTGGTGTTTTTAAAATTGCCGTATTGTTTCTAAGTTCATTAACTAAGTCCTCTTTTTAAAGAAAACCTTTACTCTAAAAACATAAAATTGTACTTAACTATTAGGCCTACCTGCACTCAGTATTATTATCTTTTAATAATAACTAGGTTTAGTCAGGAAATATATAAAACAACTTTAGTCAAATAAAAGAGAGTAGAACGTCAGAAGTAGGGTTTAAAGCAGGTTGTAAAAAGACAGAAACAGTTCATGGATCAAAAAAATAACAGTAAAGTTGCTCGAGTTAGTCAGATAAAGCTGTGTGAAAGCAACACTATTAAAAGATTGGTGAAAATATATATAGTTCAGAAGTAGACATTGACTTATATACCCTGTAGAAAATGCTATCGCGTAAATGTACAGCGCAGCAAGGCAAGTTATCAGTTTCAGCTAGATAAAGGCTAATTGATCAACCTGGTAGGCAACGCGCGATGGATCTACTGCCAAATATTGTTTCTTACTATCCTAGATACGCGAAGAAATAATAGAAATTAAGTTTAAACTATATTACTTTAGAAAAAACTTATTTAATCGCGAGAACAAACCTTTTTACTTAAAACTAACTTCCTCAACACTAATATCTTTCTTTTTCATTGTGTGAACTTAGGATGGGTATCGGTATCAAATAACAAAATACTGCTTCTTAAAAAAGCACGTGTGTGAATGTCCTTGTCAAGGCCCCTGTCAGCTTTATATGTTTAGTCCTCAAGGTGAACGTATGAACTGCTGTTTCATCCTCCATAACGTATTCTGTTTTATCTTTTACTCATTACTGAAACTTGAGATTAAACAAAACAGTTGTCAAAATACTTAACTGCTTTTGTCATTTTTGATTGTTTGAAATTTGTAAACTTTAAAATTTTTTTTTGAAAGGTTTATCCGTTCAGTCTTCCATTTTACATTTTAGGTTCGAAATTTAACACAGAAATTCCAGCATTTATAATGTGTATTGTACGTGTAACAAACTTTTCTTTTTGCGCGGGCAACCTCATGTATCATTTCAAGGTAAAGATTTTTCTGCTCAAAACAAATGGAAATAAGCTATTTACATGGTTAGTGTACATCCATTTCAGACTTTGAAATGCGAAGATAAGAACATTTTTCAGTTCAAAGAGAGTTATCTTAAAGGCCAAGGTTATAGAGCAAGGAATACTCGTAAGGGATCGCATGGTTGTGAGCACAGTTAGGTTCTTTCTGAGAAGGATAGCCAAAGCCCTCTTGTCCCTTTGTATTGTTAGATTCCTATCTTTGACAGATAAGCCACTATGAGATGATGATTGGTTTGAAGAAAGCAGGGCTAATTTTCCTAAACCCTGAAACTTAGTCAATTAAAGAGTTAGATACCCTACGAAATCCTTTTAAACCAGGTAACGCTAGCTTCAACTGCACAAAGCCTTGTGTTTATAGAAAGTATTAATAGAATAGCCCTAAAGTATTCCTATCGACTTAGTTAAGAAAAAAAGGGTAATGCTCATATAGCCCTCCTATTGATTTATTTATCTGCTTTGATAAACTAATTTAGTAGGCTAGCTCAGTGCTAGCATTCACGGGTTGGTCTCAACTCTAAGCTGTTCATAAACTATTCTACTACGATCTGATCACTAAAACCAGCAACCTGTACCTAGATTGAAGTCCTATTATGGTTCGCCTAGGGTAGCTTCTGATCTTTTGGGTCAAGGACCTCAAAGTGCTCTATGTTGAAATCTAGTAAGTCATACTGATTTTCACCTTGTTCAAAGTCAACAGCAAGGTTCTACCGATAGGAAATCCTTAGCATTAGGTTGCATGTTCTACTTCACTCCCTTAAACCTCTGTTTCAAATTTTCCTTTAAGTACTTCTGCATATCCGTGTTCTCTACTGAGTTAGATCCTTTTATCGAAGCCATTGGCTATGAACCATTCTGTCTTAAATACGAAGTCCCTCACGTTGGTATAGTTTCAATTTCTTATTCGTGAAAGTGTATTCAGACCTTAAATTCACTAATGGTAAGCTGGTTGGATGCTTGGACCACTAGGAGATCGAGAGAACACGGTCATGAATTCACCTAATGCCCGATAACCTAGATTACTTCCTAATTAAGAGGATGGCGACTAGTTATTTCCTACTCGGTTAAATAAGATTATATTCTATTAAAGTTTTAAAGTAGGTGGTTTGACCTTGGAAAACGTCCCACTTTAGTAAAACGAAACTAACTAACACTAAAAATGGTAATTTGCTTGTTCTACCAGAATATAACTATAAAAAACCACCTTCGTGAGAGGGAAAAAGAGAGATCACTTGAGTAAATTGGGAACAAATTTATTTATCCCTCTAGGTCCGTCTCAGCGTAGACTTTTGGGTCCTAACAAAGTTAGCCCTATCGGGTCTTAGTAAATCAAAAAAGAGATTTATTGACTCTCTTACTTCCTTCCAACAGGGAGGTTTTTTTTCGTTCTACTTTAGTAGAATACTTTCATTAGCTAGCCAAAGTAGAATTTTTGTAAGTAACGAGTTAACAATCTAATCAACTAACCTGTAGTTCATGCTTTTTAATTTTGTTACACAACAGTGTGAAGGTGAAACGAGTACTAACTTTAAGGCGAAAAGTACTTCAACAAAGACAGAGAGACAATTGACGAAAGTGAGATCATTTTACAAGGGATACAAGCAAGGAAAAAATTGACTATCTTGAACTAATCTATGTTATATCTCAGATCTCTTCAGCGTAGACTTTTGGATCCTAACTCTGTCAAGACGATCAAAGATCCCTATCGGGTCACAATAAGTCGAAAAAGAAATTAACTTTCTTTCTATTTCCTCCTACCAGGGAGGTTATTTCGTTCTACTTTGGTAAAAGATAATTAGCGTAGTTGTGTTCTACTAAAGTAAACTCTAGTATTGATAGAAAAACCTCCTTTCTCTGTCGGTTTCCAATGGTTGGTGCGGTGATTGTACCACCTGCCTTAATAATACAAACAGAGAGACTGAGTTTTATCATTGTTCGACTCAGGTGAAACCATCAAGTTGCAAAGTTTTTGGGCTATAATGACCTGGTAGCTAGATTGAACAATGAAAAAGAGTCTTTACTCTTTCAAGGTGGAACAACCTACTAGCCTACGTACTAACATGTCGAAACTAGTAAAAATCTCCTCAACCAGGAAGTAATCTTGGTTTTATTGTCATAAGTAACTTAGCTAGTTAAAAAGCTAGCGTAATACTTTTATCTAGTATTGGCTTACAGTTGGGTTAATGTTCTCGGTGAAGCAGGTCTAGATAGAATATTAAGTTCTGCGTTAAGACTTGGATTAGTGCTGGCCACCTTGGTTGGGAAAGTAAGAAACTAGTTTATATTCTAACCAAAAAAAGCTCCTCTTGTAGCATCCTTAATATGGTAAAGGATAAATATAAAATAGGGTTATCACCTAGTAAATACTCTTTCCATGCGCCTGCAAGGTATCACAACCTTGAGAAAGTGGCAATTTTTTTTGTCTAAGGTGGCTCTCCGTGCAAGTGACCAAGTTCCTAGCTAAACCAGCCAAAGTAGGCTCAAGGTAGTAAGGCAGTTGCTTTTTTATCTAATTTGTAGCTAAAGTTCAGAGTCAAGATGCAATAAGCAATATTAACACTGATGCGCTAATGCTCGAAGTAATTAATGTTCCTACCTAGTCGTTCGTATCTCATTATTTTACTAACTAAAAGGCACTTTATTTTTTAACATCGTTATGGGTGACGAGCAAATAACTGAGTGGTCTAGGTAAGAGCACTCTTTTTATCATTTTGAGGGACAGTTTAGCGATTAAAGGTCTCCAGAAACCTTGTAGATACGCCTCTTCTGCTCTTTATAATTTTTACATCTGCTGCATGCACCTTTTAAGTGCTCAATGCTCAATCCCTTGACTTTCGTTGAGACCACAGTGATCTAGGCTAGTGTTCGGCCATAATTTAAAGTTAGGTAGGTCGAAAGGC